GGTAAGTCGTGCGTCCGCAGCGGCCTGGCCGCGCGCTTTTGTCACGCCGCACCAACCCTCCACCACGGGCGCCGCGAGTTGTTGGGCTGTGGGCAGGGACGACCAGCTCTCCCGGCGTCGACGCCCGCTCCGGCGCTCCCCTCCCTTTTCCTCTACGTCCTCCTCCTCCTCTCCTCCCCGTCTCCGTCACATCCTCTCCTCCCCATCGTCCTCCCCTCTGGCATGCCGCAAGCATGGACACCAGCACCCCCATTTCGACCGACGCCGCTGCAGCCGCCGCCAAGCGCAAGCGGAGTCCCTCCACCGGCTCCGTCTCTGCGCCCGTCGCAAAGGCCGCGAAGACGAGCAGCCAGCTGAGCATCAACTACCTCGCCCGACAATCGCACGACGACTTGCCTCTCATCAACAAGGACGACACTCTCCCGAATCTGCTCCACCTACTCGGCGCTTACAGCAACATCCTCGATAGACACGAGTCATTGGCCTCCAACCTTGGTGCGAGACCTCTCGGACCCATCCTCATCAAGCGCTTCGAACGCTGTTTCGATGCTCCGCCCAAAATCGTTGCCAGTCACCACAAGAATGCGACTGGAGACCCCGCCGAGACGAGCCACACCATCACCTGGCTAGAAGTAATTGAGTTTGCGCGCGCCCACCCCAGCCAGTTTACGCTCAGCACATTCTCCGAAGGCCGCAGGGTGTGCCAATTCTACTACCCTCAGAAACAGTTGCGCGTGCAGATCAGCGAGGAAGACTTTCTCTTCATTAATAGTGGAAGATGTCAGGAACTCATCCCGCCTCTGCCAATCTGGGAAGACGAAGAGAAGGAGGTCGGCACGTGCGATGTGCTGGAAACGAAGCTCAAGGAGCTGACCAACGTGGCCGACATGGTTGCGGCTCGCACGCGGCAATTGTCTCATAGGTTGAAGGGTCGCCGAGCAGCCATACTTGAGCGACGAGCAGAGGGCGGTAGTGGGACACCGGCGAAGGCAACTGCACCTCAGACTACCACGGCGCCTCCATCGTCTTCGGGTTCAGGATTTGTCGCTGTCAATTCGACCCCGGCCAATGGCAAGCCTGTTGCTGAGAGCGTCGAACCAACGTTGGGATCGAACGCAGCTATTCGGACTGAGCTCCTGCGGCACTTTGAGAGCTTGCCTCACAATCAAAATGCTCCGAAACTGCACGCCCGGCACCAGTCCACAACCGTCGATCCTCAACAGACGCCGAAAACATTGGACTTTAGCGGGACACTGCCCAATGATGGCGTCACATCCAACAATTCATCATTGTCGCCTGTGCCAACAAATGTGTTGGGTGAAAGTCTACCTTATGCTTCCGATAGCAACCGAGCAAGCGCGAACACATACACACATCGCCCGTCTCTGAGCACAGGGAATCCATATTCATCTAGCCACACACCACTCAAGCACAATTTCAGCCGCCCACTCCCCCCTGCACTGGAAAGTAGCCAACCCTTCCGACCACTCTGTCAAGCCCATATGGACAGCCTTCCTCGAGGGACTCGCGTCATGCCGCCCTGTGATAGATGCCGGAGGTTGCGCATGGACTGCGTCAAGAACCTAACGTCTTGCGCTGGATGTACCAGGAAGCACGCTCGTTGCCACTGGCGTGACGTGTCGCGCGAGGAGTTGGGTGCGCTTGACCACCTCATGGACTCGAGCTACCCTGGCCTTGCGGGTTCTCCTACCAACGGCGCACATCCATCTAACGGATATGCGAACGGGGCAAGTGACAATGGGGACAGCGATGATGACGATAGCAACCCTCTCGAGGACCTCGAAGCCTTGGACGAGAAGGAAGAACAGGAGAACCAGATTCGAGAGGACGAGGAAGGTCTACGCAACGCCAAAGAACTCGCGAGACAGGGCTTCGAAGACAGCATGCGTGATGGCCAGCAACAACAGCCGGGTCCAAACGAACCTGGCGAGCCAAATCGCGGTCCAGGGGGAACGATACCGGCCTATGTTCAAACTGCAAATGTCGAAGTGTCCCAGATTGCCGAAGAGCCGCAACCTGTGGGCAATCTTGCTACCCCACCAAACTCAGCGCAAGTTCAAGAGAGGCCGCTGGATCTCCCGTTCCAACTTCATGGCAACCAGCAGCGCGAGATCCTCTTGCAGAAAGAGAATGCTCCTGTGGACCGTCCGCCTTCCACGGATACGGCAGCGACTAATGGCGGCTTCCGCCCCGTGAATGAGACTATGAATAATGGCAGCGCGATTGCTTCGAGTGGGACTGGGTGGCGAGCGATATGATCTTGGTCACGTGTTGAGTGGCTACCAAATTCTTAGCTTATGACGGATGGATGAATGGATTTCTAGAACAGGTGCTCAGCCTACTGCACGGCGACACACAATGCACCAGAATTTTCTTGGGCACTCTCCTGGCCAAAGTCTTATCCTCCATTCTTCACTGTAAATGCGACACGACTGGGAGGACCACGTGATAGCAGTCGACTTTTGCCTGTGGTGAGTTACATGCAGTTTGAAGGTGGCTTATCGCTGTGTAGATTAGCAGACACCCCCAAAGCCAAGACTCTTTACGAATTCCATATCGTCTCGTCTCGCCATGCTTGAGGATCCCAATTCAGGCAATACACGATTCGTGCTCTCATCTTGTCTCGATGTCTGCAGGACGACATACCACTGTCATATCCTGTATCACGACAGGCCTCAACTCGGAAAATACCAGGCAATTGGGATTTCAACTTTCGCAAAGAGCTGATGTCTTGCATAGTCCTGCGGCTGGCGCCTTCCGATGGCCAGTCAATCGAATGATGCGCTCGTTACACACACAACAATCTGCGATGTAACACAGCCCACTTCAGGAACACCGCCATTCAGCGTCTGGCCCGCACCGACGATATACATTGAAATGTGGGGCGCAGTGGACTCGGAAGCGCCCAGATTGTTTCCCCACAGCGTTGCGGCAAATGTTGAGTGTGCAGAGATGCGCGACATGGGCCACCTGCGGGTCATGAAACAACAGCGGAGAAAAGAGTCGACGCAGGCCAAAAGCACACACGGCACGGCACGGTATGGAGATCAGGAACGCGACAGTAGCGTACCGCGCATTCGTTCTCGAGAGCCGCCCACTGTCGCCCAGGAACAGCAGCCGCCAGCGGCATTGACGCCGACGGAATCAATGCCACGGCTGCGCATGAACGGGAAGCCATGCGATCGGCCGATTGCTTCGTGAACGAACACCTTCCTCGGATATCGAGACCGAACAGCCGCCAGACGGCAGTCACGAGGCGGCGATAGATTGAGCCAGATGTCACCCATCTGTTGAGAGCACATGCCTGAGTGGAGAAGTCGTCGCTACAACTTGACCAAGTGTCTTTCGACCTCCCGTTCACCGACCGCGGTCTTCCCTGTACGACGGCCTACTTGTACGACCTCAGAGGACTCCGATCCACACCAACACCAGCAACCTGGTGCAGAAGTGGCATCACTGTCAATCATGATCAGCAGCACACTCGTTTTTGTTGCTGCTGCGAAGAACTTCCTGTTATGCGAACTGTAAGCTGCCAGCTCGCAGCACCTCATATGCGATGCGGCGCTGCTGCGACACGGCTGCTGGCATTGACATCTGCCATTGCGATCAGATCTCGCGTGTTGCAGCGCATGGCTGCAGACCTGCGCCACCCATATTTTGGCGCGGCCAAAAGCGGATTCAGTGTGCATGCCAAACAGCACGGCAACACTCGAGAGTAGAATGGAGAAGAGGTCCACTTGCCTACATGACAACTCATAGGATCGCCCTTCATGTCGCGCAACATTGCGTTATGCAAGTCCTTGTATAGTTGCGCAGGACTTTCATCGCTGGACCGTCGAGATCAGGTGTTCGGCGACCTGGCCGCCTACATATACAGGCCATTCAAGGGTCCAATCGCTGCTCGATCATCCTCTGAAACAGTCTGTGCCCTGTCATCGATAGGCAAGCACAGGGGAGAATCTACTGACCGCCTCTGCGAACATCCAACAACATCATCACAATGTCTGTCGAGCGGGTCTTTTGGACGACAAATGTTGAGGAGAATATCGAATTCCCCATGGCACAGCGTTCCCTGAGAGCTTGTTCATCGATCGAGTGCACGCCATACGTGCAGGCCGTCTGCCGGTAGAGTTGCATTCCATCACGGGAGGCGTTCGTTGACGGCTGACGTTACAGTGAGCAGGCCACCCTCCGGTTGATTGCCTCTGCGACCTCTTTTCCGAGAAGCCGGATCTTCTCAGGCTGTACAAAACGGGCTTGCCTGCAAGGTCACGGTCCTTGATTTGTTCAAAGTCGGTGGCTCTGCACGAGATACTTATTCCCTCCGCAAGGTCGCTCGAAAATTTCTCTGAAGTTGCATCTTTCTTCACACCATCCTGCAAGTTCCCAGGTCCAGGGACAACGTTCCCGATCGTTCGCTTCTTGTTGTTCCTGAAGAAATATTCCGACCCCTTGCAGAAGGGTTTCAACAATCCAGCGCTCAAAGTTCGGGAAATTAGCGCCGCTTGGTCTCTGCAGTCCTTTTTGCTGAAGGTCAGTGTAGACGAGCAATAATTCGTGGTCGGGTACGGTGGTACCTGGCATTTGCCTATGCATCTCGACGTTGCTGACGGAACCAGTGATCGCGTTGGCCAGACCACCTTTCCGCGCCACCCTGACATAGTACTGTCGTCGATCGTCCCACGAGCACTGGAGAGACAGCCTAGAGGATGCGGTTGTACAATGGTGAGTTTGCTCAGTCCGTCTGCCTCAGCCATTTCACCCCCAGGCAGTCCTACTGCATACCGTGGAGACGCCTCAAACTCTAAAAGCCACACACGTTCCTCATTCTGTCTCCTGAATGACAATTCTCCCTTTGTCGATCCTCCAGGTCACCCGTGCACACTGTTTACTTTGGAACTTGTTGGAGGTGTACTGTCTTGTGTGTGTGTTCGACTCACCTGGGGCAACAATGATTGTTTTGGGATGGATATGCTGACCATTTGTTGCAGTCTACAAGATGTCTAGCACGTCGACACCGACTCGCCCTGCCCGTGGCTTAGTCGTCCCGGGTATCGATACGCATAGCGTGTTTGATCAGAAGCCTTGTCTGCCACAGCAGGCGCAATCTTTCTCAGGATGGGGACCGCTGACGCCTCCCTCATCGGCGCAAGATTCGAGGAGACCTTCGCTGGCCTTCTCCTCAATGTCGGACACGACACATCATTCCGGACCGTCATCGATATCAAGTTTCTCGCAGCCTGCGGCACCAGTCCATTCAATGCTCAATTCCGCAGACAGCTTTGTCCACCAGTGGCATGAGACATCGGAGATGCATGCTACACTGCCTGCTCAGATGGAAACGGCGTGCACGTTGACTCAACAGCAGCCCATGTGCGACATGTCCTACCCGCACGGCCTGCCAATGTCCACCCAGAGCATGCCGATGCAGATGCCGGATTCTTCACCCATGCGGAACGAGATATGGCAGGATCCTCAACACAGCTCCTTCGGTCCTGTTCTACAGCCTGGACTGGCGGACACGCTCTACCACAGCGTGCAGAATCTCGGACACCAGCATGCGCCGCATGCTTCCATGTATGCCAACCCTTCGGCCTCCCTGAATGCGTCGCTGGAGCAGTCAGTGTTTCCCAATGTACCAGCCGTCCCATCCTTCCATGCACAGCCACGAGTGGTCGTTCCATCTCAACTGGGTCCCCAAGATGACTACCCGATGGATCACTATCCCCAGTATGACCAAAGTGGGACCGACTTTGCGCAGAGCTTCGACTCCAACATGACAGGAAGCAGTGGCTGGGAGTCTGTCGGACCTCCAAGCCCGATGGAGCACTACATGAATCCATCCGAGGAAGATTATGTGATGGTGAAAGAGGAGTTCATCAAAGACGAGTTCGCCGGCACACCCACGAAATCGCAGGTCTGGCGTGACATCCACTATCCAGGCTCACCCAGCGCGTCTCGCATCCAGAGGCGACCATCCAGGAAAACTCGCAAGTCTCAGGCGTCGTCCAAAGTGTTCTCTGAGTACGACACAGGCATCTGCCACATCAAATGCGAAGGCAAGAAGTTCTCAGTGGTGACCGACAATCTCACAGGAAAGACTCTCGTCATCCCCGAAACACCGCGCACAGACAAGCAAAACCGTTGCACTCACAAGAAGGACAACGGCACAATTTGTAATGCCAGCTTTGATCGCGCCGAACACCTCAAGCGACACATGCTCTCACATAGCAATATTCGAGCCTTTCCGTGTCCTCTCCCAGGATGCACCAAAAAGATTGGTCGTTCCGATAATGCGCTTGATCATTTCATGACCCATCTTCGGGAGAAGTCTAAGGGGAAGCGCAATCATCATTTTAGTTTGGATAAGATTGAAGAGTATCTTCGTGGTCACCATGCGTGGGATGACAAGAAGGTTACGAAGATGATTGAGAAGTTGCATAGGAGGATGGCGAATGAGATGGAAAAGGCGAGAATTGCTGCGATTGAGAAGGCACGGCAGGAGGCTATGGCGGAGGCGTATGGGAAGCAGCGAGCACGGTTGTGAGGATTCATTCACGGATGGTATTCGGACATTGACATCAACGGCGCGACAGATACGACTGGCACAACAGCACTTCGGCATGCGATGGACAACATGGACGGCGGCAAAGACTCTTCAGCAAAGACGACGACAACCACAAGAGAGGCATCACTCCTCTCCAGGCTTCTGGGTAATCACGGACGGTACGGCGGTAACGATCTCGGATCTTTTGTTTGACAGTTATACCCCCTCGGCAGGGCCCATTCGGACTTTTCGTCGCAAGGAAAAAGAACATAATTAGCATTCAGCATTACTGTACTTCTGGTATGGCGGTACGCAGTACACACGGGCGAGGCAGCTTCCGGCTTTTGGCGTTGGTGGAATGGGGTCTGGACGCGTCTACGGCCGCGAACGAAAGGGCAAGGTTTAGGTTAAACCAAATAGTGTAACTCTAGTATGTAGTATGTATTAGTTGTAGTGAAAAAGAAATCGAAAGCGATAGGTGGGCAGAGTGGGTGTAAGAACACGCGCTCTACTCTATGCTGATTTCGCGGAAAGAGGTCTCACTTCAGATCCATAAAGGTTATCCACTGCGTGAAAATACAGCGTGGTGGACCATCGAGGCTCCAACTTCTCATGCCAGTCCCACCGCAATCCATCTCGTGCCCAGTGATGTCTTGCGTGTCGCGAAATGTACTGTAGACAGCCCAAATTCAGGTCCTCGAGTCAGCTATACAATTGATAAGCGGGAGACAGAGGGAGAGTATTAGCATGAAGAGCGAGACAGTGCCGGCGCATTTATAATGCTCAAGTTACACCCCTGCTCCAACTCGCGGGAAAGGCGCTGTGGTCGACGAAGTTGAACTCGTGCAGCGGCAAGTAGGGCGCAAGTCCATGCGACAGCAATTGACATTTATATAATACTGGCAATTGTGCTTACTAACAAGTCGATTAGCAAAGCGTCGAAATCTCGGCAGACCACATGTATAGGGTGCGGTCGACTTGTTTTTGCTTTTTTGCGCGCGGAAGTTCGCAAGACGCGCGCAGGTCAGGAGTGCGAATGTGTGTTTGGTGCATTCGTTCTTCTCCCTTTACCTTTTTTGCCTTTTCTTTTTCACTTCGCACTTTTGGACTCGAGGTCTGACCAATGCGCGGCGATCGCTAAGGTTCCTCTGCTTGTGAGCTATTGTTCGGATGGCATTGTTGACATTCATATGTTGCTGGCAATTGTGCTTACTCAGACAAGTTGGTAACTCATCGCCGATTCTAGTTCCGGTAGATCCCCATGAGCAGGATTGCCAACTTGTCGTTTTGCTGTTTTGCAGCGCAGGTCGCGCAGGTCAGGGGTTCGAACGCCGGTTGGTGCTCGGTGGACTTTTTCTTTTTGTTACGAGTTCTCTTGATTGACTCGAATCTACGCGATTTTGCCCTTTGCCTTTTGTTGCACTGCGACTGACTATCAGGACAATAACGAGTGGCCGAACATGCTTCCTTCAAGGTTCAAGTAGGCGGTGTTATGCGGAGGCCCACCAGTCTGTCGAGCTACTTGTTGAGCACCTTTTCGCCGTCCATCTTGATCTCAGCATGGTACGCTCTCTACCGAGCTGTGGGATTTGAAGTCCTCGGCTCATGTCGTATAGCGAAACGACTTGTCTTCCTTATCCGTGACATCGGCCCCCTCAATAAACCTCATACTCTCAGCCTCATCACACTGCAACCTGTTCCGCACTCTATTATCTCTCCAGCACAAATACCAATAACTCGGAATAAACACATACACCAAACCCCAATCGACCAACGCACAAATGACTCCCGCTCGATACCTCGGCGGTTCCGTCCAAAGGTGCGGCGCCGCGATACATCCCGTACTATAACCCACGAAAAATACAGCATTGACGAAAGCTTTCTTAGTATTTCCGCGGACATTGCTCGCAGACAGGGACATGAGAATACTGAACTGCGAACTGATGACTGATGCAAGCCAGCTCGCAACGATCATCCCCCAGCCTGCGGAGAGCGGGAGAATGGTGAGAAGAATGCACCCGGTGAGAGGTACCACGCACAGAATGAGGACGATGAGGCTCCGTCGATTTGGAAACCAGAGACATCCGAGGACTCCGATCCAGATGAAGGCGATTTGTATTGCACCGGAGGGAGAGCCGTAGAGGAGGGTTTGCGGGGATGTGTAGCCCAAATTCTTGATTACTAGGCTTGCAAAGGTTAGGACGGGAGAGCACATTGTGACCAGGATGCCAAACATGAAGACGTGGAAGGTTTTGATGTCGAGACAAGCTTCTTTGAATTGCTTCCAGGAGAACGAAGTCTTGTCTCCGCCGTCATGCTGGGACGCGAGGCGTTTGGCTGCGACGATGCGCTCGTCTGGAGTGAGGAACCAAGCTGTGCCGGGCCCAGCAGGCATGAGTAGGAAGAATATTATGCCAGCGAATATGGTTACTGCGCCACAGAGGAGAAACATCAGGCGCCAGGGAGCGATGGAGAGGTGGGAAAGATTTTCTCCAATGCCGTACATCATGAGGGAGCCGACGATCTGGGCGAGACCGTTGCAGGTGACCTGTGAGCAGATGCATTAGTTTATTTCTCCAGTGCTTATGGTCCTCCGATGTTTGCTGCAAGATCGACGCTAAGCATCGTATCAGCTTCACAGCACTTACCCACATGCCCACTCTCATTGGATGCTCTTCCTTCTTGTACCATATACTCGTGATAGTAATGAATGCCGGGCTGACTGCACCCTCGGTGAAACCGAGCAGACATCGAACAGCCGCGAAGCCTGCAAAGTTATTCGGAGCAGCAAGGCACATGCATACTCCGCCCCACAGAATGACAGTCAAGCCCACGAATTTTGCAATGGGAAACCTGCTCATAAGGTAGATAAAAGGCCACTCGGACGCCAATTGCGCCAAATAGAAACAGGACGTCAGCCAGCTGTACTGTGTCGAGCTCAGGCTCAGATCTTCGAGTAACCCGTAGATTGATGCATAAGAAAGACTCTGCTTGTCGAGGTATTGTGTGAAGAACACGAGGCACATCTGTTTGCGTCAGCTGTGTGATCTTGCTATGTTGTAGCTGGATGACTGACCATCGGCAGAACTATGAGGTCGGATTTGCGAAGCACGCGTCGTTCCGCATCGGGATTCGTGATGTCAACGTGAATGCCATCCTGTATGTCGAGCTCCTCACGGGGCAGTTTCTTTTTCATCATCATGATTGTGAGTAGCCATGCCTCACCAAGGAGGGGAGATGCCTGATTTATTGGCGATTCATAGCCCGGAGTGTGGGCACTTGTGACATTTGCGGCCTGCAGTGTGCTCGTGCAGGCGATAGGGCAAGCATCGGCAGCTCTGGACACCGATATGCTCGAAACAGTTATTTGCGGCAGCTTGGGAACAGTGCTGGACCGAGAAGCTGTAGCGTCAGTAGTACAATAACCGGCCTATCTTTTGAGGCAGCAGAGTATCATTGTCGTCTCTCATCTTTTAGACATGCCACAACCGACGTTGGAAGATCTCAAGTGGCACAGCTTTGTGATAACCGTGGCCGGTGTTCCCGGCCGTTCGGCGGACGGTTCAAGTACTTATCGTTGGCCGCATGCAAAAGACATGCACTCAACCCACTGGACACTCATATCATCGCCTTCCTGGAACATTCTCGAGCTTGCGCGATTGATTGTGCATTTGCAGACGTGAAGGAAAGAGTCTTGAAGTCGTGACAGAGTTTGAGCCGGCGCAGCGCACGGGCCAATCTTCGAACGCACCTTCGCCCGACAAGCCATGACAAACGAAAGTCCCGACCTCGACCTCACGGTCAACGGAACAACCTCAAGCACAAATTACCAAATGGCCAACCCGTTGAAGCCTTGGACGAAGGTCCCCCAGAAGCGCTATCGCCTCATCGACGCCCAACTGATCGGTACCAAAAGCCTCCACCACATCCTCCACAAACCCATCTACTAGTAACTAATCAATTTCACAGACCCCAAAGATGGCTCCCTCCACTCCCACGTAACAATCGACATAAAAGACGGCCTAATCCACCGCATGACAAAACTAAACTCCAGCCCCACAAGCCCCAACGACGAAGTCTTCAAATGGACCGCCAACGAAGAAATCACAATCATCAACCTCCAAGGCCGCTACATTTGTCCCGGCCTCATAGACTGCCACGTCCACCTCGCAACTCCCCCAGGCGAAGATGGTCTCAAAGACACAATGACTCAACATGCCGAGACCGCCTTACTAAGACAACCATATCTAGCCCGAGAAATTCTCAAACGAGGTTTCACCACCGTACGCGATTGTGGAGGAGCGGGTCTGGCGTTGAAAGAAGCTTTGGCCGAAGGACTTTATCCTGGTCCACGATTATTCATCGCAGGACATGGGATTTCGCAGACGGGTGGGCATGGGGATATGCGGAGTTCCAAAGATGAGGAGTATGCGTGCTGTGGCGGGAATACTCGAGGTTTGGGTCGAATAGCAGATGGTGTGGAGCAATGTCTTCACGCAGCTCGTGAGGAGCTGCGACAGGGCGCCGATTTTCTAAAAATTATGCTATCTGGAGGGGTGGTGTCTCCGACTGACAAGCTGACAAATCTGCAATATACGCCGGAGGAAATCCGAGCGTTTACAAAAGTGGCGAGTGATTCCGGGACTGTGAGTACTAATACATTTATTTTGCGCGCATCCCGCGGACCGCGGTTGTGGCCTTCTCATCGATCACATGCGCTTACTTTTACAAATTGCTGACCCCTGACTGTGTGTTTGTAGTGGGCGACAGCACATGCGTACACTCCAGCTGCGATTCGCAATGCGGTCGAGAATGGAGTGCTTGGCATCGAACATGGCAACCTGGTCGATGAACCAACAGCCGAGCTGATGGCCAAGAACAACGTCTTCTTGACACCGACGCTCGTAAGCATACTCTGACCACATCCTTGGTGCACAAAATAATGCTGACCCTCACAGATCACGTACCAAACCATGGCGAGCAAAGAGTTCGGCAACTTCCTTCCCCCTTCAATAGCCGCCAAGAATCTCCAAGTCCTGGAAGCTGGTCTGCGGAGCGTCCAGATAGCAGACAAGGCCGGGGTGACCATGTGCTACGGCACTGATCTGCTAGGGCCGCTCGAAGTTATGCAAGCCAGTGAATTCTCTTTACGGAAGCAAGCTGGCTTGTCGAATCTCAAGATCCTGCAATCCGCGACTGTCAATGCTGCCCGAATGCTCCGGCAAGAGGATAAGCTCGGGCGCATCAAGGAGGGGACCATCGCGGATCTGATAATCCTGAACGCCAATCCACTTGAAGACATCGAGGTCTTGGCGCGGCCGCAAAAGCATTTGTTGGCCGTAATCAAAGACGGCAGAGTGCTCCACAGCAAGTGGTCCAAGCTGTTCCCAGACACGGAGCAGAATCCTGTGCTCGAATGAGGTTCCCTCCAACGCGTGTCGGAGACTTCGTATCGAGATACAGCAGTACAGTGAGAGAGTGTTCACTTCGTAAACGGCGCAATGGGATCCACGCTGATGTCGAGCGTATCCAGATGCCAGATTTCGAATTTCACGGCCTCGCCCTTATCAACCATGGTGATTTGGCGCTGTATTTCGATAGTGCCGTTCTCTTGCGGGACCTCAATTAATCCTCCAATCTTGTAACAACAATCGGCCAGACAGATAAACTCGAGGTGCAATGGCCCACGCGTCGCGAGTTCATTGGCCATTTGGTACATGCGTTGCTCGTGCGTGTACAGAGCAAAGTGCTGTCGAAGCTGCTCGTTCTCCAGAATGCGGAGACATTTCAGGTTTGGTAAGAATGGGCAGAGGAGGCGAATGGATTCGTGTTGGACGTCGTCAAGTGCGAGGCCAAGTTGTTCGAGCTGGGTGCATGTGCGCACGAGATAGGCCAGATCCTCTCGTGGTACTGCCCACACGTCGCTCAGAAGTAAGTGCTTGAGGGTGCTCCCGTGGTGATCCCCTATCGTATGAATGTATTCTTTCCCAAGCGAAATCCATTCTGGGTCCTTGTTCGGGTCGTATGGGGAATGCGCCGCGTCGCCATTGGGTGTGGGTGGTTCACCGTTACTTGCGTTCGACGCTGGAGTGTAACCTGTCTTCTGGCGCTTTGCGTTGCTGATCAGGTACAATGCTTTCATGTTCTTACTCTGTTTGCGCATTATTTCGACATGACGTGGCGAAATCTCGTTGACTCGTATCCGGTCGAAAGGCACATCAAGATCATGCGGAACGGCGTTCCACGTTTCGTCGACAAATATTGTGCGAGGGTCGTTTCCGCCAAACGTATCGATGAAGGTGGCACTGGTGCAGGTTTGGTCATCAAATATTTGGTCAAAGCTGAGCACATTCTGGCCAAACCAATTCTGTAGGGCGAAATGCTTCACCTGAAGCTTGTAGTCTGCCTTGTAGCATCGACCGAAAAAGGCGCCCAGACTCATCGTGTTTTCTGCCTCTGCGCGCATGCGTGGAGAGAAGTGCAGGCGCACGTCTTCGAGCTTCTTCGATCCTAGGAAGAGCATGCTGAGATCGTCCGGGTAGCATAAAGGGTCGTAGTCCAGTAATTGAAAGGCGCGCAAGTTGGGCATGGGCGGGATTATCACCGATGGCCGCGGGACTCGTATCGTAGGAAATCGCAAGGTCAGAGTGGTGAGAGTGTTATGAGTTCCGAGGCCTTGATACAAAGTCTTCAAAGGTTTGCAATCAAGCTCCCAGGAGAACGACTTGAGCTTGGTCATTTTGTCTGTCGCGGCTCGAAGAATTATGTTCAGCATCATCGAGGTGTCAGGCACCCTGCCTTTGGCGAAGTCATCGATGCCCAACTCTTGCCATTTGCCCTACCGCAATATCAGTGCTGCTCTGCCCACCTGTCAGCAGTTTTATCCACTCACCCAAACTTTCAGCTCTTGAACCAGTGTGGCATGACCTTTGGTGCACAAGCCATTCAATGCCATCATGAATGGGCTCCCAGCGCCAAATCCTTCCGGCCTCCCATTGACATATCTCATTTCTCCGTACGAGTGGAGATTCACACGTTGGTATAGTTGCGGTAAGCACATGTAGTACATGAGCCTACTTGTCCGCGCGATCCGCGCCATATCCCCTACGTCGTCGAGGTACGACATGATGTGTGCGATGAGGTTCAGCGGGAGCGTTGTCGCAGGTCGGCGTCCTCCATCTTCGTTCAGGGGAATTGTACTCGTTGCAGGCGACGTATATGCCATCGCCGGAGGCATTTGTTTCAGCGAGGGCATGTCTTTGAATGTGCGTGCTGGCACACTGTCCCTGCGGACGTCCGCAGCCATGGTGACGGTCTTCGTGGGCGCATGCGGACTCCTGGCGCGCTTCATGGCAGATGAACGCGTGCTCCTAGACTGAGCAGAATCATGTCTGTCCTCTAGGAGACAAGTGAGACGAGGTTGAGGGTAGTCAGAGACAATTGCATCGGCTCGAGAGAGGATCGCCCGGAAGCAAGCCCTACCTTGCAGGCACGCCTGTTACCAGTGCACTGTCACGACTCATCAAGACCGAAAAAAGTCTAGAGCAGCCCTAGAGGTGATTAGTCGACCTGTGGTGTCGATGGCTCATGGCTGCCCGGTTCATGCGGTCTGATTATGGATTCGGGGAAAGTAATCGGACGAAAGTGGGCGGAGTTTAGCGTGACCGAGAGTCCGCGTCGTACCAGCACTTGCCTCCCCCCGTGTTTAGAGGTCTCGTCGCACAATCGGCCGTACAGGAGACTTCCACTAGTTACCCTGGCAATATCCGACCGTACAGTACGCAGCACCACGCAATTCGTGCGTGACTCCCTGCTTAAGGAGACCGGTTCTCCCGGCGGGATTTAGGTCGCCCCGAAACATGGCACAAGCCGACGAGCGAGAACATCAAGACGTTGTGCTAAATCTTATCGAGACTTATCACGAACTCAATGCTTGTGTAATCGATGAGCTCACCGCCCAGCCTACGGCGCTGCAGTTCGCGCGCTACGTGGGCAGGAATCGACCTTTTGTCGTGCGGAAATGTGCTTGTTCTTGGCGAGCGGTGCGGCAATGGGACGCGTCGTATCTGCGCGAGGTGATGGGCGATGCCGCGGTCAATGTGGCCACGACGCCGAAAGGGTAGGTGGTGTGTCTGGTCGTTTCTTTCATTCATTGCTGAGTGGTGCAGAAATGCAGATGGGTTGGTGGAGGTTGAACATGGGAATTTGATCCTGGTCGAACCATATGAGAAGAAAGAGAGCTTTGGCGACTTCCTGGGCTATATTCAAGCTGAAGCGCATCTATCAGAGCAGGAGCGAAGTGGCAGAAACGTCAAGTACGCGCAAACACGTAAGCACTTACAGTCCCATTTCTGGTTCACATCTGACCTGGACATACTGTAGAAAATGATAATCTCCGCGCAGAGTACTCAGCACTGTTCGCAGATGTGCCTGATAGCATTGACTTCGCCAGCGCGGCCTTAGATGCAGAACCTGACGCAGTAAACTTCTGGCTGGGCAATGAGAGATCTGTCACAGCCTTGCACAAGGACAATTACGAAAATGTCTATGTCCAGGTCCGGGGACAGAAGCACTTTGTACTTCTCCCGCCGATCGAAATGCCATGCGTGAACGAAGTCCCGGTTCAATTCGCGAGATATCAGCCAACCGGTGACGATGAATCAAAACTGGAGCCACAGACCTACGAGGGTAGCGAACCAATTCCAACACCAATCTGGGATCCTGACGAGCCGGACGCGCGAGCCTCGCCATATTCGAAGGCGTCTAAGCCGATGCGCGTCACCCTGGATGAAGGAGACATGATGTACCTGCCGGCGATGTGGTACCACAAGGTGTCGCAGAGCTCTGGTGAAGAGGCCTTCTCGTGCTCAGTCAACTACTGGTATGACATGGATTTCAGTGGAAGCTTTTGGGCGCAGAACAACTACCTGAGGGAAACTGTCGAGGCTACTGCGAAGCACGTGAGGTATCCTGAGCTCGATTTCGGCGATGAAGAACAAAGTCATCCATGATCCATCTTAAGCAGATTGCTAAACCACGTCCGCGTTGGACATAGCAAAGCGTGTGTGGCGAGCTTGAGTTGGTCCTGCCGTGTCAAGGTCAAGCAAGCGATGTAAGGTTTATTGAGGCAGGAGGTCTCGCGACTGCCTGCGATCAGACGACCGTTAAATCGGGACTTTACCTCGACTTCCGCACTTGCCCTTGAGTCAACAACAAGTTGCACAATAACGACTTGCGACAACCCGCATCCGCCCGACTATGCCTGTCATCGCCACCAACCTCCAACAGGCAGCCGCCTTACTTAAAGGGATGAGCGTTGCCGAGCTCTACACGCTACAGGAGCTTACTGCAAAAGAGCTGGAAGAGCATTCAAGGCCATTTCCTTTCCTCGCTCTTTCAGCCGAGCTGCGCAATGAGATCTACGACCTTGTCGCCGTCAGTCAAGTCTTCAGCATAACTGACATTGAACGTCAAGAGAACGGACTGGCCGTGGTCAACAAGCAGATTTCAAGCGAGTACCTCAGTGTTCTGAACAGTAAAGAAATGGTCCGCGCCAAGTACTTAAGAGATGTCACTACAATGGGATGGGAGGACATCGACGTACGCAAACTGCTCACAGCCCGATCTATTTTTGCACACGAATTTCCTGAGGACCAGGACATGTGGTTTCGCTCTTTCCACTCCTCCGGCTATGCTAGTGCCGAGAAAAAGGTGGTTGATAAGACCAGGCTTGACGATGCACATTTGGCGAAGAGCGGTGATCCGGCTCAATGCAGCTTCTGGGGCATGCTCGAGATAGCCGGTTCCAGTGAAGGGTACTTTGTCTTTGCGATCAAGGTCAAGGAAATCGACAATTATTGTCCAGACGCACAACAGAGGGACAATGATGATGAGGTGTGAAGGCAGCAGGCACGATGAAAAACGAGCTTGAGAGACGTTGATATCATTCTGACCACGCTGGTGCTGAAAAGGCTTTCGTTAGCATGACGAAGAGAGCGACGAAGAGCCGCATGTGGATTTTGGTGATTCGTATTTCTGGGAGCTCAGAGATTGCGGGTGGTGGTGCGAGCTGCAGTATCCTAGAAACCAAAGCCACGAGGTCGATGATTACATTGAGCGAAGGCTGCTGACCTTCATCTTGGCGCCGAACGAATCCCATGGGTCGTAAGCATATTGTACCTTTCTCGGTGGTCTCAGTCTGGTGGCCTCAAACTGGTGGTAGCGAGCGAAGTGTAATGTAAGTTCAAGCAAACTGGCCTTTTGCGTCCCAAGCCGCCCTTTCGAACCACATTTTTTTTTCATGTTCATAATCAAGGCGCCCACCAAATCACCTTTGGTGCCTAACCAACACGCGAGGAACACTACTGCGAGCTGGCGATAGCGATGCAACCCTCCAACCTAGAAAAAGCGGCTGCGCTACTTCATTCCATGACCACCCCGGAACTCGAACAGCTGCAGGCCCTCGCTGCAAGCCAAATCGAAAAAAACGTTGCCGCAGAACCTTTGTTCCTCGCACTCCCTTCCGAGCTGCGGAACAAGATCTATACACTTGTCGCCATGGATCAAGGACAACGAAACGGACTAGCTGGAGCGAATAAGCAAATTTCCCGAGAGTACCTCAGCATATTTAATAGCAAAGAGATGCTACGGGCCAAGTACATGGAAGATGTCGACACGACGAAGTGGATTGAGTTTGACAAACGCAAAATCCAGAAAGCGGTGGCCATCTACTGTCGGCGCAATCCTCACTTCTTGAGGAAAACCTGTGCATTGCCCGGTGATGTCCCATTTACGCTGAGGCTGAAAAGCACGTCATCGAACATGAGGAACAGAGGTCCTATTGTTCCTTGGTCGTGAGACGTCCGACAAGTTCGGAATCCTCGAGATCGCATGCCCTGCACATCGTTGCTTAGTACTCGAGAAATTGGGCTGCGAATGTCGTCGACAACATCTTACAGCACAGCGGGAATCCTGACGTCGGTAAGCCTGAGGGATGGTTGGTTAGAGAGGATGAAGTCGTGCGACAAGCAAAGAGATGTCCAAGAAATCAGAGGCGAGGATGGGAGGCTACTGTACTTTATGCACTCGGGTCGCTCGCGAGGAGCAGATGGCGCTGGTTTTGCGAGAGAACTGGTCTAGGCAGCAAACGACTTGGGTATGGAAATTGAAAAAGAAGTTCATATGGTGTGATAGATGTCGATGCTTCTTCTGACGCGACGGGATGATTTCGGTCTCCGTCTACTTCTCACCTGTCTGGCCGCGTGGCCGTAGCTGCTGTGTCTGTTGAGATCCTCGCTCGTACCAACATTGTTGAACTCCATATCCTGGCCGCGGTGCGCCTCATGCTTTTGTCAATCCACTAGAAGCTCCCTATCTCAATGATCCTGATCTGCCTCCTCAGTGAACTTCTTGTACTCCTCCGCAGTCTTCAGCTTCTCCAGCTCCTTGGGATCCGAAAGCTTGATCTTCGCAAGCCACCCTTCTCCTTCGGGAGACTTGTTGATCGTCGCAGGCTTATCTTCCAGCGCACTGTTCGCTTCGACAATTGTTCCGCTCACAGGAGTCATGATGTCGGAAGCCGATTTTACGGATTCGACAGCGCCGATGGTGTCACCTTCGGACACTTCGAGGTCGGCGGTGGGAAGCTCGACGAAGACGACATCGCCGAGGGCGTTGGCGGCGTAGTGGGAAATACCAATTGTGCCTGAAACGCGATTAGCATGTGAATGTGGGGTGTGGTTGGATTGGAGACAAGTGTGATGGGTTGTTTACCTGTTGTGCCGTCCTCGGAGAGTTCCACCCACTCGTGGTCCTCAGTGTAGCGTTTCTCCCATACTGTAGAGCATCAGTATGCTATCGTCCGCGTTCCGGCGTGTTTATCGCACCTTTCGCGCCTGCGGTGAAGCTCCGCACAGCGGGCTTCGCGATCTGTTGTGTTCGGAGTCGGAAATATTGTGGTTTGCTGCTTCGCACCACGCTCGAAGCTCCCAATGAGCGCGCAAAAGCTCGTCCTGCTACTGCTGAGGCCATGACTGGTTTTTTGTGAGTTGTTTAGAGGGAGAAACAAGAGAAGACGCTTGAAGGCGGCATTGGACGAGGGTCTTTGAGGTTGGTCGGGTAGTGCGGCGATCAGCTGTCACCGCGGACTTCTCCCGCCTTGGTGCCGAATGGACTTCAGTTCCACATACAGATGTGATATCCCCGACTTTGCACACATTTGCCAATAGCCATGTTGTACGAACTGATAGGCGTGGTACGTATGGTGAGGCATGATGGAAGGCGGCGATACTGATGAAAAGCGCAGGTACGCCCTGGGCGCAGCGTCAATGAAATCAAAGAGTTTGTCTCTCTACAGGTCGGCGAGTTTCGCGATCGCGAACCATCTGACAGCAACGTAGAATCACACGAACAACAGGAAACATCATTCTCGGAGCAGGCGGCGTAGTCCGAGGGATCACAAACTGGGGCACATTCACACTACCCAACCCGGCGCGAAAACAAGGCGCGACATATCGAGAGGGCCACTATTTCATTTTACGATTCGATTCGAGCGCAAAGACACAACATGCTGTGCGAAGAACATTGGGCCTTGATCCGCGAATGATCAGATACAGCGTGGTGAAGATGGGGAGTAAGCTGGAGGACATCAAAGATGTGGCAGGGAAGGCCGACTGGGGAAAGACGCGATCGAGCGAAGCGATTTGAGATGCATTGGCATATGAGAGGTATTGGAAACATATGCCAGGAAAAGTTGTGTACAGATACAGAAATGCATTTGCGGGCGTCTGGTGATGGAATCTGGACAGAACGCGGTGCATTATCAGCAGGAGGCGAGCATAGAGCTGTGGTCTATATATCACGGACAGGAGGGTTTGTACAACAACAGGCTTGAACACCCACCGAGGTGTGCCTATGTGGGAATGAAGGCGACGCGCGATCACGGAGCCATAAGATGCACGTGAGGAGCTGATTTGATATGGCAGTGGCAGCAACCTTGTTTCGACAGCATGTCGAGATCTTTGCAGGCCATGTACACTATGGAGAGAGACTAAGCGGCCTGTAGTTCGAAGGTAGTCCGCAGACAACTTTCTCAGATCTCGCAGTGCGTATTGCAACTTCCTCCTTTTGGTAGCGCCGAATCGGCTGCTCCCGGGCCCCTGCCCTTCAGATGAAAATCCTCCAACACTCGGTATATTTCGCCACATCTTCCACAAATGGACCGCGACGTCCGCTATGAAGTCTTCAGACGATCACCACAAGACATTGAGCTAGTGCACAGGCAGCAGGCGAACCGAGGCTGTGCGATCCTCACGCTGCTTGCTCGTCCCGGAAACATACAGCGTCCTGAATCGCCCTTCGACAGCCTGGCCACATCAGCTCATCATTGACTCCCACATCCTTGGAGCTGGGAGAGGCCATGCTATTGCACGTGGCCTTCCTCGCCATGCCGGCTACGATCAACTGCGAGTGCGGAGACAGCTGGCTCCTGCGACGAGACCTACGGCATCATCCCGCCTGCCCCGCCGTTTATGGCTTTGGTTTCTGCAGCTGCTGGTTGTCCGCTCGATCAGGAGCCGATTGGCCAACGATCATGGGGCGCGCGCGTGCTCAGATGAGCTCAAATTCGACGTCACGCGGCACGCCGTCCTTTTAGCTCGCAGCTTCTGGGCATAAGAATGTGCCGACCGGGGTCTGGTGTTCCCCTTTACCTCTAGGACGACCTGCCGTAGCGGGTGCTTTTGAGGAGCAGCGGTGCCCTTTATGCGCTCTGCCTTCTTCTGGAGGCCTTGGATAAAAGCTCTCTCCCGGATTTACTTGCGCTCTACCGCGGCTCTCAACTACCGGAACTTCTTCGTGCTTGACCGGCGACTCTTTAGCTGCTTTTTCCACATGGAGCATGACACCGCGGGACATGAACACCACGCAGCCACAGGACGACCGCTACGCGACAGGACCCAGGTTGCAAAAGGAGACTGTACACGACTGCTGTCCTTGCCGATTGATTAGCTTGCAAGATGGTGTTAACTGGAACATCGAGGCTAGACGGCGACCAGTCAGACTTTTGGCACAGTAAGCGGTCAGAGCAACGTCGAGCTGGCTCTCCTACGCCCTTGTTCAGCAACTAGCTGCGGATAATTTTAACGTCGGCAAGAGAATTGACTCGCACCAGCTCTGTTGCTCTGTCGATACTATACTTGCTCACTGAGCGGCCCGTATGCCATCCGGTTCTGGGCATCGAAGCGATATGCTCTCGCCCAAGTCATCCAAGCAAGCCAAGGCACAAATGTCCTTTCTACTCAATCGAACCTCAACATCACAAATACGTGGCCGCATCATCGAATGGGCGACATTGATCACGATGACTTGCTTGGCACAATCAGATAGCGAATCGACACTGGCTTCAACATGAGGTAATTCCAACAAATGGAGCCGCCTATACTGAGTGCGCGATGGGTCTAGATTCAGCGCTAGATATCGCGGACCCACTCCAGCTGGAAGGACCTAAAGGCACATCAGCTCTGGCAATCTCGTGTTAGATCTCTGATTTTTGGCACGACACCTTCAGCGCCACAGAGTTGCATGTAAGCGCTACCCTTCGTCGCCACGCAGTCGTCACGACTCCAGGTATCGCCGCAATTATAAAAGCATGTGGAGAACGAGTGACCGAACTCGATAGCAGAGCTTCAATGACGCTCTACGAATATCATGCATTCAGCCTCTGTACGGTTCTCAGGGACCGCGACACCACCACGAGAGCGACAGAGACAGCTATGGCGAAAACAGCGAACAGACAATTACGAGACAGAGCATGGCAAACACTGCTCAAATGCCACCTCTAAACTTCAGGCATCTACGTTACGATCACACACAATTCTCGCGATCATATCGCAAGGCGGACACCGAAATCCTGCAACACCAGAGTTCGTAGCTGATCCTCCAAGGGGACTTTCCTGCCTCTGTTCAGCTCGTTGGGGCATCCCTCGACGGCGACGTGAGTGTCCGATGGTAATGTCCCGGCAGAAGAGGCCGCTTGGGAACTGAAATTATTGCTACTGGCGACTGTAGACGAACGATTTGGCATACGATTGGACCTTCCCTGTACAGTACGTGTGCATAAAGATTGGAACCCTTGCTAGCGTGTCAACCCCTGTTGGTTTCACCCCTTTTGGCAGTTGTCTCTCTCTCTTCCTCTCACCTTCTAACTTCTTACTACAATTATGCCAGGAAGGAAGCCTTTTACACCCTTTGAGAAGGGTGTAATCTATGGAGTCTACCGCTATGGACACTGGTTAATGCAGCAGGTTGCAGATACTCTTAGCAAGACGGAACGATTCAAGGGCCTATCAAAGAGTACTGTCTTAAGGATTGTCAACTATATTGATAGCCCGCCAATAACAACGATTCCACTACGCAGAGGCAGACCACCACTTGTAACTACACGCAAGCGAAGGCGGCTTATAGATAAGCTAACAGAGAACTCAAGAACAAGACGGCTACGGTTTGATCAACTAGCCTACCTGTCAGGCTTTGACTTCCACTCTTCGACGATTAGGCGGGCTCTTGCAAAGGAAGGATATCGACGATATTCAGCAACACGGAAGCCTCCGCTTACAGAGGCACATAGACAAGATAGGCTACGCTGGGCTTATGAACATGTGGATTGGACAAGTGAACAGTGGTCAAGGGTTCTGTGGACAGATGAGGCGTCATTTCGCTGTGGATACTACGGACAAGTCTACGTTACGAGACTAGCTAAGGAGCGATATTACGAAGACTGTATCATTCCAAGACTACGCAAGTACTCAGCCTGTATGATCTGGGGCTGTATCAACTCCGAGGGCAACTGTTACTTCAGAGCCTTTGACAAAGGCAGTATTAATGCGGAGGTTTACTGCAGAGACATTGTTCCTTTGATTACTTAAATATCAGAAGAACATGGTGGAGACGCTATTCTTATGCAGGACAACTCATCAGTTCACACAGCTAACCTTACTCAGAATACCTTAATAAACCAAGGTATTCTGATTATGGAGTGGCCTGCAAGATCTCCTGACTTGAACCCAATCGAGAATCTATGGAGCCTGTTGAAATGGAGGGTTGGGTTACACAATCCAACAACAAGAGAGGAGATTATGAGAGCTCTTGATATAGAGGCTTCTTTGTTGACACCATTGGACATAGGCAGCATATGCAACACAATGAGAGAACGCTGTCTAGCAGTAATTGAGGCCAATGGTGGATACACAAAGTGGTAGGAGGCAGGCAGACAGGCAGACAGGGTAGTTACTCCATATAGTTTAGCGACCTAGCAAGGGTTCCAATCTTTATGCACACGTACAGCCAAATAGCCCGACAGCGAATTCGCTTATGCAGATGCCACACTAGAGGGTACCTCGCTCCATCGCGCGCAAGGCGGCGTGGACCACACAAAAGAACCAACATGGCCAACGTGCATTCGTTGACATCGGGCAGACATCGTGCTGGCGCTAGAGGATTGCTTCCACATCAGTGATGTGAAATCGCTGGCTGATGGGCAATTGCAAACGAGGATCCAACTCTACCAGAGACAAGAATGACCAAGACTCTTCCACAAAGCTTGAGGGGTACCCAGAGAATTCCTGCGACTCCCACACCATAGGGGACGCTAGACGCCGAACGCATGATCCGACGCGAAGGAGGCGACGTTGCATCGCCGGAGCGAACGCGGTGTTGAAGCTAGTAAGTTTCAGGCCGCATAAATGTCGCGAACGCGAATGCGCGATGAGGGGAAGCGCTAATACTGCAGCTGCAATCTGAGACTGCGAATCACTTTAACACGCTACCGAACGACGGGAATCGAAGGCATTACTTCGACAGTAGGATGTTGTTGAGGAAGCGGAGATACAGTCGTCCAAGGAAAACGAATGGTGGACCACAATGGCGCAATGCTGGAAGGATGCATCCTGCCCCAGGCAAGACAAGGAGTGAGCGAATCGGAACATTGTATGACGCTTCTCTGCTTCGTCTGTTCCTCTTCAAATCCTCCGCTTGCCACAGACGTGATTTTGAATCCTCCGCATCCTACAGGAGTGCTTGTTCACCCTCCGATGTCAAGCCAAGAACTAGAGATGTTTTATGCTCAAGTGAACAAGCGTGTTGACCCCAGGCGATCATCACACGTACGGAACTGTTGTCGAGCATCCACCCGTGTCCGTTGTGCTGGCATTATGCAGAAACACAAGTTGGCCGCTCTTCGCTCTGCGGGATGGTAATCGCAGACTAGCGCCTGCGATCCCAGATCTGAGTCTGACAGCCTGTTCCAAAACGTGTATCGACGCGCATCCTTGCATACTGGCCTGCACACGATACGATTGATTACAGGTTCCAGTGCACAGCTCTTGATCACCGACCAGAATTGTGCATGTACGTATACGACCACGACCGAGTTGTTGTCGCGTTCTCGTGTCGGAAGGTTATCCTTTCGGCTGAACTTTAACTTTACCTGCATTAGACTCAATGCACGCTCGGCTATCGTAGGTCACTTGCAGCGGCCAACGGCTGAGGCGGCGTACGCACTGTACGTATTCATGTGGTCGCAAGCGAAACATGTGGCGTTTTGCTATACGGACTGAAGCTGTTGCCAAATGTCAATAGCTCGTGAACGTCGGAACGAAGTGCTATTCCCTGGCCTCACAGGAATATAGACAGGGTATGCCTGTACATCTCTTAGTCTGGTAAAGCGTCACTCTAGCATTGATCGACGTCGCACGTCCTTCTTGGTGCTGACATAATGCTCGACTTCATGCTATACCACATCTGTGGTACCTACGCCTCTTGGCGACTCCAAGCTTTACGAAGTCCAGAAATTGCTACCCTAGCAGAATAAGCATGATCAACCATACACACGCATGGCATGGCACTGGGCAGTCCAAGTTCGGAATGCGTGGTCGCCAAAACATGCCTCCAGGTCTCGGAAACGGAATGCGGCTCTTCTCAACAACGAGGATGGAGATGAAGAGATACAGAGGCGAGAGCCGAAGCCCTGCAAGGTTGTATCATATAACACCCGAACCCTGTAGAACTAGATCTCAAAGGCCCGAGTCCCGACCTCACACATCGTCCTCAGCCCCAGACTCTCTCAACATCTTCGGCTACTCCGACAAGTCATTGATGGTTTACTAATCTTTGCTTACTTGGCCTGCTGCTTCGATGGCTGAGACATTATTGGCAATGTGAGGTCTTCTGCCAATGCTCCGACTCCCAGTACTGCACCCAGCAGTGGGAAGCATGAACGGGCGATATGCATCCAGCTCCATCGGACCACCAATGCCCGAACATCTCCCGAGACCAGAACTTCCTTCGTTCCATCGACACGCGTCTGGCGGTCTAAGCGGAATAAAGTATCATTGGTGGGAACCATGATGGCCAAGGTGAAGGGAATCATCGTAACGGTTGTCGCTGCTGCCAAAGCGTATCTTCTCCACTGGGCATCGGTTCCGGAACTGCGTCGTTGCACGACAACGAAGGTGTACAGCAGGAATGTACAAATTGCCAGGCCTGGCATGAGTAAATGGCCGTAGTGATAGAGGCGAACCCATTGTTTCAAGAGCACGGCTGTCTCCGTGTTGGTGTCCAGCATGACGGGGACTGAGACCAGTGAGAGACTAAACATTGCACCTGACGGATGGGTTGCTAGGTCAGTGACTGGACGCGGCCGCGCGAGAGATAACCTCAGGAAGACAGACCTGCTAGGAACGCGCCAAGCACAATCGCGAACGCACTTGGAATTGAGGACCGCTTTTTTGATGCCATATTGCCGGTAAGACGTGGTTGTTCGGATCAGGCAGGTGGAAACAAGAAGGGCTTAGTAATGGTACCGAAGTCTACGCTGCTGCTCGAACGTATTTTGGGTCTACTGCTGGGGACGTCTGATCCTGATTTAACTTCTCATTGCTCCGAGAAGGCTTTGGTTGGTTGAGAGCTGCTTCATTGATATTATTCCGAAGACTCCGCAGTCGACCGATGTCAAGATTATACGCGGCGTAGCGTTCGCCTATGTTGGCCTGAAAGGAATGTTGCAGTTCGGCGTTCAAGCAGCCTCGTTCCTTCGTGTGGCCATCGCCGAAGACAGGGCTGCTGGGAAACAGCCCTCATTCGATATTGCGTAAGAGGCGCTGCGGTGGAGAAAGTGCATGGAGAAAGTGCCGCATAGGTGATCCAGTAATGGCCCGACAACAGCCATGCTGACGAAATGGTCCGATTGTTCCAGGCTTTCATAATGTTTCATTGCAGCTGAGTAGATTAAATCTGCAGGGTCCAGCTGCTTTAGACTTTCGATCTCATGCGGCATGTGTTTGCGCACGCGAATGCGCGCGAACTCTGTGCATCCATGTGTACGCCATGCATGCACCAAGCTCTTAGCACCAGTGCACTCTTCAGGGTCCCTCTCCAGTTGCGTGGAGAACGCTCGGATGCGAGCGTCGTTGCGGCGCAGTCAAGAGATCTCAAGAGATCTCCAAGACTCCCAAGAGAGGCGTTTACCTATGCGGACAGAACGCGACTTGGTGTTCCTAGGCGTGTACCAGTCATCGGAACGCACGCCGTACACTGGTCGGGAGATTGACATACCAGTGCAACGCGAGCTTGTTAGCATGAACCGGAAAATACGGGTTATCGGTCGTAGCAGGCTTAGGCGTGCCGCCATGGTGGCACCACTTGGCTTTGGGCCTGTCTGCCACGTGCAACATCCCAGCGTCCATGGCGAAGATTCCAGGGAATAGCACATGTAGACGAGCATGGCAGACTAAGAGCCGCAGGTCCGCGTGGGAACGACTCCCGGAGCCAGTTGCGCATTTTCTGCTCGGAACATAGTGATTGAGTACCTTGCTGATTCTCCCCATTGGGCAAGGTAGCGGTGCGGTGCATAGGGTGGACGAGCCCTAGGACCTTATCTCGAAGATCTGCAGTGCTGTGAGCAGAAACGTGGGCGCTGCCTGCAGACACGCTGTGACACCCGACACGCCAAGCATGATGAGCTTGACCGAAAGCAGCTTGATGTCAAAGCTGACACGAAACTACGGGTCATTCGCAAGAAACTCAGTTGAGTGGGCTAGTCTGCTTATGGGGTACGACACGCAGATTGGGAGCGGCGTGGGCTTTAGTCCAAAGCTATGGTGGAGCGAGAGACCAAAATCCTACGCGTTCGATTGCGAATCCCAGGCCTTGATTAATCAATGTTCCAACGTGCACTGCATCCGGTGCAGGCAGGTGTCAAGTATCGGCAGGTAAGCTTTGCGGGGGGCTGTAACCTCGTCTAGTTAGGCAAGCGTAGATAAGCTTTACGGGGCCATCAACTATATTTGCGCCTTCGCACCGAGGATCCAGCACAGGTCGAGTCGATTCTCTGCAAACGCACGATCGATCACCGATTTCCATCATGACCGCCGACTTTGAAAGCCGTAGCGACCTCGTTGCTGTGTTTGACCCTAAACAAGACCCACAAGTTGCTGGAGTGCAAGCCGGCCAGATCACACGTCGACACGATCCAAGCATCGGGGAGACCTCGTCGTTGCGAAACAGCTGCGATGCTTGTGCACAGGCCAAGCTGAAATGCAAAAAAGAGAAGCCCACATGCTCGCGGTGTGCGAAACGGGGGATCCCTTGCCAGTATCTGTACAGCAAGCGTGCAGGCCGGAAACCTTCGAAGCCCAACAATAATACAGGCAGTGAACAGCACGAAGCTTCCCAGACTTCCCAGAATAACACTCCACTCCATGCGGATGCCAGTTACGATTACTTTGGCACTGGCTTGCAGCAGTTCGTATCGGCAACAGGTGGGACAACTCCATCTGTCCTCTCAGACCTGAATCTCTCCGAGCTTCTCGACTTCAGCACTGTTCCTGGCTTGGAGCTTGGGAAAGCTGAGTTGTCCTCTGAGCTTGACGGATCATGGGCGGCAAATCCTGGCAGTAGTAGCAGCAGTGGAAGCAGTCTTGAGGACCCAGGCGGAGACATTCCAATGGGCGATTTCTCAATGGATGGCGATTTCTTTGCGAGCAATTCATTACCGGACCCTTACAACCTGTCGACCATATTCTCTGGTTCAGGAGATCGCGACTTGCACGATGTCATGAGTCCTGAGGCAAATTGTCCCTGCTTACAGCGCGCTCTGCAGGACATGCAAAGGGTATCAGGCCTCACGTCAAGTGTGGGCGGGGTGTGGTCCGGCACCACCGTCGATGGCCGTGCTATGCTCCGAACGTCACTGGATGTCGTGAAGGAGAACAAAGACATCTTGCGAGGGATTCTCCACACTCTAGCTTGTCCAGGACCCCACAACGGCCACCTGCTCGCACTTCTGACATTCGTCCTATCCAGCGTCGTCAATTTGTACGCCATCATCACTTCATCAAGGCCACCGCCTGCATCAGGTCAACAACCACCCGTGCCGAACATGGACCGCTCAAGTAGCGTGAGCTCTTTGGCTAGTCTGGGAGACTACAATGCTGACCAGGAAGATCCCGTACATGCGGCCGCATACATCGTCTTTGGGGAGCTGCAGCAGCTTCGCAAGTCTTGTGAGCAGCTCGCGCATCGACTCAAAGATCACGCAATATTGCAAGATGGCTCGGCCGCAAGCCGATTCGGCGGGAAAATCCAGCCGTCGTTATCGGCTAACATCTGTCGTACGTTAGAGACAGATCTTAACAGACTTTTCAAAGAGCTGGCTCTTGCAGTTATCCAGAAATTGACATGATTGTTCTCGAACGATGGCAGATGCGAATATAGCTTATGTTACCAGGGAGCGAGAGGGTCTCGTTGGTCGAAATGGGCTCGGGATGGATGCAGACTACGCATCGCGGTCGGCAGGTGTTCGTGGTGTAGCGTGTGGGTGGAGCTTGCTGTTGGCAGGCTTCCGTTATACATTGAGCCATCGCATTGACGATACAGCGCAATGCGGCGACTTCGAATTGATTGCAATGAGTGCCAACTTGTATTTCCCAGATTGAGGAGTGCTATGCTCCACGTATCCTTTGCTTGGTACCAGTCGATGTACACAGTAGGACCGGTTGGTATGGAATGCTCAGCCATAATTTTTGATCATCTGCTCCCAGGCCGTCCAATCCATGAAGTCAAGGTCCAAGTCCCCGGCGACGACGTCCTCCAGTGTACCTTGTTGCGCCACGCTGGCGCCAAGAGCAAGGTTCGATGCTGAAGGATCGGTTACCTCGTGAGAGGCGTTGCTGGCACGAGGCTTATTCTGTGACGACCCGAAACTCTCTCTGATGGTCGTAACAAAACCTGGCTCGACGAGCCAGCCGCCTGGCGGACTAGCTTCCCACGCTTTCAAGGCCAATCTTCCGACTGCAACATGCAAAACTTGTCTCCAATCACACAGATTGCGACTTTCATACAGCTGCTGGATTCGGAGCCATGCATCTTCGCGATCTTCCTCAGCGAGCATGTTTGCCTCGCACAAGCTATTCAGGACGAAGATGAGAGACTCCCACGACCCCCAGATTGCGAACGTTCGTACGTTCCATAGATACTTTCTCACGCCTGCATTGCTATGCATGGCAATATTCGCATCCATGATCTTCTGTGTCAGCCCGTAAATCTCTTTCTTCTCTGCATTGGACGCCGTGGTGAAGCTGAATTTTGACAGGCGTAGTCGAAGGCGCATCGCGTGAATCGCAGCTCGAGCAAAACAAATGGTTTGGAAATGGAGGCAATCGACAACATCGCAAAAGCGTATGTATCTGTCCTCCACTTCTGATTCTGCCTGTTGGATAAGACCCTCGACGATCTCATGACCGGCGCCATTTGCTGTTGCTCTCGAAACTTTCAAGAAGCATAATCCGAGGTGGGCGCGGGCCAGACAAAACATCATCTCTGTAGCTCCTCTTTGTTCGACGAGTGGACCGGGCATTCCGGGCTGTAGATTAGCATCAGAGATGTTTAGGGGCGGTTTGCAGTCCCAGCTCTCGGGTATGGGAGTGATGCCAGCACCTGATGCGGCACTTGCAGCACCATCAAGCGGCAATAACTGGTAGTAGAGCCGTCGCCTCATTTCGACCTCGAACGGAGGCATACCAAGCCTCTCACCATCGCGATGTACACCAAGCCGTTGTCCAATCCGCATAGCAGCTCCCGTTAAGATCCAGTATGAGTTGGGGTCATGCTTGTGCCTAGAAGCAAGCAAGAACAATACCACGGCCTGAAGGACTGTGAGGTCGGTAGTTGCTAGCCACCCGACGTTTACAAGTGCTTGCTCAGTGGCGAAGCTGAACCGCTCCAAGAGCACGTCGCGTTCCGTGTGCGGAAACTGGCGTCGACATTCGTCGTCTGTCAAAGAGTGAACCGCAAAATGGTAGATCGCAAAAAGCAGACATTCTTCAGCTGGCGAGAGCAATTGCGAATTCTGAGAGCGAGTAAGAATCAGCTGAGCTGCAGTGGGTATATGAAGCAGTCTACAGATCGGCTCCACGCGGTCCAGATGGGTCTTCCAGAGGTACATCGCTTCTTCGTGAGCAGGATGAAAGCGAAAGAGGGGTTGATGCGAAGGAGTGAATGCTGTGGCGCTCAGCGGATCAGCGAGAATTGCTTCAGCATCTGATGTCTCCCTATGCCCCGCAAAAGCTTCTTCAACGCCGCGTGCAATTGCATGACCGCCCAGGCCTACCCAGATCCGATCATCGATGTACCTAGTGCCGCCCTGGCCGCCAATGAGGATTCCAGCATCGGGCTGTCCTTGGTCGGGGGAGCGGCTCTCCTTTGCTTGTGATGTTCGCCCAGATTCGCTCGCAGTGGGCGGGGAGTCCTCGAGCAGACCATGCTCCGAGAGGATGCGTTCATACCGTTCTACCTTGCGCTCCGCGCTTTCCGCACGCCGTTTCCGCCGAGGCCGAGGCGGAATTCGCTGGTAGACACAATCGGCACCGCGTTTCACGCAGGTAGAGCACTTGGGAGAGCCTCGATCACAGCGCACCCTGCGAGACGCACAGCTCATACACGCGTGAGGCATCACCAGGCGCGATGAGTTTCGCTCCGTTTCTGATGCCATGGCTGTTGTGGGCAAGTCTTGCATGGGCGGAGGTGGCCGCCGGTATTGTGCTTGTCTGTTGGAGGGCGGAGCACCCGAGAGCTGTGAACTGCGGTGACATTGTCACGTTGACGACACGCGAGTGGGCAAACAGTAGTGTCAGATCACAACAGGACGAGGCTCGGGTTTCCCGAACGCTCTTCGGGCAGTTTTGATGAAAGTGGAGACGCGGCAGGTCCCGCAATGCTTACAAGCTTACGTAATATCAAATCAACATCGTGAACCTTCTCACGCCTCGACGGCCAGCGTCCTGTTCAGATTCATCATCCTCTCGCGCTCCTCCGCCTCCACCCCCAGCACATGCAGCGCCTCTGCTTCGGGGAGCACGCTCGCCGAACGGAGACCAATCTTGCCTCGCTCGATGACAGCTGCGAGGCCGTTGATGGTATCGCCCGCCAATGCCTCAATATTGGACGCGTGCAGCGTCAGGGCTTGCTGCTTCCCGGCAATGCCCTTGAGGATCTCAACCTCGTCGTCCGTCAGCTTCTCTAGACCATTGACATCGTGGCCAGCATCCTGAACTTTGTCGAGGACCGCTTTCTGCTGTGCGGCGGAGATCTCATTCACGCCGAGAGCGAACTCCACGCCTGCCGCCGCCTTCCGCTGGATTGCAGCGTCGCTCGATTCAGCATCGGCAGTGCCTTGGATCACTGGTAATCGTCAGTATCACGTTCAGATTGCACGATTTAATCACCTACCGGGTTGTATGAAATTGAAAGCCCGCTCGAAGCCTTCTTCCTCCTCTTTCGCCAGCAGAGCACGCGATTGCTGCCGCACTTGCTTAAGAACTGTCATGACAACGAGCAGAAAGCGAGTGTAGCCTTCGGTCACTTTGCCAGAGTGCCATTTGGCTGCAGCAAGCTCGCTACACTGGCCCTTCCTGGCTGCTTGCACAGTCAGTGCAGCGGAAAGGCCGCTGACGAATGCCAAATGGACTCCAGATGAGAAGTATGGGTCAATAAAGCAACCAGCATCGCCTGCCAGACGGAAGTGAGGTCCAGCGTACGCGGAGGCACTGTAGGACCAGTCCGCTGCTTGTTTGATGCCGCTAACTATTTGCGCGTCCTTGACCAACTCCGAGATCTCTGGGCAGAGCTCCTTGAGACTGCGCCGGTAGAACTCCTCACTGGGCAAACCTGCAGCCTTTTTCTTGGCGTTGAAGATATCCTGACGAGCAACGATGCCAATGGATAATGTCCCATCGTGGAGAGGAATCGCCCAACACCAGCCACTCCCGTCTGCAAGCAATCAGTACTGCGCGCCACTCGCATGAGGACAAGACTTACCCTTCAAAGCCTCGAAGAAGGGCGAATTTTCGTTCCTCTCACCCTTGGCATAAGGCGCTGCACCCTTCCAGTATGCCCAATTCGCGATGTTCTTCAAGGCTTCGTTCATTTTGCGATTCTTGAGATACTTGGTCGATATGATGCCCGCCCGGCCGCTGGCATCGATGAGGTAGTCAAATTCAATACTGCCACCAGATCCGTCCTTTCTTGACCAGCTTGCGGATACAGGACGGCCAGGATTAGCGACTCGCGCATCTGAAGTGAAGCCATCTTGCTCATACGGCACGAAAGTTATATCGTTAACTTTGGTGCCGTCAAATATTTGTGCGCCACTCTTTCCGGCGTGTCGGAAAATCATCTCGTCCGCTTCGGAACGAACGACGTTCCAAGTATGACCTTCTGGCCCGAGCGAAACAGAAAAGTCGGTATCTAGTATGGAAATCAGGACCGAGTTACACATGCCAACGAACGGAACTCACACGCGGCACGCTTGTCCGTGATCTTGAATGTTGCCCCAAACTAATCTGATGAGCCTCTTGCAATGCGCAATTGGAGAACACGGCCCAAAGTCCTACCTTCTTCGTAAAGCCATGCTTGTCGAAATCTTCCTCTAGGCCAATGAAACGAAGGAAGTAGCGCATGGACGCGATCATACTCTCGCCGATGTGATATCTGGTATCCATGAGCATCTGTGCCGCGAAAGTCTTTAATGCGCTTCAAAACCGTACCTTGGAAAGACGTCTGCCTCCAGCAACACGACATCCACCGACTCACGAGCCAGCACGGAAGCTGCATATGAGCCGGCTGGACCGCCTCCAATGACAAGCACGGAACATCGCGTAGGAACGGACATCTTTGCGATCAAGATTACAAGGGAGACAATGATGCTGAAATTTAGTGATGGGTCAGCGCATCATGGTATTAGGCATTTCTACTTCTTGTAGAATGTTGCTCGCCAGGATGCTCTTCAAAAGCCAGCTTTGCACCGAACCTCTGCATCAATCGCAGACACGTTGATTATGCCGCAGTGCTGTGCATCACCGCAACCGGATCATTCCTGGTCGAGCCGGGCCATTTCGTATCTTCCGGCTCGAACAGTTGCTATCCTGTCGTTATGATCGCCTATCCAGCCGCTAGCCGACGACCGGGCCTTTGGAGTCTTGGCACGAACTTCGATTGCAGCCTGAGACTTCCCTACTCATGCCAGCGACTAACGATGCCACTGCATGCGACTCTAGAATCTCATCTTGGTCAGTGAGGGTCATACCATCAGTCGACTGTACTATTCAATCATTTGCAGTAAATTGGTCTCCGACGTCGCTGGGAGAGAAACTCGTTCCCATGGGGTCAATAGGTCTCGAAGAGAAGACGAGGGATTACCTCACTCATGGCGACCCAGATGAGTTCAACCCGGAGCTTTGGAGTTCTGGGAGATTGCCTGATCGCCAGCCAGAGACCCATCTCAATGTACTCATCGTCGGCGCAGGGCCAAGTGGACTGATGACTGCGCTTGAATGTTGGAGGAAAGGGCACAATGTGGTTGGCATTTTAGAAAGAAGCAAAGGCCCTGTATACACAGGTTCGTTTCTCTGATATTCTCGCACTTGCTTCCTGTGCGAAGCTAACTCATCGTGATAGGAGATCTTGTCATCATAGCGCCGTCGGCGATAACTGTCTTCAAGCATTGGCCCGATATGCTCGAGGATCTTGAGGCGGATAAGCGTGAAAGCTCGCAGTACTACTACAAGCACACTGGAGAGCATATCCTGGGACCAACACGATTCACGTTCAACGAACCTGACGTAGAAGCCGAGATCAGGCGTGCCGGGAACCCAGTCCCTGGACCCAACCAGATTCGAAAGCAATTCTTTCGGACTTTGCTAAAGCAGGTAGCCCGGATTGGTCTGAGGGTCGAATATGACACAACGGTTGCCGAGTACTTTGAGGTAGAGGCGGCCGGTGTGGCCGGTGTTGTTCTCTCCGGCAGCAGAGCCGTACGCGTCGCAGACCTGGTAGTCGCGGCTGATGCAACGCGTACTCGCTCAGATCTCCTCATCCATGGACGCCACCAACCAGCAAAATCCAGTGGCATGTCAGTCTATCGCTGTTCAATGCCCCCAGAAATACCTCTTCAGGACCCTGCGTTCAGAGAGAGATGGGGCGAAGCAATTGAGAGAGGAGAATCGTCACATGAATTCTGGCTTGGTCGCGGCATGCATCTCAATATGGCCATATCACCAAAGATCGTGGCCTTTGGACTTACTCCGCGAGACAGCACGCAGATGGAGGGCGGCGTTGCGCCTATTGAATCCTGGCAACCTGATGTGGACCCGGAGCAAGTTTTAGAAGTACTTCGTCGCACACCAGGCTGGCCAGCTGCCGTCGAAAGTCTCATCAAGTCCGCGCCCAAAGGTAGCGTAGTCCATTGGCCTCTGATGTGGCGCAATCTCCAAGAGAGCTGGACATCGCAAGGCGGCCTAGTTGTCCAAGTGGGCGATGCTGCTCACAGCACTATACCGGCGTCGGCAAGCGGTGCGACTTTGGCATTGGAAGATGCTGTCACCCTTGCTTCATGCTTACAACTTTCGTGTATCAACGGAGGCAAGCAAGGTGCCTCATTAGGCGCTCGAGTGTACAATATGCTACGCTATCAGCGCGTTGCTTGCTCGCAGAAGGCTGCATTTGTCAATTCGGAAATTCTAGCCCGAGCCAACATGGAGGAGATTTCCAAAAATCCGGAAAAGGCGAAGATTCACTACCCGAAGTGGCTATTCATGCATGATCCGGAAAAGTATGCGTACGACAACTATGGCTCTGCTGTTGCCAACCTCTTGTCTGGCGCGCCGTTCCAGAACACCAATATTCCTCCGGGACACAAGTTCAGTGTCTGGACGATGGAGGGCGTACTTGAAGAATATCGAAGCGGCAAGAAGGCAGCTGATTTCCTTGATGGCGATTGGTCATGAAGTCAGTGAGAAAGCAGAAAAATACAGCCGCTTTTAACAGATAAATTGAATCAGTTTGCTCATATGTGGATATTCTACGCAGTCTTTGAGGAGTGTACCACACTAGGCTTCTTGATCTTGCATCTGATGCTATGAAAGGCGTACACAACCAGATCAGCGGCCTCTTAAACTTCTCTGAGCGACAGAGGTACTATGGGTGCTCCCTTTACAGCAGCATAAGACCAGAGAAGCGCTTGACGGAGAGGCAATGCGAGTAGCTTCATTGGTACGTACTCTGACGAGGACACACGCGTATTGAAAACAGCTCGATGCAAGTCTTGCTAGTCTTTCAGCCATGTCTTTCCACAAGAAAGAACGATCGTGCGGCTCGGATAATTGAGTCTGCCGTGATGTGGTTCGGGCAATTGCAAACAAGGATCGACATCATGGCCGACACGTGGGATGCACTGGGGAGACACGCGCCATCTTCACGTTCGCATGTGCAAAGCTCCATGGATGCAAAATGTGGGCACAAGCTGATAGAGCCGAATATGAAGAGCATATGTTCCGACAGAACAACCAATTCGGACTATGCTGAAAAGATGTGAGATTCCGGGAAGACTTGTCGATAGTGACCAATCACTTCCGTGCATCGGGCTCCTCCACGTGGAATGAGCTCAATCTAGCAGCTGTGGACTGTACTCGGAGCTCCACATACTGTTCTTCGCGACAATCGGAGTTGTCATGGAGCGTGGAACGAAATCCACCGGGGCGACTGTCTATCCGGTTCACTCGCATCTGGCTTGCTGACCGTGTTCAAGCACTAGCAACATCCCTTCGGTCTATTCGTTCCATTGTTAACATCGATCTGAAGCCTCTCATCAATGGTCGGTCTACCCTCGTCAGCTCCTTCTCAACGTGTTACGTGACTGCGTTGCTGAATGTGACATCCTCCATGCGATTCACACTCCGTACCTACACATAACCGCGAACGCCTTAGCTGCGGACGTCATTGCCTTCAACAGCATGAATCTGGTATACTTTAGCAACGAGTATCCCAGGGGAGAACTTCAAGATACGTTCCGTCGATTGCACAACCTCTCCAAGGACCCGGCGCAGATATGCCTGCACCACTTTCTTCGACAGGCGAGCGAAGCCGTGAAAGATGAGATCAAGCGTCTACCTACAGAAGAGAAAGATTGTGTACCTCCATTTGATGACCTCTTGCGATGGGGAGACGAACCGGAGTTCCGAGAAGGACCTCTCTGCGGCGCCATAGAGGGCACTTTGCTTGTTTTTCTGCAAATGGCAACGCTGATTGGGTACGTTGACTCAGATGCAAGTCAAGACTTGAACTAACCCCGAGCACAGATATCTGAGCGCAAATCCTGAGCGACTGAAAGACTTACAGACTGCCGCCCTAACGGCTCTAGGTACAGGCTTGTTGACCGCAGCAGGGTTGGCTACGTCCGCTACACTTGCCGACCTCCCTGGAGCTGGTGCTGATGCTGTCCGTCTCGCATTCCGACTCGGTATTCACGTGAAGCGGGTGTCCAACAATCTAGAATCATATGCTGAGGATCCAGATACATGGGCGTACGTCGTTCATAAAGTCGACCCAACACTGGCACAGGAGACTTTAGACGACTTCAACCACAGAATTCAGGCATCTGTTCCGAACTACCTCTTCCTCAGCGCTTTCTCGCCAACTTCCATCACAGTCAGTGGTCCTCCCGCTCGACTTCGATCTCTCTTCAATCGAAGTGAGCTTTTCCGAACCTCGCAATACATTCCTTTGCCGGTATACGGTGGTCTCTGCCACGCTCCGCACGTCTATGACTTGCGGGATATCGCCAGCGTAGTTCATGGTCCCACTGCATTGAATGTGCCAAGCTCACCAGTGAGCGCCATCTGGTCTCCAAGCACCGGCTCTCCATATGATGTGGCTACTGCGACTGACCTTTGGGAGAATGTCATTTGTGAGCTGCTCACGAAGGCTATCACATTCGATCGTGTGGTCGAGAGTGTCGTGGAAAAGGCGCAAGAAGACTCGCAGCAAGATCTAACAGGAGTGGCGTACTGCTTCGGCAACTCCATACCTCTCAACGACATGATCACAGCTCTGAGTGCCGGGTCCGGATCCAAATTGCCCACAGTAGACCTCATGTCATGGCTTGGCAAAACCAGTGTCACCAGTTCTGCGTCACATTCTCTCGGACCATCACAGTGCAAGCTTGCCATCGTAGGCATGTCCTGCCGTCTTCCTGGTGGAGCCACCGACAATGAAGGCTTCTGGAAGATCTTAGAAGAGGGTCTCGACGTTTCCAGGCGTATACCTGCCGATCGATTTGACATTGACAGCCACCACGACCCCACCGGCAAGCAGCTGAACAAGACCAAGACTGCATATGGCTGTTTTCTTGACGAACCAGGAGCATTTGACGCATCCTTCTTCCAGATGTCTCCTCGCGAAGCTGAGGTTGTGGATCCACAGATGCGTCTAATGCTCGTCACAGCCTACGAAGCTCTAGAAATGTCCGGCTACGCTGGCACTGGTCGGACCCCATCGACTGCTAGCGAACGCATTGGCACTTACTATGGCCAGTCGGCCGATGACTACCGTGAAGTCAATCAAGGCCAGAAGGTTGGTACTTACTACATCCCTGGTGGATGTCGGGCTTTCGGACCTGGCCGTATTAACTACTTTTTCAAATTCGCAGGACCCAGCTACAGCATCGACACAGCCTGCTCGTCTGGGCTCGCAGCAATTGAGGTCGCGTGTAAGGCCATCTGGAATGGCGACGTGGACACAGTACTTACTGGAGGCGTGAATGTTCTCACCAATCCGGACGGCTTTACTGGGCTTTCTCAAGGTCACTTCTTGACCACAGGTCATAATGCCTGCAAGACATGGGATGCTACTGCTGACGGTTACTGTCGTGCAGAAGGCATTGGTACGTCCCGCAGACCTTATGATCGTGCCCCAATATTCCCACGCTGACCTGGCTATAGTCTCACTCGTTATCAAACGCCTGGAAGACGCCGAAGCAGATAATGACAATGTCCTCGGCGTCATCTTGGGAGCAGGCACCAATCATTCCGCAGAGGCTGTGTCAATCACGCACCCTCATGCCGGCCACCAAGAATATCTTGCCCGCCAAGTCCTTCACCAGGCGGGAGTGGATCCTATTGATATCTCCTACGTGGAGCTTCACGGAACCGGTAAGTGCTGTGCTATTCTCCTCTGACTGTCAAGCTGACGCTGCATGTGCTCCAGGAACACAAGCCGGTGACCATGAAGAAGTCCAAGGTATACTGAACGTATATGCGCCCAATATCAAGAAACGTCGCAAGAAGGATCAACCTCTTCACATCGGGGCGGTCAAGTCAAACGTCGGTCATGGAGAGTCGGTGGCTGGTGCAACCGCTCTTGCGAAACTCCTCCTAATGCTCCAGAAGGAGAGCATACCGCGCCATATTGGCATCAAAACCGAAATCAACCCACGTCTGCCGACTGATTTCGATCAGCGCAATGTCCACATACCATTCTCGATGACGCCTTGGCCAAGGGTGGAAGGCAAGAAACGTCTTGCAGCAATTAACAACTTCGGTGCTGCAGGTGGCAACACAACCATGATCCTCGAAGAAGCTCCCTTCCGTAGTGCGACCACAGACCTTGACCCGCGTGGAGCCCACGTAGTGACCGTCTCAGCCAAGAGCAAGACTTCGCTGCGCGGGAATATTGAGCGTCTACTCGCATATATTGACAATCCCTCCAACGCGGAGATGAGACTTGCCGACCTTGCATACACGACAACAGCACGCCGATATCAGCATACCAACAGAGTGGCTGTCACAGGAGCCTCCATTCCCCAGGTTCGGAAGAAACTGGTATCACTGCTGGACGGTGACCACATTGAAAACATCAAGCCTGTCGCCAAACAGCAAAGCCCGTCGATAGTGTTTGCATTCACAGGCCAAGGAGCCTCTCTGAAGTCCTCAAACCTGGAACTTTACCGCGACTCGCAAGTCTTCCGCGATCAAATTGCCCAGCTTGATCGGATCGCTCAAAGTCAAGGATTCGAATCATTCATTCCAGCCATAGACGGCTCACATCCCGCAGACTATACTGGACATTCACCGGTTGTCACTCAACTAGCATTAGTCTGTACGGAGATTGCTCTTGCTCGATACTGGTCATCACTTGGTGTCAATCCCGATGCAGTTATTGGCCACAGTCTCGGCGAATACGCAGCAATGCACATTGGTGGCGTGCTATCAGCCAACGATACTATCTATCTCGTTGGTAAACGGGCACAGCTACTCCAAGAAAAGTGCCAAGTCGGCAGCCATGTTATGATGGCAGTCAGAGCGGATCGAGAACAGATCAAGCAGGCTGCGAATGGAGAGCCATACGAAGTAGCTTGTGTCAATGGTCCCTCCGACACCGTCCTGAGCGGGACACAAAGTGAGATGGACAAGCTTGCTGAAATTCTTGGTGCTGCTGGGTACAGATGCATCAAGCTTGACGTCGTAAGTTGTTCTCACTTCCAGGTCTTGACCCTCTTTTGCTGACTCCTTCTTCCCTACAGGCCTTTGCTTTCCATTCCGCGCAAACAGACCCTATTCTTAATGACTTTGAGGCTCTTGCTAAGTCGAGTGTCATCTTCCGCGAACCAACGATGCCCATCATATCTCCTCTCCTGGGTAAGCACGTTATCGCTCTTGCACTGTTGAGTATCTTGCTGACGGCTTCCTCTCAGGCCGAGTAGTGTTCGATGGCAAGACCCTCAATGCAGAATACCTCCGCCGCTCGACACGCGAGACCGTTGACTTCCTGTCGGCTTTGAGAAATGCCCAATCTATGTCTACAGTCGATGATGAAACAACATGGCTCGAAATTGGTCCCCATCCGGTTTGTGTCGGCTTCATCAAATCTACGTTCGCACCCGAGAAGCCACTTACAATTGCATCGATGCGCCGTGGAGAGGACAACTGGTCGACTGTCAGCGATGGCTTGGCTGCCATGCACCTGGCTGGCGTCACCATAGACTGGAACGAATTCCATCGACCGTTTGAACGTGATGGTCGACTACGCCTCCTCACCCTACCAACATACGCCTGGAATGAGAAGAACTACTGGCTACAATACAACGGAGATTGGTGTCTGACCAAAGGCAACGATTTCTACGCGACGATGAAGCCAGCTGCTTCGACCCAACAGAGCGGAAATGTCAGCTCTTTCCGCACTTCATTGGTACAGAACATCATTGATGAGGAATTCACTGATGTCACTGGATCCGTTGTCATGCGATCTGATCTCATGGAACCCGACTTTCTTGCTGCTGCTCACGGACATCGCATGAACAATTGTGGTGTTGTCACATCTGTAAGTGATCTCTCCTACCGGAAGTGAGCTGTATCATGAGTACTGACCTGCTGGCTCTAGTCAATTCACGCTGATATATCATATACACTCGCTACTTACATTTACAAGAAGCTGCATCCTGGAGCCAAAGATGCTCCATTGATGAACATTACCAACATGGCCGTGACCAAGGGCCTGGTAGCCCGATCGAACACCAGTCTCCCACAACTCATCCAGGTCACTGCTGAGACGCAAGGCGCTTGGCAAAACGGAGTCACGTTGACCTGGCAGAACGTGGAAGAAGACAACAACAACGAAGTTTCTGAGCCATTCGCTACGGCCACCGTGACTTTTGAGGATAACTCAGCCGCACTTCGCTCCTGGTCATCTCTCACACACCTGGTGCTTGACAGAATGGAGACCTTAGACCGTCTGGCCCTCGAAGGTCAAGCGAATCGTCTGTCTCGCAACATGGCCTACAACTTATTCGGTAGCAACCTCGTCAACTACGCCGACAAATACCGAGGAATGCAATCCGTAGTGATCAACGGCCTAGAAGGCTACGCCGACGTCCAACTAACAACACAATCAACAAGCGGAACTTGGACCGTACCACCATACTTCATCGACAGCGTCGCACATCTCGCAGGTTTCATCATGAACTGCTCCGACGCTATGGATACTCAAAAGAACTACTGCGTAACACCAGGCTGGAAATCAATGCGATTCGCCAAGCCCCTCGTCGCTGGAGGCCGCTACAGATCCTACGTCCGAATGATCCAAAGAGAAGGTGGCGGCTATTTCGGCGATGTCTACATTTTCCAAGGAGATGAAATCATGGGCATGGTCGGAGACATTGAATTCCACAGCTATCCTCGTATCCTCCTGGATCGATTCTTCTCTCCACCAGACAAGGCTTCCACGAGCCATAGGGCTCCGACACGAACCGTCATGCCACCAACACCATCCTTAACCAGCTCCTCAAGCTCCGAATCTCTACGCGAGTCACCGACCCCACCATCTACAAAGAGTCATCAAGCTCCTTCGAAACTCCCCACGAACATGCCGAATGCTACACCAGCGCCGCCAAAGCAAAAAGCTCAGCCTGCGGTGGCGGTCGCTGTGGTCGCCCCAGTATCGCAAGGAGGTGGTGTAACAAGCAAAGCAATCCAACTCATCATCGACGAAACGGGCCTCGACTCCACAGCTCTACGCGACGACGTGAGTTTCATGGACGTAGGAATCGATTCTCTAATGTCACTCGTCGTTTCCGAGAAATTAAAATCAGAATTGGATGTCCAGGTGAATGGGAGTTTGTTTTTGGATTATCCAACGATAGGAGATTTGAGGGCGTGGTTGGAGGAGCAGTATGATTGATTGATGTTTGATATTCGATATGGTGTTTGGCAATTTTGATAGTAGCATGTTGTAGATTGTGAATCGCAAGAGGGTCCCTTACTATACATACATCACGTTCTCTCATCGTCCCTTTACAAAGCACAGATATCATTGAGGCGTCACTGCTCATGACCGCAGCACGAGAGTATCAGCGTACTTGTGCAGCATGTTACCACACATTGGGAAGGAGAACAGGTCGATGAAGAAATGTCATTAACGCAACGGGAAATGGGTATATACCTCTTCTCTGCTCTTCTCATTCAGCTCTCCCTTTCGCACGCGATGCAGATAAAATCAAGCATTACCGCTTCTCTCCTTCGCACTCTCCTTCCTTCCTATGCTCTCTCCCTCTATACCGCAATGTTGCGCTCGCTCAAAAAGAAGAATGCTTCAAATGACAAAAACGCCCGCTAAATCGTCGCACAAAACAGAATCATCCCCTCTCTAAATCCCTCTGCTCCCTTCCCCTCATGCAACATCAATCATTAATATCTCAACTTCCCCACCAGCCCGAAAGTATAAGCAGCATCCCTCTCGCTCTTCATCTGAATCATATAGCAAGTCGTGCGGTTTGGCAAAACACCGCCCGAGTGACCCACGTGTTCGCTCACTTCGTAGACACTGACAGCAATGCCAGTTCGGGCGATTCTCTCAAAGGCGCTTTCACCCAAAGTGACATCAAGTAAAACTTCGTTTTGACTCTTACCAGTCACAAGTACCCGTTTCTCCAGACCAGTAGTCCTTGGATTGGCAGGAATACTTGGGTCAGCTCGCGGAGGGACCATGACCGTCAATCTTGCGGAGCCAAGGTCTCTCCACTTCGATGCCGACTCGCGAACATAAAGTCGGACTTTGGTGCCGGTGATGCCAAGTGGTGTTCCCATGGAGGGATCAAAAGCGAGGTCCGGAGTTGCTGCTCCAGAGTTGAGGCTCTCACTGTTTGTGCTCTGTGTTCCCTCTCGACTTGTGATAGTACTCTTGGCCAAGTCGAAGAATTTGTTGCTCCCACTGAAACGACGCAACGCTGAGAACGCGGTGTTCATTGTACCCACAGAGGATTCTGTTGCTGCAGTGGACAGCGGACGGCTGCCGTTCGAGCGATAAGATGTGCTCTTTCGCGAGCCAAGATTCCACCACGAACGACGTTTGTTAAACTGGTCGTCTCGGTTCTGATCCATGATCTCGCCCCAGTTGCTCTCTTTGGTTGGTCCTCGAGCATTTTGCAGAGCAACGTATGTCGGGTTATCGATTCGAGCTCGGTTGAGCAGGGTGTATAGCTTTTCGCATTCTTCGGGACTCCGTGATCGGAACATAATATTAGCTCCAGGTTTGTACAACGAGTTTGCTGACGGTGGCGAGCGGACTGTGATGTCCACGGCAGTACCTCTACGCAAGGGCACAAGTGGGGTGAGCTCCAGCGCGACGAGTGGTTTCACACCCTGGGCAGAGGGTGTGGTGTATTGGCCATTTGTCTGCGGAGATACGGAGTTGGCTTGGGTCAGATCAAAGGCTTCAATCAGGCCAGGCGTTACAAAAATCTGGCACTCTTCCATGTGCAGGCTGTCCCACGTCCCGCGCTCGGACCAGGAGAATATGTTTGCGACTGTCTTCGCCGGCTCAACACCTGTGTCTGGCACAGTGCGATAAGGTGCTTGCGAAGCAGATTCCGATGGCGCAAGACTTGTGGCTGGAAGGCTTGGGCGTGTCTCTGGATCGGTAGCTGGAGACGGTGCTGGCGGGGGCGATCTCGGTGGCGATCGTCTTGGTCCTGACTTTTGATAATCACGGAATCCTCTGAGGTCTCCGACGGTGGAGATGTCTTCATGCAAAGCTTCTTTGCGCTCAGCCTGGTCTTCAATTGTTGATTCAGACGTCACGGAGGCATCATCGTCGTAATCAGTGTAGTCACTATCAGACAATGAATCGGACGATGAAGACGGCGCATATTCGTGCTTCAGAGGCGAGGAAGGCCGACGATTCTTCCTCATAAAGGCTGGCGTGAGAGAGGGAATCTTGTTCGTAAGGCCCAATCCCAGCGACAATGGCCTAGACTTCTCCTTGTGGGCCGGAGGAGGCGGAGGCCTGTCCCGCTCGTCACTCTTCCTCCTTATTGAAAGTCGCTGCTGTAGCTGAGGCGCCTTAGAGGAAGGATCATCGGCCCTGGGCGCCTCGTGCGCTCTCTTCTGTGACGGCAGACCGTCCCGGTCTGATGGAGGACTTTCAGGTCGACCTGGCTTTCGGACCTTCTGAATCGATGGCAAATCCATAGTCGGAACCGAAGAGGTACGTCGGTGCAGTCTCGGACGTAATGCTTGATGCTCTCGCCGTCCGATTGGGTCTTCACCATCGCTCGAATCATCTGAGTAGCGTGTAGACGCGTCCTCAGATGGCATCCAGACGGTATAGTCAGTGGTGCGATCAGAGGATACTGTTGAACCAGTCCACTCCGACTGTGAGCGTGTGTGGAGGGAGTAAGGTCGACGCTGCCCAGGTGCAGAAGAGATGTTGTGCGGTCTGTCGTAATGAGGCTCTGCAGCATCATCCCGGGACCTGTGATGAAGTTCGTCTCGCCTATCTTGAGATGAGAGGGTATGACCACGGTACCGCGCTGGCTGTGTTCGTTGCCGTGGTCGCGTGGAAGGTAGGGATTGTTCATCGTCCAGAACACTATTGACCTCACTGCCGTCCCAAATCCGACTGCCATTGGTGACTCGTTCCCCAATCGGTACTTCGATCTCTCGCGGCGAAGGATCCCTGCTCTTGTTCGCTGTTTCAGCAGTCTCAGCTATGGTCTTTAGCTTTGGTTCCTCCGAGTCTGCAGCAGGCAGACTTTTCTGCTTGTACATATTGAAACTCGACTTGCGGGACAATTTAGGCGGCATCGGAGATGATCCGAGCATCTGCAGCCACTCGGTCGCGGTCATGTCATCCTCAGATCGGAGCGAAAGGACCTCACGCCACTGTCTCGCGTTGGACATGAAGCCGCGGATCATTACGACAAGCTCACCGGGCTTGTCGCCTTTTCTTGCTGACACCAAGGCATGCGGAAGAGGCGGAAATAATAGCCAGCGTCCAAACGACGAAACTTCGCAGAACAGGACATCGCCTGCTTTCCCTCGATTGGGTGCATCGTCTCTGTAGATCACTTCGATCTTGCAACCTAGTTGTTGACCACTGGAATGAACCAAGTCCATATCGAAGTAGTCTCTTGCACGCACAGACCTGGTGTGATCTATGCTCACTCCGGTAATTGGGGCCAGACTTCGTGGATCTCGTGCCCTGGTGGCATAAATGGCTGCAGCTGCTTCATCTTCCAATCGAGCTTGCTCATCACTGACACGCTTCTTCGCGGCAGCGATCAAATCCTGATATGTTTTGGCCATGTCCTCTGCATTTGCTGAAGGTTGGAGCTGGTTGATGTCTTTCAGAGTCTTGGCAAGGTATTTGATCCGGATCAGAGGTCTCTTGAGGAGGTACGCGACATCCACACGTTCACCTGAGCTATCCACGAGGTCACCATCTTTATTCCGAGGCAGGTCGTGGTCCCAAGAGGATGAGCCGTTGCGCTGCGGAGTGCGCTCCGCGCGTGCCAAATTGACGACAATGTCTTTGAAACCCAAGCGCCAAGCTTGCAAGTAGGTGTTGTAGTCCTTAGACGCGGATTGTGCCCATACAAGCAGCTCACTCGGTTCGTGCAAAGGAATGTGCTTATGCGTTGTTTTCAGCCTTTCCAAGGCCACACCCATGTCCACGATCGGCCGCGTCACGGATGGGTCAGATGTGGAGCGGCTAAACACCCGGGAGCCAGGTGACGAGCTGGATGTCTCGGAAACAGCATGCTTGAGCAGCACTGGGATGACTCCCTCGACCAACGTCCTGAGCTCACGTTGGTATTTCAGCTCGTCCGTAGAAAGCTCGTTCATGATCTCGGCAACGGTACAAAATCCAGGTTTCCGCCTGCTTCGCCGTATGCTCTTCGCAGGAACGACGCGCCGTTCGTCGTCTTGAGGCATAGAAAGAACGGATATCAGATCATCGTGCTTCGCCATCCTACGCCGAGTCGACCGTCTTCTTGGCACATCGCCGTCACTGGTCCTAGTAATTGTGGTCGCATCGTCCGAGTACGCGCGGCCATGACCGCGATCACGAGTGCTGAGCGTTTCGTCAGATGCAATGGTGGTCAGTTGTCTGAAGCGATCATCTTTCCGCTTCGATGGAACGCGGCGGCCGGGTCGCATGGCGTCCGGGTTACCACCGCTCATCAACGCCTCATCCCCACGAGACGAGTCATCCAGAGTATCTTGCGACATGCGATTTTTCAGAGGGGACTCAGCGCGGTGCTTGGCTCCTCGCCGTCTAAGCGTTGGTGTCGTTGGGCTTATTGGCGACATCGCCGGTATGTCTTGCTTTGAGTCGCGCTTCCCACTTACTTCTCGCCGATGCTCTTCTGGAGCACTTCGCTGTTTCGCGCTGCTCTTGCGGCTCTCGGTGTTCTTCTCAATATCAGTATCGAGGTGAAGCTGCTTAGACGACTTCTTTTTGGGAATCTTCAGGGGTTCGGGCGTGTCGGATGACCTGGTCTCGTTGAAAGGATCTGACATGCCATCGAGCCATCCTTCAATGCGGTTGCCAAACACTTTGGGCAGGGGTGTCGGTGGCTTGTCTGGATTATGCATGCGCTGAGTGATACGTTTCGCAAAAGCTTCCGCAGTCGTTGAAGGATGCCTTTTGGGGGCATTCTCTTCCACCGGAGTCTTGCTCCTTCTCGCAGTACTTGGCCGTGGTGGTAATTCATCACCACTTCGCTCTTTACGCGAACGTTCCCGTGGCGCTGATTTCGGTCGCGGTGGGGAAATGCTTGGGCTCGTGATATCTGTGGTCGCTGTGCTGGGCTTGTCTGTCGAGGAAGGTGCTGTAAAACTGCTCTCTGACTCGTTCTGTTTTGACCGCTTTCGTCGTTGCACGTAGACCTTGGTGCCTTTGCTCTCGTAGTCTGGCGTGCGTTCTCGTCCATTTGGGGACCTCGATCGCAGAGGTCGCACTCGTACTGGTTCGGGTTCTGGCTCGGATTCTGTGAAATCTTGGTGCGATACTGGCACCTTCAAGCCCACGTTTACCACGCTCTTCCGGATGTACACGGGTTTTGGTGTCTTCGCCTTGTCGTCTTCTTTCTCGGGACTCGCCTGTGGCTGTGGTTGAAGCTGCCTGTCGCGTCTCCAGTGGCCATCACTTACTACACGCTTCTTAGGCGCGCTGGCTTCCTTGACATCTGGCGGCACTTCAACCTGCGGCTTGCTTTTGCGTCTGACCCATGCTTTTCGTTCGAAGTCAATCTCTTTTCCCGTCTTTTTCTCTCCTGTGAGAACTGCAGCCAGTGGCTTTGAGACGGCCCTCCCGGGAGATCGTGAGTTTTTAGGAGTTTCTGGTTGCGACGTAGGTGTCACTTCGATGATGTCTGCCGGGATCGTAGATTCGGTCTCCACCACAATCATGTCGTCTTGTTGGGCCTCGGACGCGGCATCGAGAACCACCACCACTTCATCCTGTGACTGCTCTGGCTTGGGCTTTGGCTTGGCCTTCGGCTTCTCGATCTCGGGCGTGACAATGCCTCCACCTAGTTGGTTCCATCCCGCGATCTTTGCAGCGAAGTCCTGCGACTTTCGCTTCGCCAGTCGCTGTGTCGTCAACTCGGCCACTTTTGTCTTTTCCGGCGTCTTCTTCGTGGGGCTTTTGCGGGTGCCATCGTTCGCATCGGGCATTGGGCCTGGGACCTGCACATTGGACAGCAAGTCAGAGACGGTCTCGATAATGTACTGGGATCCCACCGACGTCACATCGAACATTGCACCGGCGGCGTGGGAGGAGGGAGAGGGAGCATTGTTGACATGCTGACGGGACCCGCAGCGTTCACGGTTCACCACTCTCCGGGTGGAGAGAGCGAATCCTGGTTCTGGGACGATAAGATAGCTCATACGCACCTGCTATGACCCGCACGTTCAGCTGCACCGGTTCTTGTCGTCGTCGTCGTGACCATTCGCAATCTGCCGTCTCATGCGACTCTGCATTGCAGTCGGGGTCGGGCGCGGCAGCGTGGGCTGAGGATGCGATGCGGTGGCAGACTCGAGGCGTGGTTGCTAGGTAAACGGTCTCGTCTCGGCTGGCTCAAACAGCGTCGGATGGGCCAGGCAGCTCCGCGATGTCTCTGCGGCGTGTGCAGATCGATGGTGCGAGGGTACAAATAGAGAAGGATTGCGGTAATGCTGCAGCAGATGACCTGCTCGTCGTTGTTACACGCGCGGCACGAGGAGGAAGAGGTGGCAGCATGCAGTGCCAAGGTATAAACACAAACAAAGGTTGGGCACAAGCAGCGGTGATGCTTGATGATCCCGGACTGGCGCCGACGGCTCCGTCACACTTCTTGCAGATTCAAGGCACGATCTTTCTTGCTGCGACACCCATCTCGCGGACGCGCAACTTTCGTTATTATCTACGCACAGTACGCGTCCAAAAGCGAGTGGCTCGCAGCGGCGGGTTCAATGCTCTCATAGCTGCATGCTGTACCATCGGCTGCGCCCGCTGGCCGTGGATGTCTTGCATGCACGCGCAACCACCTGCAGGACCGGAGCAAGCACCATTCGCTGCGGGAACGGCATCCAATGCGACCTCAGTCTCCATCACTTGGAGCTCACATGCCATCGCCGAGACTTGGATACAGCATCGTGCCTGGAAGCACTGCTCACTCTCACCACATGGCTGAAAAGGTCCAGACGGATGGTTGTACAACCAGCCACGAGCACGAATTGTCCCAGGTTTCACCGCCACGCTTTCTAGAACACGGCTGCGGCACTCCAGCGTTGTCTCGGATGGACTGCTACCCGACCCAAAATACCACCGGTTGTTCTGCCATCCCGAACTCAGCTGCGACTACACGTGTGTATCCTTTGACTTTGCTTCGTGCTTGCCCTGCTATACCAAGATATACAGGCGAGCGCGTTGCAGTGACCATCGCAAGGAGTCTGCTACCCGACATTTCTAGATCTGAAATGCGATTTGCGAGCTTCGGTAAACACCGTTGCGACTATCACGTTGACTGCCTCCCGTTCAACCCTGGAGCAAGGACTACGCCGTTGACTGTCGCAGCCCCTGGACAGTGACAAATATCCATCGACGCTCTAACACTTTCGACGACCACGAATGCTTGGCCGCCGGGCGTTGCTCAGCTCGCAGCTCGTGTTAAAGCTAACGCAAGGTGATGATGAGACTCTCATAAGATGGATTTCCACAGACGCAGCAACAAGCAGTGAGCTTCGGTCCCGCTACAACTGAAAGACTGACATACGCAGAAAATTGCTATATACAACCTGCGAAAGCTCGTTCTCAAGATCTGCCAGTGCATCAGGCCCGATCAAGACTCTTGTCTTGCGAGAGTAATGTCTAGACATCACCAATCAGACAAGCAATATCGAATCTTCCAAGCATGGTACATCCTCTGGAAGACTGGGTACCTTTAGTTGCGCTGCACATTCCCATGCCCAGGTAAACTGATCTTTTGTTCTCGCCGTGTTTCTTACACTTACTATAAAGCCAAATCGTCTCGGGTTCGCAGTCAATCGAGCGATACGAGTGGCCGCCTGGCCACCTCAAACTGCCTGGGGGCATAGAATGTGCAGCCAAGTGCCGACACAGTCCCGGTGAAGTTTCGAGCAGACGGGGCTATCAGACCGCAGCCGACTCAACTATCACCCTCGCCAGTGCAATCGAGACGAAGGAGGCTCGCAATCGGAGGCGAGCGGACACCAGCATCGTTGAGAGTGGTTTCTGCAATCTACCTGCAGACGCGGACTCACCGCGCCTGCACTTCCTCGAACGTTGCCAAGCGTCAGTCGCTTTATCAAAACATCGAACAGCAACTTCTCGCAGCTTCACCTCCACTTGAGCTCCAACGCACACAATATTTCGAGTCCTTCGTCCCGCATCAATGCAATGACGAACAAAGGCAGCGGAAATGGTGAGTAGGTCTACGAACCCCGTACGATGCACGCTGACAATTTCGCAGCAGCGACAGGAGCATCATCAGCTCAAGATGCGCTGAGCCTGCACGACCTTGACCAGCAAAAGCCGCCCCTACTGCGCTTACCACGCGAGCTTCGCGACCAGATCCTCGGATACCTCTTCGCCCACTCGCCACCAAGACCTATCCTCGGCTGCAGGCTACCCGTCACGATGCATACGTGCCAGCAATTGCGCGAGGAAACAGCACAGCTCTACTACCCCAAAAAGACGTGGATCTGCTTGTCACACGACCTGGATCGTCTCGCTACTGCGTTCGACCCTCAGCACAAGCAGTATCTTTACGCTGTCAGCTACGCTTTCTACATGTTCAAAGTCGCCACGCCGCAGGACGCAATACTGCAAGCCGATCACCTGGACAAGCGACATGGACTGGAAAAGGGTACCATTTGGGTCCGTTGCTTGAAGCAGAATGGGGGCATGCGCTCATACAACGCGCTTGGAACTGCAGTCGACTAGGACATACCACGACTGCGGGGTGGAAAAGTAGCAGACGGAGCCTGCGACACACGTCCTTGCCGCGTGTGCAATGCCGCCTGAACACTGAATCGGGCTCCTTCTTATCGATTGTCGAGGGACCGCCACCTCGAGCAACCAAATCTCACAAAGTAACGAATATGCAAACCTGGTCAGGGTTCCAAGAGCTAGTTGAAGCGAACGTCGCGCAGTTTGGCGATCCAAGATATTGCAGGCGCAGGTGGCAAGCCCCGATGAAGAAGGTCCCTTGCAAGCGGACCGCTTGAACTTCCTTTACTGGCACAAACAGATTCTCACGTCTGCGACTCCAGTATCTTCACTACGTTTCACTTATATCACGCGCTTGCACATGAAATGTACATCTCGCTGATCATCGGCAGCCCCACATCGCTTGCTGGTCTCCCCATGGTACGACTGGAGGGGTACCGCGGCATACCTATTTCCGATGCCGTGTAGCATCGCGTGCACGCGCGAACAGCTTAAGATGTTGTGCTTCCCAGATGGCCGATGCCGCGTAGTTCTCCTCTTCTTCTCGCACACTGATTCACTATATTTGTACAGACGGACCTTCAGCATTCGAAGAAATATTCAAGTCTCCAGCTGATCTCACAATGTTCGCCACTACCGCTGTAAGTATCAATACTCCAGCATCACCGAAGCTCACAGCTATGCATATGAGTACTCATGAATACAACAGATGCTAGCAACACCGTCTCAAAATCACGACACAACTCTCACGAACGCATCACAAGACCTCCGGTCCAAAGGATCCAGATCACTCACCACAATCTCACCCGGACCCACCACGATCTCCACCTCTCCGGACCCATCCGCCGCGAACACGAACCTCGACACGAAGCACAACTCCACAATCGACTCCATTCGCCTCCGAAACCTCGCCCACTCCCCTCTCCTCCGCCTCCCCCGCGAGCTCCGCGACATAATAACATCCTACACCCTCACTACCTCTCCACCACCCCACCACTCCTCCCTCAGCATTACCTCCGCCCCCACAAAACCAACTCTTCCACCTCTTTTACAAACCTGCTCCCTCCTCCGTCCCGAATGCGCAGAAATCTACTATTCCACGAAACTTCTCCTCGCAGGTGGAGCGCCGAGTCCGAAGTATGAATTGGGANNNNGGGGCATAAGAAGTTTTTGAGGAGGTGTCATTGGTTGTGGGATGCGTATGGGACGAGGGAGCAGGCTATGAGGAGGGCGGGGGAGTTGGATCGTTTGACGGGGACAAGGGCGGGGGTGTGGACGGTGGGGTTTATTGATGTTTTTGATTTTGAGGGACGGGATGTGGGGAGGTTGGGGAGGAGGAGGGGGAGGGCGGTTTATGTTAATTGTCTGGGGGAGGTGAGGGAGCCGGGGAGGGTTTGAGAAGTGAGGCGGAGAAGAGGAAGACATTTTGTGTATTTGATGTGTAAGAAATGATTGGAAGTGCTGTGAATTTGGAAGTGAGTGCGTTCTTATTCTTTCCTTCACTGCGCGTGTCGCTAAACGCGGCCGGAGCATTGCCGCGAAGCTTCATTCCTTCTTGGTCTTGACCCTGGACAACGTTCTTGCTTTCTTCAGACAAGCCACAACACGACACGCCCGTCAAAATTTGTCAACATGGCGAGTCCCGATGTACGTCTGCGAGATGGCTTCTGCCACAGCTTCTTACTTCGTGCTGACTCAAGCATATCCAGGCCTTGAGCGACCTGAAATCGCGGAACCTTGCTGCCGCCCTTGCAGCGCTCACCGGCGACGAGCTCACAGAGCTTCGAGTGAAGCTGCTGCCCGACCGCCTTCGTGCCGTCAACACAGAAACCTCAAAGCTGCTGCAGATGCCACAAGAAATTCGAGATGCCATCTTCGACGAGATACTCGGGTTCGAGAAGAAAGCCGGAGTGTGGATCACGAAGAAGCCGACTGTCTCCATAGTCCCAAAGATCTCTCTGCCCTCGCTGTTCCGAGTATGCCACCAGCTACGAGAAGAGTTCGCTATGAAGTTCTGGAAGGTCATCTCTATCTGCCAAATGAAGGGCGAGGAGAACATCGAACGTCGTGTGACTAATATCGACCCGAAACACAAGAAGTTCCTCACGAGGGTCGAGTACGACGCAGGTCCGAGACCCCATTTCTTTGATCGAGTTGTGGAAATCGAAATCAAAAACAAGGAATGCGCTATACTGGCTGCGAAGCGCCTCGAAGATCGGCTGGATCTCAAGCCAGGTATCGTACGGGTCGCATTTCCGAATCGATTCGATAAGGAGATGGCTTGCTGGTTCAACCATGCGATGGTGAACTCGCTCGGAGAGGTTGAGGAGAGAGATTTCGCGTGGGAGTGATGTGGAGAAAGTCAGTGGTCGAACGTGCTTGATAAGGAGGGAGGCGAGGAGAGATTGAGCAGCGAGCTACAGGGCGGAAGTTATGGTGAACGGCGGGGACTGGAGAGCTTTTGAGGTTCTACTGTCTCCTTCTAGCCGCTTCTCGGGTGATTAGAACTTCGGAAGGAACAATGTAGTGGGTGCAGCGATGGAAGGTGGTAGGCGCGACGTTCCGCGGAGTAGTCCACATTGTTCCTTCGGTCGACAAATTGCCGGATTTGGGGAGGTGCAGTCTGACATGGAGGCAGAGGTTCTCAAATATCCACCGCGCGGTGATCTGGCTTGTTGGAACACGTGAAATAATACGCGAGCGGCGATGCCGTGCCGTTCACCTTTCATGTGCCAGGACTTTCCCACGCCGCCTTCCCTTCATTTACAAATTCGGTCGACTGTTCTTGACCTTTCTCGAACAGGTCACAACACAGTCAACTTGCCGACTACCGCCACTATGGCGACTCTGGATGTACGTCCCCGCCTTGCCTCTGCTACCTGTTTCCATTTGCTGATCGTCGAGCAGGACGATGCCGCGACCGATGCCGAACTCGAAAAGATCGCCGCCGCACTATCATCGCTCAGCGTTACTCAACGCAAGAAGATTCAAGGTGTATTGCTGCCTGAATGCCTCCGCGTCGCCAACTTGAATGACTCGATGCTCCTCCAGTTGCCACAAGAGCTTCGAGACACGATCTACGAACTGGTTCTTGAAGACAGACGGTACACTCAACCCGGTCTCACCCTTTATCGCGCCTTCTACCCCGCCCCACCCGTGCTCTTTCGAGTCTGTCATCAGATCAGAGAGGAATTCGCTCCGAAGTTCTGGGAGAACATCTTCTTTGCGGGGTCGATGGATGAGTCTATGATCAGAAACCGCATGTCCTCAGTCGAGCCACTGCACATCAAAGCCATTCGGAGAATTCATCACAACTACTACGCGGACCGGCGCGGAAGCGAGAGCAAGAGACATGCTGTGGAAGTCGCGGAGGAGTTTGAACTTGCTTTCGGGCTCCAGAAGGGGGTCGTATGGGTGACTTGTACCATTTATTCTGAAGACGGGAGTGATCGCTTCTTATACAATGGGATGGCGAACTCTCTCGGAGAAGTTGAGAAGAAAGCGTACACGGAAGTGCGAGTGCTCTAATGTGGTCAATATGCTGGTAATGAGCTCTCGGCAAAGAGAACCGCGCGCAAAAACTTGAGTCACAAGTAGGCCTCGCTGCTTGAGCTTAGGTTTCTCCGACGCTGCAGAGGCTCATCGATCCTGCACTGTACCAAAATTGATGCTTGCATGACTTACTGCTACCTCTGAATCTCGGATATCACCTTTGTCCCTGTTGAAGAGGCACAAGTAGGATGGAGGGTGTAGGCTTGAGACATACAGGTTTATTCAGAGCAATTGAATGCATGCTTTACACATTATAGTAGCTCGATTTGCTAAGATGTGCTTCGTGAGTGAACGCAGTCATTCACTCGACTTCCAAATCTGGCACTAGCGCAGCCGCTGCCGTTGCTTTGCCGAATAGCTTCTTCTCGTCTATAAGTCCAGCCGTTTCCTTGCTGCCTTTCCCGCACACATCACACACGAGACGCTCGCCAGACTTAGCCAATATGGCCGATCCAGACGTAAGTCTCCTGATTCGCTGCGCCTTACTTCGGCTAACTCCTTGATCAGGGCCAACCCCGGAGCGACTTTCGACTCGAGAGTCTCGCTGCCGCGCTAGCGCAGCTGGATGGCGACCAGCTCAGGGTGATAAGAAGAAAGCTACTTCCGGAGCGCCTTCGCGCCATCAACTTAGACGACTCGAAACTCCTACAGCTTCCACAAGAGCTTCGCGATCAGGTTTACGACATGGTCCTCGAAGACGAACGTCCCGCCTATGAATGGCTTACGAAGGAGCCGCCCACTGGCCGTTGGAGCCCCGAACCACGTCCTGTCTCTCTACCTCCTCTGTTCCGAGTCTGCCGTCAGCTCAGAGAAGAATTTGCTGCCAAATACTGGAAAGAACTCTTGGTGTACCCGGTGATGGACTTGTCTGTTGCTGCAAAGTGCATGGCTCAGATGGACCCCAAGCACAAGAAACTCATTCGCAGAGTCAACTACGATGGGCACTTCGATAGCAGGAAGCTTGCGAAGGAGCGTGCAGAGCATTTGGAGCTTCGCTTTGGACTTCGGCGAGGAGTTGTGTGGGCTTTGTATCAGGACCGAGGCGGCAACGGGAGATGTTCCAGGGGGTTCATCTTGAGGGTGAACTCTCTCGGACGCGAGGAGGTCTTGCATTTGTCCGAGCGTTTCTGAGAGCTGGGGCCGGCAACGGGATAATTCATCGACTTCGTTCATGCTGTCCTGTACGGAAATGCCGTGCTGGCGTTTGGTGGAGGTTGTATCTCGCGCCGCGAGCAAGATTCTTCCTCTATAGGACAGCAGTCTGATCTGGTGGTGTAAGCTAGCTGATACCCTCAGTCAGTAACATTGCCGACTGCTACTTCTTGGGCTCAAAAGTCTAGCCTGAGTTTGGAGAAGAAGCACAAGCTCCACTGTTCAGGTGCAAACAGCCACTCTGCTTCCGGCATGCTGCTTCCGCGTAATCTGTAGACTCTCTCTCTTTCATCCGCCGTCGCCAGTATGAAAAGTGAATCGTGTTTCACTGCCGTTGGCAAGGCATTGAAAGATTAGCGCCACTTGTGTTCGAACACTGACAGATGGACTTGCTGGTCTTCGTCGTGGACATTTGGCTGCTTGGCAAAGGCAGCAGGCTGAATCTCACGCAGAGGAGCAGGGTCACATAATTCCGAGACTGCCAACTTGTATCCTGGAGGTGTCAGAAATCCACAAAACTTGGAAGAGTGTAGTCTGTTTTGGAACAGAAGTCGGTGATCGGCAATCGCGAACCCGATCAAGCCAGTGCGTGATGTGCATCACCAGCCCAGTGGACCTCAACGTTTGCTCATCAACATGCAATGACGAAGCACTTTCTACGGATATGCCGGTCGACTGCCTTTCTGCCATGACGCTGACAATGCGACGTTCGATGGTTATGTTGTCACAGTCGCAGAGTCCCGATGGCGGCAGTGCTATTGTCGCAGAAGGAATAAGTCCTTACTTCTTCAGATCCATTTCCTACAGCATTTCACACTTACGAGTGGTTCAAGCTGACGACACAGACCAAACGTAACATCATTGGCAGCTCAGAGACGAGTCCCGCGATATTGCACAGACAACAGAGCCAACCACGACGAGATGTTCGAGACATCATTCCAGCACGCGACATCCACGCCTTTGCCAAAGGACGTGTCCTTGAACACTGGCTTGCAGCTACTCCACGATTTCGAGACGGTGATACGCTTGAGCCCTGACTGCAGAGGCTGCAAGCCCATACCTCCTCCGAAGGACGAGGAGCGCAAGACGAGAGGCAATGGAATCGGTGGTACAGCGGATGGTCAAGAGCAGGAGGAGATTCTCTACTACGAGGTCGAGGATGATCTCCCATTCATACCCAGGAGCCTCTGGAGCGGCGGCGTGAAATATCAAGCCGACTACGTGCCACGATTGGATGGCTGCGACATTACCGTTCACGCGCCAGGAGGCTTCACATCTACGAATCACTGGCGGTTACTGCGAGGGAACGAACCAGCTGGCAGACCTTCCGAGCTCGCACACGAGAAGGATCTAGCGAAAGCACAGCCGAAGAATACGCTGCATGCTGATCAGACTAGCAGTGGCTGGTATGTGCAAATCGTCAGCAACGCGAAGGTCAATAGAACGTTCGCGACTTTCGTCAAGGGCTTCCTCAAGAGCAGTCATCAGCAATTACAAAATGCTTTCATTGATAAGCTGAGAGGGGCAAACGAGCAACAGGACAGTACGCGACCGACACTAGGTAGGCGGAAGAGCAGTCACCTGTAATTGAAGAGGCTCAGATCGCTCGATCTGCGTGGCGTTGACGCTCGCATACTGGCTACAGATCAGTGAATCTGGAATGAGTGATGATATTGACTGCGTACCGGAACTTCAAGAGATCCTTACACGTACAGTACACAGTGTCGCCCAGATCTTCTGTATCGATGACAAAGGACAAGGGCGAAAGCTCATTCGATCTCAACTCCGACATCGCGAGACTTCAGGACGCCGCTCGTTCTGGTACGCGCTCTGCTACTTAACTTGCGCGAATCGCTCTCTGAGGACAAGCAAGGCCGCATATACTAACTTTGATGCGGCACTTAAACCTTCGGGCGCTCACTGTCAGAGTTGACGATAATGTGGCCTCGAGAAAGCATGATGAAAATTCGGGAAAATCATGTCTTCTACAATCTTATCTGCATTGCTCGCGTCGAACATACACTTTTGAGACATTCCAGCTCGATCGGATTGCTCAAGTCTCACTCAGCGACATACACTGCCCCAGGAGCTTTCTACTCCAGTCATAAGAACATTGATGTACGCCTACAAGCTCCTCATCTACAGCTACGACTTCACCTCCCGAACTCTACCAGCTACACTGGACACTGGGGAATAAAGCAACATCTAATATCCACACAACATTTTCCGACGCTTCAACGTCGATTATATTCAAGATATCATACTGAAGATGTATCTCAGTCTGCCGTTGCAACAAGAGAGCTGGGAACACGGCTGTCTGGTGCTGCTGCTCGTCTTTTTTATTCCGGCACTTGGGGTCTGGCAACGCGCTCTCAGTCAGTACAAGTCCGCCGATGATACGGATCAGGCGACGAACGTTCAAAAATGTTCCAACTCTCTACGGAGCAGAAACCGAACAGCGATGAGTTTCTCAAGTAAGGGAATCAGAGCACGAGGGCTCCATTCTTCACCACCTAACGGGAAGCGGTATGGCGCGACACGCAAATTGTGAATGCTAGCAAGTGAATCCGTGCATGGTGATGCACATTCACGCAAATCTCTATTGTTCCTAGAGGTCTAAAGACTAGCATCTCAACAATTCTCTCTTGCTTCAACCGCCTCCGCTCCGCAGACTCTGAACCTCAACATCAAATGGCAGCAATTACCATCGAGGACCTCCCGGTCGAAACCAAAGTGCACATCTTATCATACCTATCGCCAAAGGAGATCCAGAGTGCCCGGCGCATTAGCAAGGACTTCAATACGATTATCGATAACGGACAGAACTTGACGCAGATCAGCAGCGTTGTTCACAAGCGTAACTTGCAGAAGCTGGAGGCCGAATTCAACCAACTTTTCCATGTCGATCGTACAAACAAAGAGGAGTTCTTTGAAGTGTTCTCACGCTTTGATCGACACTTTCGTCGAATTCGAACCGGATTCTCGGCGGCAGGAACAGCATTCATGGCGGCAGACCACTTCATGCGGGAGTACCAGACGAGTTATCCTGAAGGTGTGGCGGACGATTTGTTGTCAGGGCTTGGTTTAGTTGCTATCTTCTGCTATCAGCGACGTTTCAGCGACTGGAACGACAACGATTCACATGTGGTCACTACAACAGTCGAAACAGATCTCATGCTTTTGTGGACTGCAGAGGAACTCCTTGCAAGACACCCGCTGATGGAAACGTATCTCGGAATCGGAGTCGAGACAATACACAACTGGTTGAGGAAGGCGAATGAGCCAACGAACGAGTGTTTCACTAAGCACCTTAGCCAGGAACTTCCGAAGTCAGCGATTGCGGAGCCGAGTGCATTGACATCCCTTAGCATCGGGAGAGTACTCCTTACGCAAACTGAGACTCAGATTAAGGTTGTGCAGCCTCTGGACGATGGAGCACTCTGCAAACTCTTCGACCTGCCTCGCATGGCGCGATACATCCGACCGTACATTGCCTGGTGTATCAAAGACGGTCCAGCCGTGGAGTACGTTGAAAAGATCGCGAAAGGTGAGATCAACAATCCGCTGATGAAGGCATGGCTGCTGGAGGAGATGTACTTGTACTGAGACCAGGCTTCGGTCACGATCAAGGAGAACGCAAAGAAGGATACACAATCATCGAAGTTGACAAGGTTTCGGGTGCAGACATCGTAATCGCTGTCATCAGATGCACGATACCGGAGTAATGGCTAAGAACCGAGCAACGAGCAGAAAGAGTACGCACATAGGATGTAGAACAGAAGCGGCTGAAGCCAGACCACGCTACTGGTAATCCACTCCGAACCAAAGGACTCAATCCAGAACAGGGGCTACGAAGGGCAACATATTTGTAAGGTGCATGTGAGCGTCTAGCATATGCTGTCGACGCCCAGGGAAGTATTAAGGCCTTTTGGAGCAGAAAGCGAACAGCGATGAGTAAGTTCAGCAAGGGAATTAGAACAAGGAATCGCACTGTTTCTCGACGCCAAGAGGAGTGCCCCTTCCAAATGAACAAGTCATGAACACAAGCGAGCGAATGTGCACCGGAGTGATTAGACAATAAGACCATTCACTCTTCGTGCGTATTCATTCACTCTGTTTAGCACAGGATCGGCCCGGAGCCTTGCAGCCACTCATAAGTCTAAAGTCCTGTACTGCCGCCACTCCCGATTTCGACTTACCTGGAAAGCTGTCTTCAACGCACCCATCACATTCGCAAGTCCAGCAAATCATCAGCAAAAAATGGGGGCAACTATCGAGGATCTTGCTGTCGAGACCACATTGCAAATCCTGTCGTACCTGTCGCCAAAAGCAATACAGCGCGCTCGCCGTATCGCCAAGAACTTCCAAGCGGTCATCGATACGAATATTGCTCAACTCGGCAGGTCAGCGCGTAAGCAGAACCTGCAGAAGCTCGAATGCGATTTTAACCAACTGTTCACGATCGAATATGGGAACAAGGACGAATTTCTTAGACTCCTTTCCCGTTTCGACCTCCACTTCCATTCGCGTCGATTCGACTTCTATGCGGCACAGATATCGTACGCTGCCGCAGCTCATTTCATGTCTCACCACCCAAACTTCCAGCCGGGATTGCCGCCTCAATCGCTCGATAATGCGCTAAGGGGCTTGTTCGTCGCCGGTCTCTATTGCTACCGCATGCGCTTCGACGACTGGCTCGAGAAAGAACCGCATTTGGTCAATTCAACAACAGTGCAATACTCTCCCACGATGTCACAGCAAATACTTGATCGTTTCCCTTTTCTGGAGACAATACTAGGACTCGGAGTGGAGAAGCTGCGCTACTGGTTCGAGATGATGGCTAAGCCGGGGAACGTGTAATTTACCCATCATCTGGGTACATCCAGTACAAAGCCAGCCGACACAGAGTTGCGTGCACTCACTCCGGGGGCACTCGAAAGCCCATCTGACCTAAAGCCTAAGATTCGGCCTGTTCGGTTCACGATCTTGCCTCGTATTCCGAGCTTAATGCCAACGGATTATGAAGGGTGGTGGAAGAACAAGGTACCATGGAAGTTTGAATGGTGTGTCAAGAGGGAGGCGGCAGAGGTATACCTCAATCAGGTCACCAAGCGCCAGAACAAGAACCTACTAGTGAAAGCTTGGGTGCTAGAGGAAATGTTTCTGTACTGAGCTAGAGCAACGGCCTGCGTGTGGAAGATGCCTGAACAAGAGGAAAAAGGGGAGATTCGACTGCTTGGGAACATTGCACTCTTCTGAATTGCACGCTTGCGCGAAAAGGAGGGTCGATCAAGACACAAAGGGCAGACTAGCGACTGGAAGCTTGCAGTACATAGAGACTCCTGTCACAACCACGCAGATCCAGTACAACAGATCAAGATGAGAAGCAGACAGTGGCTGCAACAATCTGCGCCGCACTAGGGCGTGGGCGATGAGCAATGAGTGAGAAGAGCACGCATACAGGACTTAGACAAAGACAGCTGGAGTCGAGCCGGGATTAGGATAGTCCGGCATCGACCAAAGAATACAATGCAGAAAAGAAGTTACCAAGGACGACAAGTATGCAAGGTACATGTAGGCCTCTGGCCCGCTCTTTCTATGTACAAAGCATGTTCAAATCTAAGTTTCAAAATTGAGGCCACGATGACTCGCATCAACTGTCCACTGGTTGTACCTGTCTGTATGTCCTCAGTCTTTAGGTTTTGCTGAGAATGTGGTAAGAACCGGCCAAAAATGCGCTGTGACCCATTCTCCTCACTCACGCCCTTAAATGCTCGCGCAGCTTCTTAAATGACGCGCTTACTCGACGCAAATCGCTCAAAAAATCACTCGCTCACTGGAGTCTCGTCAACCACGATGCCAACTCCTTCCACCAACCTGCGCGACATTTGCATGTCGTTTGGCACGCGCTCTCGCGCTGCTACTCTGAACAACCCCTTACCAGAAAGGTTAAGAAAGTCGAACAGCGGCGACATGAAGGATCGAAATCAGGCCATTATCAAGTCACAGACTGACCTTCAAGTCGAAGCTGTTCAAACTACGATGTCGAACGTTACTCTTGAGCCACCGAGCAACAAGCCGCAGGCTACTGGCCTGAACCTTCCAGTCGAACTACAACTCCAAGTCTTGTCCTTGCTTCCCGCACGCCAGATCCAATGTGTTCGTCGAGTATGCAAGCAGCTTCGAGATATCATTGATCTCAAGGAAAACTCATCGCTGGTGACGTCCATACAGGAGCGCGAGCGTGATCGGATCGCCTCTGAGTTCAAGCATCTCTTCAGGGAGACCGATGATCACCGAGACTTTCTGAATCTTTTGGCCAGATTCATCAACCATCGTGGACTGGCCAAACGTGCTACTGACAATTTCGACACCATCAAAGCCTTTGCAGACTACTGGGCCGTCCTTACCACCAAGGCAGACAACCACACAATCTTCGGAAGTAAGAGAAAATTCGCCCAGCATTTGGCTGGGTGCCTGGTTGACTTGCACATCAGCAATCATCGAGCGGACCTGTATCGCGAGCACAAGTACTATGGATGGACGCTAGCACATGGCGTGTATCACCATGTTCCAATCGCGAGCATCATTTCATTATTCCTTTCTCCAAGCAATTTCGGCTCACACTATGGTATCACCCTGCAGGACCTGGTCGACTGGATCGCTGCAATAATCTCACCAACCGAAACGATCTTCAATGATATGCCAGCGGCGGACGAGCATCTCGTTGGGTACGACGAGGCGATGGGATTCAGCTATGAGGGCGGTGAAGATCAAGACTCATGCTTAACGCAACAAATCATTTTCCGTGCGCTGAGGCTACCAATGGCCCCAAAAGCGGTGCGCGAAAACATTGGCTACCACTTTCGTTCAAATTGGAAAGCTTATAGGATGCTTGAGTCTGTCAAGTATGGGCGCTTGACCGAGTTGCAGAAGGCTTCGCTTCTGGAGGATGTCTTTCCTCGCGTGTGCCAAAAAGGTAATTCACGCGCATTCTGGAGATACATCGCATACTTTTAGCGTGCGAAGTGCCAGAGCAAGGGATTCAGGAGCGCGCTCTCCTTGACCCGACCAGAATGTATCTGAGCTGCTGCAACGGCCGCAATTATTCGAGAAAAATATCTGCGCGTTATCGTGACAATGCTCGTTCAGGCCGAGTAACTCCTTGACGAGTTCGATGGATGAATGACAGACCACTAGTCTTCTCGAATGTATTTTTAGAAGACTTGATCGAAGGAGTCCTCACTCAGGCGTCAAGCATTGGTCGAATCTAGGCCAAGGCCTTGATTGGCAAAATACATAGCGTCCATAGCTGAGAACGCCCTTGATGAATATGAATACTTTGTCGAATGTTGCTTTCGAATGTGTTGTTCCTGAAAATTGAAGAAAGCCGGGTCAGCTTGCTGCAAACTGATTCAGAATCTTCGAAGGCGCGACAATGCTTTCTAAACATTTTTCTTCGCCGTCCCTAGATGATAGTAATGCTGACATGTCCAAGCCTAGCATACGCGGAACCAGCGTGACGTCCTCCAAACCGAGTCTGTGCAATGACGGCCTCACTTCGGTGTCAGTGTGATTGGTGCCCAGCCTTGCTACGCCGACGGGTGGAGATCGGAACATGGCTTGGACACAACACCATCGCGGTCCGGACTGGGATGAATTCAAGCCATACTGTAGCGTTTCCGCAGAAGATCCATTGCAATATCCTTTTGGCCAGACCACCTGAACCATGATCTGCCACGAAGTTGTTCCTGATCTTCAAGATCACTCACCAGACCGCCTGACATCTGGAGAAACATGGCCTACCACGGAATATCCTACGAAGAATGGAATCAGCTCGTACAGCAGAACCGGCCGTTGCCCCCAACAGTAAACCTATGCATCCACGCCGAAATCGAACGTCAAGCAAGAATCCATCCCAGCAAAGTCGCTTTCACAAGTTCAGAAGAAGATCTCACCTATGATGCTCTCAGTCGACTTTCCGATCTGGTCGCCTATGATCTCGTAGACCGAGGCGTCATCAAAGAAGACATAGTGCCACTATGCTTCGACAAATCACCTGTCATGATAATCTTTATGATAGCAGTCATGAAAGCCGGCGCCGCCTTCTTAGCTCTCGACCCGGAGCAGCCTCTATCACATACGGAGTCCGTCTTGCATGAGATGGATGCAAAGATGATTATTACGTCTGAAACATTCCAGTATTCTTTCCCTTCCGACTATCCAGTACTTGTCCCGCCAAGCTTGCCACTCCTGGTGGGGCAGCTAGGGAGAGCAAGTAAATGGAGTCCACCCGTTGTGTCTCCGAAGAATGCCGCATATTGCAGCTTGACGCGAGCTAGTACTGGAGAGCCGAGTGGTGTAGTGCTGGAGCACCGTTCGTTCGTTTCTGGTATATTCTGGAACGCCCCGGCGCAGATGCTGAATGAGAAGTCGAGAGCGCTGCAATTGGCGGAATATTGGCATGATGAATGCATTACAGAGATTCTCACGACGCTTTGTGTTGGAGGAACAATCTGCGCGCCGAACGAGGTCGAGATCCAGCATGATCTCGTGGAGTTCATCAACCTAAAGGAAGTCAATTGGGCGGCATTGACGCCGTCCTTCATCAGCACGTTCCAACCCGTTGATGTGCCGACGTTGGAAACATTGGTGCTCGACGGCGAGACAGTACCACAGTCGCTAATAGAAACATGGTCCGAGCACGTAGTGGTTTTAGGCAGCTACACTGTTAGCGAGTGCAGTGGGACCATCTCGGTTGGTTATAGAGTCGAAAATGGCTCGACTGCACGGAATATCGGTAGACCAGCAGGCGTTGCACTGTGGGTTGTCAATAAGAACAATGTTCATGTCTTGATGCCCGTTGGTGAAGTAGGCGAAATCTTGATCGAAGGTCCAACCGTTGGGAGAGGTTACATCAACAACCCACAAGCGACAGGTGCAGCTTTTGTCAAACCTCCTATATGGTTGCGGCCCATTTTATCTCCGAGCCAGAAGGGCAATCGACTGTTTCGAACTGGAGTTTCAGGCCGACGGACTCTCACTGGCACATTCGAAATCATATCTGGAGAGGACTTTCAGAAGGCAATAGAAGACGCCGGGGATGATTCTGCGGTCCAAGTTGCTCATGTTGCAAGACTCGTCAGATATGGACGGATTGATGAGGAGGAGAGCAAAGAGCCTGCTGCTGATAATGTCCATTGATCTAGCTTCATCGTGCCAGTCTGATTGAGATCGGAGCATCATATCGGGAGAATTGCGACCTTCAAAGTCGGACCAGGGCGCTAGGTGGCCGGCAGCGCTTTTGAGAGCATGTTCGATGCAGGTCATCGGAAAAGGCGGTGGGATAGAGCAAAGCGGCAGCGCCCATGATGTTGATAGACTCGCCAGACTAGGAAGCAGCCGCGCCGATGACCTCGCAGGAGCAATTTACGGCTTCGTCCCAGATCGCAAAGCTTCCCACGCCTCCGGCTTGTATCCTTGGGTCGGCGGAAAGATGGTCGTTTTTCGAATTGTACGTGTTCATTGCTTGTCATGACTCTACGAGAGCAGCAGCGACTGGAACTTTACAGTACGTGGTGGCCTCCAGGTCGCGCGTCGAACCGCCAGGAAGTATGCGACTGTTGTCGAGCAAAGAACTTTCGAATCCACTCAACTACTGTGGCTGTCTCGTGGAGGGACCTGCCAAATCAAGAATGTGCTGTCATTCAAGTCATGATATCTAGATTTGCTTCGCATCACAGACGAGACTGTGTGCGTGAGCAACCTAGTCTACTTTGCTGTTGTTGTACGCATACCACAAAGTCATACAGTCTGCACGTCTACAGCTCCGACTTGGCGCTCTCAGCAGCCTCCTTGACACTCTCTGCGCCCTCGGCAGTCTTGCCCAAGAAGACGCTCAAAATGTTCTTCCTGCTGGTCAAATCGTCCAACTTCTCCGGTGCGAGACCGCCCTTGGTGATGAGGTTTGTGAGTCTCGTCGATTCCTTCTGCGCGTATTCGGTGTTCTCTTGGAGCTTCTTTGCCACCTTGGCGTAGTACTCGGCATACTTGCCCTGGAGCTTGCCGGCCTGCTTGACCAGCTCGTTGTATGCTGCCTCACCACCGGTTTGGAGGCTGGCGACAGTGGATTCGAGAGATGGGATGACCCCAGCAAGAGCGTTGAGGGTACCACCTGGTGCGCGGAAAGTGCCGGCTTTCTCGTTCAAGAACGAAACCAGATCCTCCTCGCTGCGGCCACCGCTGTATGGCTGCGATTCGGTGGAGCCCTTAGGGAAATAGAGAATGGTTGGATATGACTTGACGCCGTACTTCTCAGCGGTGGCCTTGGCGTTTGGTGCCTCGCAATCGACCTTGCCAACGAGAACGTTGTCCTCGCTAGCGAAGTCAGCTGCGACCTTCTCCCAGGTAGGAGCGAGGGTCTTGCAGTCTGTCATTTGTTAGTAATATTCAATTGTATCGTGCAAAGTTGCTACTCACGTCCGCACCATGGAGCAGTGAAGGCGACAATGGCTTCCTGGTCCTTGCCAATCTTGTCCTCAAACGAGGAGTCGGTAAGGTATTCCACCTGGCTAGCCGCAGTCTTCGACTTCTTTGGCTTGGCTCCGGTCTTCTCAGTGATGAATGCAGTAAGGCTGTCCAAATCACGGCCACTCTTGTAGTCCTCAGGCTTCGACTTGCCCGTTCCATCGAACCATTTCAATGTAGGGAAGCCCTGAATCTCGTACTTCTTGCCCAGCTCTTTGTGCTCATCGGCGTCAACCTTCGCAATAATGACCTTGTCCTTGGCTCCCTCGAAGCTGGCAGCCAATTCCTCGTAGACAGGCGCAAGACTCTTGCAGTGACCGCACCATGGCGCAAAGAACTCGACGAGTGCTGGCTTGCCCGACTTGAGGATTTCCTTGTCGAAGTTCTTGGGCGTCAGATCGATAACAGCGCCTGCGGAGACGGTGCTCACGGCGGCCAGCGCCGCGGTGAAAATCTGTGCGAATCGAGGCATTGTGGTCGATTCTCGTGTTTGGATTGGAGTGGGAGAAGCAGAGAGGCGGGCGTCAGAAGGTCGATTTCAATAGCCCAAGCTCCATTTCCAGGGTCCAAACTTGCGCTGCTGACAAAAGCGGCAATGCTGCCACCTGTTCACCTGTGCACGAGCATCATCATCACCGCCACCAACACCGCCACCGCGTCGAATGAAAAGTTGGCGTTCTACATCCAGTTTACTGATCATATCACATATCAAAACTGATTCGTAAGCTTCGCGCTCTGGCGGGCCATGCGCATTGTATTCCCCGCTGCTGCCGTGTCTTGGCAACAAGAAGCTTAAGGGCAGTGCCAGATCTCCTTGCATCGATGAATGGAGCAAAACTATTGGAGGCAGCCCTCTGTTTTCTGTCATTTGCCATTGGCTATAATCTAAGCATATTTCTTGATGTTTCTTCCCTGTTGAACGCTCATGTATACTGCTCGAACTCCTCCGTGTTGAACTGCATGCTAATAATTCATAAAGCGAAAAGGGTGAGACGAATGGCGTCCGCGATCTCAGTCCTTGTCCTCTTTGTACGTCTCCTGCCCATATCCTCCCTTGCCTTCGAAACTCTGATATGTCTTACCATCAGACCGCGGAGCATTTCTCGGCCCTCGCTCCTGCAGGTCCTCCCTCAGCCAACCCATGACCAGCTGGCCTAGCCGACTGTTACCCTCTTCTCCACCATCCGTTTTCGGCACCTCGAAGGTGTCCAGCTCACCCCACTTCTTCACCTTGCCCAAGCTCATGTGAACCAGATGCGTGGGCCACTTGGCCAAATTATCCAGGATGTGTGTTGCATACACAATCGTGCATTGTCTACTCTCCGTCTCCTGCTTGAGGAATTGCAGAAAGTTGTGTCGAGAAAGCAGATCCAAGTCAACAGTGATCTCGTCCAGCAAAAGAACGGTCCAAGGACGCAGTAGTCCCATGCACAGTTGCACACGACGTCTCTCACCATCCGAGACAGCGTGAAGATGCCACGAAAGATCCACGTCCAGAATTCTGACCAATTCATCACGTCGCTCAGGATAGTGATCTCCTCCAACACTCTTCAGTAGTTCTGGCACAGCAATATCGCTGCGAACAATAGGATTGAGGACCCACTCCAGACCGAGATACGTCACGCCTTCGAGACCAGTGGCGAATGGATCGATGTCTGCAACGTAGACCGTGTCTGGAGGTGCCATGCGCTTACCGCTCAGGAGACGGAGAAGCGTAGTCTTGCCCGCGCCGTTTGCTCTGTGGGATTTAGCATTCCATGTAAACAAATGGGGTTGCTTTACGCAGAAGTTGAAGCGTACCGCCGATGAGCAGACAGCGAGCGCCGGCTGGGAGGTCAAGTGTGACATCTTGGAGACCAGAGCTTCCATCTGGGAAGGCATAGGATAAGTTGTTGACCTGAACCGTGTACATTAGTCCAACGATCGTAGTGTTCCAATGTGTTGTTGAAAGTTACCGTGATGGTCGGAGGCTTTTGTGCTGGCATTCTTGCAGTTCTTGATGTTGATCTGCTCGAAGAGAGACTTGATAGAAGAACAATAGAGTTCAAGGAATCTGGGCTTCTCTTTATCTTTGTTCCAGGGTGGTGACGAATTTATGCCCAGCCATGAAGTCGAAGTGTCATGAGCCGAATTTCGGCGCTAGCGTGGTCGACAATTTCCAGATCACGCCTTACAACTACAACCCCGAGCGGCCGCACCTACTCAACCCAGTCATGGGCAGATTAACCGGATGCTCACTCGTGGCATAATCAGGTCGCTGTCAAAAATGACACGCTCGCCGCCTAGGAATCCGCTGATCGCTGTCATCGGCGCGACAGGCACCGGGAAATCACAAGTAGGTGGTCCGTGGCAGCAGGACTCGCTACTGACCGAGAACTAATCACAGCAAGCAGCTGGCCGTCGAGCTTGCGAAGCGATACAATGGCGAGATCATCAATGGCGATGCGATGCAGCTGTATGCCGGACTGCCGATCATTACGAATAAGGTCACCACGGAAGAGCAGCAGGGCATACCGCACCATCTGCTCGGGTGTATAGGATTGCACGAACAGACGTGGGTGGTAGGTACATTTGTGCAGCATGCGCTCAAAGTCATTGAAGAGATACGTTCACGAGGACGATTGCCGATTCTGGTGGGCGGGACGCACTATTACACGCAGAGTCTACTGTTCCATGACCGGTTGGCAGAAGCAGATGAGGACCGAGAGCAGCGCGAGTTCGTGGCAGATACATCGGACAAATGGCCAATCTTGAAAGAGTCCACGGATGTGCTATTGGAAGAGCTGAAGAGAGTCGATCCCGTCATGGCTGATCGATGGCATCCGAATGACAGACGGAAGATACAGCGCAGTCTTGAGATCTATCTGCAGACTGGTAAGAGAGCCTCCGACATATACGCTGAGCAGCGAGCACGGAAAGCAGAGGCTGCCGAGAAGGAAGCGGACGATCCTCGGATGCGCTTTCCAGCACTACTGTTTTGGGTGCATGCAGAGAATGACACACTACGAGAGAGACTGGACAGGCGCGTTGATAAAATGCTTGCCAATGGCCTTCTGGACGAAGTTCAAACGCTCGATGCGTCCCATGACGAACAAATAGAAGCCGGCACTCCGGTAGATGATGGCAAAGGCATCTGGGTAAGTATTGGCTACAAAGAGTTCCGCGAATATGCTCGTGCATTGCGAACAGGATTCGCCGACGGTCGCGAACTCGAAAAGCTCAGATTGACGGCTCTGGAGGCTACCAAAGCCTCAACTCGGCAGTATGCAAAGCGACAAATTCGCTGGATTCGCGTCAAACTCGTTAATGCCTTAGCGGAAGCCAAAGCATCACATAGTCTCTACCTACTCGATGGCTCTGAGGTGGCGAAATTTGACGAGACTGTTGCGAGTCCTGCAGTGCAAATCACTGGACAGTTTCTAGGAGCAGAGGACATGCCTGCTCCTTCCTCATTGTCTGCGGTTGCCACTGAGCAACTTCAACCTAAGAGAGATGACCTCGCGGCTGCACCAGAGGCATGGGGTAAGGAGTACTGTGCGGTCTGCGATGTTACTTCTGTTACGCCGGCACAGAGGAAGGCACACATGGAGAGTAAAAGTCACAAGAAACGCGTCAGCAAGGCAAGGCAAGCTGAAGTGTTTAGAGGAGAGCCTCTCGGCAATGATTGAGATGACTCTAACACACTCGAGAGCTGTAGAACTACAGTCGACGACACGCAGCTATGCCCGCTGTTGCCCAAAGCTCGAGCCAGACTATGCGACAAGAGACTTGACGAATTCGCGCCTTACGCTCGCCGGCAATGTCCACACGTACGGAGAGCCTTTGGAGCAAATCGACAGACTGTTTCTCTACACACGCTGGATGAACCCGCGAATTGACAGAAATGTCGATTGACCGTGTGCTTTGAGATACCGAGAGCGAGCTCGGAAGATACTTGTTCCAAGTAGGTGTCGATATCACAAATCAAGCGCATTTGCGTGCTGTCAAGGACATTACGCCCAAGCTGGAGCTCGTTGAGCAGACTGCTGCAGGTTGTGCTCCTCCAACGACTTCGGGCATATCCGAAACCTTAAAGACGTCGCAGCACGACAGTGGCTTCGCGAGTGGCGGCTCAGCCTTGTCTGCTCCGAGCCCCACCTCAGAGGAAGGCAGTGCAGTGACTATAGTTTGGAAGGTGGCATCTTTCGCGGCTTCATTGCATCCTTTGATTTCCTGCACCGAACCTAGACGCATAGAAGAATCTCATGTGAACAGCAAGGACGGAGATCAACGACCATGGACCCCGGCACGGCCGTGGGCGTGGCGTCTCTAGGAATACAGCTTTGCGAAGGAATACTCAAATACTACAGCAAATGGCGATCTTACGACAAGGACATTGAAGACACCTACCGCCAGATTGCTGAGTTAGCAAAGATCTTTGCACGCTTACGAGTATCACTCGACAAGATCAGCTACGACAGGAAACAGCTGCAACATGCAAAAGAGGCTCTTCAACCATGTGAGACGAGTCTACTTGAGCTACAACAGCTTCTTGTGGAGCTGAGACCAATCAACGCACCTTCAGGACGAGCTGAAAGAGCTTGGGCTCAGTTCCGAAGAGCGATGTATCCACTGAAGGCGAGCACGCTTGCGAAACTGCGAGAACTTGACGAGGATGTTCGGGATCAACTATCGCTGGCGCTTCAAGGGACTCAGATCGACATTACGGCCGTGATACAGGGCCAACTCAGTGATATGAAGCTGAGTATCGATGGTATCTCTACCACGCTGAGCCAGGTCTCGCTCCAGTCGAAGGTTACGGCGAACGATGTAAATCGGCTTGGTGCTTCAGTGAAGCAGATGTCGGTCACTGCCGACTCCACAGCAGATGGCGTAACAGCTTTGCTCAAGGTAAAAGATAAAAGAAGGCTTAACGAGATCCTCGCATGGCTAACACCCGATCCAAACTTGGATCCGTGGCTCGAATTCAAGGCAGCCCGGAACAAACATCAGTCTGGTACGGGCAACTGGCTGCTCACTAGTCCGAACTATTCGTCCTGGAAAAGTGGCCCGACACCTCATCTCTGGCTCCATGGCAAGGCTGGCTGCGGAAAATCAATTCTGTGTTCGACAGCCATCGACGACTTGCGCACGAGCTGTGAGCATGCAGCTACCATCGGATTCGCAGTGTTTTTCTTCTCTTTCGCCAATTAGAAAAAACAGTCAGTGGATGAGATGCTGCTCGCTTTGATTGCACAGCTGGCTCGTAAGCCGTCTGGTCTGGCTGTCCTTGAAGCAGCCTACGAAATTCACAAACATGGCACGCCCTTGAATGCGCCACTACAGGAAATCTTTCTTGACCAGGTGAACGCGACGTCGAGTACCTTCATTATCTTGGATGGCTTAGACGAGTGTCCCGCCGCATTTGATGCTCAACGCCAACTGTTGGAGACCTTGGAACGCCTCGCGGCGAAGACAAAGACAATGAAGCTTTTCATGACAAGTCGAGACGAATTAGCGATCCGGCGTGCCGTTCATGGCAAGATCCAGGCAGAAGAGATCGCCATCGATGCTCGCCAGACGAACTATGACATCGAACGCTACGTCGCGGGTGAGATCGAGAAAGACACGAGACTCCAACGATTCAGCGAAAAGAGCAAGTCGCTCGTCAGGACCAAGCTAGCCGAAAAGGCTGACGGCATGTAAGTTCCCAGACCCCACCCAGTGCGGCGCTTTCACGGGCACCAGGACGCCTCTGGGCCGCTCATGAGAACTCAAAGACTTTCTTATCTTTCAGCTTCCATGCGTACCTTCGCCGTTAGTCGTCAACAGACGTATCGATGTCTAAACCAGATTTTTCCCATGCAATTGGTGTGCAGGGTACTAGAGAGGTGCACGTCGTTGCTCAGATCGCAATTCTTTCTCAGCATTGTTCGTCAGCTTGGACGGCATGATGGGCTGGAGAAGCTCTCGAAATGGCAACTAATACGACTTGCAGGTTCAGATGGGCCTTCTGCCAACTCGAAGAACTAAAGAAGATCAAGATGAGCACTCCTCAAAAGGTGGAACAGGCTCTCGGTACACTACCCAGTACCTTGGATGAGACTTATGACCGCATGCTTGCTCAGATCGATGATATGGATCGTCGCGAGGCGAGAATAATCCTCCAATGGCTCGTGGTGAAAGGAGAGGGCATGAGCTTACGTGAAATTGCGGAGACATGTATCATCGATCCGGAGCTCGAGACGGTGAACATAGAAGACAGAGCCGATCCGGAAGATATCGTCGATCTGCTAGGAAGTCTGGTTGTACGATACAGCACTCTGGCGGACATTGAGCTTACGCTAGCTCACTTTTCTGTGCAAGAATACCTTTAATCGGCTCGACCATCATTACGTCGGCCGCGCGCCGCGTTCTTCCAAATTGTCGAACAAGAGGCACATTCATTCGTGGCTGACAGTTGCCTCACGTACTTGGACTGGTATAGCTCGGAAGTGCAAAAGCATACTGAGAGTACTGTCACCAATTCGCAATTTCCGCTCTTCGAATATGCGAGAGACCTTTGGCATTTTCATAGTGAACACGAGGCCGATGAGCAATTCGAGAAAGAGGTACGCTTATTGGGCTCCACCAAGAAGGCACAGCAAATCTGGGATGGACAGACTGGCATTCAGCAGGCAGCAGCGCACAATCTCTCTCGGCTTGCACGAATATTATGTAGCGACGGTGCATACCTGGATTCCCTTTCTGGTACTAGATCCCTTGGCAGGGCATTGGACCTTGCGATGCGCAACCAGAACTTTGAAATGGTTGTCACTCTGCTTGACGCAGGAGCTGATATCAATCATCCTCGCCGTGATGGAAGATCTGTCTTGGAATACGCTGCTTCTGAAGGCCTCGACACGATTGTCAAAGTACTACTCGATGCAGAAGCCGACAACGAACGAGTAGTTCTGCGTCCGAAACGAGCATTCATTATTGAAGCCGACGCCATCACTGAACAGCGCGCTGCAGCTAGAGAGTTCCGGTACGACGCTGAAGCCGGTCTTCTGTACGCCTCTGGGGCTCGCGACGATATTGAAGTCCCACGCTTCGAAGTACCTGAAGATAACGACAAAGCTCTAGATGACGTCGAACGACATTGGCAAGATTCACCCTCAGTGGCAGCGCTGAAGGCAGCCATAGATGAAGGTCACTTCAACGTTGTCAGATGCCTGGTCGAACACGCAGCTGACCTGCACCTTGTCCTTCACCATGTTGCGAAAAACGCCAAGTTGAGCACGACCTCTGGCATGATGCGCTACTTGATCTCAAAGGGAGCCGACCCAGCAGAAGTCGATCATCAAGGATGCAGTGCGCTGCATCGTTTGAGTGAATCACATGTAGACTGCGTTGAGCTGCTGGTAGACTCTGGCGCCAAAGTAGCAGCCCGCAACGGGCTTGGCTACACCCCGTTTATGATGGCCGTAAGGGATGCCAGGATCAGCGTGGCACAGCAACTGCTTGCATACGATGCTGATCACCTTGGATTGAAAATACAATGTGCTCTGCAAAGCATGGCGCGCGATGCGTCACCAAGGTCAAAAAAGAAATGGCAATTGTCTGTGGACATCCTGCTGCGTGCCGGTGCCGTTATCAATTGCAAAGATGAGGAGGGTCGTACCGCTGTCCATAGTGCAGCTCTATTCGGTGCTGCAAAGTTCTTGGAAGCATTGGCTGAGAGGGGAGCTGACTTGAACACGAAGACTGGAAGAGGAAAAACTGCATTGGCGATAGCGAAGCGTCGTCTCGCAAGGTTGGCAATTGGATTGCATGATGTGAACTGGAGATATAGCGATCATCAGCATCGCGAATACGCTATGCGGAGACATGGCATGATGGAGGGTGTCCAACAAATTATAGACTTCCTTGTGAGACAAGGCGCAGCCGATGAAAATGATTTCGTGGAATGTGAGAGGATCAAGGAAACTGGCTAGATTTGGCTCCAAGTGATGCCGGTCCCAGAAGTGATTGTGCCATCGATTCTATGGGACTTCTCGCAAAAGCAAGGACACGGTTGAAGTGAAGCATTGCAACCTAAACTCCAGCTCGAGTTTGCTCGACACATTGTCGGAATGGAATCTCAGGTCAGAAAGGAAGATGGCCATGATGTCGAAGTCTAGTGCTTCGACCGCCGTTCTCACTTGTCAAGGCTCATATCGCTGATCCTAAAGTCCTGATTCTCATCATGGAAATTCTTCCTTCAGATTGATCAATCCTTCTCCGTACCCGAACAGCGTTTAATCTTCTCTTCTTCACCACGACAAATATCCACAACCTCACCTCTCCCAAACAAACAAACTACTACCTGCACGTGTCTCACCCACGCACGGCTACGATGTGCACTGCGTCCTATGTAAAGCACAGGGAGGAATGCGGTATGATACTCGCACAAAGCGTGGCGTGTAGGACATCACGAGCGCTTCGCACCATGCCGCATAAGCCCTTGAAGAGAACAGCCCTATCCCGCTTGCTGAAGTTAGCATTCAGATGGCTAATTATACACACGTATAGACAAGCATCCCGGTCCATCCGAAGTATAAGGTCCAGGATCCGGTGTTCGTCCGAGACCTGCTCCTATTCAAATAGGCACAGACGTCTAGTGGCGACGATATAGTGCATATATAGGCCGCAGCACATTCGAGAGGACGCCTGTACGTCCACAGCAGTCCCCACGCATCCTTCCGAGTCCATCAACACCACAATGAAGTCCTTCATCGTCGCCGCCCTGGCCGCAAACGCCGCCGCTCAAGCAGCCACAAACTTACCCATCCGCTACAGTGGAATTGGCCAGGATGCCTCGGGCGTCACCGTGAAAGACGGCATCATCAACGCCTCTGACAAACGCTTCTGGCTCGGCAAACCCGCAAAAACCTATTGCGGGCCGCCGCTACGGGATCCCGCATCCGTCGTTTGCAAGTCCAATGACGAGAACAACAAGACAACCCTCTTCCTCTACGTCCCTGCTGATGGCACCTTCAAACTCGATTCCACCGATAATGGGCAGTATGTCTATGTGGCCGTGGATGGCGCGCTGGGCTTTGCGTGGTATCGAGATCTTCCCAAGGACGGTGTGATAGTGGGCTTCTCGAATGGCAACGGCGAGGTCCTGACATTCGAGGGCAAGGAGTGGTTGTCATGTCCGGTGGAGGGTGAGGAGGCGTGGCAGCTTTTCGCGCAGAGCCGGTCGAGCAGGACTGACTGCGTGGGCACCACGTTCAAGCTGAAGCAGGAGAAGGAGCGATATGAGGGCGGTCCTGCTGGTGCGGCTGAATACATCTAGATTGGGGCAGCGTACCAGCGACCTCGTGAGGTGGTACAATTCTGGGAGGGGAATGGTTGGCGGACGGTAGAGCATGGCGAGAAGGAGTATGCACTGGGTGCCTGTAACTATTGTCGAATGTCAATAGAGTCGTACATGCATTTGCAGCATGAAAGACATTCGAACTCGTCACTGATCAACAACATGATCTCGATGAGAAATTGATTATGTCGATAAGGCACAACGACTCGATTGCCAATGCCATGTGAATGTCTTGCACATGAGACTGCAAAATCAGGCAACAGTGATCAGTCGCAAAAGTGTTGATGAGGTGTTTGGAGGAGATCAGCAAATCGGAAGACGGAACAGTCCAATCTCCGAACACGACGAGAGAACCATCGAGACGAGACCCCTTCCCTTCTCTCTCGAATCGCATCACATCGCAATTGACTTCAACTTTCTCCAGCACACGCGCGCGTGTCACTCCTGCGCATCGCGTCGACAGCACACCTCGAACTTCCGACCAGAACTTCTCATACGACATCCACGCATCCGCATACGCCCGATTTCACGAGAGTCCTCGACACCCGGCGCATCCATCTTAACCTCGTCCGTTCCCATCCTCACGCGTACATACAAAACCGCAACTGCAACAATGCTCGACCTCACCAACCCCACAACGCAAACAACTCTCCTCCTTTCTGTAATCGCCCTCCTCCTCAGCTTCCTCCTCTTCCAACCCACCGGCTTCGTCAAATGGCTCCAAAAGAAAAACTACCAATACGAAGTCACTTTCTCCTTATACATGTTAACGCCGACGGAGAAATTCGTCTTTAGTAAGTCCCCCAAACATCCCTCCAACCTCCCCCACTCCGTGAAATTGCGTAGCTCCGCCTAACGAGAGTCAACTCGCTGACGCTCGTAGACTCCATCCTCTTCCTAACATTCTCCCTCTTCCTCATCGCCTCCGTAATCTACCTCCCCAACCACATTCTCACCATGTCTCGACGAACATACTACTACTTCGCGGGGGATAATGTCAACAACACCTTGGCCGGAGGCGCAAACGGTGTAGCAGAGCGAGTCTACGGAACAGCGAGTGAATGGGCGCAAACGGCGTATCAAACCGCTTTTAACAGAACGGGTTCAGCAGGAGTGGAGAAAGTGGTGGAGAAGGCGAGTGAGGTGGTTTCAGCAGCAGCGGAAAGCAGTAGTGCGGCTGCGGTGGTAGCGGAGGGGGCGAGGAATGCGGCGCAGCAGGTGGTGGAGGGAAATTGAATTGATGGGGAGGCAGTGGTAATGGCAAGAGGTGGGGGAGTCTTTTTTGTTGATCGCGTTCTGAGCGAGGAGTTGGGACCGAAGAGCATGCATAATGTGTTGCACATACTATTTGAAGAGCGGACGCAAAATGAAAAGCACGGCACGAAGACGAGCGTGGGCATCCAGGACACGATATTAATTCGATTCATGCATATCTTACAGCATGTTGGACTGCTGAGCCAATGATCCACTAGAGCAATTCTGTCGCTCTCATACAACTACGCTTCCAACATCGACTGCGGAGTCTCGCGAGGCTCGTCTGCTGATCTCGTAACTGAGAATTGAATGATCAGCATACATCAGCATGAGCCGCCATCGTCTTTGGTCGTCCAGCAACCGCGCGGTGCCCTGCTGAATGGGCGAGGCCGCAATGCCATGCAGTGGCTGAAAGGGGCGTTCGAGTGCCTCCTCCTGCGAATCAAACGGCAAGATATGCTCAATGCGCATGGCATAATTTGTCTTCTTTTCAACGTGGCCATTCTTCATCTCTTCAGGATACTGCGCACGTTTGGAAACCTTAGTCAGCGATAGGACCATGGCTCGACCCTTTTGCGAGGCCAGGACGACTACACCAATGGCTGGAATGTAGCAATGCAAGTTCAGCCGCTCAAACGCATTCAACCAGCCATGCTCACCCTGCACAAATTGGTGCAGTGCATCGGTAAAGCCGACCATGGGCGTTTCGAGTGCTCCGTTTGACTTTTTCTTTGGCTGTGGTTGCAAAAGGTACACACTGCGTACGCTGCAATGCAAGATGGGACATGGCAGGCCGTTACAAATGCTCTTTTCCGTATATGCTGTTCGAGGTTCGTTGCCGTGGATTCTGCGACCATCGTACAAGCTCCGAAACGATAGCGAGTCTTCTGTGCCTTCGTCATCAGAATAAGCGTCCGCCATGTACGCGGATTCACCAGAATCCGAGTCGTCTTCGAGCTCCTCGTCAGTTTCATCGCTCTCCATGACCATACTTGCATCCTCGTCCGAAGGCAAGGGTGAGCTCGCAGGTTGCCGTGCAGAATGCGACGTATTATCCAGTGTCGCACTGGATGTGGCACGTCTTCCGCCGTCTTGGCGAGCGTTCCTCCTGCTCGCAGAGAACTTGTCCGCGGAGCGCGGAACATATGAAACTGTCTGGCCAATGTCCCAGATGCCCGGGTTGCTCTGCACGCCCGGTAATCGGTCGCCGTCCTCAAGGCCAAGCGCTGCATCTACGCTATCCTCGGGTATGAAAGACCTCTTGTCCAGGAAGCTGATTCCCCAACCACTGTTCAAACGATCGTGGGACAGGTAACTCGAGAGGGATGAAAAACGGAACGTCTGATCGGGTTGCATAAGATGCAAATCCAATGAGCGACAGTTGCCACCGATATCTGTTGTTAGCAGCCATCGTGCTGTAGGGTCGTCTCCCGTGTTGCAGAATGCAACGTGAGGGATATTGGTAGAGCCATTAATGATTTCTACAGTCACATCGTCTCTGTCCTCTGTGACATGCGGGCCGTCGTCATCGGAAGCTGTGTCTTCGTCGTCAGTCTCGCGTGCCAAGCCGAACTTGAAGATGGTGATGTTGTGCGTATTGGCGCTCACGGCGATGATTCTCGCCTGCGAATGAATGGCCAGACCCCATGCACTCAATCCGACATTGCTGTGAAAGAAGGGCTTGATCTCATCGGCGATAGGACCAATCTTGCTGTCGGCTACCGCGCGTCTCTCGATGGCAGATATGATGTGTCGGACAAGGAACGCATTGACGTCGCCATCGTCGCGCACAGCAGCGACGACCTCCTCGTTGCCGAGACGCTGTACGACGAGGTAGTTGATCGAGTGCGGTTGTCGGAGGTCGACGGTGCCTCGCAGCCCCGGACTGGATGGCTGCGAGGGTACGATCAGTGCAGGCTTCTGCGGCAATGCTTGGGTAGGATACTGTGGCACGTAGACGTAGATGTCGGTACTGTATGCGATGAAGTAGAGGTTCTGGCGCTGCGAGAGGGCCGTCTGGAGGTTGCGTCAATGACAATTAAGGTCCGCAGCGTCGCATTCTCGAACTCCCCCCGGAGGCGGCACCTTACCAGATTACAGCGCCAGTGGGAGGTCGGCGGAGTGTCTCCGAAGTCGTTGCCGCGGAGTCGTTTGCCAAAGCGAGCTTCGTAATTCTGTACGCCCGTAGAAAGGATGGAGGCTTCTTCGAAGCTGCGCTTGCCCATGTCCTCTGCGCGAGAGTGGAGCTTGCGCCTTCTGGTGCAGATTGCAGAGGGAAGAGCGGCTTTCGACGGAGAGGGAGGTGCGTTGCGAGGTGAGAGTGTGCTGTGCTGGCTGTGCCACGAGCGTGCCTGCCGGCCAGACGAAGTGTCTCAGCGGTTGTGCAATCGACGCGCTCTGTCCAATCAGGAAGGCGGGATGGAGATGACTCCTGTTTTTAGCAGTGGCCTTTTCCCCGATTGTCGACCTCACTCCTTGACATGACCACCGAACAAGGCGACGGCGATGCTCAGGCGACGGGCGAGTGGCCGCATTCAGCGCCGGTCGCGTGGCCCATCCATGTCTGCTGGTCACCGGTCGCCTACGGCTCAGCCCTCGAGCGTGCGCGCGGCGCAACCCAGGGGCACCGCACAGAGCTGTCGTTCTTTGCGAGAATGACGCGCGAGCCGACTGCGGTGTAACGGGCAACCTCTACTCCCAGTGGTCGTCGTCGGCAAGCTGCCTGCAATTGAGATCCGCTATGCACCCCGTCACTGTCGCACGAATGCGATGGTGCTGATGGCCAAGCCACGGCCGTCCGCTGACAGGCAAACCAGCAGCAGACTGACAGACAGGTGCCTTCTCGTACAAATGGAACGATGCCTCCTGCCGCTCGTTTACGGACATGGCCGCAACTGCCGGCACGAGCTGCAGCCAGACTTCTGCTCGAGCCACACGGATGCCCGCTGCTGCTGCTGCTGTCGACAATCATCGACGACCGGCACCGTCCAATTCCTGCCATCGCCGCCGGCTTGCCGCTCCGCCCGAGCTTCCATTGCTGAACCAACTTCTCCGCTGTGCAACACCACCACGGCCGGGGCACGCGGCGGAATGCGCACAGCACGCCCCCCGTCGACACTCAAATACTGCGTCTGCCTGATGCACCTCGACGCATAGCCCACCCTTGCCTGTCACGCTGCGATCCGCCCTCAGCCAATATAATTGTGTCACTTTGCTGCTGTGCGCCCAACCATGTCTCTTCAATTCGACCATTTCTCTCATTCATTGCTATTGTTAACCGAGCCCACCACGGGCACAATTGTGTCACCACAACTACGACGCTGAACGCTATCGCGACCGGGATCCATTGCAGCCTCCACCTGCTGCCAGTCCTCACTGGTCGTTGATGCCATTCGACACTTCGGACAATCCTGCCCTCCCGCCTACTAGCCCGTTGACCAGCCCTGCACAAGACCAAAACAGGACTACACACGTCTCCAGTGTCACCCAAGACTCAGCGCATACTGCCGGCTGTGGGAGACGTCGAGTAGTGCTCATGATTGCGCAGGAATCGGCTTGTCGATATTAATCCCCGCCTCCAACGTCCGCATTGGCGAGGCAAACCAACATACATATGCCTCGCCACTTCCCTCTCCCACAATGCAAGCTTCATCATCCACAAACTCTCCTGACACCAAACAACGGGCAGTGAGACATTGGCTAGACAACATTCCTCCTACCTTTCCCAAGACCACAACATCCCAGATCCCTATATCGTCAGTCATCAACGAGGCCACGCCCACAGAGCTGTGCACAATGACTCGTTCTTCAGCTCAAGGTTTGAGTGCCCTGACCAGCTCGAGCACCATTGTGCTCTTCACGCCTGTCATTGCTGCCAAGGCATTCCCCAGCAAGACTTCATCTGGCAACAACACCGATCCGTTCGAAACCCTAGGCCGCGCTCTCAGTCGACACCACAAGCGTATTCGCCATGTGCCATATCATCCCAAGATTGGCTTCACAGACACCCACGATGCATTCCTCAGCCAAGCCGATGCCGTCGTGGTTGTTATATCTGAGCCAGTATCCAACAAGACCGAAAGTCTTGGCGATCAGATCGAGTTTGCGGAGAACGCCAATGCGGCGTTGAAGGAAAGCCTGGGTGGGAGACCACTCAAGCATCCTGTCACCTTGATCCAGTGCGGCAACTCTGAGGGAAATTGGTGGCCGGACAGCTCGGCATTCGACACAGTCATGAAGTGTCGTTCGTACGATGTGGAGACTGCACAACAGGTGGCAAGGAAGCTGTTTGAGGGGAGGAAGTGATGTTCCTCATTTGTCAACTCAAGCGGCTTTCTCGACAACCCACGACTGATCATGCCCGTCACGACCAACATTCTTACTCGGCGCATCAATTATTCGAAACGGCCTTGCATGTCATCGATACTGGACGGGACGAAGCAAGCATATGCTGTTCTTGGCGTCTTCAACGCGACTTTGGACAACATGTATTATCATTGCATCGAATAAAGGTGGGCGACTTCCTAATATTGGCGGAATGCAATCTGGAGGATCGAAGTGCAATTGAGAGATACCCCCTGGTGTGGCTTGCCTGTAGGAGGAGTGGGCGACATTCATTTTCCTGAAATTCGAGCAAATCGATTGGCTGTTGCGTTCTGGTCATATATCCTTTTCTGTACATTGCTTACTTCACATCATCTCTGTTTACTTCTTGTTGACATCATTTCAGATCATTGTCATCTATGCTCTCCATCTTCCTGCTTGGATATTCTTCTACTCCAACCCAAAGCAATTCGCATAATAAGTACTCGTCCCCGGCCAATCACTAAAAATCTTCGTAGCACCGACCTGTTGGGCGATGACGTCGATCACTTCGAATTGATCTCCATCATTGTTAATCAAGTTGTTCACAGAAGAGTAATAATATCCTCCACCTTCCTCCAGTGGTCCACTCCTCTCAAAACTCCACGTAATAATCTCCAACCCCGCATCCTTCGCCGCAGTAGCATACGTCGAAGGAATTATTGACTGTGTCTCATTATCCGCAGTAATCAATTGCCAAATACTCGGCGCGATGATCTTGACTCCACGTTCTGCAAGACCTGGAAGAGAAGCAACTGCTTCCTCGTAACCTGTAGCGTTCAAATCTGCGCGTTCGTCGAGGTAGACGGCTTGTTCGCCATATGCGGGGGTATTATCGATCCAGTAGAAAATATCCGCCGGGAGGAAAGATTGTAACCAGACACGTGAGGGGTCGATGTTAGCTTCATCGAATGTATCGACGATTTGTTGGACGAAGTTTTCTTGGGTGTAGTTTCCTTCGAATGGCATGTCAATCTCAGGAGTTTTGGCTTCGGCTGTGAAATTTAGGCCGTAGCTGTCGACTAAAGCGATTTGTTCTTTGAGGGAGACGGGTTCGGCACAATCTGCGGCGTAGAGGTTTGTGCGCCAGTCGGGGGTTTGGCCTAAGCGGCCGTTGTATTGGGATGTGTTCAGGGCGTTGAAGGTTCCGGATTCCATTTCGGCGCAGAGGGTTTTGTATTCGGCGAGGGTGATGTCGGATGTGCAGCATTTTGCTGTGGCGAGGTCGCCTGTTTCGGGGTTGAAGGGGACGAAAGGTTCGGAGCATTTTGCTGCCAACTCGGGAATTGCGAGGATGTTGGTTGTGTAGTGGAGGTCGCAGTTGGAGTGGCGGCAGACGAGTTCCCGGTCGGAGGTGAAGCTTACGTCGCATTCGATGATGCCTGGAGGATGTCAGTCTTGCAATTCTTTGATCATTGGCTTCAGGAATTGTTGCTCACCTGCTCCCATTCGTGCTGCAGCTTCATAGCCTTCTCTCGAGTGCTCTGGGAATTGCAATGCAGCTCCACGATGCGAGATGGAGAAACTGCTGGTCTGGAAAGGGCCCTCAGAGCAGCTCTCCAGCTTCTCCTTCAATGGACCATCGTCCATGTTATCCACGAGGTACCATGGCCTCGGTCCAAGCTGGACATTCAAGCTCTTCTCTGGTTGTCCTTTCGCATGGCCGCGGTATGGCTGAGGCGACACTGGCTGCTGGCTGCCTCCTCCGCCATTGCTGCCACCACCTGGGTATTTGCCTGGAGACCACTTCCCATCATCATATGGTGTTCCTGCTCCTTCGTACTTGCCAGGACTCCACGATCCGTCGTCCTGTCTCTTTGCTGGCGCGGGAGCAGCGGCTGCCAGTCCAACGGCCAGGGTAACGGCCGCGAGCTTGAGTGTGGAAGGCATGGTAGGTAGCTGTTCAGCTTTCGTAACCGGCTAGATAGCTGTTCGCGTTCCTACTGGACACCGCAGTGAATGAATCCGGACAGCGAAGCTCAATGCTGTGCTCCAACACGACACAGGACGAAGTTCCAAGGAACAGAAGATCACCTACCAGAACAAAAAGCCCGAGCAGAAACAGAAAAGCAAGGACCTCGTTCCCAAATAAATAAGTAAGCCTGCAGCAAAAGCACCACTTTCTTCTTTTCTCCGAACCGGCTCACCCATTCCCAATGCGTGCACATCAACGTCAATGGGAGGAACTAGCTTCGCCGATAGCAGCGGATAGCTTCACACGCTTCATGCATGTGAGCTCCGCTTAGGGCCTTTACCCGTTCCTGAGACAGCATGGAAGCTAGTAAGCTAGCACGTGGAAGCATAGCTTGCAGCGTGTGGACTCGCGTAGCAGCGCGTAGCGGCGGCATCTGGTGTGAAAGAAACAAATTGGGGCTGGGGAATGATGTCGTTGGATCTGAAATGCCCAGACTGTGGTGCTTCCGGGATCCTGGAGGTTGAGCTCGAATGGGGAAGGGGCGACTTGGCGCAGGGCTTGGCGGCGTGGTTCTTATCGTGGGTGAGACACGTGCGGACGAGGAGGAGTTTGTGAGGGCTCGTACTGTAGTAGTTGTTGGCGAGCGCTACACGAGAGACTCAAGTTCAATGGGACAAGAAGAACCGTTGGAGTGCGGTAGGATATGTTCTCCCAGGACGAACATCTGAGCACTTGTTCCCGCTAACCCGAACAAGGGAAGGTTCTGTGGAGACTTCTCGTTCCTGAGGCATGCCACTTCGACTTCATCTGCATGTCTGCTGAGACGACGCTTTCCATTGCCAAGTCATCATTTGCAACATGTTGAAGCAGGCTTCTGTGGTACTGTGTCTTGCTCTGGGCATCTCCGCTTCTAGTCCACACGTTCACCACCTGCCCAGTTTACGTGAGCAAGCAAAAATCCAAGATGGCTGGCGTGAAGAGAGATTAGCCACGATACCTGCCATTCTGCGTAAACACGGTGTCGATGCTTGGATTGTACATTGCGCATTCAATTAGACTCACGCGAAGTCTTCAGACTGACTTTCTTTTCCAGGTCAGCCAACGCGAATATGGCGAAGAAACCGTCTTCTGGTCCATGAAGCAAGCAGAGCAATTCTCAGCACGACGTAGAACGCTTTCCATATTCTTCGCAGATGACGGCTTTGAAGGCTGCGAATCTCACACGTGGATCGATAACACTCCAAAGCTCTGGCAAGACCTCCACAATGTACTTCGATTTTGCGATCCACACAGTATTGCACTGAACATCGATTCAGAGATCGCATTTGCTGGAGGCTTACATGCGGGAGAATACAGGAAGCTACTTGAAGAAGTTCCCGCACCATGGAACGAGCGTTTCGTATCGAAGCCATTGGTGGCAGTGGAGTATATTGCGACAATGCCTAAATCGCGCCTGCACTGGTATCGTAAGCTCATGGAGACAGCATGGGCAGTCATAGATGAAGGCTTCAGTGAGCGAGTCATCACCCCCGGCAAGACAACGACCGAAGATGTCGAATGGTGGTTTCGAGAGAGATTGCAATCACTGAATTACACGACTTGGTTCCACCCCGATGTGACAATCCTCCCAGGCTGGTTAACAGCAGAAGACAAATCACAACGCTCTAATGCGGAAAAGCAAAACACGATCAAACACGGCGACCTTCTGCACGTCGACTTCGGCCTCACAGCCCTAGGTCTCAATACAGACACACAACATCTCGCTTATGTACTTCACCCTGGCGCTTCAGAATCGGACATTCCCGCCTCTCTCCTCGCGGGTCTGAAGAAAGGCAATAAACTTCAAGACATCGTTCGCTCACACATGGTCCCCGGCCTTTCAGGAAACGAAATCCTCCTCAACGCTCTCGAGTCCATGCGCGAGGCCAACATTTCCGGAAAGATCTATTCGCACCCCATCGGCGACTGGGGCCATAGTGCTGGAACACTGATCGGCATGACGAATTTGCAAGATGGCGTTCCTGTTTTGGGTGATTTGCCATTGTTGAAGGATATGTATTATAGCGTGGAGTTGTATGTGGAGCATTGGGTTGAGGAGCGAAATGAGACGATTGTGTTCCCATTGGAGGAGGATGTGTATTGGGATTCGGAGAAAAAGAGCGGGGAGTGGGTTTGGGGGAGGCAGGAGAAGTTTCATTTGGTGAGGTCGTCGAAAGAACAGAAGGAGGATTTATGAAGATACGAACGTGGTGAGAGAGGCTGAAATCAATTCACGGGTGAGTAAAGCGCCGGAGACAACCATATATGTCCTACTCTTTCTCGACGCACGAGAGTCTGTCGCTGCTCTTCCCGAGAAAAGCCTGTTCAACCAAGACCCATCCGGCTGCCTCCTCCTGAATGCCATCGTCAGGCTCAGCAAGAATGATCGTCGCCTCACACAGGACCTGCCTATCAAAGCCTATGCCGGCGATCTTGATCTCTCGCACCATATCCGCCCCGTTTCTCTCAGTGCTTGGTGGAAGAACGAATTCCAACGCATAAGCCCTTCCCAACTCCTTTCCATCAGCAGAAATTCTGAAATGGGCGCAAGGTCCTGTGATAGGACTATATGGCATAGCGGTGTCATCGTGACTCTGTCCAGGGTCTGAACTGATCTTCCAATGTAGCCTCGAGTGACGATTCATGCCAGTCCCTCGCTTCTCCAGACCGAGATCGGAAATGTCACAACGAGGCCTCTTGGCGGACTTTGTTAGAACTGTGATGGAATATATCTCAAGAATATCAGACTTTGCCGCCTCAAGTGACGAAGAGTTCTGGTCGAACTCAAAGCAGATGAACAGGCTTTCGAGGAAAATTGGTTGCTCTGTCTGTGCGATGGGCCCCATTTCGGAAGCGTTGATGTCGAGTGTCCACTCTAGCCTCGCGAGCTGTTTGTCGGTCACGACAAGTGCTTCACGCCTCGACTGTCGTTGGCCATAGCTATCTTGGAAGTCGGCCTGGAGCCAGAGATCGCGGTGAGCGTAATGCAAGATACGGTATCTCATCGTAAGCTTCAGTGGCTCGAGAGCAGCCACTGCCATTTTCGCAAGCTGAATTCGCGAGCGTGACATGGCGCCTTGGCTGAGAGGCGCAATGGACAGAACGCATCTCGAGGGAGAGTCATGGACTTTTGCTTGAAGTTGCGCAGCATGAGGACGAGATTCGGTCTCGAATGGCTGAATATTTTGAAAGCCTAGAAAGGCATTTACGACTCCGTCATCGTTTCGCGAAAAAGCGCGCTCGAAGTTGGTGTGGAAGAAAGTGGAAGATCCAGCTGGGAAAGCTTTCGCATACTCAACTACTCCATGTTGCTGATATGGCGCCGTATCGTGTGGTCTTTGCGGGTCGCAGTCGCAGGCCAGGTCCTCCGGCAGCGGAGTGCCCTTCCATATTGCTCCTTCCACCGCAGAGTTGTGGTCGCTGAAATGCTCATACGACCAACCCGGCGCGAAGAGGCCAGCGTTCAGACCCAGCTCCTGGAGGACCTGCACGCCGAGGCCAGTGCCTGTGCCACCACCGAAGAGCCTAGGCCACGTAACGCGCCTGTGCTTCCTGTCTTGCTGATAATTCTGTGCCCAGACATCGATGCCAAAGTACAAGTTATCAAGACCCAAATCGCTTTCCAAGGCACGAGCTTTGCCGCTCTGAGCCAGCTCTGGATCCCATTTGTAGTTAGTAAGCATAGAGCCTGCCGCGATGGCGAACTGTAGATTCATGTAGTTCAATGTGTTCTGATACCAGATGAAGTTGAGCGTCGTGAGTGCATCGTACCTGTAAAGTGATGAGTCTGTAGCGAGAGCGCATTCTCGGGAAATAAGCTAATGGAACAAGCAGACCTACCACACTACCTTGCTGTTCACGCCGAGCTCATCTCTCAACTGCCGCAGGAAGCCTTCCAGCTTTGCCGCACTCCAGGATAGCAGCGGGAAGGGAGTTTCAATGTTAATCAGCCAGCCATCGAAGCCATAACATTTGGCCATATTGGCGAGCTTCCGAGCGACCCAAAACGAGCCGGACTCGTCCTGCTGCAATATGTATTCAACATCATTAGATCCAGGCTCGACGATGAAAGTCCCGAGTACAATGACACCATTGCGATGGCACGTATTCGTCCAAGTAGGAGGCGGGACAGACACAAGACGATGAGAGAAATACACGAACGTCTCCACGAATTGGAGGTGATTGCAAGAGTATTGTTCCTTGGGCACAACCTGGCCCTGACAGGATTCATAGTCGTTGTATCCGCCTTGGTAGTCATGTATGAGCATCACTTTGGCGCCATGATCGCTGTCCGATTCTGCTCGCTGGAGGAGCGGAGTGTTGGACTTCTGCAGGGCGTCGGCGTCGTCTGGTGTCCAAGCCAGTAGTTCGTCGAACGTCCCGAAGTATGTGAAGCCTTTCAAGGCATCTCGAGTCCTCTGCTCTGCCCACTCAGCATCAACACAAGACTTTTGGGAGGAAGGTTGATCCATTTGAGTGGTGGAGTGTGAGGTGTAGGAAAGTGGGAAGCAGGGAATGGCAGTGGGTGCGGGAAGGCGGGAATGGGCGCTGCAGGGGTCGGCGATTCACAGCTGCTGCTGTGTGGAGCTGAACCACTTGTTTCGAGGGTCCTCGTCGTTGGGAAGTTGTGGCTTTCACTTTTCTGAAAGCTGTCGTCAACAACACAACACACACATGCGCCGCAAGGGGCCCGCTTTGCATTGACTTCACATTGGAACACACGGTCTTGCCCATTACCATTTTGCGACCTGACGCTCCACGAAACGACATCTGCTGCGGCACGGATAAGCAGCCACCATGAATCTCTTCCGGATCTTGGGTATGGATGCGAGAAAGCATGTTATGGAAGTCGCGGACAGCAACTAATTGAGACAGGCGACTTGTCGCATTTGGCATCCATCTTCATACTGCTTGCTAAGATGAAGTCGTCAAGTGTATGCGATCCCCGCGGCGGCATCCACGCATTGGGTTCTTCGAGCTAATGGCTGCCTGCAGAGCGCATCGGGTATTTCCTTCAAATCACAATTTCTCTACCTCGTGGTCTACGTTACGAGATATCTTGGTCAGTTGGAAAGAGCATCAGGGTATGTGAGAGGGCTGGCTGACGGAAGGTGGCAGATCTGCTATGGACGAACCCAACAAACAGCCTTTGGAACACTACCTTCAAAATCATCTTCATTGGCGCGCAGGCCTACACGATATACCTCATGCTCAACGACTACAAACCGACGCACGACCCGAATCAGGATACCTTCAAGGTGGAATATCTGATTGGAGGAGCGGCCGTCATGGGGCTTTTGTTCCCTTACCGATACAGCTTGACAGAGGTAAGGAGAAAGAGCATGAACTTGGCCTGCGGATGGAACGCATAGCTGACAGGAAGGCGGCAGATGCTCTGGGCATTTTCGATCTGGCTGGAGTCCGTTGCCATTCTGCCCCAACTCTTCATGTTGCAAAGGACAGGGGAGGCTGAAACCATCACAACGCACTATCTGTTCGCTCTCGGTGCCTACAGAGCGCTTTACATTCCCAACTGGATATGGCGATTCTTCACGGAGAACCATTACTGGGACCCCATTCCGGTGATTGCGGGTATCATTCAGACTGTGCTCTACTCGGACTTCTTCTGGATCTACTACACCAAGTACGTCTTGCAGGAACACGTGGGATATGCCGCATGGGTAACAAGGCTGACGCACTTCACAGGGTACTGCAAGGCAAGAAGTTCAACCTCCCAGTCTAGAATACGCGAAACCGGAACATCTCTCCGGTGTCCCCAACGCGCCGTAGCCGAACAACGCGCCCAATGATGTGCATGCTGCTATGTCTGCACACACTAGTATACCTCACGATTCGCGCGCAGATTGTCCGTGCTCAATTAATTGAAATCAGGAAGGACGAATTGAGATGAGCAAGGCAATATACTCGCGTTGGCAGAAGAAATCGTAGCTCGACTGCGGCGAATGGCAATGCGATGTTCGATCGTTGGAACAGGCATGATGAGGCGGCATAGCTGTATGTGTAAAGATACGAGGTCGGTTGTGATGAGTGAGAAGGTTTTTGACCATCATTGCATATGCAGACGCTCGCATTGTAAGTTGATGAAAATAGCCAGCGATGGCATAATGAACTTCGATTTAAGAGTCGGGTCCTCGCGTAGTACTTCCACAAAACGTGATGATTGCGCCTGCTGTACTTGAATTCTCGGCCACGGCATCGTCGTTGCGAACTGAGCCGAGATCCACGTAGTCCAGATTCGCGATCCAAGTGTGCCGATGCAAGTGAAGGAAACCGACTCGTGTGGTTGACATGCTGGGCATCAATGCACCCAATGCTCCTCCGAACTTGAATGTCACGGTCGAATAGAAGCACACCGATGACGCCGACGGGTGCTTCCGACGACGCATAAAGCTGTCTAGCTTCTGGCAATTACTCGCGACACTGACACCCACACAGCCGGGCAAACGACCAGCCACTCCTCTACGCAATTGCTTCTGCGGATCATTCATTTGTCGATCCTGATTGTTGCAATATAGTCAGCGGCGCGCACACGCGCAACTTCGCCGGACCATGGCCGACCTCAGCGAGCTGTTCTCGCGCCTCAAACAGCAACAGAGCTCCGACGCACCAACTTCTTCGCAACCACCGCCGGCGGCATTGTGGGCACAACCAGCGTACGAGCCGCCGTCAGTGTCATCGCCGTTGGTCTCACCACCTACCCACACGCCGAATCCACATCACGCATCGAATATCATCAGTCCCATCAACCCGTCATCGAACGCCGGCACCCCGAATCAAGATCCCAATCGCACCAACAACTTGCTAAACCTTCTCAAGTTCCAAGGGCAGTCGGGGCAACAACAGCAGCCACAGCCACAATCAGGCGCAATGGCGGGCCTCACCAATGTGCAGTCGAATCGCCACACCTCGATACAAATCCCCGCGACGCAGCCTCGCGAAGGCGCATCCTCGCGCAATGCACGGCCATTGTCGGCAGCGGACGTCGTGGCTAACCTCCAACGCTCCTCCTCTAGTTCTGCCGTACCTCAGCGCAACCTGAGTGGGCTAGACGACGAGTTGAGGTCTAAGTCAAGTGGCAACCCTCAGGACTTGCTGCTGAATTTGCTCAAGGGCCCGAAGGCTCCAACGCCTGCACCAGTGGCGAGATCTGAGTCGCAGAACAGCAGGACGCTCAAACAGCAACCCGATATCGATGACTTGAGCAAGCAATTTGGACAAGCTTCAGTTGGCTCGACAGGCTCACAGGCGACACGCGAATCGACCGCTCGTCAGTTTGGCAGTCCCGCTGCTGGCAAAACCCCGTTTGAGGGTCCAGCTGCCAACAAGGCATCGATGTTCAACTACGTAAACCCATTCGACCAACTGCACACATCGTCGCCTCTGAACAGAAACCGCACACCGCAGCCCGCCGAGCAGGCGAACGTGCCCAAGAAGATCGAAATCCTGAAACATGATCGCAGCGCCTCCGCGCAGAATGTTGAGCAATCGCAGCCGAAGTCGAAGAGTAGGAAGATCGACGATGATGCTTCCTCGGCATCGACTAAGAGCATTTCAAAGGAGAACGTGGAGAAACAGGTCGCACATGCTCTCAAGGCTGCTGACAGCCGTGAGCCACTCAATAGCAGGGCCACCACGGATGATGAGCGCATCAAGAAAGAGACTGCAAACAACGAAGACGTTGAGTCAAATTGGGAGAGTGCCGAGGATGATGGTAAGGCGGATTACAAGGTGGAAGTGTACAACTTCCCAATGAAGCCATTTGTCTCGATCCAAGTGCGCCCATTAAAACAGGCTCGCTCAATTCGGCAAGATCACTTCATGGTCATTGCGCAGCTTAAGAAGGAGTTCGATCAAATCGACCGCTCGCTCGTCACTGCTAGCCAGACACACATTGTCTACGCGCAAGTCGCCACGAAGAAGGACAACGGAGGGTTCCGAATCATTCGACAGGACTCTGGCGACCACAAGCAAGTTTTCAGGTCGAGCGGCGAGCGCCTCTTCAGCGTCCAGCTCTGCAGCAACGTTGCTACAAAAGACAACGATGTCGAGACTGTGCTTGGCACTGGAGTGCATGGTTCCGTCTTCTGGACATCCCTCGTTAAGTCCAGAGGAGATTCGTTCCAGGATGACGATGTAGAAGCTCATGGTTTCATTTTGCCTCCAGTAGCTACTGTGGAGGAGAACACGAGCGGCTCTCCGGTGAAGACTCGTGCCAAAATGAGCGCCCGTCATCCCGACTACTTTGCCATCGCACGCGGCAAACACATCTACATCATTGCACCAGACACGGCCAGGAACAGCGCATACACTGACCAGAACACGCGCCGTGTCAACAGTGAAAAGTACTTTGCTGAGCAGACCCTCAAAATCAACACTGGCAAAGCGGGCAAGGACTTTTGCTTCTCCGAAGATGACACAGTCATTGTCAGCCTTGATAAGAACGGGCGGTTCAAGTTTTGGGACATTCGTGATCTCACAGCACAAGCAAGTGTGCGCAGCTTCGAGCCTCGCAAGCACGAGCCTGTCGAGCTGCGCGAACCAATCATTCAGCACACTGCAGTCACATCGGGGAGCAAGCCCGACGAGAAGCCCTCAGTGTCTTCGATCATGTTTCTTGATAAGGAGAAGCCATTTAACAAAGGCTCTGCACTTCGTTACATGCTTGTCGGCTTCAAGCAAAACCATATCCTGCAGCTCTGGGATCTTGGTCTTGGCAAGGCGGTGCAAGAGATTCGTCTGCCCCATGAGAAGGACAGCGATGGTATTTGCAGCGTCACCTATCATCCCAAGACTGGTATAGTGACTGTTGGACACCCAACTCGCAACAGCATCTACTTCCTACACCTTAGTGCACCAAAGTACAACCTTCCGACCATGGAGCAGGCCAGATTCATGAGAATGCTGTCGACGAACGACCAAGCTCTACCAAAGCCTGAGAGCACTGCTATCATGAGTGGACTTAGGGAGTTCTCTTTTGCCAAGGTGGGCCAGCTCAGAAGCGTGGACATGCTGAGAACGCCGGTCGAAAATGCTAGCGAGAACGGGACGGAGGAGGAGACCCTCTTTGAGCTGTACATCATGCACTCGAAGGGCTCTGTCGGCATCAGCATCAAGCGCGAAGACCTGGGCTGGGATAAGCAGAGCAAGATGATGAACCCTAAGGAAGCCCTGAAGGAGGGTGTCATCGAAGTGCGCGAGCTCTCAATACCAAAACAGTCGTCCTCATCGGGAGAGCGCACTGAGGCGGACACCACTTCGAGGCAGTTGCCGAAGTCGACCATTCTCGCGAAGCCAGAACCAACCAAGACTCCATCGCCGCTAAATGCCGTGAAGCAAGAGACTGCCCGTTCGCCAACACCCCTCTCCAACGGACAGCAACCTCGTCTGCTCTCGCCGGAACCGCCTACCAAGCCATTGCCGCAGATTCCTGCTGGCAACCCGCCCTTCATCACTGCCGATTCTTACAGTCATGCCGCTTTGCGCACCAAGTCTCCAACTGGTAGCAAGTCGAGTGACGAGGTTCAGCGCAACGTGATCATCTCGCCAAAAGCAAAGGGAGCTGTTCTCGCTACCGCGTCTAACGCTTCCACTCAAGCAAGTGCCCCGATTGCAGGCGCGGGAGACTACCAGAGTCTGCTGACGCTCCAATTCGATTCTTTGTACCAGCGCATTGAGTCCGACAAGCGCGTACAGGATGCGGCTGCCGGTGCGAAGCAAGACGCTCTACTCCGCCTGGTATCGTCTACGCTCACTGAGAATGTGGACCGTAGCCTTAGCAGCATCATTGCCACCCGCATCGAAAAGGATGTGATTCCTACGCTGACTGAAGTGACCAGCAAGGTTGTGGATCGCAAAATCGCAGAATCGCTTCCACCGCAACTCAATGCCAGCGTGTCCGCAGCGATGAAGGCCAACCTTTCCAACACACTTCAGCAAGCCCTTCAGGACAAGGAAGTGCACAAGGCTATCTCGGATTTGACTGCCAACCAGGTCGCTCAGCGCGTGCAGCAGCAAGTGTCAGCTATGCTTCAGCAGCAGCTGCCAGAGATGACTACGAAGGCTGCGCAGAAAATGGTCGGCGATCTCGAGAGCAAGTTCACTCAACATCAGCGCTCCTTCGAGGCTCAACGCCAGCAAGACAACGCGAAGATCGAAGAACTGTCTGGCATCGTTCGCAGCTTGTCGACTACGCTGCAAGGCATGGCTGCCAGTCAGGCTTCCTTCCAGGAGCAGATTCTCAAGCTTCAGCGTGAGACAGGTTCCGGTCAAGCGGCGGCAGCGAGATCCACCTCTACTTCTCCCACAGCCAACCAGCAAACTCCTGCTGAGCCAGAGGATGCTGATATCCTCAACATGACTCAGCTGTTGATGGATGGCAAGTACGAGGATGCAACTATTCAGGTATGTCACCATCTTCCCGTCACTCTGATTTTTACTAATCTATCGCAGTGGATCTCATCGGACCGCCAAGCGGACATTTTCGACAAGTTGTTCGTTCGCGTGAACCCAACATACCTCTCCCAATTATCCCCACTGGTCGCTCTCACCGTCTCGGCAGCCATCACTTCAAGCTTTGACTCCTTCGTTTCTGAGCGTCTCGACTGGCTCACCCGAGTCCTGCAACAAATCGACGTTCGCAACGAGGATATCATGGACGTTGCACCAAAGATTATGGATGTGCTCACGCAGCGTCTGCAGGGCGCTTACATGGCCATTTCAGAGGCTAGACCATCGGACCCTGCTTTGAGAACCATCAGCAACCTCAGCCGCCAGGTTCACGAGATCCGACGTGTTGCTCAGTGACTCGACGCGGCTTCGCGGAAGGGTCTGAGCATGCTGATTTGAGCGACCAAGCAACAAGCAGCTTCTAACGGCGCTCTCGAGGCGTCACCATTATTGCGACTGTTTATGGCATGGCGTTCATTACCCGGAGAACCATGCACTCACGTTCCTGACGCTTACGTGCAACACGATTCAGTGTATTCTACTGTAGCAGCATTCGGCGTAGCGAGCGGTGTAAAAATTGGACATGCTTTGTACAGTCTGGCTCCAAGGCAATGGAGCTAGCACATTCAATGTATCACACGAAAGGAACAAATTGTCACTAATAATGAACATTCGATCAACAGTACTCCAAAAGCTTTCCTTTTCTTTCGATACTTCGCTACGTATACTTCATCCTCTTGTTGAAGTCATCCACAATCTTTCTTGCGGCTTTGACGATCTCTAATGCTCCAGGACTGTCACTGTGACAGCATAACGAGACATCGTGGTCTCCGACTGGTAATTGGACTTCTTCACCTGTGACTGCTGTCACGGAACTATTTTCAACTTGGCTCGAGACATGTTTGTGCACATCTTCAGATGTCCAAGGTTTTTTCTTGCGATCGATGACGAGTTTTCCATCTGAAGAGTATTTCACATCGCCGTATCTGATTTAATCACAGGAAGCTGTCAGCAATGCGACGAATTTGTGGCAGGATGGGGAGACAGAGAACGTACAACTCCGCTGTAAACGGCAATCCCATTTCTTTCGCAACTTCTTCATGGAAAGTTCCTGCGAGTCCGAAGACGCGGGTTCCGGGTGGTACGCCAGCATATACTGCACGACAGATTTCTTTGTCGCGGTACATCATGCCGTATAAGACGCCGTGGGGTTTGACGTGGTTGAGCGGAACGTCTGCGGCAGTGAGGAAGGCTTGGAGAGCGCCGACTTGATAGCGGGTCATGGCTGTTAGTTCTTCGGGGGACATTTTGATTTCGCGGCGGCCGAAGCCTTGACTGTGGAGAAGATCTAGTTAATGAGAGATTGGAGAGGGGTTGGAAGTTAGTGTGGTATACTTACATATCTGGAAGGCCGGGATGAGCGCCGACGAGGATGTTGTGTTCTTTGCATTTTGCTACCGTTTCGGACATAATCAGCGGGTCGCCGGCGTGGAACTGTCGTGCCTATTAGAACGATTGACACAACGCAGGGCTGCTTCAGAGATGTGCTTACGCCACAAGCGACATTGGCATGATCGATGAGTGGGATGAGTTCATCATCAGGACCTGCTTTGAAATTTCCGTAGCCTTCGCCTAGATCGACGTTGATGTGGACTTTCTTTGAGATGGGCGGCATCGTGCGATCACTAAAGTCTGCGAAGCTCTCTTGGAATATGGACACAATGGGGTGTGAGTGCAGAAAAGGAAAGGGTTGCAGAATTATTCCCGTGAAGCAAGAAGAGGAGGTGAGGTCTCCAGGTACAGCGTACAGCTACCTTTCTAGTGCTAGACTCGCGTGACGATATTATGGATACCCCTCGATGCCAGGTGAGGAGGTTATGATGCTTATCAGTGAGATAGCTCTGGGACCTCGCTCGTGTTGGTTGGAAACCTGGATGCGTGCGGAGAAGTGGCAGTGTGCAGCTGCCATCCTGGGCATCAGGAAGCATAAGAAGATCTGTTGTTACACGGCCTTCTGTCTTTTGGCGAAAGCTTCGCACCATTGACAGAATGGAGAAATTGAAGACGTTGCTGATTGCGAACAGAGGAGAGATCGTGAGTGCCCCGCGATCATGAAGAAGTCGAGTCTTGGCATGCTGATGCAACTTCCTTCAATCTCGCCAGGCTGTCCGTATCATCAGAACTGCCAAACAACTCGGCATCAAGACAGTTTCTGTTTACACATCGGCAGATGCTGCATCGTTGCATGTCTCAGATGCCGATGAAGCTGTCCTCCTGCCGACCCTCCAAAGCTATACCGATGGCGATGAGCTTCTTCGAATCGCAAAGGAGAAAGGAGTCGATGCCATAATTCCTGGATATGGCTTCCTCTCTGAAAATGCAGCATTTGCAAAGGCCGTGAGCGATGCAGGCCTAGCTTGGGTTGGGTATGATTCTGCACTCACCTAGACTTGACTTTTGGAACGTACAGGAAATGCTGATCATGACCACGTGGGTGCAGACCACGCGAAGATGCGATCAAGGCTTTCGGAATCAAGCATACCGCTCGTGATCTGGCGAAGCAGTCTGGCGTTCCCATAGTCCCCGGTACAGAAGGTCTCGTCGAGAGCGAAGAAGATGCTGTCAAGCAGAGCGATTCGCTTGGCTATCCTGTAATGCTTAAGATCACAGCAGGAGGAGGAGGTCAGTCAATTGAGACGAACCCTGTCGTTGTGTGATATTGACTGAAAGCAGGCTCCGGCTTGATAACATGTCAGAACGCAGAACAAGTCAAGGATGGATTCAAGAAAGCCCAATCTCGTGGTCAAGCTCTTTTCAAGGACTCCGGGGTCTTCATTGAACGCTACTACCCCGAAGCACACCATATCGAAGTACAGGTCTTTGGCAACGGGCTCGGCCACGCCATCCACTTTGGAGAGCGAGAATGTTCAATTCAACGCAGACATCAAAAAGTCATCGAAGAATGCCCCAGCCCATTTGTGCAGAACCATTCTGGCTTGAGGGAGAAGATCTGCAGCGCTGCAGTGAGCCTCGCTCAGTCGGTCAAATATGGTTCAGCAGGGACTGTGGAGTTTCTGGTCGATGACAAGACGGCCGATTTCTTCTTCCTGGAGATGAATACCCGTCTACAAGTCGAACATCCAATTACAGAAGCTTGCTATGATGTTGATCTTGTCGAGCTCATGTTGAAGCAAGCGGATGCGCAACTTACTGGTCAAGGTGGCCTATCTGCTGAGTATTTGGATTCACTACAAAAGCCCGGTCCTTTCGGAGCTGCTATCGAAGCCCGCCTGTACGCAGAGAATGTGCTCAGAGACTATGCACCTTCGCCAGGTCTGTTGACAGAGGTGTACTGGGCAGAGCGTCAGAACGCTCGCATCGATACTTGGGTGAGGACTGGCCTGCGGATCTCACCAAATTATGATCCGTTGATCGCCAAAGGTAGGTGTGACACTGGTCCTTCCATTCACGCACTCTAATGATCTTTTTACAGTCATCAATCATGCGAAGACACGCGATGCTGCACTGAAAGGCATGGGAATGCTGTTAGAGCAATCAGTGGTTTCTGGCCCACCAAACAACCTGGATTTCCTGGGCGCTATCATCAAAGATGAGACTTTTCAGTCCGGTCGAACGATCACCTCGTTCCTGCAGAGCTTTGAATACAAGCCGAATGTGATAGATGTAGCGACCGCAGGCGCTTACACTCTGGTACAGGATCTGGAAGGCAGGCCAAGCGTGGGCAAAGGCATTCCTCGAAGTGGAGCCATGGATCCAATCGCTCTTGCTGTGGCTAATGCTCTTGTTGGCAACGAACGTGGCCAGGAAGGTCTTGAGATCACACTCTCTGGTCCCGAGCTGAAGTTCCATGGGCCGGCAGTTATTGCGGTGACAGGAGCTCCCATCGAGGTTGCGCTGGATGGCGATTCCATTCCGATGTGGACCCGCAAGCACATCAAACCTGGCCAGATTCTGAAGATTGGCAAGACAACTGCAGGAGGATGTCGCAGCTATCTCGCTGTATACGGCGGCTTCACTTCCGTGGCGGACTACTTTGGCAGTAAATCGACTTCACCTATAGTTGCTATCGGTGGATATCAAGGACGACAGCTTGCACCTGGAGATCAGCTCAGCCTTGTCAAGGAGATTCCATCGAACCTACACTCTCATCCTAGTGTTCCAGAGTCACTACGACCTGACTACAGCTCACCGTGGACGATCAATGCTCTTCCTGGACCACACGAAGAAGGCTATCTGACCGAACAAGACATCGAAATGCTCTACAGCACTGAATGGAAGGTCTCTCATAACGCTAGCAGGAGTGCAATTCGGCTGATTGGTCCCGTACCGAAATGGGCACGAGCAGATGGCGGAGAAGGTGGCTCACACCCTTCCAACCTAGTCGAATATGGATATTCATGCGGATCACTCAATTGGACTGGCGACGAAGGCTGTATTTTTGCCTTAGATTGCCCCAATTTTGGTGGCTTCGCAAGTTCCGCGACAGCCATTCGTGCAGACTACTGGAAACTAGGACAGCTCAAAGCGGGAGATTCTCTGAAGTACCAACGTGTATCTCTAGAAGAAGCTCTTTCGCTGCGAAGGAATGTCGAAGACTACATCGAAGGCATCAGCAAGGCTGTACAGACAAACGATTTCAACAATGTCAAGCCACTCGCTTCCGACTTCAAAGCCAGCGGGAACTACAGTAAAGCTGTGCTATGGGAACGTCCAGCCTCAGGAGCTCAACCTCAAGTCCGTTATCGCCAAGCAGGAGACGCCTACCTCCTCGTCGAATACGGCAATGAACAGTTTGACCTCAACTATCGCTGCCGCGTCACAGCCCTCGAAAAAGCCATCAACGACTCTACCGCTCCAACCTGGCTCAAAAAAGATCTCATCACCACAGTCGGGTGCTGCACATCCCTCAACATCCACTACGATGGCTCCCAGATGGACCGCGCCCAACTCATCGCTCATCTCCAGACTCTCGAAGACCAAATCGGTGACCTCAGCAAGACCAAAGTTCCCAATCGCCGCTTCAAACTCCCGCTATCCTTCGAAAGCAAAGAACAAACTGAAGCCACAGAGCGGTACATGTCGAATCAGAGGCCTCATGCTCCGTACCTGCCAGACAATCTTGACTTCGTTGCGAAGAACAATGCTTTCACGGCCGATCAATTGAAGCATAACATGTTGACTGGCGAGCTCATGGCCGTCGTGGTGGGGTTCTACTGCGGCAATACCGTATCGTTGCCCGTTGACCCGCGAATGCGAATGAGTGCTCCCAAAGCGAATCCCTCAAGAGTCTTCACTCCTGAAGGGACATTCGGATGGGGTGGAAGTTGCGCATCGATCTATCCCGTGGATTCTCCAGGAGGATATCAGATGTTAGGACGCACAATTCCTTGTAAGCTTTCCCTTCTCCCCTTCTTCTCCCTCACACCCATTGAACAATCACTAACCTCTCTCCTCCCTCCTCCCAACAGGCTTCGACTACTACGGCTTCAAATCCGGCTTCACCCCGACCCGCCCCTGGCTCTTCCAAGACTTCGACATCCTAACCTTCCACCGCGTCTCCGAATCCGAACTCAACGCTCAACTCGAACTTTTCCGCTCTGGACAATATGAATTCACGTACGAAGACTCCGAATTCGATATGGCAGAACATAATAAACTTCTCGAAGCGACGAAATCCGAAGTCGAGGAGATCCGTGCGAAGCAGAGAAAAGTTCAAGAGGAAATGATTAGAGCGGAAAATGAGAGTTTGAAGAGGTGGAGAGAGGAGAAGGAGAAGAGAAAGCCGGATTTGAGTACGATTGAGAGTTTGTTGGGTCAGGAAGGGGTTGGGGTTGTGGAGGCGCCGGTTGATGCGAATGTTTGGAAGGTGGAGGTTAAGGAGGGGGATGAGGTGGAGGGGAATCAGGTTGTGGTGATTTTGGAAGGTGCGTATCTGGATCTGTTGCTTTCATGCTTTTTTCTTGTCCTCTTGTGCTGACGATTTGGGCGTGATAGCGATGAAACTTGAGATCAATGTGTATGTGCCGGAGGGGTTTGCGAGTGGTGGGAAGAAGGCTGTTGTGGAGAAGCTGCTTGTTGAGCCGGTAAGTTGGGTAGATGTATCGAAGCTAGACGAGGCCGTGTTTGCTGACATTATCGACTTGATATAGGGAGAGACGATCAAGGTATGCGTAACCCATATTTCTTCTATGAGGAGTTCTTCGTCTTCGGAGCATTTTGCTGACACTCTGGCAGGCCGGCGGACGCATCGCGCTCATTCGTTCAAGTTGAGTCGTGTAGGCAGTGCGGTTTATCCCGTCACTCTCTGGCAGAAAGAGAAAGCTCGGTATGCGATATGTTCCAATGCGTTGTCTAATGTATTGAAGTCGTTATTTCTTGTCTCTGTGTCACCTGTCTGCGACGCTGCTCCATGCACGGCACACGCACAACCGGCAGGCTAGATGAGCGCAGAAGCCATGAGTTCACGTTAGTCACACGATAAAGTCGATCACACCACGATTTAGCTAGTCCAGTCTACGGCCGTACAGTCTTCGCTTGTCTCAGATCTGTGACCTAGTGTAGTGCACTGCATCCTCTTGAAGAAAAAGCTTCTGTTTGCAAGATATTTTCTTTCCCTTACCTTGCATACTGTTCCGTGACGTATACGCCTGAAATCTGTGTTCATCATGCAGCACTCGCACTGCTCGCTTCAACGTTGGAATGGTCAGCTATACGCAGCAAAGCGAAGCATCGGTCCCGAGTCGCTATGATATCAGTGTGTCAGGAATAGTATTTGAAAGTGAGTCCGAAGCAGGGTCCGAAGAATTTGGAGCTTGCCGCGAAATAGGTCAAGGCTTGGAAGTGAAGATCTGGGCACTTCTAGACAAGGAGATCCACATCATTCTCGCCCAGGGCTGCAGCAGCGATGGTGCAGTGCACATCTGTGGAGAAGGACTGTGGCTCGTGTAAACTGGGTCCCAGTTCAGTCATAGGCCAATGCCACGATCGTCGCACGTAAACTGTGCTAGGGTGGTCCGCTCCAGTGGTGTCGGCAAGGAGAACTATTGGAGATTTGCTGCATGCGGCACAGCATAGTCTAGTCATAGCAGAAGATCCTTTTGGCTTCGGCGGAGATGGAGCCTTCTGCCGACATATCGCCAATGAAGAACGACGTCGAGGCGTCGAAGACGTTGTCGGTGCCTGCTCGGTGTAGTTTGTATCTGTATATTGATTGATTGCTGCTGCAATATCGCAATACCGACTGCTCGTCACAGCGGGTTGATGCCATGGAGCTTGCCTAGTAGAGGCAACAGGCAGGCAACGGGAGATCCACTGCATAGGTCATGCTTGATCCTTCTCGTATATCCTCTCGAGGAGTGCCGGTCTGCTGCTATTAGATGGGGTTTTGCATAGGGATAGCTACGTCTGCAGGTTGCACAGAGAGCATCATTCGGGGCCTAACTTGTGCACGAAGCGAACCTTGTGCCCGGATTGCCCGCTCGTTCGCTATGTTGCTCGCAGCGGCCAGCGTCCGCCAAGGCCTGTCAGGCAATCGGCATAGCCGGGCCGACTCCACTCTCGCCTAATGAGAAGAGTAAGTCGCAATGCGGAAAACGATGTGGCCCAGGCAGGCGTGACTTGGCCTGTCAGAGAGGAAGGTACTGATTGCATGCAGAGCAGGAGCGAGGACGGTCATGGTGTCGTTTGAGGAGGTAATGTCGATTGCGGGATCCGACAGGCGAACGGGAAGCTGCACTGCTGCGTGATGATGAATGCTTGGGCGGCCAGGGTGCACGCGCTCGAGTTTCTTCCCCGTTCCTGCGGTGGTGAAATGGTCGGCGTTCTCCGCGGACGCGACAACCAAGATCTGGCAGTGGCCGCTGCTCGGGGAGCTGGGGAGGTGGAGGTGCGATAGGAGAGGATAGGCAGGAGGCCATCGTCCATATAGGCAGTTCGAGATAAGCGTGTCCGGCAGAGCAGGTCAACGGCAGCCGGCGGGAGGGCGTGTCTGTCGATATAAGCAGTACCACAGGGTCGAGGCGTCGCACGCTGGAGCGCTGCAGGGATGTCGGTCGGTCGACGGTGGGGAAAGCAAGCTGCACACGTCTGGAAGCCCTCTGCGGCGCCCGTCTTGCCCTGCCCTGCCCTGCCTCGTCCACGTCGGACTCGCGGTGGGATGTGCAGGCGGAGCGAGGGGCGCTGGAGTAGACGACGTCGGCTGCTCTTTTCTGCGCTCGCTGCTATTACCGGAGCGCATCCATTATTGCTACCACCGCACATGCAGTACATGGTACCTATCACTACAGCTTACTGACGACAAGGTTTGAACTTAGCGGGCTAGCTTTGCCTTCAGCCACCGCGCTCGTCTGCTAATTGCGTGCTTCCTTCTTGGGACTACCGGCTCTGCGACGACGGCGACAGACGCGTCGTGCACCAGCTCTTGTCAATTTCCTCCTCCTCCGCACCCACGTTCGCGGCGAGACAGTCGCGGCCAAGAGACGGCGGTGGTGGGCGCACGTTGCGGGAAACGGTATGCAGCCGTTGGCGGCATCCTAGACACACGCAAGGCCAACTCTCGAGGCGCCGTGCGGTGGCTTGCCAGTGCGGAGTCTTCTTCGGCGCCCGCTGGTGTGAGTGAGCGCTCTGTCTGCTCTGCTGCCGCGTGCTTGCTTGTTGCTTGCTGGCTTGCCTGCTCCCACGTCGTCCACGCCAGCGCGGTGAGTCGTAGCGCGAGTCGGCACCACCATGGACTCGCGGAAAACGGGGAACGAGTGGGAGGACATGGACATGTTCGGCACCACCGCGCCCACCGGCTTCGACACTCCCTCTGGCTTCGATGCCTTCAACGACTTCACCAACCTCGACGCGCAGTATGCCGAGTCGCCTATCGGCCTCGCCCTACGCACCCCGTCCAAGTCGGGCCCCGATGCCTCCACCTCCGCCGCCGCGCAGCATGCCAATGGCGGGGCGGCGCTCGCCATGACCTCTGCGGAGACCTCGAGCCAGGACTCCTCCTCCGACACGTCGAGCGGGCGCAAGAGGAAGACGGGGCAGTCAGAGTCGCCCGTGTCCATGGACGACTCGATGCACCATCACATTAAGCAGGAGGACAGCAAGATGGACATGCAGCAGGTGCGGAGCTACGATCACTTCTCCCAGCCCATGCACAATCTGTCCCTGGAGCAGCAGCAGAGCCAGAACAACATGGGTCAGCAGTACTTCAATAGTGCCGCATCGAGCCCGGTGCACGCGAGCGACTTCAACTCGGCCATGTCGCTCGATGCACAGGTTGCCGGCAACATGGCTGTCCAGTACCAGCAGGATTCGCCCGTGCAGACCATCAACCCTGGTATGTTCTCCATCGGCGGCTCGCGAGATCAATCTCCTGCCACGAATCTCATGTTCAATCAAGCCTCGCCCACTGCCATGTTCTCCACGCCCTCGTCGGACAGCCCTGAGGCCTTTGCAAACACCCAGAATTGGCCGGCATCACTCGCACAGAACCCACAATGGCCCGGCGACTTTGCAGGTCAGCTAACATCACCAGGTGGCATTGCCTTCACCCCATCACCTGGCGCGAATGGGGCAACGCCGGCGAGCACGACGCGGGGTGCCGCTTCCCGCGCTCTGCTGGGCAGGTCACCACTGCACATTGCCCCCATCTCGACCAAGTCGCGTGTGGAGACGCAGATCAACGTGGTGATGACTTTGGAGAAGCCGCCGCCTGGCATTGAACATCTCCACCTCCCGCTTCACACCATTGCCAAGTCAAAACTATTAGCAAAGGAGGAATTTGACCCCACAAAAGTACTCGAGCTCCACACCATGCTCGTGTGCACTAGTGCAATGCACAACCCACAGACCAAGGAAAAGGCGCTGAAGCGCGCCGCCGCCCAGAATAATGCAGAGATTCAAAGGCGAGCGGAGCTTGCCCGCGATGTGCCGCACGACGAGGATAGGAATGATCAAAAGAACTTGCCCGAGGACGAAAGGGTCGTCAATGGGGGCGAGGTCAAGATCTGCAACAACTGCATACAGCGGGAACGGAAGCGTGCAGGTCGCAAGAAGACAAAGCGCGAAGAGGAGCAGCAGCACTGGGAGCGTTTCGAAACGGAACGAGTGGTGGTGTTCAACTCAAACGAATACCTGCCATTTAAGCCGTGCGATCCGTCACAATACCCGCAGCGAGATACTAACGCTGATGGTGAGCAATACATGCCTCCCGATGGGGCCCTGCACGTCACCGCTGCCATGCGGATCGCATGTTACTGTAGGCACCAGAGCGAGAAGGAGGGCTTTCAAGTCATCTTCACGCTCAAGGACCACCAAGGCAACGTTGTCGCTCAACAGTTATCCGACTCGATCCTCATCACGGACGATCACAAAACACATCCGCAGAGTTTCTCGGCCACAGTCGGCAATGAGGGTTTCTATCAGAACGCGGCTTTCCTGCCCAATGGATTACCGATGTCGCATTCGATGGTGGACATGTCTGCTCACGTCCAACCATTTACATCCTCGCGCTCGGCAGGCAATCTACCCGCGCTTGCATACAACGCGCAGTACAACCCACACAGCCATGTGCACCAACTCCCCGGGTCGGGATACGCATCAGGAACGACATCTGCCACCATGACGCCGACCAGTCTTTCGAGGCCGGGATCGCCAACTAATGCAGGACAAGCAGGTCCCAACAAGAAGCGCAAGTCTTCATCGTTCCACAGGAAGGTCCCGAGCGGCTTGACGATGACTCCTCGAGTGGATACCAGTCAACCACCATCTTCCAACATGCCATCTGCAGTTTCCATGAACACACCGTTCTCGCCAACAGGGCAGTTCCCAGTGAACCAGTCGTACATGACCATCCCGAACAATAACGGTCCAGCACAATATTACAACAGTGGCCCGCCGACTCCAAACGAGAACGCCCCTTTCAACTTCAGCCAGCCACAGGTAGATATGTCGCGCATCCAGCAGAATCTGAACAACCAGGCCTATTTCTCTCATCCATCATCGGCCGTGCCCAGCCGTGCATCGTCCCCCGTATTACAGCAGACCCGCGCCAATATGGCCGCATATGCCAGACAACATCCAATCCAGACGTCCACCAACACCATGGGCAATCGGGCCCAACAGCAGCAGCAATTTGCAGTTCAAGTACCTCCTGGATCTGCTGGGCACGATGGTACAATGTCGTCTTATCCTACGATTGATCGCATCACGCCCAACGAAGGGCCGATGAGTGGGGGTACAGAGGTCGCTATCTTTGGACACAACTTTGTCAACGGCGTCCAAGTCCAGTTCGGCGACCAGGTGGTTTCTTCGCAGGTCCTGTCTCCGAACTCCATGATTACAATTTCTCCGCCTGGCAGGGTAGGCTCCGTCCATCTTAACCTCCTGGCACCTCCAGGCGCAGCGCCATACCCTCAACTCGCGAACCGTCCCATCTTCAGATACACCCAGTACAACGAACAAATGATGGTCATGGCGCTCAAGTATCTCAGTGAGCAGCAATATGGACAGACGGACAATTGGCAAGCGCTGGCGCAGCAGAGCGCGACTCAATACGTGCAATCGAATGTCGTGCGTGGCGGACTGGGACAGCAAGGAACGTATCGCATGGCTGCAGAGTATGGAGATGTCGAAGGAGCGATAATGCAGATCTCAGGTGCTCTTGATCAACACCGGCCTGCTTCCACACTTGCTTCCTCTCATGCAAGCGCAAGCGATGATGCCTCCTCGCTCGGCATCCACCATGAAGCAGAACGATTGGTGGGCCGAGGTGCAAGCTTGACCTGTAGCGACAACAACGGCTACGCGCCTTCGCTGCACGCAGCCCTGCAGGGACATCGCGAGATCTTCGAACGCCTTGCGGCACCCAACGGGCTTCCATACCTGCGCGGGCCACACGGATCCGACATGCAAGCAACCACACGCACACGGCTCCTACGCTATACCGAACATCTGCGCGGCGTCAGACGCTATTCAGGCTCTTCACGATCATCCATCGACGATGAGGGGAAGCCTCTATCGAGAGCGTCAAAGACCGATGGCAGTAACACGCATGTTGCTGAAATGCAGGACAAGGCAGGACAGCATATCGCATTGTCGTCTTCAAGATCTCGACAAATGGGGATTGTTCCCGTGCCAATCGCACACGTACAAAGTGTCCCGTCAGCGACAGATCGTGCGCTCTGCCGTGACAACAGCCCGGCGCAGGCACAGGAGACGGCGGCCAACGCGGATTCCCAGTCCCAAGCACCACCGAACGTGCCCGAAAGCTCAAGTCACCACTGCTGCACCTCCTTTGCCAACGCCGCTGCGTCTCCCAAGGGCAGACGATTGTCGAGGACGGCCACGCCCGCCACGCTCACCGACCTCCTCACGGCGTCGGATCCGGCTTGCGCAGCCCCGGCCTATCACAGCATGCTGTCAGAGCAAACGCCAGCTGAGCTACCAAGGACAATCGCACCCAGCAATCTGGATACTGTTGCAGGGCAGAAGTGCGCGACCATGTTTGAGACCCCGAGTGCAACGGATCACGTTTCCCGTTGTTCAGGTTCTTCCGAGGACCCCTCACCGAACATGTCCGCCGAAACGCTTCGATGGCTTGTCACGACCGGAACTTGGGTAAGTCGTTCATTCGTCCCGCCTTCCGGCCCGAATGATACAAGTGACATCCTTGCTAACCTTCTTTCTCTCTTCCAGGTACCGGGTTATGCTCTCACGACAACGAGTATCATGATTCATGCCATTTTGCCTCACATCAGGCCATCTATCACGGATATGTCTGGCAGTATGGCCATTGCAAATTTGCCTGGCGCGTCTTCTGTCGTCTGCGCTGCTGCTTGAGTGTGTGGATCCTTGAACAGCAGTAATGCAATGCGATGAACCTATTTTACCTTCGAGTCCCTCTTTCAGTACCTTTGAACGAGCACGACGGTTGCAACAGCACGGCGTTCTCTCTCGCAGAAACAAATTCTGTGTTTTAATTTTGCTCGTTTCCTGACCTTTGCGGTCAGGGCTTTGTGATATGAGGCGAGGCGAGGCGAGGGGGCACGATTCTGATTTATGGGATCAAAAGCAATTGATTCATCGGGGTCAAGGCGAGAGGGAAAGGCGACGATACGGGTGGGATCTGTTGAAACGGCGAACCTGGTAGGAAAGGCCGGCTTGCGAGCATGCAACGAATGATGGCAGTGAAGGCACTGTCTTCTTCTGGCCTCGGAATTTGATGGGAGGCATTCTCGTCGGCAAGGGGAGATGAAAATGTTTGATGATGATTGTACATTTTGAAGGATGAAATATACCACACACACATACACATACGAAGAAAGTGATGTTTGTGCCAAGGTGCTGCAATTCATGTTCTGATCCACTGAACGCCACCGCCTTTCACATGTGAGGAGCTTCGATCCATGCCAGTAACGCTAGTCTAGTCTAGTGCGGAGTGAAGTGAAGGATTGGAATTATTTTACATGTTCTTCTTCTTGCATGAAGGTAGACTGAATGTTTGAGGAAGCTACTCCACTGGCGCAGTTCACTCGGCGCAGTTCAATACCCTGTCGCAGTGCATCATTGCAGTGCCTTATTGCAGTGCATTATCGCAGTGCATCAACGCAGTCCATCATCGCAGTCCGTTATTGCAGTGCCTTATTGCAGTGCCTTATTGCAGTGCCTCATTGCAGTCCTTTATTGCAGTGCATCATTGCAGTTCGTCATTGCAGTGCATTATTGCAGTGCAACAGCGTAGTCCATCATCGCAGTGCATCATCGCAGTCTCATTGCAGTCCATCCATCGCAGTGCATCAACGCAGTGCATCAACGCAGTTCGACGGCGGATAGTAGACTGTCGGAGCTTTCGTCGAGATCGACGCCTTTTTGCGCGCCCCGCTGCGCAAGGCTGAGGATTGAAGTCCTTGATCTTATTGGCGATCGAGCGCTGTAGTCAATCGATTGGACGTCCTTCGAATGTTTCATGGCAAGGCTGTAGGAGTCACAAACCTAAGGCGGCCTCTTTCTCTCCTTGTCTATTTCAGGCCATGATTGGAAGTCTTCTCGTGGTATGAAACGGCGATGTCGAAGGCGCAGCGTATGCTGGCGATTCTGCACTGCCGTCTGTGTTCAGCCTTGTCTCAAGCTTGATGTGTATAAGCATTCGCCAGTTTGTGGGTGGTTATGGGAGTTGTGAAAGAAGATATCTTACCTTCCAGCGCTGCATCGTAGCAACACAAGAGCCAACGCAAAACAATTCCTCAAAATGCACGTCTCAGTCCTCTCGATCGCCGCAGTCCTGCTCAGCTCCATCGCAGAGCTAGGCACAGCCTTGCCTCAAATCCCCAACAATCCCGCCGCATCCGTTCTCGCCGAAGCTGTCGCAACCTGGAACAACGAACCCACCACTCCGACGATAAACGTCAACGGCATCAACGACCTCATCAGCGCCGTAACAGCAATTATACCTTCACCAACTCCTCCTCCCCCTCCACCAAAGCCCCCAGGACCTCTCTGCCGCTACATCCTCACCGGCATCAACTCCTACGGCGGCGGAGGCGGTGGCGGCGCCTACCAATCCCACATCAACATTTGGGACTTCAACTTTTCCATCGAAGACTCCAAGAGCGGCAAAAAGCGCTACACCAAAATCTTGTCCGGTGATCTCAAACCCTACGCGTTCTCCGTCGGTCGCGCAGATTATAAGGGCACGCACAATATGTGCGTGAGCGCAGACTTTTGGCGCGGAAGTTATAAGTGGAATAGCTGTCGCATTTCGTTCGATGGGGGAGAGTATATTGAGGGCAAACGAGAGAAGGTTGATATTGATAGTAATATCGTCTCTGTTGTAAAGAGTAGGTGTGTGGTTGAGTATGAGTGTTGAGGAGGAATGGGAAGCTTGGTGTGGCAGCTCGCTGTGGCAGCTTGCTGTAATCTTGATGGCAAACTGGATGAAGCGCATCTCTCCACTCATTGTTAGTGTGTACTCATACCGTTTGATGATGAGACTCATGTGATATGATGTCTCAATGTTCCGATAATATCACGTTAACTCGTTATGCCGCTCGTCATTCATACTTCGTATCCCGTAGATCCAGGAATTACCTCGCGATCTCGAGGTGAGACTTCAATTCCGATCACACAGAGCAGAGCACAGAGCAACTCCGCACCCACACAACGTCGTCCGAGTCCAGGAAATTCTTGTTTCAGGTACGCAAACCATCACACCCACTCTCTTCAAAGCTTCTTCACACACGTGCGTGTCCGACTGTGTCGTGTGCTTGAAAGGCTGACCTTTTTCTTCACCGGAAGAAGGATGCCTCTTCTGAAGCACCGTGCATGGATATTCAACAACAATCCAAGCCACTGCTATATTACTGATCAATGCATTCACACGTTCTTGTGTTTGATCAGCAACACCACAATCGGAGTCAACACCGAAAAGACTTAGGACAGAAATAAAACCCTATCGTCTGGTCAGTGCTTTCGTACGACGCTTCAAGTACGGTACTCTCGAGCACAATGAAATTGTGATGATCAGAGTCGTCCCAGAGTACTCGATCTCAAGGACAGAGAAAGCCATAAGTGATCTTCAGAAAGCAAAATTCGGCAGACGTGGGATGCCAAAATCCCCTTCGCCATGGATCGTTGGTACGGGCGTGCGGCCCTGCTTTTCCATGGCGTGAGAAGTGGTGATAGAGGGTCAAAGCGGAGGTAGCGGTTGACCCTGCTTCTTCTTGTGTGCCGAATTGAACGTGTCCCAAATTTTCTTGACTCGTCGGAGATAATTTGCGTGGGGTAGGATAGAACTGTAGTATGGGGCTCTGGCGGAGATGGCATGCCGACGCCGAATCCTACTTTTCCAGGTGCCCAGGTACCTGCCATCAGCAGGTGGAATTGTGCACTCGCGCTGGATGGCATCATCAGCAGCATTGCGGAGCTTTAGCGAACTGTTTATTGCATCGGTTGATCGAAGCGCTGAGAACCTGTCGAGCCGAGTCCGCTGCGCTGGATAACGGACCGAGTACAATATCCATTAAACGATGAGAACATGATTCAGACTTCCCTCCTCGGCCAACACGTTGCCACCAGGTGAAATTTGTCCGCTTGTTCAGCTGTGATTATCAAGAATCGCCAACGAACGTCATTCATTGAATGTTTGCTGTGTTGACCCGTTGCAGGGAACTTGCTTCAGGATAGAGAGGAGGTGCTGCGTAGATAACGCCATCTCCTTCCTTGTCTAGCGCACTCGCTAAACGTCGTCGATAGACTTGCGCACCGAAAGCGTGAGCAGGCTATAATCGGGCTTTCGGGTATTGCAGCTAGAGGGCAGCTTATGCATGCACGCATATTCTGCATAACATTTTCCAGCAGGCCTCCTTGACACGACGATACCATTACGTTCGACAGCACGAAAAGCAGGTCGTTTGCTGTCGTGTCGGCGAGGAATATAGTTCAACGGTTCCACTCCGCCACGGTTTCGTGAAGAAAAGGTGTGATGAGTGCTGCCACGTATGGAGATGGCCCGCAGAGCGGTGTCTCTAGCCACCCTCATTTTCCTTTCTTTCCTTTGTGCATGAGTGGCGCATTGAAACGGTCTTCACACCGTGCATGCCGTGTGACATCAAATCTGATCCCTGCTTGTGCGCCGTGCTTGACGAAAGGCTTTCTGAGAAAAGTGGTTTTCGTGGTGGCAGACACAATGGCCTGTTGTAGCTGACCACGCAGGCGCCGCCGGCGAGAAAAGCGACGAGCGCCAGATTATGCTGCGGACAATGATCTCGATCTCGAACGTCGAGGTCAGCGTTTCTCTCCCCTCGCTAGCTGAAGTATGCAGTCCTCCGGAAGCAGTAGTGATCGGAGGCAGGTTCAGACGAGTGAAGTGGAGGATACTCTGCTGGTGCTCCAAGATTGCCAGCGAGAGGGCCGATCCGGTAGCTTGCCGCGCGGTTCGGGCGACTGCATTGACACATCCAGCACAGAGGTATTAGGTAGAGGTCGTTAATTGAGCCAGAGTGTGGAGTTTCTAGCATCAACGAAGAAGAGCGGCGTCGTCCCTGCACACAGAAGGAGCACCAGTTCCAGGTTGAATTGCATGGTCACACGGTACCGAAAGCCGAGCGGATAACGAGTACCGTTGGTTCAGCTGGCTGCATCGGGTGGGCTCCAGCAGCACGTTGTCTAGATCAGTCGCCGACGAGGTGATGCGACGGTGGGCGAGACAGATGGCATCAAGGCTTGCTTATGCAAATTGCGCCGGTGGTGAAGCTCAGCGGCTCGTTGTTGCGTTGTACGGAGCCGACATGGGCTGGTGGGGCGTGAGCATGGGGACCTGGTCTCGCTTGCGGTATGTGGCTGCCCTGGTAGAATGGGAGGCCCCAAGCGAACACGCAGCGGTGGGTGACGACGGGCATGCATGAGGCAGCGGATTAATCCGTGCACGGTGGCGATCAGACCGGCGCTTCCACGTGTGCTGCTACCGGGCGCGAGCCTGCTTCGGGCATGAAGAGTGGCCGTGGCAGCAGTGTTGTCGCTACTAGACTCGTCTGTTTCATGGCTGCGTGTAGAAACACGTCCAACATGACTCGCGCCGGCGGCCATCCCGGCGCGCGCTGCTGCTCGCAGATGGTGAGATGACGAACCTTGCCCGTAGCACGATTGAGTTTGGGCCGCCTGCTCGGTGCGCGGCGCGTCGAGCGCCCGCGCGGGAGTAGCAGTTCGACGTACAGTATACAGTCCACACTCGCAGGAAGACGCAGGACAGAAAGTTCATTGCTCCGCCGAGGGTGCGGTCAACGGTGATGATGCCGATCGTCTACGGACTGCAGTCTGCTGCAGCACTCAGCAGAGTGCAGTTCGCCGGCGTTTCTGGTTGGCGCGGCGGAGGGCCATCTGCGCAAGCCACAAGCGGGTAGGCGTCCAGGCGAGGGCTAGTGTAGGATGCCGCCGCGCCCTTGTTCGCTCCCTCGCGCCGTCTTGCTCTCTTCGCACGCCTGGGTACCCCTTCCCACTTCATTCATCACTCTCCCAGCCCAGCGGACGCTCTTCTGCTGCGGCTCCAAACCAACTGCTGTCACGCCCAGCTTCATGCCTGGGACACTGCTCGACTCTCTGCCTGCGCTGCAGCTGTGATTCTGGCCCTCGCAGCTCAGCAGTTCAGCTTCACCACCCACGCCCGGTCGCTAGCGACACTCGCTCTTCTTCCCTGCCCGCTCCCACTCACTGCCACTGCGCTCTGCGCTTCTCTTCCGGTCACTCGGTACCACGCCCCAGTGCGCGCCTTCCTCACCTCTGCCAGCGCAGCTTCCTTTCTCACGATCCTTCGGACGACGTTGCCCTCCTGGAATCGCCATTCGCGCGACCGCCGATTGTGAGTGAGTCCCTTGCGACACTGCGCCGTTCCTGCCCCGTGGGCCGCAATCCAACCAAATTCCAGGCGTTTGGGAAACGCCGCTCGCCAACACACCGGACTGGTTCTTGCTCTTGCATCCTTCCTACCACGCACACCAACCATCAACCACCGCGCCGTGACTGCCATTGTCGCGCACGCGCAGCGAGTATTCGCCACTGACCACGCAGTGCAGACAGATATTCACTGCCCACTTTGGATTCCGTCTTCATAGTCCTCGGACGACACGCCCTCCGCCATGGAGCGTCCGACCATCATCCCAGTCGACAATGAGACCAAAAGCTCCATTTCCCGGACCACGGCCGAAGGCAGAGTCCTCACATACGAGATGACAGTGCTACAACAGCCAGTCCGTGCCAGAGCATGTGGACAAGGCGCCAAATGTGAGCACGCGTCACATCCACCATCCAATGCGCAACACTGACAATACATCTAGCCTCTGCCGACCGAAGACCTGTGGATCCACCCCCGATTGTTGAGTTGAGGATCTATGAAGGCTCTGGCCGCGAGCGCGCCGATGACATTACCTTCACAATGCATGCCAATTATTTCCTGTTCGCCACCCTGGAGGCCGCCCGCCCAATTGCACATGGACGTGTTTCTGCCGACCGCCACACCCCACCGGTTCTCACAGGCACGCCTGTGGCAGGAATGGTCTACCTGGACCGACCGGACCCGGCTGGCTACTTTATTTTCCCAGACTTATCTGTTCGTCACGAGGGAAACTACCGCTTGAGCTTCAGCCTGTACGAGGAACTCAAGAATGTCAAGGACGAGGACAAAATGTCCGAGGACCCGAAGGCTGCCGGCGAGGGAGCTCCAGTAGTGAATCATCGCCTCGAAGTGAAGTCCGAGCCATTCCAGGTCTTCAGTGCGAAGAAGTTCCCAGGCCTGACGGAAAGCACTGCTCTGAGCCGGATGGTCGCAGAGCAGGGCTGTCGCGTGCGTATCAGGAGAGATGTGCGCATGCGCCGCCGCGACCAGAAGAACAGTGCCAAAGATTGGGATGAGTACGAGGACGAGACTGCCGCCGCTCGTGCGCGCATGTCCAGCACGCCCGAGTCGCAGTCGCAGCCATATCCAGGCATGATGCATACTCCGCATAGCTATATGGACCCAATCCCTCGTCCTCGGTCGACCAGTAACACCAGTCACCAATCCCTTGGGCAGCCCATTTCACGTAGACCATCTGCTCAGGATATGGCTAGTGCGTACCAAGCCACCCAATACGGCAATGCTCCACAACCTCCACAGCCCGCCTTCAATCAACCTGCACAGTATGGACCCTCACCAACCCAGACTTACCAACAAGGCCCGTACGTGCAACAGGCCCCTCCAATGCAGCCTCCACCGCCCCAATACCAGCAAGGCTACGCAGCTCCTCCTGCACCTTCACCGGTCAGTGCATCACAACCAGGCTACTATGGTTATGCACCAGCACCGCCGCAAATGAGTGCTCCGCCACAGGCATCCTACGATACTGCCGTTCAGCAGCAACACCGCGGTAGCATTGATTACTCCGCGCATGCACAATCTGATACCCGTCGATACTCTGTGCAGCAGCCGGCCTTGCCTCCGCCGCCACAGCCTCAAGCTACTCTCGCGCAGCAACCGCAGCATTCGACGTACCCACCGCAGATGTCCTCGCAACACCAAACTTACCAACAGCCACCTTCATTGCAGGCACAGCAGTCCGGTCACTCACATTCGTCCTCGATGGACATGTACAACAACAGCAGGCCACTTCAACCTCAGCCCATGCAACCTCAAAGCCGCTCGAGCGCGTCTGGGACGCCCATCTCCGGGCGAGCGTTCGACTTGCCGCCTCTTCAGACGTCTTCCAATATGCTGGCGAGTAACAAGTTGGAGGCCTCGTCGCCCAGCTCCGCTGCTCCCTCGCACTCCTACTTCAGTGCCACACAAACACCGGTGGACACCACGCACAAGCGCAGCTATGGACACGTCTTCAGCGAAAAATACCAAGACCAGCCACTTCGACAGGGCGCCCGGCCCGGAGCCAGTGCAAGTGACTACAGCTTGGTCGCTGGCTCATCCTTGTCGGCAGCTGATGATGATGACACGAGCGGTGAGCTTGACCCGGATACATTGAGCATGCACTACAGGAGAGCAGACGGTCGCGCAATTCGAAGAGCACTTCCTGGACATGCTTGATCGGGCATGGATGTCATGGCCTCCGAAGTTTGCACGGCGGCGATTGGACTGCAATCATCATACCATACCGGACTTTTCGGGCGCGATTGCTCCGTGGCCGGCTCGACCCAAGCGACACCGTATCTCTTGGGGCGACATTGCCTAAGTCCACAGGCCTCCGCACCCGCAATCCAGAAAGTATTTGTTTCAGACTACAGAACTACACGCCGCTATAGGCTGGAGAGGTTATGATCAACGAACGCACGGCGCTGTCGGCAAACCATGACAGCGTTCTTGCGCGCGAGACTTCTTTTTTGACACGCACAAAACTTGTTCACTTCCTTTTGTACGAACCTCATGGCGCAGCATGTGTGGGGAAAGAAAATTTTGGCAAAGTTGTGTTTCTTTTGCCAGGCTTGGTCTCAAAAGCCAGGACTTTAAGCCTAATCTGATCGACTCGATCTCTTTGTGTGTGGGAAGAACAATCTCCTTTTTCTGTTTGGGGACTACTATTGGGAAGGATGGACGGAATTGGGTGGTCACAGTCACGTTTACACGCACGTTCCATTCGGCATTCTCTACGACTTTTTACGAACGACAACAAGATTGATCCTCGTGCAGAGGGAAAACTCGCGCGCATCGAAAGGCCTTGCTCGGTTTTGCTATGAATTGACCAGGGTAACTCTGGACAGGAAAGAGCAAAATGAAGAGGAGGACGCAAAGCGAAAGCAAAGCTCTCTGTACGTAGGAAGTATCTATTACCTCTTAGACGAACGAAAACAAACTATCGAAAATTGAAAAGAAAAATTGAAAAACATTGCAAGTTGTGCCTTTACCGGTGTTACAGTGGGGTGCATGTAGGTGCGTGTGACTTTGCCATCAAGGTATAGCTGGGTACGTCTTCTTCTGTGTCGTGTTTCACAAATTGCATCTGACAGCTGCCGACGGTTCTTTTCTGACAAGGGAGCAGTAGAAGTTGGTGTGTACAGCTGACCTCTCTGTATCTGCACTGCAGTCTGCACCTTGAGCTAAGGTGCCAAGAGTCGAGCCGGTTCATGCGTCACTCGTCGCTGCTAGCTAGGTGCTGGGATGGAAAACCTGTTTGCTTGCTGGGTGACTTTTGGTGGCCAATGTCATTATGATTGTCTTAAGTGGCTAAGGGTTGTGGTAGTCACTGGTTGGTTTCTTCTTCGACTCGTTCGCCAATCATGCATTGTGTTTTGGGTAACTTGTTGTTGCAAGGACAAGCAGGTTTGACTGACAGTGCTGGAGGAAGGTCCGGAGTCTGGAGAGATCAGCACCTGACTAACTAGTGCCACACGCTATGAATTCGGGTGCTGCTTGCCGACTAACTCATGCACCATTACGAACAACCACACGCAGAGTCATAGAAGCAGTAGAGAACTTCTGGGTGGTTGACTTGTTTGGGTTGGATATGACGATGTCGGCGTGTGCCAAGCTGGCATCTCTTTTCCACCTTGAATGGAGACCGTATGCAGAGGAGTGGCCAATAGTATTGGAGGAGTGACAAACGACCAAGCCAAGGAAAAGGATTTTGGACATGACCTTGGACTTGCCCCACGACTCCAGAAAACAACGTCATTGCTGGAGACACATGGTGTTGAATATGGGACTGCACCTCTCGACTGTTGTTTCTGGTTCTTGTTGCCTTCTCTTGATTGTTTGACTGATTGACCTACCTGCAACTTCTCAGAAACACACTTGGTCACTGAGCAAATTTCCATACAAGCAAACGAGAATGTCCACCGGAAACCCCAACTACGGCGTCGGCGGCACCGCCCAAGACGGAGGTCTCTCAACAGCTGACACTGTCCGCGACGGAGGCCCAGATGGCGGAAACCGTGGCTCAGACGATTCTTATGTTCCTTCCTCTGAAGGTGGACGTCAGACGAGGAGTAAGACGTAAGTCCATACAACAATATTGTCTTTGTCAGTGTCAACGACGGAGAGCTTGGACTAACGTAAGAACGCCGTTTCGATGATCAACAGTAGCGCCATCGCATCCGATGTCTCGGCCCGCGAGGGTAAATCCTCCAACGAAGTTCGACAGGCCGTTCTCGATGGGAATGCAGCGAGTGGAGGGAATGGAGCGCATGTTGGGAATCCGAATCGGAATGTTGGAGGGACTGCGTAAGTGGTTCCAATTCCTCAGCCCCTCTTCTCCTCACGGAGAAGGTGTGAGGTGAGGTCGTGAGAAGAGATTGAAGCTAACTGTCAGAGTAGCGGTGACGGAGGCGTGAGTACCGCGGACACAGTGGCGGTGAGTGATTTTCTTTCTCTCTTTGGAACGTTTCGTCCCTGGTTCTTTTACCTGGGATTTGGGTCCTCTAGCTCGTTGCTGACTTTTGGGATGTTACCGATAGGATGGGGGACCTAATCCGGCGGAAGAGGACTCGACATACAAGCCTTGAAGGACGAGATGTGTTCGGTCTGCGAATGGCTCTCTGAGGACTTTTGTGATATTCGTCGGAATCCAGCTGTACGATATGTATCAGTTCAACTTTGCAGCAGAGCTTTCTGCTCCTTCCCATCACTACTCATTACCTATTCCCAGCCTCGAGGTGAAGCTGAAGTGCATGGCAGCATGGAATGCCTGATACCACGAGTCAGACCGCACGGTCCTCTGAAACATTCTCAGCGTTTCATCGACAAAATCTGCATGGAAGGACCTTTCCACTTCTCAGTTCCCAAGGACGTGTGCACGACGTAAGTTACCAGTGCCGTGGCTGGCAAACTTCGTCATCTGTTTGGGTCAGGGCAGGGTTCCAGTGATGATCATGCCAAAACCACAGAGGCGGTGAAGTGAAGCGTGGTTGTTTTGAAGAACTTTTTTTTGCGAGGTGGGCTTGGCAAGCGGTTTCTGACGTCGTTCCTTCTTTTGCAGCGTCTGGACACAATGCGTCTATCTTTGGCAAGTGGTGTTCGCGAACTTGCTGTTTTGCGGAGTTGGTGATATGTGTACTTCAGTCTCTTCATCGCGGCGTGGAAACTCTGCTCCTCGGAGCATGTCCTACTCAGCCAGCGGCCAGGCTGTGTCAGCAATCACAACCACCTACTTCACCTTCTACTGCACAACACGGCTTCGCAAACCAGACATGTTCACATCTGGACCTTCCTCCGACAGTGGGTCGCGACATTCTCCCAAGAAACCGGTTCGGTGGCAGCACCGCTAGCTTCACATGAAAAAAGCCCAGCAGCCTGAACATGACGTCGAAGTTCCCACTCTTCACTCATGACTCGCGCCCATGTCTCACACACTCGAACGAACATAATCCGAGCGATTGCCTTCAATCGCCGTTCAACATGCCTGTCGAGTCGCCGACGTGCTGGGAATTCCGCTCGCTCCGTCCGACGTTCACGCGGCTGATGTGCAGTAGCCGGACAACGCATGGTCAGGGACCTTAAAGCAAATCATTTTAGTGAAGAACTATGAGCTAGAATGTCTCGGGAGAATGGGGTGTGGCGAGTGTGAGTGACCCTGTCCGGGACTTTGTGGCCGGATGGCTGGTTTGGCCTCTTGTTATTCCTTTTTGAGAATTTCACAGGGCTGGAATTCGGCATCTGGACTTAGTGGGAGGCTAGATTGAGATGAGTGAGAGCTTGAGCTGCATGGTGTGCTGGTGTGCGGCGACTGGGTTGTTGAAGTCACGAATGGAATGCAGAATGGTCGGGCGAATACAATAACATCAGGTGAGAGGTGTTGTGCATTAGGCTCAGAAATGATGTGGAGAGAGTTGACAAATTGCCAGAGAGGGAAGTTGGAGCGGATGTGCGATCTTTCCGATCCGCGGTATGAAGGAGCAAGATCAGGCGACCCAGCTTCTTACAGGCTGTGTGAATGAGGCATGAATGCTCACGATCACTACCCAGGTCATTTCAGGAGAACGAGGATCCTACAGCATCTCGACTGAGATTGCTGTTTCCACGTTATGCGGAAATGCACACGCGAAAGCAAGACATGTCAGACACACAGTACATGCATCCGAATAGACCTGGTTTCTGGAAAACGTTATCCGTATGTCCTTGCAGCATGTCTTGGAAATCCCTAACACACTTGCATACAGTCAGAATGAGGTCTCATCCCTTGGCATTCAAGACATCTCCCACGACCAGATGCCCAAAGAGGATTGCGTGTCACGCAAGGCAAGACATCATTGCATGGCGACCAGGACGAACTCTCCGCGACGGGCACGAACGAATGTTCCGCCACGTCGACCTAGGCAAACCAGAGCAGTAGCCAAGAGTTCATCGCTTACCCATACCCTATCGATCGCACGCCATACCACAAAACAACAAGGCGAACAGGAGAAGTTTCGAACCTAGCAGATCAAACATCCAGACTCTGGCTTCTCCTCATCACGCCTGGCCATCGCCAAGTCTCGAAGTCCATGTGCAAAGACCCCAGTCTCTCACTCTTGTCCAGATCTCTGTGCCCTTCCGAATACCCCAAGAAGTAAGTTCTCCGGAGAATCCTAGGAGGGAGCAGAAACTCTACTTCCAGAAAGGAAACCGCATTGCCCCGAGTGGCCGTCAGTCATCATCATCCATCGATCGCGATGCCATGCCATTGCCTTGCCATCTAGTCTCACTCTGTCACAGTATCACAGAGTCGCCTGTCACCAGAAGCCGAATGGGACCACACTTGTGTGCGAGCGATGCTCGTGCTAACAATGCCGGGAGAGGTAGTGGACTAGGGACAACTCCCTGGTTCCTTGTCCGCGATGGCGTCGGTCCGTTGCCCATCATCACGGGAAATCGGTGCCGTTGTGCTGGGGTGAAAGGACGGGGGCGGATGATGATAAGCTTAACTGGGGTCCTTGTATGCTTATGGGGGCCTGGGAGGTTTGTTAGCGAGCTTGCTGGGGTGGCTTGTTAGGGCTTTGCGGTGGGTGATGTTGGAACTGATGTTGTGCTTGATCCTGGAGCGGCGGAACGGGAGGGAGGGAGGGAAGTAGCGAGCGAGGAAAGAAGTGTGGCTGGAGAGCTCGTGGGTGCCAATACGAGGTTGGAAAGTAAGAGAGGAAAGGTATGGTATTCAGAGCAAGTAGGTTGTTAATGAGGAAGTAAACAAATCCTCGGCCAGCAAATGCACGACCCCAATTGCTGTCAGGACTATTACGCCCGCCTCGCCATCGTTACTGATGTCCTTGAGGACTGTGCTCTCTTCTCACAAGCAGAGTTATGAGACGTCTGAGACCGGATGCATTTGAAGCAGCGACTGGGTGAACTTATGCGGCTTGACTGGGAAGATAGGCTCAAGTACCTTGTTCGTGACGAGAGTTAGTCTATCTACTGCGATCGACATAGTCACGGTGTTGCAGTGACCACTACAAGTGCTGTTGGGGACGGTATCAGGATCAGAGAGGGGTGGCTGGATTGCGAGGAGGTGGGATCGTAACTGAGCGTTGATGCGAAAGAGACGGTGTATTTTGTAATGTTGATCAGCTGATGTAATTCAATGTTATTGTATGGATTTCTCGAAGATCACAACCGTCTTCACTTCGCAGTCGTCCAACAAGCTCGGCTTGGGGCCGGTCTCTGGTCACCTTTCTGGGTGCGCTGCTGCAATAGTCCGGCTTGCCAACTGTCCCAACTCCAGCTCTTGATGTTCTTCGCAGCCAGCGCTTTCACGATCTTCCGCCCCTCACGCGTCGTATCGAGCATAGCCTGAAGCGATTGAAGATACTTCGTGTCGATACTACTCCATTGAGCAGTATATGTGACCTCGATTCCAGTATGCTGACAGGACTCAATCCAGTTATACAGGTCCTGCTGCTGCTTCGTTCGAAGACTTGCCATGCTTTGGAGGTTGACAAGATTGACGACAATATTCCCATTCCGGCTAGCAGTTTTGATTTCGTGCGGTCGGAGTGTGTTGACGAAAGATATAAGTTGAGAGAAGTCGAAGTCGTGGACGGGAACGACAATCTTCGTGCCTGGCGTGAGGGCTGCTTTGCGAAGAAGATAAGAGTATTCAGCTTGCAGTTGTTTGCAGGTCGAAGCCAGGCCGGAGGAAGTGTTTGAAGAGAGCCCCGAGGTGGATTTGCCGTTCAGATGGAATGCTTGGTCGTTGTTGTCGATGATGACGATTGACGAGATCACTAGTGAGATGTCAGCGATCATGCTTAAAAGACGGCATGCCAACTGAAAGAACATACTATCTCGGATCTCCCTTGGCAGTTCCAGAAGCTGTGAAGCCATTGTGATGGGATGGGAATCTTTGGTTCGTGACACCTCAGTGTTATGGTTCTGGGCCGATCTGCGCCAGGGCAATGACAGGTGCTAGGAAGGAAACCGAATGCCTGTCGCTGTTGTGTCCAGTGCTGTGCCTTTCAACTCAAATGACAAGCGATCACGCCTACTTTATATCGATCGAGTGTCCTTCGAGGTACAAAGTGATCGAGCGATTCTGTTACAGCTGTCTCGCTGTGGCGTTGGCTAGTCGCTTTGTCTCGCCTCAAGGAGCGCAACTTTCGAAGATCGTCCCAGCCTGGCCTCGTGTGTGCTTCCACAACTCGAGAAAAGAAGGGTCCTCGTCGCTTGGGCCGCGCTTAGGAATGCTATCCGACGCTATTGCTACAGTGTGACGATCGGTGCGTTGGCCGCAGCTTCTTCGTTCCTTCCAGAAGATGGGACTTTGCGCTGTAACTGCCTTTCTGAGCACAGCTAAGCGAATTGGGGTGTTGTCGATGGTCTAAACAGGGCAGTGCAAGGTAGTACTCGAGGGGCGTTTGAAGAATGTAGTAGGAAGTCCGCAACACAATGCCAGCGGAGTCCGCCGAAGCTGTGTAGTCTTTGCTGTTGGCAGGCGAGATCTCCTAGCGGCTTTTTCAGTAAAAGGCAGTGCAGATCAAAACCCAGGTACGACTGCTTGAGCCTCGAAGAACAGCCATGTGAAGCGATTGGCCGTACTCACATCTGTTGCGAGCATCCACGTGTATCGACTCTCGATCCTTGAAGTGCCCAACCTGTTACAGTTGTTGTGCTTCAGTTTTCGTGCTCGTATTCACTTGGACTGGCACTGATTGCCTTCAATTTTTAACGTCGCCGCAGCCGATGTGCTCCAGACCTCACTGCCGCGGAAAAGTCCAGGTAGCACCCAGCAAAGAGAAGCTGGCAGCACAGAAAGGCGTTCCAGACCTACCCAAAAGTTCAGCCCAAGCACGCGACGACGAAGCACACGCCGCTTTCTACGTGCGAGCGCGTGGCCGCCACCGGCGCTGCTCTGTCAACTTCCCACGTGGTGACCGCGAGCGACATCGAGACAAAGGCTCGCAGCTCTCATCGCAGCCGTTCTGGACGCCACTCTTCACCTGAAACCAGAAAGTTGGGCGGTGTCATGCTGGCAACTGGAGCTCGAACTTCTGGTTCGCTTAATTCATAGCTCTTTGGTGGTGGACTTGCGCATCTGCTCGTGCCGGATGCGGGGAGCACATGGTCTTCATGCTCCTCCTTCGCTTTGCGGGCCAATCGCTTCAAATGTTGTCTTTGCTCACTGCAGCAGTCAGCTATGTCGTGCAGAGCGGTTGCTCAATCCTATCATGTTAGATGATGCCATAAAGGCTGGTTGAACTTGGAGGTGCTTCAGCTCGACATTGGTGTTCCACTTGTCGGTTCAGTGGCTGCCACGAGGGACAGCCACGCTTCATTCTCACCTATGTGCAATTGCCCTAATCAGCACTCCTCTCTCACTGCGCCGGATATGCATCTCTCCCGCATATTTGTTTGTTGTTGCCGCTGTTGTGTGTACATTCTATCATCTCATTCTTCGTGAAAAAAGTATCCGATATGCAGCTCATTTCAGTGTAGCCATTTCCCTTCCAAGCCCTGCCTGCCCATCCCGCAGGCTCCTGAACGCCTTGCGAGAAACATACCACAAATGCTCATCATGTCGTTAAGGTTCTCTCTTTCATAAACTCATTTGATCCGTCGATATCCGGTCGGAGCTCTTGTCTCGTTTTACCATGCTCAGCTTGTAGTACCGCTCTTCGCCATTCGAAGTCAGCCCTCCGATGAACCACTTTTCGCTGCCATTTCGCACTTCCCGATACCCTTCGGTACTGCTGTCGCTCCCTCGCCTCGATCGCCGCACATCCTGCACCGAAGGGTAGTTTGGCTGAGATTTGTTCTGTGGACCAGGCGAAGGAGGTGATCGTGGTAGATGAGTCAACGGACTCACGCTGTGCTCGAGAGAAGGAGGATATGCTACTAGTTGTCGGTCTGTCGTATGTGACGTGGATGACTGAGTTGTGTACGGGTTCGTCTTGGTGTTGATTGGCTTAGGACTCGTGACTGTCGTCTCGGGCCCGGGTGAGGGATTTCTGGCGGGTTGTGGTGCTGCTGTCCATATTGTTGCTGTGCCCGCAACCGCGGCCGCTGTGTTCAAGGACGAAGCTTTATGCTGTGGGGAGGAATGCGCTCGGAAAGCTGTAAGGAAGCCACCGAGGAAGGATGGTCTTTGTGTAGGCATGGCGGTGGATGTGTGACTCTTTCCAGTGGTGTCGTCACTTGGGGAAACGCATATGTCCTCGACCGTCCAGCAGCCGAGGGCGTGTGGCAGATTTCGTCTTGTCCCGGTCGGCCGCCGGCGATTACTCTCCCTGTCGCTGCGGTCACTGGGGTGCGCTGATGAGGTTGTGGTGATGTCGGGAGCGAGTCGTGAAGCGGCGTGTGGTAGTGCTAGTCGATGTCGTGCAGCAGTGGCAGAGTTGCGGCATGGAGAACACAAAGTCTCCAATCCGCGTTTCGTCAAAGGTCACTGCCGTCTGTGACTGCAAGCTTCCGAGAAGGCCCGAATCGGCACGCGATCGCTCCTTGCTCCGAACAAAGACGTCGTTCTTTCCCTCTCAATCACAAGACTCTTTGTCACGACAAGACATGTTCAGCAACACGACCGCCGAGCGACCTTATACAAGTATAATTCATCTACCATGACTACGCCGCGGACCACCTTGGTAATGCATCATTATTGCCGCGAAGGCGGCTACTTGTCGTCGAGCTACAGCTCATTGCTTCTCGCGTCCCCCCACCATCTCATCGCGCCGACCGCTGCGAACCAATGCCCACGCGATATAGCCGAGCGCGTTACGGTGATGGCGGACGCCATCTGAGATCTATGTACCCATGTATCGCAACTGGACGTAGCTGCCATCTCCGTCAGCGGAGAGCATGATTAGCAGCAGCCTTGCGCTGTCCCTTTACATGCTCGCTTCTACTGCCGGCGAGCTACCACACTGGCGTCGAAATCTCTGATGTGCGGGTGACGAGGTAAGATTTGTACAGCTCTGAATGTAGCTACACATTGAACGGCAATTTTGTCTTGCTACCCAAGTATTATGAGGCATTCTGCATCAAGCACGCTGATCGCAAGTGTTACACAGCCTGCCGATCACGAAGTCAAGTTGGACGTCAGCTCAAGCTGAAATGGGCCGATTAGAGGACCATCCAGAACTCGCCACGAGATACTGACCTCGAGTGGTCGGCTTACATGGCGCAGGTATCCTCACGGGATACACAATCGACTACACAGAACTATCAGAGAGGAGAAACATGTCTGGAGAGTTTCTAAAGGTTTGAAGAAGAGTAATCATTATTCATTGCTGCAAGTCACCAGGACCTACATTATCGTTCACATCTAAATTTCGAATCGGGCAATGTCTTTGCTCACACTACTCTGTCAGCGGCACCTCAAAACTTCTCCCAGCTGTCCCGCGCACGCGAACGCTCAGGATGCTCCTGTCGCTGGACGCCAGCCGGAACTTCAATCACACTACCTCTGACCGGTGCCTTCTCGAAGCCAGTGTCCATCTCAGCATGTCTCGGTCTTGCCCATTGCCGTGCGTGACTGGCACCAGGCTTGGTGATCACTCCCATATCGTAGGATTGTGGAGTACGCTGGTTGCCCAGATCATAATCATCTGGATGCGGGAGTTTCTGTCCAACAAAGGCTGACTGCACAGGCTTCTGCTTGGCCGCTGTTCGTGGATTCTGCATCTTGCGAAGCGATCCGGATTCGAGGTGCGCCATTTGTCCTCGGACTCTGCGACTCAAGCGACGAGCTCGAATCTTGCTGTAGATGTAAGAGACGACTGCGATGAGGCTGAAAATTACTGCGAGTGCGATGAGGACTTTTCCGAGGATTTTCCAGGTGGGTTCTTCCTTGCCTTCGCCCGTCTTGGGCATGTCGCGAGTCAAGATTGAGGACTGGTAGAGCTCCTTCGGGACGGAGTAGTAGTCGCTGCGGTGCACAGCGTGGAGATGCATGTTGGTCTTTTTCTTCGTCGGGAGAAAGTGGGAGGCGGAGATGATTTCTCTCAAGCTGTTAACCGGAACTAGCTCGAGTGTGTCGTGTTGTGGTTCAGGTAAAGATCGCAGGGCTGAGTGTGCTACTCGGTTTGGGAATTTGAGACACGGTACTGCGAGCGCAACAGCGTGGGTGCGAGAGTGTTCCTTATACCGTGGTCACAGAAGGCATTGTGGGAGAGGATTCTTTATCTGTTGGAAGAAAGAGGAGGGAGAAGAACAAAGCGTGTGAATGGCGCATTCGTGAATAGCATTGTCGGCTAGAGGTAACGATGGTGTACAATAGAGCGTGAATGTCGCTTCGCTTTGTTCAGTCTTGAATAGAGGTGGATTCATTGTTCAATGTCGCGCTTTCCGTGAAACGGGTCTCTGCCGTGTGCGATGACGGGGTATCTGAGTTTCTTGGATGGGAGCGGTCTGCGGTGTTGGTAAAGTGTATATGTTTCCCAGGAGCTTGCTGTAAAATCTATGTCGTCTGTGTAGGTGAGTTCGTCAGTATGGCCTTGCGAAGGCATCAACGTGCTGAAGGTGCGTGGCTCGCTCAGTCATCGCAACCAAGGAATCGCGATTTCGGCTTCACACTCGCCGGGTGCGGACATGCTTGAGCTGAAGATGTATCAACTACACCGTCTACATCTTCGCATCGCCAGAATGTAGTCTGTAGTGCTTGATGATATTGCAACGCTGTCAAGAGTTGATGGTCAGGAGTCAAAGATGGCATGTAATCGAGTGAGGCTTGGATTTGCCGAGCCGAGGTGAAGCCCAAAAGTTTCCCGACTTCAGCTCACTTCACATGTTCCTGCTTCGTCTCTCACTTTCCCACAAATCTCTGAAAAGTGCGTTGGCGAAAAGCGTTCTCCTTCACAATGGGCTGGCTGGACAAAGTGCCGCGAACAGAAGGTGGCGGCCTCTGGATCGGCGGCTATGCAGCGCTGTATTCACAGCAGCCGCTGTTCCAACAGTCGAAGATCACGCATGTAATCAGCGTGCTGGACTACGAGCTCTACGAAGCAGAATACCTCAATGCGTACAAGCGCATGCATATTAAGCTCGACGATGACCCGAACGAGAATCTCCTGGAACACCTCCCGAAGACCACAGCATTCATCGACGAGGCACTAAGTAAAGGCGGCGCCGTTTTCGTCCACTGCGCAATGGGCAAGAGCCGCTCGGCAACTGTCGTCATCGCATACCTCATGTGGAAATACGCCCTCACTCCTGATGAAGCTCTCGAGCAGCTTCGTGAAGGGCGAGGTGTTTGCGAGCCGAACCCTGGATTCATGGAGCAATTGGATGTATACCAGCGCATGCTCCAAGCAGATAATCAGGAGACAGCCAAGCAAATCTACGAGGCTTGGGTAAATGAACGCGATGTCTATCGTGACTGGTATTCTTTCCGCTCATATCGCCGCCAAGCGCCTGTGCCTAAGCTCTGAAACAAGCTAATGCGCGCTAATTGCTCATTTTTGCCCGAGCTGGCAGCTGAAGTTGCAGCTGAGGATTGGGTGAAGCACGGCGCTGGGAGAGGTGTGATGAACAATCGGGACAGGCTCGGGACATTGGTCGACAATAGACCTGGGCTGTCTCAAGAACAATATCACAATGGCTGAAGATTTTGCACAGAAGGTCATGGTATTGCAAGCTTATTCGCCATTGGGCTGTCTATACTGGCAATCGGATTCCCGGTCACGATGGAGGTATCTGGGAGTGCTCAGCCAGGCCTCCCAACACAGGCCCGGCGGACTCCCACCACGACCTCAGGGCTCCCCCGTTTGCTCCCCAACCCCATCATGCAGGCCACTGGAAGTTCTATTCTTCACTCTGCCACATGAAACTGGTAGCGCCACTGGTAGCAGGCAGCCAGCTGGCATGCATGGCCATCCACCCCATGTCTTCTGTTGCTCTTCTTGCTGCCACTTGAACCACAATCTTCTTACAACAACAATTCGTCACTCACCTTCAGTCATCTACCATCTATTGCGCAGCAGTGCCAGTATTGTTGGCACACCAGCATCCTAACCACCGACGTGAGGCACCGACCACCAACGACTCCTGCCTGAACAATGGTAAGTCAATGTCGGCCGCACGTTCCAATGACACCTGGTGCCTTATACTGAGTTACGTTCAACGTAGGACCGCGTCACCTCCAAGCAACTCTTCGAGAGCAGGCGTCGGGTCACTCGCTTCCAGGTCAATGTCATCAAGAAGACCTTCCCTTTTCTCCTTCTGCCACCGGAGCTCCGCAACATGGTCTATGCCTTCGCCATAGATCTCACGACCCTGAACCAATTCTTCGACAAGGATTTAGAAAAAGCTGTCTGTGTCAAGAAGACCAAATCGCCCCGCAAGCAACGCGCGTCGCTCAAATCTACGCCTCCGATCTTCTTGGTCTGCAAGCAGATCTCGAACGAGGCATCGTGGGTGCTCCAGAAGCAAGGGTTTGTCGTCCTCGAACCTGTATGACAAACACAATGGCTAACCCTATACAGTGTCACTTTCCAGCATGGACTCCTGGGCCACAGACTTGAGGATGTCATCTCTCCCAACGTTATTCGCAAGCTATCCAGCATCGAGATCACAGATGCTGGCCATGGCACGACCGACCACTGGGGCCGAACGGTGAGCTGGTTTGGGTACATCAACCTACTGAAGCAACTCGGTGAGCTTTTGAGCACCGGCGAGCACAAGCTTAAGAAGTTGACCGTAGAGCTCAACGCTCCTGGGCTGGTGGAGCACATGACAATTTGTCACGAAAGCGGCAGATTCAAGTGTGGCTTCCGCGACACAATGACTAAAGCCCTTGCGACTTTGAGCAAAGCACGAGGTATCGGCGAGGTGATACTCCGCGGTCTCAATGTCGATGAAGCTGCTAGAGCCAAGGAGCTCATGGAAGGTCCGGCATGCAAATTCTTCAGCCTTCCTCGAGAGATCCGCGACATGATCTACGAGCACTCCCTCGACTGGTCAGACGTGTCCAACAAGCTCGCCGACGGCCTTGCCGACTGGCCGGACAGGACCGCAACGTTTCCATTCCCACTTCGAACGACACCCACTGTCCTCGTCGTCAACAGGCAGATGCATGAAGAAGCCGCCGAAGTCCTTGCGAAGAAGCCTCTCAACATCACTTTCCCTGCAGACAAGACTTTCGACGACCAAGACTGCAAGATCCCAAGCGTCCTCGGCCTCATCCCTCGTCGCACTCTCGAGCGCGTCACGACGATACATATCAATATGCAAGGCTGGTTCTGGGTCTTCAACTTCGAGCCGCGCTTCATCCGCGCTCTCGCGAATAGCCAGGCGCTCAAGCATCTCAAGATCACCTTCAACGACCACAAGAAGCCCGACTTCTTGGGTTTCCCAGGTCAAGTCTACCCAGATAACGTCCTTGCTTCTAAACTCAAAGCTTTGACTGAAGTTCGCGGGCTTGAGACTGTGACTTTCGAGGGCGATTTGCCGGTCGTCTACACAATTCCACTCGTTACCATCATGACTTCTGGACCCGAGGTTCCTCTTCATGACTTGCCTCGCCCGATGGGTATCAACTCTGAAGGCCATGTGCTTGATGTTGATGATCTGGAACGTCCTTGAAATGACGCAACGCTACGACTCGACATGATCTAACACGAAACGACGCGATACGATATGAAAGAAGCAAGCGCTTCTACGACCGAGCCACGAGCCACGACCGCTTCTTATCAGACCTTCACCTGCTACGAAGTACGATCCCACCCGCTTTCACGCGCATTCTCCGCATCCCGGCGCATTTGAATGAGCTATCGATGTTTCTAAGAGACGTGTAGCACGGCAGGTTCTTCACCTCGCTATCTCTGCCACTTGACATGACGCTTCAGCTACAGCGGCACCACAGAACACAAAAGAAACGATACAAAGCAACGCTATGACTTCATTCATGTATCTCAGCACCAGACGCAGCTACTGACTGCTACGATCACCACCACGACCGGCGAACTAGAGCAAACTTGCAAACCACAATTTACCTGGACTTCTTGGCAATTTCTGAGCAGCACTTCGCTCATTATTCGGTCAGATTGAGAATTGGCTAGGGCTGTGGCAAGAGGAACATTTGGATGAAAGAAGTACGACAGAGTATGAAGCAGCGAGAAATTTGTTTTCGCAGCATATGAAATGATGAACTATGATGCGGAGGATAAGTAGACAGAATTCCGTCGAAATGCAAAAGTATGATTGATTTCTTTCAATACCTTCTCCTCAGCTCTGTCGTCCTCAAAGGTTCCCTCTTGAAAATTAATCTCGTTCCCAGTACATGTGTTGACCAGAGCGGCCCGAGAATAGACCACAAGCTGACTGTTGCCGTCATTATACGAGATAAAACATGCTCGGCACAGGCGAGACGGTTAGCGAAACCGTGGTCGATGCGTGGTCGACGGCACACCAACATTCTCCTCTTGCATCTAGCGCCCGATACGCAGGCTTCTTTCAATACCTGGCGCCAAGAATGTGATCCAGAGTGTGATCCAGAGTGTGATCCAGAGCGCCGTTGGGGTTGCGATTTAGACTACGATGAAGAGTGTGATTAAGAGAAATGACCATTGAATTAAGGCAGATTAAGCAGCTCGTTTGTGTGAAGGTAGACGAATTAAGCGCAACTAAGGCAAACTAAGGCAGACTATGGCGAATTAAGCGCAAGTAGAGAGGATTATAAGAGCACACAATACTGGAAATATGCTGTTTGTTCTCGCATAAGATTGCTCAGTGCTGGTCTGCCTCTATTTAGTATTCAATCATGATGGTCCACCTGCTCCGTCTTCTTGTCTCCAGTCTCTGCGTCTGTCGAAGCCACCCATTCAGCCAATTTCGGGGCCATAGGGAAGACCTTTTATCGCATTAGTACATTGATCCGAAAGGAGTTCCAACACATCTCAAAGCTGAGCTGGTTGAGCTCGCGGCACTCACCTTGTCCTCCTTCTGCGGCCCTCGATCCCCCACTTCCAACCACTGCTCTTTTGACAACTTATTCTTCGTTTGCCAATTCTTCATCTGCTTGTAATCGATGCACTTCTTATTGATCGCAAAGTCTGGGTAAGGGTTGATTTGTGTTTCGACCCACTGATATGAAGTGTCAGCGACCACAGTAAAGCAAACATGCGAAGGGTACTGAACTTACATTCATAGTAATCAAATCAAACGAAGGTTTACAAGTCAGCGTCTGCAATAAAATATGTAGACAATGACTAAGATGTGCTTCAGCCAATGGCGAGAAAGGACTTTTGCCAGGAGTGGTCGAGGCTGTGAGGTTCGGGTAGAAGTATTCTCGATAAGCGTATCGACGGAGAGTGTTAAGGCAGTGGATGGCGTGTTGGCCGTCGAGCATGGCGAGATGGGCGTCTGGGCCGTAGCCTATAGATACAAAAGATTGCGTTAGGATGTCTGTAGAATCAAGCAGTACATGAACGGGAGAGTACGAACCGAAATCCACGGGTGCTTTCACGGTCGTGCTAGGGTCTTTCCCAAGTAGTCGGACATCATCGGAGGAGATGATCAGAGTTCCTATTTCTTCGTACTCATCCCATAGAGCTTCGGTCTCGGGGGATGGGTAAGCGCGGAGGAGTGCCTCTTCGGCTGAAAGGCTGTCTTCGTTGAAAAGTGGTCCGACAACAGTCTTTTGTTGGAAGTCTATGTCGTAGCGGGAGAAGATGGGAGCTGTTGGAAGAGCGTCTCAGCAATGGTGTCCCTCTGAACCCAGTGGATTGTCTTACAGTAGAAAGAAGTCTTTTGCAGTAGCCAATTATTGCTGCGCTCTGGGGTGGAGAATGATAGTGTGAAAAGTGTGCATGATATGATGAATAGGCAGAAGTTCAGAATCGTTATGCAGTGGCGGCGGCAGAAGGTAGGCGAGGGAGAGTGCTGAGGTGAAGTCGCAGCCTTCTCCCAGGCTACTCCGTCGAGTAACCGCGCTTCGCTGCTGGAGCTTGGTGCATCAAGGTCATCCGAAGAGCCGCGTCGACTGTTTGCCGTCTGCATGGGATGTGATTGCGATGCTTCCATTAGCTCTGTCCAACGATCACTTTACAAAAGGTCGCACTGCTTGTCGGATTTCTCTTGAGTGTCTGCGAAGCCATGTGGTAGGGCGATCGTGTCTGTCTCGTCAACGGCGTCTCTTGGTTGATTTGAGTTATGCATATTCATGCACGTTCGCTTAATAGCACTTCACCTGCCGTTTCTGCACAAGCTTAGAGGCTGCAGCCAGCCACTCGCAGACGAGCTGAATACCAAGGCTACGGCTAGGTTACTTGGCACCACTGGCACTGCACGCGTCCACCTTTTATGCGGATGCGACTATACCAGAGTACCGCCTCGAGATGTGATGTTGAAACAGCAGCTGCCACGATAGTATTGTGCGGCATTGCCAGTAGGCCATGTTTCAGCGGTTGGCGTGTTCCAAAGCGATCGCCAGTCGTCGATAAGCATGGGAGGTGTGTCCGCCACGGACAGGTCGAAGGCTCCAGACGCAGAGGAGGAGCTTCGACTGTGTCGAGCTGTGTCGATCTCATGCCGCCTCCCGAGGCTCACTATGCAGCCCAAGGCCCTTGCATCAGCCACTTGAGATGCCTCGTACAAGCGCAAAAAGCACATGACGCTGGAGGTACAAGTAAAAGGACCTGGCGTCCAGACTCTATCGAGCCGCTCACCAACATCCTCTCAACAATCTTCTTACCCCCAGCAACCATGCAATTCCTATACTTGACCGCGGGTCTGGCCGCGATGGTTCTGTCGGTGGCAGCAGCACCTGTGGCTCCTCAGGCATATAGCCGTCCAACCAATTTGATCGCTGCGGAATCGGCTGCACAGGCCTATGGCAATGAGAAGGCTCTCCGAGTCCCCGCCGCGAGAGATGCGGGTGCAAAAGCTGCCCAAGCATACGGCAATGAGAAGGCTCTCCGAATCGTTGATCAGAGAGACGCTGGTGCTGAAGCCGCACAAGCATACGGCAACGAGAAGGCTCTTCGGATCGTCGATCAAAGAGATGCTGGTGCCGAAGCCGAAGCTGCACAAGCTTACGGCAACGAGAAGGTGTGTCCGTGTCGTTGCGTACCGTGCCACGCGTCAACTAACACCCGAATAGGCGCTTCGCATCGTCGATGATGCTTAAGGTCATGGCTTGAAAATGTGAGCGAAGGGGTATTCGACGCCGACTACGTTTCTTTCGTCTAGATGGAAGTCGCTAGGAGCAGGGTGTGGAAGCCGCAACAAGCTATATCTTGAGCATAAGCAGAGAAGATCCGTTCGAAATGTAAAGAAAGGACTTGAGTTTGCATGAGGTTCGTTCTGTGCTTTCCAGATGCAAAAAACATTTAGTTGAACAGAGCATCAAAATCTAGGTCCGCGGTGCTATTGTTGTTGTTCTCATCATCGCCCATGTTTCCGTCGAAGTTGGCGAGGTCCATGAGGTCATCGAAAGTGGTGTCTCGTGCTTCGTCACCACCGGCAGAGCGAGTCGTCTGTTGTGATCTATCAGCAATTATTCTCTTTGTGTTATATCCTCTCGGGCACGGTTTAGACCGCGCGCCCGTGCGCTGGCGACTCATAGCGAGGGTGATTCATCTGGAGATGGAGAAGCACAAAGGATCTCTTGGTGTGCTTCCGAAGAATTGCTGCACCTCCATGGGATCGATGTTCATGTTCCACGGTACGGCGGTCTTTCGGAGAACGGGAACTCGGCCCTAAAGGTTGCGCCGTGATTCGGAATCTGGTTTACAGATCCCGAGTAATTTGCTGCAAGCATATGTGCATATGCATATGCATGTGTACAGCACCGTAGGAGGTTTCTGTGGCAGACGAATGTGTTTGCCACGAAGTTAGGGGAAAGACTTACATTGTTCTGCTCGTTAGTGTTGGTGAAGAACGAGTTGAGATCCAGCTCTGCGCCACTAGTGTTGTTGGATTGTGTATTAGCATAGTCCTCGAGGCCTGGGAGTAGAGATGAGATGTTGTCGTTGTCTGCGTTCTCGCCGTTGAAATTCCCAAAATCGCCGAAGTCGATCTCTCCCGTGGCGTTCTCATCAAAGCTGAACTCGTTTCCGCCATCGTTGGTATTGTCGCCGCCACCGAACAAGGACTCAAGGTCATTGTTGATGCTTTCCTTGGCAGTGTCGGGTACTTTCTCATCTTCGCCGCTGGGCTTGCTCGGAGCTGTGTCGACTTGAAGGCCGGATTCTGCTGACTTGGCATCATTTTGAGGTGGAACTGGGGCGGGCGGCTGGGTAGGAGCTTCGGATGTCGTTGTCGTCTCGGGAGCACTGGCTTCGGGCTGTGTCTTCTGATCTGTCTTTGTGACTTCCATTTCCGCTCCAGACGGCTCGGCTTCGGCGCGTTGCTGTTCTGGCTGTGAGTCTTCCATGGTCACGTCCTCGTCTGCTGGAGCTGTGTTGATAGTCTTCTCGGTCTCAGGCTCTGCTTCCGGTTGTTGCTGATCAAGTGCATTGGCAGAGTGCGGTCCTGGAACCGGCTGCTGGACAGATGTGGCCGGGCGCTCTGTCGGGATTCCTTGGCGTTCACGAAGCAGCGCGAGGTCGCGTCGCATCACCAATTGCGCCAGTTGCTAGCACGAATATTAGCATGCCCACTGAGTGGTGGTAGTATTTCCAGGACTTGCCAGTTCCTCTTCCAGCGCGTCCAGAGCATCTTGGAAATTGGCCTGAGCCTTAGGCAGGATTTGTTTCAGCTTGTTGACTTGAGCTGTTGGCGCTTTCTTGGAGTTTGGGTCGACGGCGGCAAATACTCTTCCAGTTTGCTCGAGCTGGAAGGGTTAGTAGGCGCTCATCACCAGATGATTGCGATCGTGCATACGACGAGATTGACTTGAGCTTGCAGCTGGTCCAGCAGCGCATTTTGATTCGCAGTCGCCATGAGTTTCTGATGCTGTCGATAGTAATGCAAGTGTAATTTGTATGATGGAACGTGGTTGAGCGCTTTTACCGCCGTGAACAAGATCAATGGCTCGGATATGTCAGAAGATGGTGAGAGGTGGATGATCAGGTCACAACGAGTCGTGGTATGGCGCGCAAGCAGCACTAGCGCCGTCCCGCGTGCAAGCGGCGGATAGGATAGGGTTCGGCAGGAGCAGCCGAGCCGGCGGTGGTGCTTCCCCTTCCCTCGAAAGCGGCTGCTGGCTTTGACCTCTTCTGGTGCTGCTGCTCAGCTCTGCACTCGCCAACTTGCGCATTTTCCGCGCCCGTCTTTTCTTCCATCTGTCTCCTTTGTCGGTCTGTTCCTTTGCTGTACGACTGCTGTGTCTGCTGCTCGACCGTATACTCGCGCCCGCGCACTTCTGGACGTTGCCGCCCCTGGCTTTTCGCACCGCCGCCGACAACCAAATCTCTCGCGCAGCCGTAGCAAGCAGAAGCCCCACCTGGTAATCACCATCTCTCCACTGCGGTGTAGGTGTTGATTCTCCCACCGTCCATCAAACGGCCGCTGCTCCTGCTGCTGTCTGTCTATCTCCTTGTCAGTCTCCTCACTCAGCCTCCGCACCGCTCTCCTTCCCCGTCCCCGGGGATTCCTTCTGTACGGCGCCTAACCGCTCCGCTTCAGCTTTTTCCCACTCTCGCCCTTCTGCATTGCGACTTTCTGCAATCTGCTTCCGCCCCCTCTCATAGCGCTCTGTCTTCGCCATGGCCGATACCACGACTCCCTCCGAATTCGCCCAGCCCACCGCGGGCCAAGCGCCAGGCACACAAGGCCATCAGAATGGCTCTGGCAGTCACATGCCCCCTCCGCCGATGCCTGCGCTCAATGTCAGCATCCCTATGAACTATCAGCCTCCACCCTCGGAGCTTACCGACATGATGTCGCCGACAAGCGCCGGAGGTCAGGTGCGGCGTGCGGCCCCGGAGCCCAACAAAAGGGCGCTGTACGTGGGAGGTCTTGACCCGCGCGTCACGGAGGATGTGCTGAAGCAGATATTTGAGACGACTGGGCACGTGCAAAGCGTCAAGATCATCCCAGACAAGAATGTGAGTACAACTTCCTTCATGTGACAATCTGGCGCATTCAGGCGCAGCACGTGGGCGCCTGCTTGTGCTTGCTTGGGTCCGACCATTGTCGCAACAGCGTCAATGAGACTACTTTCACACTGCGACAGCTCAGTCATGCGAACAACAACCAGCACTGCTACCGTTCGGAACCCATCACTGACAGAATCAGTTCCAATCAAAAGGTTACAACTACGGATTTGTCGAGTACGACGACCCGGGCGCCGCCGAAAGAGCCATGCAGACCCTCAACGGAAGGCGCGTGCATCAGCAAGAGATTCGCGTCAACTGGGCATACCAGTCCAACACATCGGCGAAAGAGGATACCACGAACCACTTCCACATCTTCGTCGGCGATCTCTCGAACGAGGTCAACGATGAAGTGCTCTTGCAAGCTTTCTCCGCATTCGGCAACGTTTCAGAAGCACGTGTCATGTGGGACATGAAGACTGGACGATCTCGTGGATACGGCTTTGTTGCGTTTAGGGACCGCGGCGAAGCCGAAAAGGCACTGAGCTCGATGGATGGCGAGTGGCTCGGATCTCGTGCCATTCGCTGCAACTGGGCAAACCAGAAGGGTCAACCGTCATTCTCTCAGCAGCAGGCTATGGCTCAGATGGGTCTGACGCCGACGACACCTTACGGACACCACCAGTTCCCCACTCAGGGAACTCAGTCCTACGAGATGGTCGTGGCTCAGACGCCGCAGTGGCAGACGACCTGCTACGTCGGCAACCTCACTCCTTACACGACCCAGAACGACCTCGTACCACTCTTCCAGAACTTCGGCTACGTGACTGAAACGCGCTTTCAGTCTGACCGCGGCTTCGCATTCATCAAGATGGACACGCACGAGAACGCCGCAAATGCGATCTGCCAGTTGAACGGATATCAGGTCAACGGTCGCCCGTTGAAATGCAGCGTGAGTTTGTAGAATGACCGAGAATTCTTATCGCATCACTGACAACTTGCAGTGGGGTAAAGACCGTCCTCCGACCGGCCAATTCGATGGCTTTTCGCCAGCAACCGCCCAGACACCAGGCTCTGCTTTCTCTGCTGCGACGCCCCAAGCCTTCTTTCCACAATACGGTCAGCCGGCTGCAATGTCACCTCAAGGTATGCCTTTCTCCCTTTTTGTTGCCTTTTGAATCGTTCTGACGGGCTATAGCAGCCTCACCAGCAGGCTTCCAGCAGCAAGGTGCAGCAGGCTGGCAACAGCAAGGCATGACACCTTCGGCCATGCATCCAGGAGCGCCAGGCTGGCCAGGCGCTCAGCTTCCTCCCAGTGCTGGCGGCTTCAATCCACAGTCACCTGCTGGATACGGCATTCCCCAAACTAACCCTCAGGCTGCTCCATTCGGACGCGGTTACGGTGGCTTCCAAGGCTAGTTGCGGGAGGCCAGGCGGATACCATGCCGAAGGTCACGAAGTCCACTCCGCGATTGCAGCCGAGGGCACGTTCTCTTTTCTTGAGCTGATTGCACTTTTGGTTCTGCTCATGGCGATTTGCATTGCTTTGGATACCCAACAAAAGCCTTCCGTACCCCTTCATCCGGCCACGACTCTAGAGAGCGTCTGAAGTTTGTTTCTGAAAGTACGATCTAGCGTGTATCTCTGACAGTTTGTTTTGAGGGCTGAGGCGAGGACGGATGGCATAGCGTAGCTCTACTCACTGATATTGGGTATGAATTGAGATTGAAATGTTCTCCGTCTACTCGCGTCTCACTGGTCGCGCATAAAGATGGAACTGCTAATGGACACCAGATTTGAGAAGATTGGGAAGTCGCAGCCGTGCGGTGTGGAAAGTGCGCGTCTACTCCTTCCACAACCAAAAGCCCGATACCCGACCACAATTCTGCTCCTCCTCGTAAACCGACAACTTCGACCTCACATACAGCGAGTGCAACTGCATGCATTGCCATCGCCATGTGTCCCCTTCAGACGCCGGCTCCCACCTCGGAAGCATCTTCAGCACTTGTGGCGCGCCTTCCCAGCAAGCACACGATCGCCTTCGCCATGACTGTCGTTCGTTACAAGCCTCCAGAGCTCAGTATTCAGGGCAAGTGCATGCCATATGAAAGTCGACACCGGATCTGACGTGCAGCCAGAATACATCAAGTTGCTCAGACAACACATTGCCAAGGGACGTCGAGAGAACGCGTTGAGCAGTGTCTATTCTCATCTGGACCGCTCTGCGTATTGGCGATCCGAAGCTGAACGGGGGCGAGCTGCTCTGCGCTCTGCAGAGAAGGAGGCTATCGACTTGCGACGCGAGATCGCCACGTTGAAAGGCAAGCTGGACAATCGCCCCTCGAGCCCGGTGAAGAAACGAAAGAAGGTAGATGCGGATGTCATTCTCGTGCCTCGAAGTCCGAAGAAGGCCAAGAGAACTGCTTCACCGATGCGAAATGGTCCACTGGTCACTGACCTGACTATTGAAGAGGAGTACAGCCAAGCTGGAGAGATTGGTCAGTTGCTATCAAAGGAATGCTTGTGCTTTGCTGACCTCCACAGGCACCAAGCTGCTGCGGGCCGTCTTCCACATCTTGGAAGCCTTGAAGCCAGGTCGGCGTACCGAGACAGACGAATTGGCATACCACATCGAGCGAGCGTGCTCAGTCATTCCTTCGATCGTGCAAGAAGAATTAGACAAGCTGATTGCAGATTCAAAGGCTGGTGAGGAGCAGTCCAAGGCTGCGCTTACCATCGCTACTCGTGCGTTGGCTACCATCCTGGCCGGCTATACTCGCCTTGGGAAAACGCAGCCGCAATCTCCAGGCTCCTCAGTGCCTGGGAAGGTCACTTATGCAATGGTCGTCATGTTCAGGAAACTGGTGGAACAGTTGACTGTTCTGTCTGATCGAGGGGCAACGAAGAAGGAGAATGTTGATGATAACGTTCTTGCTTCGACCAACGCACGACCATCTACAGCTCGACCGGCTAACAGTCATGCAAAAGGCGGTATATCGAGACCTTCAACAGCACGACCGTCTTCTCCCAAAAAGGCAAAAGCCAAGACTCCAGCCCGCGCGAAGAATCCAAAGGACGAGAGGGTCAAAGAGAACCCAGTTCTTGCGCTCTACACCACATTTCTCGGTAAGGTCATCGACATGATCGACCCGAAAATGGAATCCAATCATGCTCTCTTCGAAGGTTTCACTTATTGCGTTCTCAACCATTTGGGCAAGAGGCTTTACACCATCGTCTTTGGGAAGAGCAGAGCGCCAACTCTGGAGGCTGAGATCAAGCAAGGCATCGATGGGCACCCCGATGAAACTTCACCGGATCCTATCTCTGCGCCAGAACTCACACACGAGCAAAAGCAAACCAGACTCGAAGCTCCGTATCTGCTTCATCTCCTCAATCGAGTCATGATCGCCGTGCCAGCCTTTTACGGAAATGTGCACGGCATCAAGAACAGCGGCAAAACGAAGAATGTGAATAAAGCTCCAGCGAAGAATACGCTTGCCATCTCGGCGAAAGAGTGTCTGCAGAGAACCCTGGTCAATTGCATGTTTGGCACGGAAGGTGTGGTGGACGACCCATTCAAAGAGTATCTGAGAATGCCAGGTCCTGGCGAGGCAACGATGACGGTGCCGAAGATCAAAGAAGTCGATGTAACGAAGCATTTCCAGGAAGAGGTTTGGCGTTGTCTGGGGTGGGATATTCTGGCGAAGGAGGGGGAGTGGTAATCTGCTTGAGATTTTGGAAGAGAGGCGATGATCTGCGTTTACTTGAAAATGCTGGAGTTGCTGCTGAAATTTTCGAAGATGTTTTGTTGCTCTTAGCTGCCTGTTACAACATCGCTAATGTAAATGTTGAGTGTATGCCAAATCTCGTACATTCTATTGACATGGAACGCTCCAAACTCGCTTTCCCAACGCCCGGGAATGCATGAGAACAAATCTCAATTTGTCGTTCAGTGATTTTCATACGACAAATCAATCGCCTGGAATTTCTAGCTCAAGTGGCCAAAGCTTCAACCAAAAATCGTCTGCCAACATTTCTCATGCGCAACGTCGATCCAGTGAGCCCCTCCTCCTCCACCCGCGTTTCCATTCGCTGTTCCAGGGTTATCAGCCCTTTCCCAAACTTCTTTCACGATATCGAGCGCACACAATTGTGGCCTCTGGGCATATTTCCTTGATAGCACTAGCATTCTTTGCTCGACGAGATATCGTGCTGCAACAAGGTCATCGTGTTGTTGTGTGGTGTCCGGGTCGGCGTGGTCCGAAGTCCCTCCTACTCCTGCTGAGATTGAGGTTGTTGCATTTTGGTGATTATGGTTGAGGTTGTCAGGTAAGCGTAGTTGAGATCCGGCTATAAGCATTATGAGTGGGAGGAGGCGGCACGCGCCGGAGGAGATGGGGATTGGCTTTACGAGGTCGAGGGTTTGTGTGGCGAGCATGGTGAGGTGGTAGTCGAGGGGAGACTTGTAGCTTTTGGTGCTGTCGCTATTGGTGTGGCTGGATTTTGTGTCTTCAGAGGAATGTCCGGGCAATAGGTCTGAAATCGAGGAAGTTTTGGTCCTTTGCCAAAAGATGTTGGGGAACGCGCGATAGATCTCGAGGAGACCTACGAGGCGGTAGGCCTGAGAGATCAGGATGAGATCGGCAAGTGGTGTGCGTTTGTCGCCAGGATCGTTGATGGAAGAGGCTTCTGGAGGAGACCAGGTGTACAGCAATTTCTCGAGATGAGTTGCCCACTCTTCATCTCCTGTGCCTAGCACACCATTTCGCACACGGCGACGTAGAATGCGGCCAACTTCGGCGAGGACGAAGAATATTTCGCTGCTGATACCTGTCCATGGGTGAGGGTTGATGGGCACTTGACGAACGGGCATCGCTAGGTCGGGAGATTTGAGACCTTGTAACGCGGCCATGGGAACTGGGTCGATGAAGCTGGCAAGCATTTCCCAATACATGATGGCATCCAGAAGGAATTCGTCGTGGGGTGAGTGCTCGTTGCGTTGGAGTTTGACTTGCACTAGATCCCGGGCGATGAAGAGGTACTGTAGTCCGAGGTTGGAAGCTTGGTGCCACGAAGACGACACGCCCAGTAACAGTAAACTCAACAGCACGGTGTCTATTGAGCTTTTGCCATTGCGAAGTAGTTGAAGATCTTGTTGTAATGATTTCCACGCTCGACCGCGTTTCGCATTTCCCAGGACTGCGATGTGAGGGTAGAAGTTGGCAAGGTGGCCGATTGCCATGCTTTCAATGGTAAAGCGGACTGTGCTTGATGTGGCGCAGTGTTCTGCAACTAGTGTGCGGAATTGGTTGGCTTCAGAATCGAAGCAAGAGTATATTGCGCAGACATGATTGAAGTAGTGGCTGACAAGATCGTCTTCAGAGAACCCGGGGACCTTGTTGGGCACTGCTAAACGATAGAAGGTCTTGAGCAAGCTGGCAGGTCTGGACGAGTCAGCCTTCGGTGGCGGTGTTGGCAGCTGCTTGGCGACTGCATCGTCTTTGATAGCATCGTTACCCGAAGCAGTCATGCTGCTTCCACTGATGGGTTCCACGCCGTTGGGAATGAGCTGCGATAGCCCGCCATATATGCCGCCTAGGAATGGTTGTGTGTCGAAAGGCGCATCTTGTGCTTCCTCAGGTGAAGGTCCCGGAAATAGAGTTGAGAAGGTCAGGTCCTCAAGCCCATACTGCTCCATATCTGGCCAGCCATACATGTCCAAGGCACTGTCATCGTTGAATCCCAAGGTGGTCGCCACTGGCGCTTGATAAGACGCTCGATCACCGCCATCGCTGGTTGGTGGTCGAACAAGATCACCATCAGGTACATTGCTGTTTGTCGGGCTCAACGATGTATCTTGTGACGTTCGCTGCCGTTTCTGGGGCGGGCCAGTCAGAATCTCATGCTTGCTTGACCATCGTAACTGCTTGGTATATCCAGGACACTCGGCGCCTTGAGCGATGCATATTTGGCAGGCAGGCTTCGTCTCGTCGCATTTTATATGCTTTGACTTGCATCGCTGGCATCCTCCGCGAGATTTGGACGACTTGACAGTCCGCTTCATGATGTCGTGGTCGGAGCAAGGTGTCGGGATGTCTTGGAGGCTGGGATGACCCGCCGGGTCTGTGCTGGAAGTGGAGGCGATTTCCACTTCTGCCGCTTGCTCTCCTTCCTTCGCTTCTCCTCTTGACAATCTTTCTCACTCTCACAACGCTGACCTTGATGAAGGAGAGAACTGGCGTGATGGAAAACGACGACGAACGCTGCTGACCTACACGTACACTGACCGCCGTCAATTTGCCGCTGGTCACCACCCCGCCTCCACAAACACACGATGGACTCATTATCCTAAAATGGCCAACCGACTCACAAGCGAACCTCAAACACTCAGATATCGGATACATTGCAACCGCTGCATGCGATGAGGATTTATGCGATGATTCGTCCTTACGTCAATACTTATCAACTATCTTCACAATTTTGGCCTAGCATCTAAACCGACTACATTCAAGACCTCCTTGGCAACGTTCTCGCCAGAGCACAATGCGCCTTCCATGTACCCCTTCCACTCCGTGGCGTACTCTGTGCCGCAGAAATGGATGTTCCCGACAGGCTTGCCATACACATCCGCATGCTTGGTCAAGTCGCCAATCTTGGTGATGGGGACCAATGCGCCTTTGGAGTACTGTTCATGCTTCCAGATCTGGTCGAACATCTCGATTGGTCGCCAGACTTCGGAATCAGGACCTGCCTTATAGATCTTGGCCAGCTGCTTCAGGATAGTGGCGCGTCGCTCGTGAGGTGGTAGCTTGGACCATTTGCGGCCCAAGTCGCCATTCACAAAGCAAGTCAAGCAGTACAGTCCGACTTCCTCCACACTAGTGTCTCGCGCCAGCGGGCTAGGGCCACTGTAGCTCATGAAGAAGCCATTGTAGGACGTCTCCCGCCACCAAGGTGTGTTGTAGCATACAATCATCTTGTTGTAGTCTCCCATCGTGGCATTGTCGGCAAGCTCTTGAAGACCAGCAGGCAGTGGCGGAGATATCGTCAGGTCTTGGTACATTGTGCTTGGTATCGAGATGATGACTTTCCGCGCTTTGAAGACCTTTCCGCCGACTGTGGTGACGACCACATGAGTGCGATTATCCTCGACGGATCTCACCGGCGATGAGAAATAGACGTTGTGCTTGCCGACGAGCTCGTGGAGGCCGTTCGCAATGGATTGAGTGCCTGGTTGGAAGTCAGCCCTCGTTCTGATACCAGGTTCTGCACACTATACTCACCACGGTGTAGACGCTGATAATTGCCACCGGTCTTGTCATCAGCACGAATCGACAGAAGTCCTTGGTTCTTCCGACAATAGTCGATGAAGAAAGCTGCTGACTCTTCCGTAGATTCCACGCCATGCATCACTCTAGCCCAAAGGTTGACCATCTTGATTGTTTTGTCGGTAGCGCCAAGATTCCGAACATACTGATCCAGACTGACAGCATCATCTTTCGATTCCGGTCGTCCAGCCTTTAGTGATTCTGCTTGAATATGATCACGAACAACCCCCAGATTCTTCTTCTCCTCTTCGCTGAACTGTGTCTTCGTCAGCACACACGCTCGCAGGAACAATGACTCATCACATACCTCAGGCATAATACCATGCGGGAATGTTGAAATGCCGCCCTCACTATCCTGCATAATCGCGGTATGCCCCAACCGCTGTTCCACCCTCTTCAAGTCCCATCGCTTCAGATACTTCGTGATACGCGGCTGCAACTGATCATTTACCCACGCAGCACCCAAATCCACCACGCCTCGACCAGATGCCAAAGGGACGCTCCAGACTTTGCCTCCGACTCGATTTCGAGCCTCTAGGACAATGACTTGTAGCCCTGCCTCTTGCAGAGAACGCGCAGCTTGTAACCCGGAGAGCCCGGCTCCGATGACGATCGCGTCAAGCATGGTCTTGATTCACCTCTTTCGTAAACAAAAATGGTATGATAGAAAACGTACGAAGCAGAAGTAAGAGAAGGATCAAAGGACTTCAGAAACCGAAACGTTGACCGTAATAATATCACCTCTACCCAAGCACCGTTTCGCATCTCGCTCAACCCTCTCTTACTCAACAGAAACATAAGAAAGTAATCCTCGCACCACCTCCAGCTACAGCACGCGTGCGAGACGCGACCAACTAAAGACCTCGCATCCCGAATTTACCGCACTTGTTTTCTCGGAAAGTAAGCTTTTGAGAATTCTTTCTAACCACGTGGTCATGAGCCGGCCGTTCCAGATTCGTGGCATGATGCTTATAGAATGGACCAGAGAAGTGTGGGACATGGAAGTAGTGCTTCGTTGGCTGACTTGCCTAATGTGGTCATATTTCACATGGAAGTGCGCTTTCGCGGGAAGAGGCTAGCCGGATGAGGAAGGAAGTGGTTCTGGTGGGCCTCTCGTTATTTGACTTACTACTGATGATTGTTGTGTGAGAGACGGACGTGTACAACGAGATCGATGTGTCAAAAGTGCGCATGTGTGCGTGGAATGATTCATAAATCCGAAGAGGGGCGCCAAGAACCAGAAGTCTGAGATGCAAAGTATCAATGGATGCTTGAACAGTCATAGACCTGGTTCTATACACAAGTTGGGTATCTTTTTGAATATACATATCGAATCTGCTTCCCTTTCATTTAGTCCGCACCGTCCTAGTAACTCCACAGACCATTTCTGCTTCAAAGGCACAATCAGAAAAGAGGGAAGTTGAAGTTGTACTTCATGTCCACGTTGTCCTCGATAACCTCGATTCTCCTTCCACAAGTTCCAAAGATCTTGTCCCATAATCGTGTTTGTTTGCCATAGTTGCTGCTCTTCCTCCATCCCTTGCGGTGATGCAGGTCATGGTCCTCGATGACGAGCTCCATGCCAAAAAGCTTGAGGAGAGGCGAGTGAACGCCCGGAGTGCAGGAATAGATTCGTAGTCCACTGTGACCAAAAGGTTCGGCGAAGATGATGTATTGATGGCACAACCACCAATCGTGGAATCCCATGGGTAGCTGGAAGACATACTTCAGCGTTGCCCAGGTCAGGAATGGGATCAAGGCGATCTCGAGGAACTCTTGCTCTTCGTCGGCGTATGAGGACAGAAGTGGGTTTGGATGTTTGGTCAGGTGGTGCGTGCGGTGGTATTGCCACAGTCTATCGACCTCGTGGCAAGAGCGGTGGTAGAGGTAGAAGAATCCATCGAGGACAACGGAGTAGAGCGCTAACTCGAGAGGGATCCACCAAGAGAGTTGTAGTGCTCCGCGACTACGCCATGAGAAGAAAATGGCGAGCATGGGTCGGATGGTAGTAGTAAGTTGGAGCGAAGCGAACGTTTTGTTCACGCCCACATCAGGCACTTCGTCGCGCTGATGCTTGTCACCGTCCAGGTAGCCATATCGGTATCCCAAGCGTCGGAGAATCTTGACTTCGTGAATCGCGTTGATTTGCATTGCAGCTGTGTAGAAAAAGAATGCAGCAATCGGGTGCATATCGTGGCCAGTGTACCAGATGTACAGTTGCTGTAGCGCCATCGGCCAACCTGCGTGGGCCAGAATCCACAGGTGACACGACAATTCATTCATGTAAGGTACTTTATCTGTCTTCGCGAAGACTGGTGGCGGCGTTTGATCAGTTGCGGTGTGAAATGCGTCGATCAAATTGAAAAACTTGTGTGAGAAGCCCCATTGTGATTTGTCGCCACGCCAGGTGGACTTCATCGAGTCTTGCGGTCGTCGATCGCCGTGCATCTTGAATGTGGCTCAAAGAGATGAGTGTGGTGTTGTGAATGACTTACATCGATGAAAGACTGGGCATATATGTATCGCAGCTACATGAGGTATCAGTATGGCCACTCCGCATCTCTTGGAAGACCGAGGACGCATGTGAAGGCGCTGGGTCATGCCGTCGTTATCGGACAACGGTTGTGCGGAGAGCATCGTCATTCCGAAAGTAAGACGATGCTAACCACAAGCATCTTGACCTGTCGATCGCTGGGTTCTCCGCATATCTGATTGGGTGAATCGTTCAACTCAAATGCTTCTCCATTCTTCTTTCGGCGGTAGGGCAGGTTCCAGCTGCCATTTCAAATGTCAGGCACCTCAGGCAACAGGATGCTGTCCAGTGAGAGAGGTTGTCCGTCTGTTTGAATAGATGAGGTCGGTTTCCACGCCAAACGACTGTTCTCGTTGCTCGGCACTCCTATTCATAGCCTGTAACTCTTCACCTCTGTCTCCTCCAGGCTGCAATATACCGACAGCTGCGTTTGGTCCCCTCGCTGCGAACCTGCGCATATGAAAAGAGGGCACCCCAGAGTCTCCTCGGCGGTCAGTAATCACGAGCACAGAGACTTGACCTATACAGCATCACGTCACGGTCAAATCAGCGGCAGTTCACACCGACTGTACCCGGTCGAGGAGATTCTTGCTCATACGATCGCAGACCTTGGACAACCGTAGCCGTGATCTCGACCTGGCGTCGAAAATCTAGATTTCGGTCGGAAGACGTGATCTCATGGACGAGGTCATCGGCCTTCCTGGCGCAGACTGCAGCTCGATGTCATTCGAGAGCTCGCTGCCACTGACGTCCATGCTGAAGGCCGACGAACGTATAGTATGATTGCACGAGGTTTTGCAGCCTCGTAGCATATCATGAAAACATGCGGTCTAGTCCACCATCAGACCAGGAAACTGCAGTCCGTGAGGCAGATGAGCGTATACGGGTAGAGATTCTTATTCCGTCTCTGTGTTGCATACAAAGCAGCCTGCAACGACCTACCATAGCCGCGACTGGCGTACTTGCGTCTGGGATGTTCCGACGCTACTCATTGGTCGCTTGCAGGATCCGATGATGGATAGATTGGAATCTTCGAGGGTCCGTTTAGTCGTGAGATCATGAGCCGATCTAGAAGACGCGAGCTAGCGAAGACCAGCGGCCATGTGCGTGGCGCCGTGGGATAGTATGCCACTGGATGTATCTTGTGCGCACGTCTAGCAAATGTTGTGCTCGATGCTGCCTTTGGAACCGACCAGACCGTGGCGATGCTCCGACTGCCATCTAGTCTTGCTCATCTCCGTCATTTAGACGAATAGCGAGACCATTCCGGCCCATTTGGTGCTGTTGTTGATGATGTTGTTAGTCTGCACGAGTGCAAGACCTTGGAGAGGAAATGGGCGGCAGGCAGGAACGTGGGCTGAAACGGAAGCGCACGTGTGATCGGCGCTAGGTTTCGCCGATTGTGTCACGGTCGCTTCCAGAAAGGAAGTTCAGAGACGCATGTGAAGCAGACCAACAACGCGATCCATCCTCACACCAGCCGCCATGGCTGCTCCCAGGCTGCCGTTCCTCTGGCCCGTGCTGGCAAGAGGGTTCGAGAGCACCTCACCCACTGTCCGCTCCGCCAGAGCTGCCCAACGCATCCAGGCGTTTCACTCAACATCCCGACGAAGACGACCAGAGGTAACACCGCCTCAGCAACAGCGTTATGGCACGGCGAACGAACCTCTGCCTCATCTCGCAAATGGGAAGAAGAGGAGCAAAAAGAATGCTCCCGCCGAACAGCAGAAAAGACTGCCCAAAATCGGCGAGAAGCTCCAAACGGCAGGGGAAGCAGAAGTGAAGGCCGAGCGTCAAGAGTTGCAAACAGAGGATGTCAAGAAAGAACCCAAACCAGAAGACGTACCAGCGACATCAAAAGCGCATTCAGACCCGCTTCTAGACGGAGCAACCCCTATTCAAAAAGCGCCTGGTGCGCCAGAAACACCGCCTGACAAGCCCCTAGAAACGCTGTTGGATTCAGTGCCTGATCCAGTGGAACACGCAGAGGAACAACAGGCAGCATCCTCGAAGACCCAGCCTGAGGAACAGCCAACGCAAGCTTTTGACGAACACGCTCCTTCGACGAAAGCTCCTCACATCAGCACACCTCGCCACGTGCATCACTTTGACACTTATGGGCTGGTGAATCGCTTAAAAGACGGAAATTGGTCGGAAGCACAGGCAATAACAACAATGAAGGGCGTACGTGTGATGTTGGCTGAAAATATGGATTTGGCCCGTGAAGCGCTGGTCAGCAAGTCACAAGTGGAGAACGAGACCTACCTCTTTCGAGCAGCTTGCGCAGAGCTGAAGACGGAAGTGACAAGTCGGAGGAGAGCGGAGCAAGAGAAGATGCGAACCGAGCGGGCGCAACTACAGCACGAAGTCGAAATTTTGACGCAGCGACTGGGTCAAGAGATCGCGGCCATGAAAGATGACATTAAGGGTACCTTTGATGACCGCAAGATGGCTGTACGCAACGATGAGCGCTTGATGGAGTCGAAGATTCAACGATTGAACTACCAGATCACAGTCGATCTGCAAGCTGATGCGAAGTCAGAAGTTGAAGGGCTCAGATGGGTCATGACCCGTCGCGTCATCCTGGCCTTGGGTGTGATTGTAATCATGGTGGTGGCATCGCTGAGAATATATTCCAACGCCGTGCACGAGCAAGAATTGACAGCAAAGCGACTTGCTAGGATGAGATCGGGAGGCACACAGACGGACTCTGGAAGTGGGAGAGGGGGTCCGACTGGTAGCGATTCACCTACAAGTGGTCAAGGAATGAATGGCGGTGAGATGCTTGTCGACTCATTGCCTACTGGGTAGTAATGATAGCATGTGAAGTTGTGCATGGCGAAGCTAGAGTTAGACTATGATACCCCTATCACAATGCATTCGTCGATTTTCGGCCGCTCCTTCCAGATGGAGATGGACTTCGTGTCTGGCTTCTTGAGGCAGCCGCTATCGACAATTTGGCGACCGATATGCGCCCACGACACCTCATTCGACAGCACTCGTATAATGCTGTACAAGTCCCCAGAATATGAAGAAACATTCTTTGCGTGCAGCGCATTGCACTTCTGGAGTGGGTTCCGGCTCGTGGTCGGAGGACTTCACTATGATGTAACAATCTCCGTGGACATCATATCTTCACCACACCACCTACCGGATGGTCCAGGCGCTCAACCACGTTATCTACACGAGCTGACGTCAAAAGAAAGAGGCAAGCGACCATGGACGTGTCATTACCTCTGGCCGGAGCCCATGGAAAATGGAAGGTGAAACTTCCTCTCACATCCTCCGCTATCACTCAATAGAGCGTGATAGCGACAATCCCACGCAACGATGACCGCAAACAACCCCCAAGCAAACGGCAACATGCCCAACCACCACGAACTCGACGGCCATCAAGAAGACCACCCAAATCACGACTTCACAATCCCCTACGAACTCTTCTACACCAACCTCCACGACGACGAAGAAACCGAACAACACAAACGCCTCCGCGGCCAAACCCTCTCCAAACGTTCCATCCGGCACTACAACCACGCCACCACAAAATGGGGTTCCCTCCTCGAAAATTTCTCCCCAATGTGGTTCGCTCTCGTGATCTCCTCTGGCGGATTAGGCCTCCTCTTCGCCGGAACATTCCCCTATCGAGCCCACTGGCAAATCATAATCGCCACGATCCAATACGTCCTCGAACTCGTTCTCTTTTTCACATTCGGCGCAATATTATTACTCAAATGGATAATATACCCCCACGTCGCAGTGCGAAAAGCGATGAACGATCCAGATGAATTAGGAGCTTATGCTATTCCGCCGATTGCTTTGATGACGATTGGAGCGCTTACGGCTAGTCAAGTGAGTTTGGGACCTTGGGGTGGACATGCTTTTACGATTGTGGCGTATGTTTTGTGGTGGATTGGGATGATTTGGACGTTTTTGACTGCGGTTGTTGTTCTGACGACCCTCTTTTACACTGGAAATCAGAGTTCCAGAACGATGAGTCCTGTCCTCTTCATGGCCCCCGTAGGACTCGCGACTGCTGCGACAGAAAGCGGATTCATCACAATATATTCAAAGGAAATGTCCGCGAGGATGGCAGGACCGATGCTAGTTGTTGGGTATTTTGCTGGAGGTGTGGCGTTGTTCATGGCGATTATACTGTATACGATATATTTCCATCGATTATTGGCTGCGGGTTTCTCGCCTCCGGCGAAGAGACCTGGTTTGGTGATTTTGATTGGACCGGCTGGACAGCTTGCTACGGCATTTCAGATGATGGGACAATCTGCGGCGGGATATAATCGTTTCGCGGAGTACAAGCATACGGCGTTGCAGCCACCTACTTATGGGACTTTTTGGACGGCACAGACGGCGCAGGGACTACAAGGAAGTGGGATCTTCTTTGCGTTGCTTATACTTGGATTTGGGTATTTGATGCTTTTTCTTGCGATTGTGGGTGTGGTTGATGTTTTTGTGAAGAGGCAGGTCAAGTATAGTTTGACATGGTGGGCTCTGGTGTTTCCTTCTGTGACTATTACGACTGCGTGGATGGAATTGGCGAGTTCGATGGATTCGCCTGCATTCCGGGGCCTGGTCTGCGCTATGACGGTGCTGTTATACGTGGTTTATTTCATCAATTGGGGATTTACGATTTGGGGAATTGTGGATGGAAGTTTGATTTTTGGAAAGACGCATTTGGAGACGGAGATGGAATTAATGGCGAAGGCACAGGGCCAGAGGAAGAAGGAGGATATTTAGGTGTTGGTTACTGCAACAGGGCTGGCAAAATTACAGGTGATCTGAGAAAAATGCATTCGCCATCGAATCGAGCCATACTGAACACATCTGGAAGCAACTCATCTCTACACAGAATTGACTCCACGGAAACACGTCCATCCGAATCCGTACTTCCCGACCTGGCCTGCAGCCATCCAACAGAAGACCAGCACCTGAGACACATACCTGTCCAGTCTAGACTGTCTGCGAACGAACAAGTGCTGTCAAGGCAAACATTGAAATCGTTCATGCATAACCGCTTCTCCCGATCTTGCATGACATCCTCGCCCTCGTCGGAGCGCCTCAGGGCACTCGAAGCAAAACTGCTCGCCTCACGATACGCCTCCATGCTCATTCTCATCTGGGTCCTTTTCGGTTTCTGCACAGATCTCATGATAGAACTGTTGAAACTCAACTTTTCCTCTTCGTTCAGACAAAAGTCGGTGATATCTCCTGTCTTTTCTGTCAACTTCCGCGTTAGAAAGAATATATGAGAACATCAGATACGCTCTGTGCATGACCGCATTGAATCCGACGTCACAGTACTGCACCTGATGTTCCTCTCGCACGTCCATATCTTTGACCGACAAGGCGAAGCGTGCAGATAACACAAAATGTAACCTTCTCGGACAAACCTGCAACGTTCTCTCGCTCAATCGCTATCGTTCTCCTCCCCAGCCACGATGGTGATGATTCCTCATCATCATCCCATCGAACCAAATCAAATTTCCGCTCCCCAAAACCTAACTTTTTTCCCGCTCATCTCCAAACCTTTTTCTTTCTCTCTCGCACGGTCGCACATCGTATCTGATAACAAGTGAAGTGACGTGCTCTACCCAAGCGTAACACAGTGCGATACCAGAGCAGGATGAAGATGCTTGCCAAAAGTTGATCAGGGCGTTCATTCAATTCAAGGCAAGCGAGTCCGCTGATAGCCTTCATCGATGTTCCGAAATGTGTTCTGCTTTCCCTTTTGAGGATGTGAGAGTCTTTTGAGTTTGAGAGTGGACTGTGCGGAGCTTGAAGTGGGCGGGAAGTTCGGCAGGATTTTGGAACAGGGCAAGGGATGCGTGACTTCTGGAGATGGTGGCGTGAGGAGGAGCAGGGAATGTGTGGGTGGTGGACTGGGAAGGAGGTGGTAGGGTGCGGAGATTTTGTGTGGGATGCGGGAAGGAGTGAGTGATAGAAGGAAGGAGCGTTCTGTCGGGGATTTATTGATGGTGATGTGCGATGGGCGGTGTTTCGAGTCGTGTGGTGCTGGGGAGGATGATGTGGGGAAGTTGTGATGTTCACGCTGATGCCACCGCAACAAGAAATTCTGTGATTGAAGAGTTGAAGAAACTTGATTTGAAAAGCTGATGAATAATAATGCATGCTATGTTCATGTCCATACCGCTAACCATAACCATCTGAGAAGCTCGCATGTCGGCAATCGTTCTTTGCCCCAGTAACGCCAATGCATGTCAATCGGACCATCTCTATCTTTCCGCTGCAGTCCGCAGCTCTCGCCACCACCCATGCACAAAGGTAGAAAACAGAATTCCAAATGACCGCCCTTGCTGCAGAACCATGCTTCGAAACGAAACCAGACCAAACTATGGTCGTTTATCATTCTTCATAATCGTAAACACTCTGCAATCGCCGCACTCTTATGCTCGCCTCATCTTGAAGCGTGAGCACAAGCGATGCATTTACCACTTGCCGGAGTGGCTACCTCCATGGCTGCCATGAGACGAGTGCTTGTTCTTCTTCAGGTAATCTTGACCCTTGGAACCCAGGAACGCGCCGGCAAGAGCACCGATGACACCATGTCCGGCCTTGTGGCCTAATAGTCCACCGCCGATACCACCAGCCATGGCGCCCATGAAGCCTCGTTCACCCTCTTGCGGGTTGTTGGGATCGCGTGGGTCTTGTGTGTAGCCGTATGGGTTTGAAGGATCGTTGGTAGTGGGAGGATGTTGCGAGAAGTATTGTTGCTGTTGGCTCGAGTAATCTTGGCCGTATTGTGGGTTGGCTTGACCGTGGTTGAAGCCTCCGGCGTTTGGTGGGCCACCGTATGTGGATTGGTTCTGATCGTAGCCTCCAGAGCCGTATTGCGGCGCTGGTGGTGCGCCGTAGCCTTGTTGTTGGCCGTATGGTGCTGAACCGTAGCCGCCTTGGTTGTTGTAGCCGCTTTGATCGTAGCCCTGTTGTGGCGGGTATCCTGAGTAGCCTTGTTGAGAGTATTGCTGATTTTGCTGAGGGTATTGGTTGTAGCCTTGCTGCTGACCTCCGCCGTACTGAGGGGCTGGCGGGGCGCCGTAGCCCTGGTTGTTGTAATCGTAGGGTCCTGACATAGTTGTGATAGTCGTTGTGTTGATCGGATAGCGAGTCAGTGATGGTGATATGCTGATCTGCAGTCTGTGGTTGTGTGTCGAGTCAAGTGGAGAGCAGTCAGATCGCAGCGCAAAAGGATCTTATAGTACCCCTCACTCCGAGCAGCACGTTCTCGGAGGTACCGCACCATTCGCAGTGGACACACCACAGCTGAACATGAAGGCTGAGCGACTGGGCGCAGCTGCCGACGGAAGGCTCGGCAGCGAACGAGTCGTCATCCAGCCCTACGCCACACTGACATCGTTTAGTAACCATTCCTGCTGCCTGAGGCGGAGTTTGCGCTTTCCGCACCGCGTGATAGTAGTTCATAGTATTACACATCGCTGCCTCTGTATTATTCACACTTTCGCCGCACAGCGAACGGCTGGCAGACCTTCCGTGATATGTCGTCGCGCCTTCTTCAGACCAGAGCGCCACATGACCCGGACACGCGATTCTCGGCGCTAAGACAAATTTGGCCGAGAAGCGGCGGTGGCTTGGCAGGGTCTGTGGCATGCGCTCACGCTGTGCACTTCTCGTCGCGTTCCACCACACCAGCCCACCGTCCGCATCATCGCCTGCCCGGCTGTGCTATCACGCCGCCCGCTCTCCACCCGCTGTCCAGCTGAACATGTCTCAGATGGCAGAGTTCTCGGTCGCGAGACATGAAGTTGATTTACTGACGACATGTCATCTTCTGCACTCACCACGTTGTCGCTGCCGCCAGCTGCCGGCATTTCCCAGCAACAACAGCAGTATCGGCCTGACGAACGAGGAACTTCCAGCCTCGGTTCCGCTCTAATATTGCATTGATTTGCTAGATGACGAGCGCCATATCACTTGACTCGCACCATCTTGGCCGTTGACGATGCGGCTCAAGCAATATCAAGGCAAATCCGCTGCGTCGTCATGGCAGAATCGGCTGCTGCAATATCGCACCGAGATGAATGTTAACGGATGATCAACAGGTTGGATCAGCACGACCTCGCCAGGTACAGACCCCCACGTGTGGTAGGATGGGCCGCCGCGCATTGCGCGAACCCGATGCCATTGACTACTTGCATAAATTCAAATGGCACATGAAACACCTCACGAACCTCAAACGCCACGAACATCACTGCTGCACTTTTCAAAACACCCACCTGCACAGTGACGGAGCGACGCTGGAGGTGCTCGTTCTGATTGACCACAATGCCGCGTGACTTTCAGCGACTCTTTGTGAAAGCCTCTGCTTTGCGGGGCCCGCAAGCAAACCCCAGCCAGATCTGAGAAATCTGTTTCAGCCAAATTGGACTTCGAACTCACCGTGAACTGACTGACTGCCATGATCTCATCATGGCTCGAACGGGCCATCTCCATTGAAGCATATCAGAGCTATACCCTGGCCCGACCAGCAAGTACGCAAGAGGAACCCTTGGCAATCCAATGGGTGTCATGTACCTGACGACCAGGATCCCTATTCTGGCCTTTTACAACCAGGGTATTATGATAGCATGATCTCAATCGCCCACGTCGTGCGGCACTGGCCTCACCACTGGGCGATCAGATCCTTCCTGGCTCCCTGTTTCGACCCCAACAGTACTGCAGGTCAGGTATCTCTCCCGTCAGAGACCACGATACAGTTGCAGAGAGAACGAACCTTCCACTGTGAGCCAGTGGATCGACGGCACGTCCCTCGTACATGTTCAGCACGGTAGAACGACCTCACATTTTTCCGACTTCGTTTCGCAAAGTGCAAGATACTATTTGCAATATTCCTGTGACCCGCTCAATCAACACGGGTCGTATTGCTAAGCGCTCACAGATCTGTAGCACTTCGGAGGATAACTTCGTCCCGATCGAGATTTGTGCGAACTACAGCGCATTGGACTGCTCTCTATCCTAAGCCAATGTGGCCTTCTGCCTGCTGAATGAACGCAAACACCATGCAAGCTATACAAAAACTCCGAATCCGGCAAATTCAACAGCAAGGCCAGCAGCAGCAGAACGGACAATTCAACGGCCAGCAGCAGCAGACCGGGCAATTCAATCAGGGCCAACAGCAGAATCAAGGCCAGCAACAAGGCCAGCAAGGACAAAACAATCAGCAGCAGGGCCAACAAGGCCAGAACAATCAGCAGCAGAATCAACAAGGCCAACAAGGACAGCAGCAGAACCAACAAGGCCAGAACGGCCAGCAGCAAGGTCAACAAAATAATCAAGGCCAGCAAAACAATCAACAGCAGGGCCAGCAGAATAATCAGCAGCAAGGTCAGCAGAACAATCAACAACAAGGCCAGCAGAACAATCAACAACAAGGCCAGCAAAATAACCAGCAGCAGCAAGGCCAACAAAATGGCCAGCAACAGGGCCAGCAGGGCCAACGAGGTCAACAAGGCCAACAAGGACAGCAGAACAATCAGCAACAAGGCCAACAAGGTGGACAGAATTCAAATAACAATGACGGCGGGAGGAATGGTGATCAGCGAGGTGATGGAGACAGGAATGGTCAGAACCAGGACAATGACGGCGACCGAAATGGCGACCGCAATGGCCAAAACAATAACGATGGGAACCGCAACGGACAAGACAATAACGGAGATCGAGACGGGGACCGAGATGGGAATCGTGATGGTCAGAATAACGGTGACAACCGAAACGACAACGACCGAAACAACAATGGAGATGACCGAGACCAGCGAGGTGGCAATTCCCAGCAGCAGAATTCTGAAGGGTACGATCGCCAGAATGGCGATGGAGATGCATCCGGAATTGATGGTGGTGCGAAAACTGGAATTATTGCCGGGGGAATAGTGGGTAGGTTGATCTGAGCTTGTTGGACTGTGCGATAGTGGACTGATCTAGTGCAGGTGCCGTCGTTATCCTTGCGATTCTCGCTTTTATCATATGGCGCAGAAGACGTGGAGCTTCCTACGCAGACATTGTGCGGTTCAGGAAGCACTCTGAGGATGTCGTCGTCGAGAAAGGTAACAATAATGGCGCGGTGCTTCCGATCTATCGCAAAGATCGGTTCTCCGTGAGGACTGAACAGCCGCCTGCGGTGCTCAAGGAAATACCTGATGCACCCTCCACTGCGGCATCGGATCGTGGATCCGTCTCTGAGCCTACATTGTGGAAGTCTGCGAACCCACCTATACCATCTCCACTCGAAGAGGAGAAAGTTTCCCCATTGGCTCAGAGCAACGACGCATCTGTGTGGCCCTTCTCGGATCGTTCACCCACACTGGTGAGCGACTCACCTACTTCGGATGCTATACATCACAGACTTCCGCACCGAGATCGCGCTCAACCACCACGATTTGAGCTGCGTCGATCTGGATCTGGCCTCGGTCTTGTCCCTGCCCCTCCTAAACCAGACTGGTCTACCAGTGACGATGACGAACGACCGAAAACAGCAGACACTCTCGCCGCGCCATATGCTCCAAAAGCCAAGCGCTGGTCCTGGATCAATATCTCCCAAAACTCAAGCATAGCATCCCGCACCAGTCCTGTCCCGTTCAGCAAGACTCGCAATCTCACCAACTGGGCTACACGTCAAGACAAAGGCACAAAGCACCACCAGCAACTCTCACAAGATATCGATGAACACGATGACCTCGAAGAAGCCGTCCACTCTCACGCCCACGGAGCAGGGGGAACAATCCACACCGCCACACCAGCCATCATGACCAAAGCCCCACCCCTCAAAAACCACGCAGTCAAACCCATCTTAGCCCCGCCACCTTCCGCCGCTCGACGAGCCGCTTCCCAGAAAAAGAAAAGTTTCAATCGCCCTCACCTCGAACACCACCGTCGCGTCGGAAGTTTATCTATGATTTTCAAACCCGTCGCCTCAGACTCTTCCAAAGAGTCTTCGCCGCGGAGTCCGAGATCACCTGTTGGACCTTCTCATCCACCGGATATGGCGCATGATGCGGTCAAGTTACGGGACTTGGAGGGTGATAAGCGGAAGTATTCTGCTCGTCAACACTTTGCAAGGGGGTTTGGAAGTTATGGTCGCGGCCAGCATGAGAGGGGCATCAGTACTGTCAGTGAAAGTACTGCGACGACTGCGGAGGATCTACCTGCGCCGATGGCCGAGCATGCGGTCTCACCGCTGATGGAGGATGAGCTGAGAGGGAGGTGGAGGTGAGATGTGGCAGCGAGATGAGTTGTGGTGATGGAAGGGGGTGGGAGCTCGCAGCCAACACTGCCCTTCTCTCTGGGTCCACCCTCCTGTTTGCCTGTCATCACGACATTGCTACTACTGGTGCTGGTGCTCAAGGCGTTCCGGATCTTGCTTGCTTTTCTTTTTTCGGGGCTTTTTGTTTTAGCGAGAAGATACCCTACTGCTATTGCTTACCACTTACCACTACTGTATGACCATCAACCAGGTCTTACATATGTAGGTTTCGCTTCCCCGTTTCAATCGAATGGGGAACAATTACGATCGTTACGAATTTCAGATTGGATGGGGGCTGGAGGGACATTGGGATAACGGATTGTGTACTGGTAGCTGAGGTAGTGATGGGAATGGGTAATGAGCACATATATCATGGCACGATCGTATCCTTTCATGAGCAATAATGGCTGCATCCTGAGATTGATGTTTGCGCCATGTGAGAATATTGCTGTCGTTCTATTGAGCCAATCATAGTCATCATCACCTCCTATAAGCAAGCAAGACGGCGTCTGTCTCAACAAATCCGATCACATCAGTTCTGATATGACCACCTCTTGCCCATCGATCACCTCATTTGTCGAAGCCGCCGATGACTCTTTGCCGTCTCCCCCTGCTACACTGCCGGTGCTGCCGCCCTCATATGTCAACCTTGGCCAGTCTTTGCCAGCAGTCGCCAAAACAGCACTCCCATCTAGATCATTAGTGAACCATCGATCTCTCCGCGTTGAAGACCTCTGGCTGCCTTCCAAAGCACTCCGCGCGGCCCGCGTGGTTCTAGCTCGTTTCGTCCTTCGGCCCTCACCACCGCCTTCTCCAGAGGTGTCCAACAGACTTAATCTCTGCCTCTGTTCTTCCAGCGCAAAGTCGTACTGCACGATAGATCTCACGTATGGTGCGAGGTCGAGAACAATATTTCTCAGTGTGCCGTCGAAGACAGAAATCTTGAGGTCCGGGTTCGACAGAGAAACCTCTTCCGGCGCTGAGATTGGGTCGAAGCAAGTGAAGTCTGCTCGCTTCAGTGGTTGTTCCCGAGCTGCCTGGGCGCGTTTGGCCGGAATGCTATTGAGGATGCGAGAACTTTGTACTGCGCTGGGGTTGACTTCGTAAGTCTTCCAGGCGGACAGAGTCATCGTTACCAGAAGATCTTTGCTCATGTTGGAGTAGTCGATCGCCTCGTCAGTTTGGATCAGTGGCATGCCCAGGATATAGTTGCCACGCGCTTTCTCGGACATATGTGGTTGCGTCGGATCGACGCAAGCTGAGCCTGGAATGAGCCCGAGAGATGTGCATGCGTCTGCTGCGCTCAGAACGTCAGCGGTAGCAGCCGCGAAGGATAGCTTGCGAAGATTCTGTTTTCGATCAGTCGAAGATGGCAGACCGTCCATGGATAGCCTTTGATCGTTGTCCAAATATGCCTTCCAGCCGAGCGCCCGGGAGGGTTCGACTCCAAAGTTCTCCCAAGCCCACCAGAGCGCGTCCTCGGCTGATGGATCAGGGCATGGTGTCAGACCCATGCCCTTTTGATATGTGCCGTCGCTCACGACACGAAGTTTGCGGCCAAAGTGGTCCACATCAGATCCTGGCGGCCATCGCTGGTAGATCCAATTCAGTCCTTCCTTCGGATCACCTACGCCCATCTGACACCAATAGTCTAGCTCAGTGATGCTTCTGCGCAGGTCTCGGTCGTGATGCTCATATAGTGTGCTGACGGCACCTCTGGTCAGGAGATGCCCCTCTGCTGCCGCAAGTAGCAACATGTAGTTGGTGGCGAGGTCTATAGGTGCAGGTCGAAAGCGTAAGAAGGCATGGTGAGGAACAGTCTGCCATGCCACCAGGTCCTCGTCATTGCAAGTCATGATAAATGGCCTCTTCGACGATCCGACCAGTTCAAGGATTGTTGTCCAAAATTCTTTGTCGTCTTTGAACAAGATGTCGACCTCTTCTATGAGGATCAGCGATTGCTGTTGGTCTTTCGGTGGTTGCTTCAAAGCTTCTTTCACTGCCTTGAGAGTTTTCTCCTGTAGCAGCTTTTTGGGCTCCGGATCTTTGGGCTTGGGCGGGTTTTTGGTCGATGGCTTGAAGAAGGCACTCATCTTGCCTTGTCTACCACTCTCAAGGTCCTTTTGAAATGCCTCGTCCATGGGCTTGGATTCTTGAGTTTCAAGATGGTCAGACAGAGCACCCTCGGTCCCGTGATGCTTCACAAGGTGGTTTTTAGTCATGTTACCAACCTTGTCCAATACGTCTTTGCCACTTCGACGTTCACTAGAGCTGATTTCGAACACTCGAAAGCCAAGCTCTTTGGCGACGCCGTAGACCGCTGCTGTCTTGCCACATCCGTGTGGGCCGCTCAGAAACACGACATTGTTGAGTTTCGCTCCGGTAGGCGCTGTCTGTACCACGCTCTTCTGTGTCCTTCGAAACCCCAGCGGGCTCGCTGGTGCCGAATCGATGACTTCATTCATTTTGCGAAGCTCTTCGTCGCTATCGACCAGAAAGTCGTCCATCTCATCGGATTTCTTCTTCCGCTTCTTCTTGGGCTTTTCCTTGAAAGGTACGGATGCTGGCTTCGTCGTGGGGGCGGCACCACCAATGGCTTGCACAGCGAGTGAGCCCAGCCATTCTCTCAATATCTGCATCTCGTTTTGAGGCTGCAGCACATCGGCACAGGTCTGTGGGGCGTACTTCTGCGTCCACGATGCATTCTCCCCCCGAGATTCGTCGAACCCAGTCATGATAGCGGGAATTCTGTCGTAAAGTCTCTGCAAGGCCGGATGACTTTGATGTTGTGAAGAGCTTAACGCCAATTCGTCAATGTCTGGATTGGCAAGCGGAACTGAAAGCTGAGTGGCGATTCTGTACGCAATGTCTTGCCCAGACAACATCAATCGCTCAGGCACATTGAGTTTTGCGTGAACCTCGTGGAATCCATCGCTTCGTAAGGCTCGCTCTTCCTCTGGCCTGAGCTGTGCATTGAAATGGCCGAGGATCGAGTCGTCTGGTGTGATTGGTGCTCTGGCGTTCTTTTGCTTTCGTTTGGCGTAAGTGTTCGAATCAGACGCCGAATCATGCTCTACGTGATCGGTGGCGAGAGCTCGCACATGCATTTGGTCACGGAGAGGAAATGGCGCATCGCTGGCACCAGGATGTCGAATCATGAGCCGGTCCTTATTCAAAGTAGACACATATGGTAGATGGTCTCGCGGGTCGTAGTTACGATCAGCCAAGGCTTGCATCCTCAGCTTCCCAGGCGTGACAGCGGTTGACTTGCGAGGAGAGTCATGCTTCGCGGGTGCAGGTTGGTCGTTCGCTTTATTTAGAGTAAAGAAGGGATGTGCAGGTTTATCCATCTTTGCTGGAGTGCGCTTCTTGGGGGTCGTGTTCTTTGCGGCAGCCTTCGACCGAGTCTTCCTGGGAGTTCGAGGGGAGGTCTCGATCGTCAAAGGTATGGTCTCCTCACCAACGAGGACTCGAGAGATTCTATCTCCGGTCGCAGCCCTCGACGACGCGTCTGCACCATAGCCGATCTTAACAACAAGGTGCTTCGCGGCATTAGCGGCTGCTGCCCTTCGTGGTCTACCACGTTTAGTCACTGGTTGCGCTGCAGCCTCTTCTTGCTTCGGCTTGCTGGTTGGAGGCGAGCTGAATTTGCCATTCGCGTTGAGTCGAAGCACTTTCTTAGGTTGCGCCTTTGGAGAGGGCGTTCTTGGTGCGATCACACTCCTATCCAAGACGTCGCCGGCGTCTGGTGCCGTAGCTGCGACTATCGGTGGTGATGACCTTGGTATCACGACTTGGGGCGAAGGTTGTCGTGACCCTGGCACCACAGCTGGCCCATCATCTGCAGCGCCCACGCCGACCTCGACAGATTCATGCTCGCTTGTCCGCCGTCGCTTCTTGCGTAGATCATTCTGATCGACTGTCTCCAGCGGTTTTTCGCTGTGGCATTGCGCAGTGAGCCCATTGACACCAGCCACGAGAGTATTTGTGCGTGCATCCAGTGTTGTCTGAAGCTTGCTCTGTCCTTTTACATCCTCCTTCTTCGGTCTCCGTTTACTGTTGGTTCTCTTTGGCTTCGTCGCCAAGTCGGCGGTTGGTGTGTCGGGTGTATATTCTGCATCCTCGGTCTTGTCGTGCTCGTCTGATACTCGGTTATTCGTTGACTTGTCTGTCTCAATTAGCAGGCTACCCCGTCCATCCCACGAGAATGAGCTGACCAGTGGTTCGTTGAAAGAACGGATGCACGCTCTTGCTATCGTCAGCGCTCATGGCACGAAGGACTGCGGTTGCTGCCATCCAGGAAGCATTGCAAGAGAATGTGTAGGTGGGAGTGTTGCGAAGGCGTACAGTTATGCCGCGCACGGGATGACGCGCAGACGAAGACGCGCAGAGACGCGACCGCGTCGGAGGTCGGGGTTTGCGTTTGCGGCCGCCAAGACTTTTCTCGTCCGGGTAAGCGAGCGGCTCGAGGCTCCACCAAAAAAGTTCATGTCGAGCTTCACGAGTGTAGAGCTGTTGCCGCTGCACCACTGCAACCATGTCGGGCGGGATCGAGGAGCCATACACTATCGCAGCGCTACCGAAGCCGCTGGATTCGGGAAATGGGCAGATTCAGCCGGCGACAGTATACAGCTTGAATGGCTCGCGGAAGAGAAAACGACATGAGATTGCTGTGGGCATTGATGGCGAGAGTGTCAACATCTACAATGTGCGATTCGACCAAAATGCTTGGTCTCACAGAGCCAACAACTCACGAGTCTACAGATCCAAACGCAAAGTACTGTCAGCTCCTATGCGCTTCCACCACAATCGTACCTCGCCGCTCCACCCTGTTCGATCTATTGCAAACGTGCAAAGCCTCTGCAGTCGCAACGAAATACCTATTTGGCCTGCCAGAGCCGTCCGAAAGACTCGCGATCGAAGCTGGTAGCCTTCATCGAATATATTGGCAGGCCGCAAAATGAAGATCATGAACCGCGGGCACCCGTCAAGCGAGAACGAAAGCTGCGCGATGGGAAGGTTGTTGGTCTGGACGTCGTGCCCACGGCTGACTCGAGGTATGAGTCTGCTCCGATCCTGGTGTCGTATCAGAATGGAGATGTAGACTGTGTATCCGGAAACTTGAACGAGACGCGGTGGGAGCATACAGCGCAAGAAGAAGTCGTGGTGGAGTATGCAAGCGTCGTGGATTTGGACGCAGCGCGGAGAGGATTGCTCAAAAGCCGCCAGGATGTGCTGGCGCTTCTCGATCCCAATATATCAGAGGAAGGAACGGGGAACGCTCCCACCCTGCTGTGCCAGGTCGTGCGACTGGGGCAACAACGACAGCTTCGAGTCTTCGGGCTGCGGAATGTTGGGGCGTCAGGCCTTCAGATGCAGCGGTCGCCGCTTGAGCTCGTTCTCACTCACGATTTGCCTGAGAAATATGGCGACGAAAGCTCGAGCTTCGAACTGCATCCAGCCTCTGGCATGCTTTACCAGCGACATGGTTCGCGGCTGACCATCTTCGACTTGTCCAACACAACGCCCAAAGTCTCCTTCGAGCTTGGTAAGAAGTCGGGCCATGTCCAAAGCTTTGCTCGACTCTCAGCGGGAGCTGTCATCGTCTCTTTGCAAAACCGCATTGCTGTCTATGATACCAAATTTGCCTCGGTCCTGGACTCACTTACCCTGCCGCAGGGCAAGGACGAGCAAGCAACATCTTCGCCGACGCTGCTGAGCCACTTCACTGATCTAGGTGTCGTCGTTGCAATCAAGAGCACAAGTCTTGTCGCATTCCAGCTGGGAGATGCAATGGAAGATGTCAAACGGCAAAGGACTCAGGGCGCATTGCTCTCTGATGTTTTCGCCAAAGGGAAATTCACCAACGATGCCCTGATAGTTGAGACAAAAGAAAAGAAGCGCAAGAAGTGGGATGACTGGAAGGCGAAAGTCGATACTATCATCCAACAGCGCGACCTTCCTGCTCTGGAAAAACGTGTCGCAAAGGATTTGCACGTTGGCAAATACGCAAAGCACGATGACTCTGAGCCACTCACTAATGGGGCCGCTAACGGCTCCGAAGATGATGAAGAGTGGGATCTTCTACCACAGCATTTCGATCCTCAGCATGTCGACAGGAAAAAAGCTGTTTACATCCTGGGCAAGATCTTTGCTTGGAGATCAAAGACGAGTGGCTTCATCCTCGGCCAGCGACATTTACAATTGATCTTTCCCTCCAAGAACATTCTGCGATGGCTCGCTCTTGCTGGACTCCTCAAGGCGATAGAAGTCGAGCATGCGCTTCCGCAAGTAGCAGCAGAATTCACGGCTCGACCATATGTTGCGCCCGGCGACATAACTACCGCACTCAGCGAGGCGGACTCGAGCTTCGGACTTCTTGACAGCCTGCTCTCTCTGCCTGCTTACTGGGATCTGTCCGAAGTAGTACAGGCTCTACAGGTCCTCATCGCCTCTTTTGAAGATCAGAACGAGTCTACCGAAGAGGCCCAACAGCTGCTCACCAACGGAGATGTGGACATGTCCAACGGCACCGCAGACGACAAATCCGAAGCCAACCTGGAAGCAGAAGAAGCAGCAGCCCTCGCAGAAGTCGAGCGAGCCACGAAATTCCTCGAAGCAGGCCTTTCAACCCGCAGCGAAACGTTCAGAAAATGCCTCGACCGCCTCCGAGAGTTCCCTTCAAAAGACATCACCAAAGCCATGCGAGCCCAAATGTCCCAAGACGAGATCATATTCTTCATCCACATCATGCGTATGGAACTCGCCAATGGCGGCTGGACCAGACCCTACGACTGGAGCAACGCCGAAGAAGAGGACGCCAACCTTGACCAAGACGTCTCCATGATGGACAACGGAGTCTCAGCTCCGCCGGCCGCCACCAAAGACCTTCTATCACCTACTGCCTCCACTCCCAGCAACCATGCAATCCGCACCATCGCCCACCTCCTCTCCTGCTCTATCGACGCGATCGGTCTCAGCGGCTGGCTCGTAGGCCAAAGCTCCAACGTCTGGGCAACCGAAGACCTGATCGAAAGCCTCGTAAACGAAACTTCCGCCATTGTCGAAGGAATTTACCACGCCGAGAACCTCGTCACATATCTCCAGGAAATCGACAAGACGTCCGCTACGGCATTGAAGAGTGCTGGTAGTGAGAAGAAGAACAAGAGGAAATTGGACGAAATGGAATGGACGCCCGAACTGGCGCTTATGCCTGTTGGTGGGAGGAGTGAGCCGCCTGTTGTAGCTGGTGCTGGTAGCGGCAATGGAAAAGTGGCTGTCAAGGCTGTAATGGCGGAGCAGAAAAGTCGCGGGTTGGGAGAGTATGGGTTTGAGAGGATAAGGATCTGATGAGCTCCCCCTGCCGAGATATGTATGTGGGATGTGAAAGATAGTGGTAACGTACTGGCGGGAATGTACTGGTGTGGAATCTGAATCTGTCTGTGTACGATGCTGTGCGATCTTCATTTGTAGTGCCGTTGTCATGGTTGTATGCTCGTTTTGCAGTCCACCAATTGGTGGTTTTTATTGACGTCAAGATGTCACTTTTGCTGGTTGCGGATGGATTCACTATAAGGAAGACCTTTGAAGTGCATGAGTGGACGCGGACGAGACGGTGGGAGTGCTTTCCGCCGTTTAGCATTTGGTGCTGTTGATCTTTTTCTCACGCTATCGACAGCGATGCGACTCTAGATGAGATGTTGAAACTGAGATCAGTGTACCTCCTACGAGCGACCCCCTTGGAGCCATCTCCTTCTCCGACCAGCGCATTAGCTCGACAGCCAGGAACTTGCCCAATTGAGCGCCATCGCACTGCAAAGTTCTGCTGGCAGGAAAGGTAGGCACCTACGGCTATTGCTGGTTGTGGGATGTGGGATGTGGGATGCTCTTTTGTTTTGAATCAAGTCTTCCGACCACGTTAATTGTCCCTACAATTTACTGCTAGGCTGTACACTGCCGTCCTTCATCGGCCGAAGTGCCTGGTCTAGCACCGCCATAGCTTCAACAAGTTTCCTCTCGGTCAACCTTGGAGTCACGACCTGCACGCTCAGCGGGCTGCCGAGGTACATCTTCCGATCGACCTTTGTCCACTGCTCCCTGTTGATCTTGTCCCATGCGTTGAGGGGATCGGAGGAGGGGAGATCGCCCTTGAGGTCGTCTTCGCGGACCTGCCGAAGTGGAAGCACGCCGGCGGGGAGGTCGAGGAGGTTCAGTGAAGCGGTGTAGTTGACGATGTTCCAGCGATCTATGCCTGGGACAGGGTGAGGAGCAACAGGCATGAGTAGCACATCTAGAGTTCTGTCACCCTTGTGTAGCTTGCTGTCATCCGTAACCCAATAGCCGCCAGCTTCACTCCATACTTTTAGAAACTCGGTTTGTAGTTCCGACTTCTGCGCCTGTAACGCGCGTACCTCATCTGTGGATTTTGGCTTTCGTCTAGTGAGTCTGCCTTGCAGCCATGGCGACAATGGTTCTCCCGTTTTTTCCATGTGGTCAAACCAAGCATTGGCGCCGTCAATAGATACTATACCATTGAAAGTTTTCAGGATCCGTGACAGGATACGAGAGGCGTCGACCTCAACGACTTCGATGGACTCTTTCGAAGCGCGAAGTGTCTTAGCGACTTCGTCCATCAAGTGATCTATTATCGGAAGCGGTCGGGCAATGGCGTCGGTACGGATCAGCCCAACACGAAGCTTTCGACCTCTCAGAATCAAGGGAAGTTGCCGTGACCAGTCCTGGGCCACCACTTCGACATCGTAGATCTCCGGTGCGCTATCTGCGACGACGCGCAGTAGCAGCTCGCAGTCTCTGAGAGTCGTCGCGATTGGTCCCGCAGTTGCTTCGATTCCAAGCTTGCTGCTGCCCGGTTTCTGCCCGCTCTCTTGTCCAGCATATGGCACGCGTCCGTGAGAAGGTTTGATGCCCCAGAGACCATTGCAGAAGGCCGGAATGCGAACAGACCCTCCCACGTCTGTCCCCACGCCCAATATAGAACCGCGCATAGCTACGAGGGCCCCCTCACCGCCGCTACTGCCACCGGCGGTGAGTTCGCGGTTCAATGGATTGAGTGTACGCCCAAAGACATTGTTGTGCGAGTCAAGCGCCATCATGGTGAGGGGGATATTTGTTTTGGCTAGTATGACAGCTCCGAGAGATAGCAATTGGTCTACAAGCGCCGAATTGCTGGTGGCTGGCTTGAAGCAAAGACTTGCGATGCCAACACTCGCATCGTAGCCTTTAACCCGGAAGCAGTCTTTGATGGAAATTGGCAAGCCATGGAGAGGACCGATTGTCTTGCCAGTCTTGGCGAGATGCTCGTCTATTTCCTGAGCACGCTTGAGCGCATCGTCGAATAGCAGCTCGGTGCAACAGTTGACTAGTTGGTGCGCGATTGCAGTTCGTTTTGCGAAGGCTCTCACGACGTCGACGGATTGGAGGCGCCCGTTTGCTAGCTCGTCCAGTAGACCTACGGCGTCGAAGTCTTCAGTTATTTTCAGCTCAGTCGTCGTAAGTAGGCCCAATCGTCGTGGCGCGTCCAGAACGCAGGCACCGTAGCTTGAGATCTGGGACGCCTGCAGACGCCATTCGACGGGTATGCGCGAGGCTCGCTCCTGCTGTTTGCGAGCGGCGATGGATCGCCACGAATCTCCCATGATGAGATGGATGCTTCAGTTGACTCGTGCTAGGCGTTGGTTCGGTGTGTGATAGATGTACCTGCACATTGTGAGCATCATCATCGCGCTCAGACTCCAGGTTGAAGTTGTAGCCGAGGCCACGAGCTGGGCCGCTTGGCACCACCGCACGATACTTCATACTTCAAGTCGGCTCGACTCGAACCGGCAGCATGTTCGCGTAGGCCAAACTCTGTCTTGAGTGAAGCGAAGCCCAAGGTTATGATGCGTTACGTCCTCCAGCCTTCCAGAAGGTGTCTTGCGTGGCGATCGCAAAGTCTAAAGAATTGTCAAGCCGGTGGGTGAGCATATTTCTCCACCCTCCTCCTAGATCGCGGATTGGCTTGCGTGAGGCTCCCGAGGGATTCATCCGATGTTCCGGTCACCGCATGAGCATTGCCCAAAGCCGAACCGTTGCAGGCTGTTCATTGATCTGCCGCAGGAACAGTGCTACCTGTCGCGAGGCTGAGAATTTGGTGTTGCGACCCATGCGAGCAAGGAAGACGTTGCAATTCGACAACGCATCAGCGTGCAAATCGCGCTGCAACACAAGGGAGCAACAATTGCATGCAGATCGAGGGTCCTGGATGCTCACCTGCCAAAGCGAAGCTACGCTGCGAAACAACCATGTCTATCAATGGAGTTCTTTTGGGTTTCGGACTCGTTTGCTTTCGAAAGTCTCTTCGTTAACATGTGCTGCGAGGAGCTTCTATGAAACTCCCGCCTATATCACTCTGAGGCAGTGCAACAAGAGACATCCCACTGAGGTGAAATTTGGCATCGGCTATGTCCGAACTGTTTCGAGCCAAATGTAGTGGCGAACAAGGATTTGTGCACAAGACGTACCAAATTGGATCTGCTTGAGTGTGCCGGCGGCATGTCCGGAGCGGACACGTGGGCAGTCAATCGCGCGCAGTTGTTTGTCTGTTGGTGAATGCAATGGCAGGCTTGGCCGAGAATAGCCTCCAGGCATTGTGCCTGTCTTGTGTGCTGAGTGTGTAAGACAGAGGTCCAAAATTGCAACAGTCGGTGAAAGGCGCGAGCAGAGCAACGATATGCTATGTGAGCATCGTTAAGGGTGAGTGCCCGCGATTTTGCCAGGTGCAATTGTCGGGTGAGCATGGACATTGTCTTTTGTTTTCTACCCCTCGCCCTAAGCACAGCGACCACATCACATGAGCTGGTCTGTCCACTCGCTCAGGTCAAAGGTATGAGGGCGCGGTCCGAGACGTCGCGAGAGAGCATGAATGCAGTGGTCACCATTTGGCGTTTGTTTGTCAGCGGCGAGTTTCTCCTTCGAGCGGGTCCTGATAGCAGCATTCGGGAAGCCGGGACGTTCGATATAGCATCACCATGCCTGCGAAGCCATGTGGAACAAACAGTCAGCTCGGCTCCCGGTATGTCGAAAGCCTGGTGGTGGTTGACAGCGGGTTGGCTGTTGCGTCGAGCGCCAACCCGATCTATTGAATCTTCGCTTCGCTCCACGTCGCCGTTATGGGCCGTCGCGCAGCGTGCATGCTTGTCGGTGAGCAGGCGACGGCGATGGCAGGTGCCAATATCAAATGTGTAGAATTGAGCATGATCTCCAGGCAGCGCTACTGCGGACACTAGCCCTAGCTGATCTGCATAGCGTTCGTCAAGATTGGAGAAAAGGTGCTTTTAATAGCAGCAGAGTGCGGGTGAGGCGCTCTTTCTAGATCCGCGTGGCTTGAAAGCTGCCGAATTCTGGGAGAAAGTGGCACGGGTGTGTCGTCTCCTCGTGCACTTCAGCCGTGCGTGTCACGGCAATTGAAAGCCACTGCGACCGGCGTGTGCAAGAGATAGAAACATGATCGGCGGAATACGAAGGACGACATGGAGCCAATGAGCAGTCCAGGGTCTGAGGTGCGCCCAATGTCTCAGACAGAAGGGGAGGCTCTTCGGTCACACAGAGATTCCCGACGTCATGCACTCCACGACGGGAGGGGGCCTTTTGGGAATGGTTACCGTTACATGCATACACGCATGCCAGCTAGTCCTCTGCCTGCATCCCGCGGAAACGATCAGAAGCACGATGCGTGAGGAGAAATGCAGCTCCTCAGTGTTCGAGGAAAAGTATGTGGCGGAACATCACCGGCGTCTTCAGCACTGAGCAGGGCAGCCCCAGACGCTGCTGAAGACAACATCCAAAAGTGCGGTGGCCGGGTGCTGATGGTCGAGGACAGCTATTAAGCGAGCAGCAGGCGACGCGCTACCCACTGCTAGCTGGCGTTCTGCATCTCCAGAATCCTAGATATAGATATAGCCAGCAACCCTAGCGAACGACGGCTTCTCACGTCAGGCGAGAGCACGTCGCACGGCACCGAGTGATGAACAAGTTTCCGTCTCCGTGCAACTTCCGCAGTCGCCGGTCTGCCGACGAGTGGTGTAGGAGGCCTGGCATAGTCCGGCACGCACGAGGCAGCGCCGACAGCCACTCCCGGAGGAGAGGAGCGGGCGGGTGCCATGCGGCACGCGAGCGCTGCTGGCGGGCACGAATCGCGCGCAGCTGTAGTGCAGCATCATCGTGTGGACAGGCGAACGACGGGCGAAAAAGAAGAAGAGGACGTGTGATGATTGACAAACGAATATTGAGAGCCCAAAATAGAAAAGCCGCTAGTGAGCAGCAGCGGGAGCAGCCCGCACGTTAGCGGTCTTGGTTCAAGATTTTGACGTCGGCGCCAGTCTGGCAAATGTAACGTCAACAATGGGTGACTGGCGCGCCCTCTGCCTGGGCCACCACGCGAGCAGCCACCGCATGGGCGGCCAAACGGGCGGGCGTGCGAGTGTGGTCCAGGTACGAGGCGCACAGGTGAGTGCCGGGCGGGCGTGCTGACGGGCGACGATTGTGCCCGGTGGCAGTCTGACAGAGGCTGAGCCAGCAGCACAAACACGGAGGCCCGGGAGTTCGTCGAGCGTGGCACTCGCCCGTTCTGCTCTGCTGGAGCCCTCAGTGCCTGCAGATCGCCGCCCGAAAAGTCCACCTAGCTGCAGCCTGCTCGTCTGTCTGCTGGGCCAAAGCATGCTCGCTGCTGCTGCCAGGCTAAGCGGATCGCCTGCAGCACTGCAGCTCTCCGTAGGAAGGTAGGTAGCTCGTCGACTACTGCTGGGGGCGGCGGCGGCCACGTTCGCTCCCGGCCATGTTGCGCCCTCATTGGGCCACGCCGTCCATTTCCATTCGCAGTCTGCATACGTGCCCCGGGCGCGCGCTGGCGGCGGCGACAGTGGTGGTAGTGGGTGCACTGAGGTGGCATGGGCTCTCTCACGGCAAACCCTAAGCAGACGACCAGTGCCCCGAGCGTCTCGCCGCCGCGGTGCCCGCTAGCGAGCAATGGCCTCGTCGACCCAAGCGCGGAAGACCGCCAGATGGAGTGGAGCGCGGCGAAAAGCTTCTTTGGCACGCTGGCGGCCATGTTCTCAGTCTGCCCATGCATGCCGATGTCATACACGAGGACCCTCTCACTTTCCTCGCGCGGCCACAGGCTCTGGCACGCAGGCCCAGGGTGCTGACCTACCAGCACGCTTCCAGCTTAGGCTGACCGCTGTCTATTTCGAGCGTGTCGACTGCAGCTCGTCAGGTACAATACCACGCTTCGATCAGTCTTGGGTGCTGCTGATCCTCCAAGAGCTTCACACTTCGACATACCTACATAGAGTGCCCCGTCGGTCTGTGTCGGTCCAAGAAGGCTCGGGAGGCAAACACACATTCGCTTTCTGCCGCGCCCACTATCGCTCTCCCTCTGCCCGCCTTGGGGCCTCGACTGCTTAACACTCACGCTCGCTTCCTGGTGGCCTTAACTGTCTACTCAGCACTGCCCTCGAACGGCCGAACCAGTCGTTCCCCACTTACGAACCCAACCACGCCCACCACTTGCCCTCCGGACCACAGTCCAGTGTTGCCAAGCATCAACATACGCTGCTACTCGGACACATCGCCCATCCTCCCTGTTGTGCACTGCTAGCCTTACACAGCCATGGCAGGTCAAGGAACCGGGCCCTCCCGCAGGAGTCACACCAAAAGTCGGAAGGGGTGCAAGACTTGCAAGCGCAGGCACATCCGATGCGATGAGACTTTCCCACAATGGTAAGTGCTACGGGGAAATTTCAAACCACACTCACTCATCAGTCACAGCCGCAACTGCACCAAGCATCAGGTACGATGCGACTACATGGAGACCATTGGATCAGAGGTGGAGAGCCAATCGAGTCCGGAGCAAACACACCTAGCCTTCTCCCCTGGGACAGAAAGCCGCATCGATCTCTGGCAACAGACTGGCAGCTTCCCGTTCCCTGGCCTCCAAGTCTTTCCACCACCTCAGACACACGAATACTCGAAAAACGACCTACGCCTGATACACCACTTGTCAGCCATCTCGCACGATCTGATGCTGAAAGGCACCACAAATCTGACAATATGGACCGCGAAAGTACCCAAATTCTTGAGCCTCGCCGCATCATATCCTTATGTGATGCACGCACTTCTATCATTTTCCGCGAACCATCTTGCTTGGAGCCGATCATCAAACGAGACCAGGAATTTACACATTCAGCATGGCACAGTTGCATTACGAGGGCTTCACGAAGCCATTGGTAATTTCTCCCATCGGAACGCAGACGCGGTACTGGCGTGCTCGCTTCTACTACTCTGGCAAGCGACTGACTGGTAAGTTCTCAAGTGGCAGTGTCTGAAAGCTTTCAGCTGATTGTTTTAACAGGAAGAGCTGGTCATCCTTGCGCGCCGGCATACAATCCGTGCTCTCAGCCATGCAGACGTGGAAGCAAGAGTCGATTTTCGCCGAGTATATCAACGACGAAGATCTCTGGGGTGGTGCATACATGTCGCGCCGTCCCTCTCTGGATCAGAATGATCGGGATACGATACTCGCAAATACTGTGCACGCTTCGCAACAATTATCGAGATTTGTGATGGGTCACGAAGCAGAGTCCTACTGGATGGGTCAACTGCTGCAATACTTACAACGACTGCAAGCTTCCAGCCCTGCGCAAACACCCGACGAGCAATATAGCCACGTATACCTTCTACGGAAGTGGCTATTCTGGGTTCCGGCTTTATTGCTGCAGACGCAAGGTGGCCATGGCCCTGCGATGCTCACCCTCGCCCACTTCTATGCCACCGCACTCGCTCTGGAGCCTCTCTATCCGGATCTGGGTCCCGCATTCTGTGCGAGAATAGCACTTCCACCTCTGGAACAAATCATCAGCGTCACAGATGCAATGCAATCACAACGGGCAATGGACCACAACGCGATGGAAATTGCTTCACTGATGCAGTTCCCACAACAAATGGCACACAACTTTCGCGAAAGAGTTGTTCAGACACAACAGATGGCAATGCAGCAATCCGCTCCAATGATGGTGAGCCCGGACACGCTCAACTACACTTCCATCGGGAACATTAGTCCCGCGTTCGCGCCTTCCCCATTGCACCCGGTATCGCAGCAACCGGCTGCCGCGCACACTTCTTACCTGGAAGTTCCCTATCCGGCGGGCAGCTTTAGCACGATACAGTCTGGCTGGGGTGCTGTGCCATCACCAGGGTTCCCTCCCCAATCTTACACTGCACATGATGAGCAGATCTACGGGTATTCTCTGGGAGGATTTCGAGGAGGGTTCGTACCATCGCCAAATCCGATTTGGACCTAATCCACCCCGATCAAAGGCTAAGCGCGTACTTCAGGACACCTGCCAATGACTCTGGCGCTGAGGCTGGCCCCTCCAATTACAACATACAACACTACCAATGAAGAAAACAAACAAAATGTCCGATCCCTACTGGATTGGCTTCAGCCTCGGGCTGAAAGAAGGCACGCGAGTTCCACCCTGTATAGAGCGATTCACCCACGGAATTTTGCGAAACCAAACACGACACTTTTAATGTGTGAGAGAGCAACAACAACAACGGCCTTGACGAGAAAAGCAACAAACGCGCAAAGCGAATGATCTGCAACGATTCTCCTTTACAAATTTTTTCACATCTTTATATCGCAGCAGCAAAACAGTCTGACATACAAGATGACAGACTATTAGCGGCAGCACTGAAACAATCATGGCGAAGCACAAAGCGGCGTATCAGGCGCATGGAACATTTCTTTTGAGATTTGAGGGAATATATCTGAGGGTTTGGCTGAGCGGGAAATGGACAGCATGGGAATTTTTGCATTGGGGCAAAGGGAACAGGGCGACCTTTTTTGGTGCGTTGCAGCGATGGAAATTTGAGTTATCTGAATATCTTGCTGTTTTGTTTTGGATCAAGAGCGCCTTGATGTGCGCACTTGCTGTTTTGTGCTATTTAGAACAGAGATTTGAGAGAGAGAGAATTCTCCGGGATGAGAATCTGAAGGCAGTTCATCAGAACAAATGTGAGAACTGTAGCATTCAATCAGAACTATGCATTATTGTTATGCAGTGCAGAACTTGACAGCCTGGTCTGTCAATCCATCATCATCACATCACGATGGCTTCGGCCCAAGAAGAGATGCTTACTATCAATCTTATTATATTACACCGACCGAGTGTTCCATTGACTACGATCCCATCTATACTGGTTTGTTTGCTTTGTTGTGCTGACTTGGACAACAACAACAGTAACAACAGTCATACTCCGAGCCCTCTCACTCTCTCTTTTTAGGCTGTCAGGCTTCGGCCGAGCAGGGCGGCGATAGCAAGGAGGAAGAACGACATGGATCAAAACCGGTTGTTGATTCTTCGATCCGTCATCAATAGGAACAACACACAACAACAAACAACAGTCAGGTCTCACCAAAGCCTGACAGTCCCAGAGAACTTCTATTGGCGTGCTTCGTAGTCCGACGACCAGACACACAAACATTGACTAGGAATTCGACCAATAGTTCTAGAACTTCTACTGGTGTGTTCGCACTGTAGATGGTCCAAGCCAGTCCATGAGCATGTGCTGATAATGATGGTGAGAGATGATGGCCTGGACCTTGCTTTCTTGTCTCTACTCTCTTCATCAGATCTGCTTACTGTGCTGTAGATACTGATGGTGATGAACACATGGATCGGTTCGAGTCGATGATTGTCATCACTGCCATTGTCACTGTAATCGAAGTACCGGGATTTATGCGGAAATGCCAAACCAAACCAATTTTTCACTTCTTCTGAGACGCGCGGCCGGAGGATTTTTTGGGCGTTTGGACGCGTCCTCATCTATCAGGTCATGTGGTATCGTTGCACGCATAGTCCGAATAGTCCCCATGGGGCGTTCATGCTCAGGGCCTCAGGCGCAGGAAAGAGGAATGTGCTTTCGCCCGCGAAACTCCTTTTCTCATCATCTCTCTTGATTAGGTCTCATGTCGGCGAACGTCCGAGATTCACACAACTTTACTTCCCCACGCATTAGGGCTTGCTTCATACTTGACGAGTCAGATACCAGCAGATCAACTTTGAGAGGAGAACGTTAGGGCTTGCGGAGTCGGCATTTCCTTGATGAGTCGCCACAGCCGCGACAAGTTTGTGATTCTCGGCCGGAAAGGTGGCTTGTTGGCATCGATTCCTTGACTATCTCGGGGGAACGCCGATGTGTTGTATTATTTGTTCGGCGAAGCACATGGTAAGCTACGTTCTGGCAAAACTGATCCTTACTTTTATCCGAGTTATGACCAGGCAAGGCCTGGAATATGAGGTGAAGAGAATAATGAGATGAGATTTGGGCGTCATCAACATCGGCAGCCAGGAAGCCTTGGTTCTTGCCGCCGGCTGGGGGCGTCGCGGAATTGCTTTCCATCATGTGCCGCTATCTTTTGGAGACTTGAAAGCTTGTGATGATGACATGAGCGCGAGTCAGCACCGCCGCTTTGTCGCGTGGGTGGTGTGTGCGACATGGCTTGGTGGGAAGAAGTTTGATATGGTAGAGTTCACGTAAGGCGGCTGTGGCTCACTGATCATTCCAGCAATTCGGTACACTACTATGGTGTGAGCGCCGCAGCGTAGCTTGGAATTATTCCTTGGAAGAAGGGAAGAAATCGCTAACGACGAGAAGTTCGAATCGAGTCGATCGCTTCGTTTGCAGGGAGTGTTGGAGGAAGTGATGAGTCGTCGCTGCTGCCCGGGCATGAGGATTCGTTTAGCGAACGACCCAGCACCATGCGTCGGAACACTTTCCTGCTGCCGCGGTAAGTGACGGTCGGACAGAAGTGCGGTCTTGGCATGTCAATCATTCTCAGCGGAGAGCTTCACAGCTTGTTGAGCCAGATCAGCTGTGAGCCAGGCCCTCTACCACTTCTTTCAATTTCAACAACATTTCGTCTTTCCGAGATCGACAGCACCAGCTTCCCTCAATCGCATTCCGACAGATGGTTTCCCATTCTACGGTGGTAAGATCGAAGGCTTCTTGCACCGCAACATAATTGTCGAGGATGTAGTTGTTGCCAAAATAAGCCGGATCATCCGAGTTGATCGAGAATTTGACTCCAGAGTTAATGAACTTCCGAATTGGCAGTTCCGAAACCTTGGTCACGCATCGCAAGAGCACGTTGGACATGGGACAGACAGTCAGCAGCGTGCCCGACTTGGCTACGCGATCAAGCAGATCGAGATCCTCCGCGAGTCGGATGCCATGATCGATGCGTTCTACTCCGAGAACATCAAGGGCGTTTTTGATATACTCTGCCGGACCTTCCTCACCTGCATGAGCAGTGCGTCGAAGACCCAGGTCCGTTGCAGCCTTGTATATTTGCTCAAAGTTCTCCGGAGGGAACCCATTCTCGCTCGAGTCGAGGCCGATGCCAAGGATATCTCCGCGATGAAAGCTGTCCTGGATCTCGGGGAGATTGAAGGTGGAGTGACATTCCGGCACAGGAAGATGGCGCAGGAAGCAGCAGATCAGCTCGCTTGTAATACCGAATTCGGTCTGTGCGCGCTTTCGAGCGGCCCTGAAGCCAGTGAGGATGATGTCGTATGATACGCCACGGCACAGGTGGGCCTGAGGGTCGAAGAAGAGCTGCGAGTAATCAGCATAAACTCCAACACGAGGCGCCATATCGAAGTTAGGGCACTGTTTGCTGACCTCCGCATGAACCACCCCGTCCGCGTTCGCATGTTTGAAATAGTCCCATGCCAGACTCTCGAAATCGGATGCGTCGATCAGGACGCTCATGCCAATGTAATAGTAATGGAGAAAGTCGTCTAGAGATGTGAAGTTGTCATAGCGCTGCAGCAGACGCCCGGGCGAGGCGAATGCTGGATCATCGCTAGGCAAGGTGATGTTGTTCTTGCTGGCTAATGTGAAGAGCACCTCAGGAGTCAGGGCACCCTCCAGGTGCATGTGGTGTTCGCATTTTGGCAGGGACTTGAGGAACGATTTGACTTCCGGGGAGCACATGATTATGGTCGTTTGAGATGACAGGTGAGATGACGAGCAGCACAGCGATCGCTTTGTAGTGCGCGGCGGTCGATTCAAGATGTCACAAACATTTTTTCTGGCGAAGTTTTACAGCGGACGTGTGATGGCATTGGGGCCTGGCAGCCTCGGCGGGCTCCGAAGATAGGTGGACACATCATCAATGTTGTCCTTTCAATTGTCAATATGCTCGTCCGGGGCAAGACTCGTCTGTTGGCGCGCTTTTCTCGTGTCGTACTTCACATCGCTGCCGTGCTGTCGCGCTGTGGTGTAGCAAGCGGGCACTCGACAGCCATGCACAGCGTATTCGGTATGCCCCTCTTCTGCAGCTTGGCATAAGAAGCATCCGCACCACCCGCGGTGAGATCTGCTGTCAAGTGCGACCCAGCCAGTCGCGATGCATGGAGAATACCGTGAAGACGATCGGTAACCGGCCTGTTTCATGCAACTGCAGGACACCATCGGACGGTGTTGCAGCTGTTTTCGGATCCGTCGCCTGTGCTTCCGAGGGCGATCCTTGTCGGATCGCTGTTCTCTCGGCCACATCCACTGACATGCACACATCTTTTCCTTCATCCCCACCAGAGCTGCACTGATGGCGAATCCTCTCTGAATACGGGAGCCCTTGCATGCTCTCGACCTCGCCAAGTCGGTAGTTGCAGAGAGCAGATGAGCCCGATGAGGTGAAGTCGGGTAGTGCATCCGTCGGCCTAAATTTGACAGTGCTAGTGATCAACAGCAGCCCTACCAAGATGAAACAATGTGGAGCCGGCAATTGCGGTTCGTGCTGTGAGCATTCTCAACGCTGATGATCCATGCCGCAAAGCTTCCTTCATCCTCATCGACTGAATCTGATGTTGCTACGCATCGGGAACAGAGACGCAACTCTACACAATCTTCTCCTCGCCGCTCATGTAGTGTTACGTCTGACTGAAGTATGATTTGAGTTGAGCGGCCGCGCATGGGAAAGGCTGCCACTCACGTGGAGCGTGGTCGCCACCGCGTGCAACCCTACAAGGAATAGACCCGATTGCCTACGAGGATGAGACATGGGCCGAGCCACGGTATGTTTCTGGTGTGTTCCTGCACTTGCCGTTTCCTACTCCGGCAGAGATCTGTCTCTCGAACAAGCATAGCCTCACTGGTGGTGCGCTGGAAGCTGGCACGGATGAGTCCCCTGCTGGCGACCTTTGCTGCCCATGCACGTCGTCAAGAATGCCCTGGACGCACAGCCGAGGGCAAGCGTCTCAGCATTTGATGCTCGCACGACAAACTTCTCGCGGGGGTTTGATGAGAGCTCCACGATTGGCCTGCTGGCCACCGGAAGAACCGCCCCTTTCTTCTGGAAGCGTGCGCAGAACAACGGCTGCGGCTTGTGCATTCGGTTCGTTCGCGTGGGATCCTAGCGTCGCTTTGCCTTCCATCCTCGGACGCCTGGCGAGGTCAGCGCACAGAGCACCATCATCATGGGCTGCTGCTACTGCGTGTCGACGCGGCGGCGTGCAGTGGGTGGCAGACCGGCCGCTGTGATGGACAGAGTACACCCCCTCCGGTGCTCGGCAACACCAGGCAGGTTGGCCGCAGGCGGTTGATCGTCGTCCCTCTGCTGGGTGCCGCGAGTCGAGAACGGTTCATCCTGGCACCAGTGCGTCGCTTGCATGGCAGCCGGGTCGGTCTCCGAGCATCTGCTGATGCAGCGCTGCTCCCTTGCCAGGCAGGTGCAGGCCCTCGCTGGAGCTGCTGCTGTTCGCGATGCGCGCGCGGGTCGCAGCGTACTGCCAGGCCTGGGCCGTCCCACTGGCCATGGACGTCTAAATCTATATATCGTTGCCGACTGCAGCGCTGCATTCTGCGCGGGTTTGCGCAGTGAGAGCCGGACATCCTTGCCGACGGACCCCTTGCGCATCGCGTGCCTTTTGTGCGCGTCTGGCTCCTGATCTCTGCTGGCGGCGAGCGCGGCGGGCGACACAATCATCATCACAATCAAGCAACAATAATCAACCCGCCCGCCCTGGTTCTGTGCGGACGGCCGACGAATTACACGCGGACGCCAGTGCCCGGCTAACTCTGACGATGCCTGCCAGACCTAGTTCTGCTTCTTAGGCCAACTCGCTACTGCCGAAATTCTGTCTCGACCTCTGCTCTTCACAAGCCGACGACACTTTCCCTCTTCCGCGCCCTGGACCAACGCACCTTGCTTCACACGGCCACTTCTTTCTGGCGCTGGCTCCTCCCGCTTCCTTCACTGTTCACTGGGAAAGCACTCGGTCCTGTCGCCGACTTGCTGGCTGCTGCTTGTGGTGCCTCGGCGCCTCCATTGACTTCGGCGCTTCTTCCTGAGGCTTGCCGCGCCCGGACTTTCTTGACCAAATCCCACTGGTCTCTTCACACTCGCACGCGTACAGAGCTGCACGTGTCACCAGACGAGTCGCGAAGGCTTCAAACATTTCACTGAAGCCTCCGCCACCACGCCTCGAGGCTTGCACTCCCGCCTGCATGTCTCACTCGGATCCCATCACTTCTTCATCTTGAGGCATCGGCAGTATGGATTCCTCCAATACTCCCACTCCACAACAGGAGCCGCCGAGCGTCAGCCGTGGTCCTGCGCCCTACCCGTCGTCGGCTCCCTCACATGGCGCGAATTCGGTGCCTCATACTGGGTCACCATACCCTCCGCCGCCACCGGAACACCATCAGCAGCAACAGCAGCAACAGTTCCGAGCTCCTTCGCCTGCGATGATGCAGCCTGCGCAGAATGGTGTCCATCAACAGCAATTCGGGTACATGCCCGCACCTCCACCTGGCCAAGGACTCATGCCGGACGCGTACATGAACAACGAGTCAGGACTGTCAACCCCAGGCATGTCTGCAGCGCATACGAGTGCCGCTGCACTCTCAGCTCAACAGAAGCGCGCATATCGCCAGCGTCGCAAGGACCCGAGTTGCGATGCGTGCCGAGAGCGCAAAGTCAAGTGCGATGCAACAGACACCTCGAGTTGCTCTGAGTGCTCGAGTCGTGGTGTCAAATGTCAATTTACCAAGGAAACGAACCGCAGAATGTCCTCGATCAAGCAGGTGCAGGACCTGGAAAAGCAGCTTTCTATGGCCAAGCAACAGATTAACCAGCTCCGAGGAATGGTACAGGAAAGTGGAAATCAATCGATCCCCTCCACGTCCAACGCCCCAGTGCTGCAGCTGCCAGAACACCTCGCCAAGGAACGACGACCCTCGCCGCCGTTGATGGAGGGATTCGACGAGGTCCGACAAAATATCCGAACTTATGGGAAAGGCATTTTCAAGCCACCTCCACCATACCATCAGTTTGGTCCTCAACCAACATTCCCTCACACGAATCATCCTCTGCCGCCAAAGAACGTGGCTGAACATCTGATTGCGAATTATCGCACCTCGGTACACCTCTACGCGCCGCATCTGCACATGCCCACGTTCATGCAGGAGTTCGAGGATCTATACAGAACAGGAAGCTTCCAGCAGTCGCGTCATATCTGGGTTGCTCTGTTCTATGCCGTACTGGCCTGCGGAACTTTGGGCGATCCAGCACCGACGAATCCCAACGAAGAATCTGCTGGTGCACAGTACTTGAATCACTGCATCACGAGTATGAATACGTGGTGCGATGAGCTGACGGTAGATCACGTACGGTCCACTTTGCTCGTCAGCATCTACTTTGTGGAGCTCAATCTGCGCTCTGCAGCGTGGGTTTGGTTGGGTTCAGCAGTGCGGATAGCACAGGACATCGGCTTGCAAACAGATCACGGCCCATACTCGCCGATGGATCTGGAGATGAGGAGACGTGTGTGGTGGAGTCTGTACAATTGGGATCGGTAAGCTTCACCACCATGAGCAATGTATTCTGATTCTGGGTGCTAACGAATGCAGGGTTGTCTCGATGGAATTGGGCCGACCCCTGATGATCGATGACAACGACTACGATGTGAGCGAACCGGTCCCGGTCGACGATGAATTCATACGTCCGAATGGCATCGTTATGCCTCCGCCGAATCAGCCGCCCACAAATGGCCTGCTCGCTATGATCTTGGTCACACGGACCACCGCGCAAATCAAGAAAACACTCAAATCACTGACGATAAATCCTTCGACTCTTGCTACATGTGACGAACACTTCCGATCGATCGTGGCATCATGGCCAGAACCATTTGTCAACACATCACAGACACCTTTGGATCCGAGACTACTCACAGCCGCCAGCTGTGTGCAGGTGCAAATGTTTCATCTTCATCGGCACAATCTCTCACCCGCTTGCCGGATGGCAGATCGGCAGGACGCGATGGACAGGTGCGCGAATATTGGAAAGGACACTGCACACTACATTCAACGCACAATGCAGCATCCTGCAACTTCGATTCAACAAGGCTACATGTCACCCGCACATCTGGCGACGTGGGGGTCGATGATTCGGACCATGGCACCAGGGTTCTTCTGCGTATTCCTATGGAGGTGTCTGCTCGTCCTCACCCTGCGAGGCGAGTTTGGGGCCGCTCTGATGCTAACACACGTATCAGTCGCCGTGGGAGATTTACGCAAGGTGAATGTGGCTTGCGGCAGAAATTTGGCCTTTTTCTTGGACAAGCTTATCGAGAAGATGCGAGCCGGGGCGAATCAGCAACAGCTCCAAACGGACGAAGAACTGTTGGCATATGCTAGCGGAGACATGCAAGGCAGCATGCACTATTCGTGGGCGTGGACTGGCAGCGAAGCGAGAATGAATGTGCACCAGCAACAGGTGGTAGTCAATGGGCATCCTGGGGACAAACCCGTACTGGCAGCAGAGCAGCTGTCCACCAGCACTCTGACTGAGCAAGAGGCGCGAGACTGGGGCGGATGGGAGCATATTCAAAGAACACTGAGCCAATTGGAAGAGCATCAGAAGGGTCCTTCGAATCCGCCACAGGCACCTCAACAAGCCCCTTCTGCTCCGCCAGCACCGATGACGGCCGGCCACCAAGCGCCATACCCGCCGCCTCAGCCTCCGCAGAGTACAGGACCTCCTTCGTACCCCTCACACCCTCCTCAGCCGAGCATATCTCCTAATTCTCATAATGGGCAACAAAACAGTCAAGCGAACACCAATGGCATGGGCAATGGGAGCAGTGCCAACGGTGCTCCAGGAAGCAGTCGCATCAGCATTCAGGACATCATATAGAGTAGGATTGCATGGGAACGAGATGGTTTTCAAAAGCGGGTGCATAGCGTATCTGGCGGCGCGATGGCATGGGAGCAATGCAGTGATGATGCTTTAATGGGTGGCATACACAATGCATTTTGGGGAGGCACGCACGGATAGACAGTACGTGATACACATAAATGTACCAAATATCGTGGCATGAGATTTGGAAGATTTCACGAGCATGCACGAAGCTGACAGCAAGAGTTCTAAGCCACATGTCACTCTACATGTGCAACTCGGCAAGGTCCGTCCGCGCGCACGCGGTGTGGTGATAGCTTTCAACCTTTTTTGTCACCGCAAGCTTACGCGTGCATACTTTCAACACGGAAGTTGCGGAACGATAGTAACAAGCTTCTCTCCGCGAGGCTTGTCTCGAAAGTGACTAGGGCCTTACTCTCACCAGTCGAATCACCGCTCGAGGTTGTAGCGGTCAAGCTTGTTGAAGTGTAGAAGGTGGGTCGGGCCTATCGATAGCGAAGAGCGGGCGTTCCTGCTGTGCTTTGTGCCGTTCCTGACGTTGTTGACGTACGACTGCGCGATTAGTTGCATACTTGTGGCAGGAAGCACCTGCAAGCAAGCAAGCTTGACCTCCGGAGCGCGAGCTTGGTTTCATTGAGGTTTGGAGCTTGGATTTCTTTTCCTACCTTTTCAACAGCTTCCGCCGTCTTGCTTCATTTTCACCACCTTGGATATCCTCAGTCCTAACCAGAGCTTACGAACCGATTGAAGAAGTTGGTGTCCGTCTGTTGAGACACGAAATACCGCCATCATGGTGCACTTGGGCAGAGTAGCCACCAATGCGGATCTGGACAACAAAGTGATACCTGGCCTGGAAGATCTCTCGTTTGATAAGGTTCCAGGCGAGGATGAGTTCACTTCCAGTGTATATGGCTCCAGATTCGCTGCTACGGATCTGCCCAAGCATGAGATGCCTGACGACGAGATGCCGAGGGAGATTGCTTACCGCATGATCAAGTATGAATATTTCCACCTACTTGAATTGGTCTGTGAACTGACACTGCTGCAGAGACGACCTCACCTTGGACGGCAACCCTACACTCAACTTGGCCTCTTTCGTAACGACCTACATGGAAGATGAAGCCGAGAAACTCATGGTGGATGCGTTTTCGAAGAACTTCATTGACTACGAGGAATATCCTGTCAGCGCCGACATCCAGAACCGATGTGTCTCCATGATTGCCAGACTCTTCAACATTCCTGTCCACGACGAATCGACGAATGCCATGGGCACTTCTACCATTGGCTCCTCTGAGGCCATCATGCTTGGCACGTTGGCTATGAAGAAGAGGTGGCAGAATAAGCGGAAAGCGGAGGGCAAAGATTACTCCAGACCCAACATTGTTATGAACTCTGCTGTTCAGGTTTGTTGGGAGAAGGCCGCGCGATATTTCGACGTCGAAGAGAAATACGTCAATTGCACCGAGGAAAGATATGTAATTGATCCAGAAGAGGCGGTGAACCTGGTGGACGAGAATACGATTGGTATCTGTGCTATTATTGGCACAACATACACCGGCGAGTATGAAGATGTGAAGGCTATCAATGATTTGCTCGTTGAGCGAGGCATTGACTGTCCTATCCACGTTGATGCAGCATCTGGAGGCTTCGTGGCACCTTTTGTCAAGCCTGATCTGGTCTGGGACTTCAGGCTGGAGAAGGTGGTGTCAATCAACGTCTCGGGCCACAAGTACGGTCTCGTGTACCCTGGTGTGGGTTGGGTCGTTTGGCGGGATCCGGAGTTCTTGCCAAAAGGTATGTCTTTCGACGTTGCAGCTGTCCAAGGAAAGATCGCTAATCGTGTCAGAACTGATCTTCAACATCAACTACTTGGGTGCCGACCAGGCTTCCTTCACGCTCAATTTCTCCCGAGGCGCTAGTCAGGTCATCGGGCAATACTACCAGCTCATCCGCCTCGGCAAGAAAGGCTACCGCAGCATCATGTTCAATTTGACGAGGACCGCCGACTACCTTGCTGCTGCAGTACAGAAGATGGGCTTCCTCCTCATGTCCAAGACGAAAGGTGAAGGTCTTCCACTCGTGGCCTTCCGTCTCGATCCGGACCATGGCCATAAATTCGACGAGTTCGCAATCGCCCACCAGCTCCGCCAGCGAGGATGGGTTGTGCCTGCATATACCATGGCACCGAACGCGAACAACGTCAAGATGATGCGTGTCGTGGTCCGCGAGGACTTCTCTCGAAGCAGATGTGACGCATTGATCTCCGACATCCAGATGGCCTTCAATGAGCTGAAAAAGATGGACGAGAAGCAACTGGCAGAGCACCAAAGCCAGCAGAGAGCTCGCAATGCGGTCAACGTGTGGAAGAAGAAGACCAACGACCACTTTGCTGATGAGAAGCATTCTTTGAAGGGCAAGCACGGCAAGTCGCATCCAGTGTGCTGAGCGAGGAACGTGGTGATATGGGTCCGGTAGGATATATGAGAACCAGTCTTCCAGGATAGACAACAGAGGGTCGGTTGGTAGTTTCTTCCTAAGGTCATGAGAAACGAGAAATGTTTTACGTTCATGCTCTGCATCCTCGGTCCATTGCTTTGTCGCGGCCTGGGACGATTTTTCTAGCTTTGATGCTGGCCCCCAATATCCATTCCTTCCACCGGACCCGAACATTCCGGCTCCTGCACTTCATCGAATATCAGGATTCATCATCCAGTCTGCCAGCTTGATGCTATTTGCCTCTTTCTTCAGTGCCCGGCTCGGAAGCTGCACCGCATTGCCCTTCCCATTCTTCTTCACAACAGGCACCGTTTTCCCTCCACCGCCCATTTCCTTTTTGGCACTCTCATCATCCCTCGCAAAAATCTGCACAGCCCGCAAATGCGTATCTTTGCCATTTTGATGATTCTCCAGGATCCGAACTTGCACCAAAAACGCGCGTAAGACGGGTCGTTTACTCCAGTAATTCCTATGACTCGGATCATTCTCATCATCCCAATCCTCTTCATCACGAAAATCATTCGCAGATGATGAGTCGGTGTTACTTCCTCCCCCCACATTCCCAAAATCCACATCAATCCACCCCGTAGGCTGCTCGAAACTCATTTCCGCAAAGTCAATCAAATCATGAATTCCCATTCCAGCAAGGAATTGAATTTTCGTGGGAGTGTAGGATTCATCGGATAAGAAGTCGAGAAAGATTCGGATGCGGAGGATTGAGACGAGTTTGAAGAAGTGGATGTTTAAGGTGTGGGGTTGGGGACCATCGGATTGCCAGAATTGGGTTGTGGAGGGGTGGCGGAGGGCGAGGACGCCGTTGCCGGGTTTGGCGGTACTGACGGTCCAGCTTGCGAGGGAGGAGATTTCTTTCAGGCCGGGGGGAGGGAAGGGTTCGTCGGTGGGGAGGTCGAGGTCTAGGTCTTCTTCGTCTTCGTCTTCTTCGTCTTCGCCTGGGAAGGGGGCGTCTTCTTCTTCTTCTTCGGAGGGGAGGCTGGCTTCTTCTAGGTTTTCGTCCTCGGGGTTGGAGTCTGGGTGGCGGTGTTAGTTAGATTGGTGTTCTTGATGGGAGGAAATTGGTGGTGAACATTGGTTCATACCGGGAAGTTCTTCATTTCCTTCTGCGACGTCTTGTTCGGCACCAGATTCGGCGTTGAGATCCTCGTGGATGTGTGATGCGTTTAGCTCTTGGTCATCATCGTCAGAAACGTATTGCGGTGTTCGTGCTGGATGCCGGTCATCGTTCATGCGCGTTCTTGCGTATGGGTTCGCATGTCGTGGACGGCGAGTCGAAGGCGGCATATTTGCATATGATCGCCATTGAACAGTTTGCTCGCAGATGCAGATTGTGTTTCAATCTGCACGAGCAAGTGTTCCTGCCGCGAAGTCGCGTTTGTTTGTGCCAAGACTCGGAAGCGCGACAGCCAGCGAACCGGTTCTTCTCTTTTGCCGACTTCACGACTCAAACTTCCGTGGCCCTGACATGTTACAACGCCAAACGCGAAGCCATCTGGACTATATTAAGGCGCAAATGCCTCGACTCGACTCAGAGCAGATCCACCTTGCATCAGTCTAATGCGCATCAGCGCACGCGGAGAGCGAGCCCGCCTCGGATGAAGCAGAGGCGCAACTTCCGGATGCGGATGGCCAGAACGACAACTCCCGCCATCACTGAGTGGCGGCGCCTCACTTCAAACACACAGCTGCAGGGGGAACGACGTGACTGTCATGTCCACATCCATACCAACGGCCGAACCTCATTATGGCCTCGAGGCTCGTCACAAGCAGCAAGTGTCTCGAAACGTCGCAGCTCGCTCGTGACGAACATCTCCGGACTTCGACCGGTCTGAAGAAGCGTCTCACGCGGCTCAATCAGTTTGCCTAGAACCACTCACATACCAGGGATTGCATGACTGTCTGCACCCTTCCGAAGGACCCTCGGGACGACGAGACTTCATCATGAGAGCCAGATGAGCGCGACAACTTGTGGTTGGCCCCCTATGTGCCGCTCTTGGCACTGTGGCTGTTTTAAACATGGCTGCTATAAAACTGCACCTCCAAACGCCTCGCGGGGAAACGTCGTGGAAACAACCACGCTTGACTCGCAGAGACCCTCGTTTTGAATCAGGCTCATCCGGATATAGAAGACGCCGGTGCCATTCGCCAGTTTTGACAGACATGAGCTCAACCGAACATGTGGAAGAAGACGACATGTGCCTGGAATCCTTCCGGTGAGAGGCCCAGATGAGGTTCATACAGCCATTAGACTTTTCATCCGACGCCCGAATTGCGAACAGTTCAACCGCTGTAGACATGAATGTGTTAGAGATTTCTGCTGACTCCAGTGCTTTTGCTGACATGCCAAATAAAGCACTCGCGCTATCTCCTACGTTCGACGGTTGCTTTCGAAACCTCTGCTCAGCGCCCGACTCCTCCTGAGAACTCACTCTCTCGTTCCTGGTAGAGCGACATCGACACTTTCACGAATTCATTACGATGACTTCGAGTGCTGCCGGGATTGACAGCCAGCGCATTGGCATTTTCACAACAGTTGCTATATCTCTATCTGCCGTCTGGATCTCACTCTCTTTACGAGCCTGGACTCGTATAACCGTGACTAAGAACCTCGGTCGCGATGATGCTTTCCTGCTTGGCGCCACTGTGAGTACAGTCTAGCATGAGAGAAGCCAGTGCTGATGAGATGGCTAGCTTTTGTTCACCGGGTACTGTATGACAGTCATCTTGATGATGTTGGCCACGAATGGAGGTGCCTTTGATGCTAGCGGAAAACACTCCACACTTCCGGCCGCCGCTATAAGCGTAAGAAGGAACGCTGACCTTTCCATCCCGCCAACGCTGACCTTTTCGCAGATGGTGATCTCAAGTTTTGGCCTCTACGTCAGTAGATCATCTTCCCTCCTCTCCTCAAAGAACATGTTGCTGACGATAGCCAGATATCAACCATGATTGTGCTCAAGGTCTCACTTACATTCTTCTTCCTCCGACTGCTTACCCGTGCCTGGCAACGCTGGATCGTCATCGGTATCGTCACCGGCAACGCCATATACGGAATCATTGTGTTCTCCTCGATGTTGTTCAGTTGCGGTGGCCCCGAACGATATCTTAGCAGCGACAACCCAGGAAGGTGTCTGCCACCACGTACGAATTATATCCTACAGCTCGAATGGTGCATCGTCAACGGAGTTACAAATTGGATGTTTGTGATCCTACCGGTCCTGCTACTGATTAGGGTACCAATGACGCTTGTTCTAAAACTTTGCACTGGCCTTGTCCTGTTCCTGGCTAGCTGTGCTAGCATCGTTTCCTTGGTCCGCATACGATATATCGGAAATGTCAAACCCGGACCGGAGCTCTTTGTCACGGCTGTCAATCTTTGCATTTGCACTATCGCGGAGTGCGGACTAGGCATTACGGCAGCGTCTATAGCCACTCTACGCCCGCTATTTCGCAGACTAGACGATCCCGGGTTCGAACCAATCGCATCGCCACCGCCGCATGCCACCACTTCTCGACGCATGATCGCGTCCTCTTTCTACTCGACCTATATCGATGGGTACTACGGGACTTCCGACACGCCACGTGCGTCAAGCAGCCCAAAATTCATCAGTCGCTTCAGTCATTGGAGTACCTCATCTGTTGATAGCCCGCGTCCAAAGCAAAAGTCGGAGAAGGCCAAACGAGCTGAGAAGGCTCTGTCAATCAAGACTCCTCACCGGGAGATGACAACACCTCCTGTACCAGCTGTCCCGCAGCAGCAATTGAGCCCTCCACCCACAATATTCCGGACGAAGAGTGAGAAGGGCGAGAAGGTGAAGTCAAAGCCGCTTAAGAGCGAGTCAAGAGCACCTCCACTGGTCCGCAAGATATCTGCTCCATTACCACAGGTCACACATCAACAGCCACAAAGCGTTGCGGCCTCGTACGCTCAGATCCTCCCTCCCTATCCGTTATCTTCGCATCCCGCAGGCTTCGATCACACATCAGCTGTGGAGGACCATGGCAGAGTTGCGCATGGCTGGGTTTGAAAGAAGACAAATGCTACAGCAGCTACAGTCGATCCATGATCGAGAGGCGTTCCGTCTCGCCAGCATTGTGCCGGCCCGTCGTCGCCTTGCTCACGCATAGAGATGGCATCGCCTCCGCGGATTCAGATACGACGTTCACTGCAGGGCAGATTTCGAGACGTCGAGGCCCAAAGCCTCAGCTTCCAACGCCCTCGACGGGCGCATGACGGAGAAAGGATCCAGCTACCGCCAACAGCGCGGGTGATGAAGCGGGAGACCTTAAGAACAACAAGTGCTCATGAACTACCCGCTTCCGCCATTGCAGTGAAACAGACGAGAGAGAAGATGCAGACAGATATCATAAGAGATGATCACGAGATACCCAGAAATCACGTTTTAACATAAATTGTAGAGAACCAACACAAAGAGAAACAGTACAGAGCGATTGAAAGATGGGCCAATTCATCAGTGTTTGTCATTCAAACTCTTTGGAAATTCTTCGCACAGACACCTGTACTCCTTCAAGATACAGACACACACAGTATAGTCCTTTATCTCGGAGGGTTATACTGCTGCTCTCGACAGACGTAGCACTGCCACCTTCAGCTGCTCATCCAACTTTGTGTCCCATAATTTACCGCAAATCTCAGTGCCCGTTTACCTGCACACTCTGCTGCCCAGCATCCGGTGAACTCTCGGGCGCGCCATTCGTCTTCTGTTGTGTGAGATCGGGTCCTCCGTTCGCGCCAGCATCCTTCCAATCCTGCGTATTCGACCTCTTAGGTCGGAACGGGACGGGAGTGCCAGGTCTGCTGGTCAAGAACTACACAAAACTTGTCAGTTAAAAGGTCATTCGCCAACAAGGAAAAAAAGAATGAGACTCACCGAACTCGCCGCACCCAACAAAGCGAACAAACTACTTTGCACCACATCCTCGTGGATACCCACACCCCAGACCTTCTGATGCGCGCCCGCGTTCGTACATTCTATGTACGTCGCGGCTTGCGTATCACGGCCTTTCCCGGTGTTGCGCTGCACAGCGTGCTCCGAGTACTCTGAAATATCGAGATCGATACCCAAGTTCTTGAGAGCATTGGCGAGAGCGGAAAGAGCACCATTGCCCACACCAATAACTTCGTGTTCTTGTCCGTCGATTTCGATGACACCCTTGAATCTTCTTCGCAAGTTCTTGTTTGATGTGGATTTGGGCTTTTCGCCTTCCTTCGCGGCCGCAGGAGGGGCGGGTGATTGCGATCGGTCGGTTGTGATGTCGTAGTCGACGAGAGAGAAGCGGGGGTTGCGGTTGAGGTGGTAAGAGTCCACGAAGAGGTCTCTGATTTCGTTTGCGAGGAGTTCGCGGCCCAAGGCATCGGTTTCGCGTTGTACGATCTTGGAGAAGGCGACTTGGAGGCCTCGCGGAAGGTCGAGTTCGAGGGTGCGCTTGATGATCCAGGCGACTCCTCCTTTGCCTGATTGACTGTTGACGCGGATGACGGCTTCGTATGTTCGGCCAATATCTTCTGGGTCGAGTGGGAGATATGGCACAACCCATGGGTCTTCGTGACCGGCTCCTTCTTTGTCTCGGATGTGGAAGCCCTTCTTGATTGCGTCTTGATGCGATCCCGAGAACGCGCAGACCACGAGAGAGCCTCCGTATGGTGCACGCGGGTGTACTGGGATCTTGTTGCTCTTCTCCACGATATCGATGATGCTGTTGATGTCGGAGAAATCGATTCCAGGGTGGATGCCTTGTGTGTAGAGGTTCAATCCCAAAGTGACCAAGTCCACATTTCCTGTCCGCTCGCCATTGCCGAAAAGCGTGCCCTCCACTCGATCAGCGCCAGCCATCTGTGCCAACTCTGCGGCCGCCACAGCGCATCCTCGATCATTGTGTGGATGTAAAGAAACGCAAATCTTCTCTCGCTCCGAAATATGCGTGCAGAAGTACTCAATCTGATCCGCGTATACATTCGGTGTGCTCATCTCCACTGTCGCTGGCAAGTTGAAAATCAATGGGTTCTCCTTCGTTGGCTCCCACGCAGCCTTGACCGCCTCACAAATCTCAATCACGAATTCGGGATCAGAATCCGAGAAAGTCTCAGGCGAGAACTCATATGCCCACTCTTCCACTCCAGAGTTCGGATCGTCTTTCGTGATGCTTCGCGCATACTTTGTGCACTCCACCGCCAAAGCCTTACTCTGCTCATTGTTCATATTAAACACAATCCTCTGAAAGCAAGGGCTCGTCGCAAGATAGAGATGTAGAATCGCTTTCTTCGCGCCCTTCAAGCTCTCCACTGTCCTCTTGATCAAATCTTTCCTGCAAGGTGAAAGAACTTGCAACCACACATCATCTGGCACGACGCCTGGAGTTGTGACTAATCGCCTCGTGAAATCGAAGTCGGTCGCGCCGGAGGATGGGTAGGAGATTTCGATTTCCTTGTAGCCGAGTTTGACGAGCATTTCAAAGTATTTCCACTTCTGCTCTGCGTCCATGGGGTCGACTAAGGACTGGTTGCCGTCTCGGAGATCGGTCGCGAGCCATCGAGGCACTTTGTCGAGCTCTTTCCCTGGCCATTGGCGGTTCTCGAGCTTCAATGGCTTGAAGCGGCGATATTTCTAGGCTGGTGTTAGTGGTATTCTTGCGATGCGTCCTACGCCTCGTACTTTGCTGGGGTCCTTGAGCCTAGAGTTCGATGTCAGTATCTTTTCCGTGTTTGTCGTACAAAAGTGACGTCGGCATACATGGTCATTTTGGCGGTCTCGGCTCAGCACAAGCCGTCGCGAAGTGTATGAGGAAGAGTAATATGTCGGACACTTCACTACAAGTGAGAGTGAGATTCAGTAGAGAGGGATGGGATATGACAGAGAAGTAAGAGACTGAAGACGGGCACCGACGGGCTAAGTCGACAATATTTTGGGGTATGACTGTAAAGAGGGGCCCAGGCACATTGGCTCAGGCAAGGATGGCGCGGGGAAAATCATCGGCGGGCGTGACACAACAACGCCGATGGTCATCTGGAAAACAGAAATGCTTCCATGTGGTGGCTATATTAATGCCGGTGTTTGAAATTGCTACAACACAGTCGCAACATCGGACATCTATGCCCAATTCTATATGCACCACATATTGTAATCTGTCGCTCAGCACAAAGGGTATCAAATCACAACTTGGAATCGCTCTTAGGCTCTTGTTTCAACCGCACCACGCCCTATAGTCGGTCAGATTAGTGATGGCCCCACAGCAATGCATAGAGTCTTGGAAATACTCACCTCTTGCGTACAACTCGCAACCAACGTGCCATCTCTCGCAAAGATCCTTTGATTCACATAACCTCTTCCATCGCCTGCCCAAGGTGTCTCAGCCTCAGCAAGCAACCAGTCATCGGCTCGGAACTTGCCCGGATTGTGGAAGTAGATACTATGATCCAGACTGACCATCATTCCAATCTCCGGTCTCTTTTCCTTCAGGCCTACGATCTGCCCATCCTTGATCTCCAACGACTGCAGCTGGTTGATCATGTCGTCGTCCATGCCCTCCAACTTGCGCAAAGTCTCCAGATCCATGCTCTTCAATTTCTGTAGCACATCTACCGTAACGAGCGCTGCTTTCTGATCCTTGGGATCATCGCTCTTGGCTTGCTCGTTCGTCTTTGTCAAGTTCCCATATCTCCATAGACGATGTGTCCGCGCAACGGTTCCGATGAAGTACGAATCACTCATATACGCCAAAGCGCTCAAATGCGCCTGTGTGCCACCTTCTTCGCTGATCTTCCCTCGGCATTTGATCCATTGTCTCGTGCGCTTTTCGTGAGGTTTCGTGCTATCGTTGTTCAGAATATCGACTCGCTGCGTGACAAATGGGCTTTTCGCGCCGCGGAACATATCTACGGGCTCGACGTCCGCCGGGTCTGCGATCTTGGGCATATCGGCTTGGTGCTGTACAGTTTGCTTGCCCCCTGACCCTTCGCGCATGAAGGAGAGTGTGGTGGTGAAGATAGGCTGTCCGCGTTGTCTCGCTTGCACTGTTCGGGTCGCAAAGCTTCGGCCTTCGCGGACATGTTCAACGTGGTAGATGATGGGGATCTCCGAGTTGCCGTTCAAGACGAAATAGCAGTGCATACTATGCACGAGGAAGTTCTCTGGGACGGTCTTTTGTGCTGCGGCGAGGCATTGGGCGATCACGGCTCCGCCGTAGATTCCTCGGGCTCCGGGAGGATGCCATAGAGGCCGTGTATTTGTGAATAGATTCGGGTCAATATCATTGAGATGTGTGAGTTCGAGTACGTCTTCGATCGGCGCTTTGTCGTCGGATGGTGGAGGAGGTTTGATCAAGGTCGCTTTAGGTCGTGACATGCTGGGCGATAAGGAAAATGGAGGACTGTGTAGAACAATAAGGGAAATGGAGAGCAATCAAGACATGGGCAGGAGTTGAAGAAATTGGTTGGAGATAGTCGTCGCGTTCGTGATTCCTAGCATGCACGTACCGGACACATGAGAGCAATCGCGTTCCTGCTGACGGCATCTTCATGTGCCGAGGTTGACTTTTTTTCGGCCCAGTCCGGTCGTCGCTTCTTCGGAGGCATGTTCTCACCTTTCACCAGACAACCACGGCATTGCTTACGGCCGGCACTGCCTCGTGAAGCTCGGCTAGGAGCTGCTATTGGTAATTGCAACAGACCCATGGACGCACATGAGTCTGTGAAGGGCCGTGCTGGAAACGACAACGAGCTGAAAAGATGCCCTTGTCCAAAACTTCATGCTCCCAGGGGTATCGCTAAACGGTACTGTGATCAGGCGATGAACGCGAATTGTGAGACTAGAGCCGTGCTTCCTCCGCTGAGTCTTCACAAGAAAGCCAAGCAAGCACTTGCCGAAGAATGTTATTCCATTTGATACTGATATATCGCCTCTGTGAGGCCCTGGCAAGAGAGGCACGACAACTCACTGCCAGATCCGTCCGGTAGGCCGTCTCCTCATACCTTCCTCGCAACCCAGAACACTGGCCGATATACGTTTTGGAGCATACTCGCCGGATCCTGAATATATCCGGTTGGACTCGCCTGTTTCTGCTCGACCATCTCGAATCCATAATGCTTCACTAGAGCGACTACTTCATCATTCGACAGCTCAAACGAGCCTGGCTCTCCAATGCCATCATCACCACTTCCCGCTCCGCTCACAGTCCTACCTCTTTGCTTGTCCCGCTCAGCGGGAGTAGGTGCAGACTCAAAGTGCCACAGCAGAGGCCCCAGATTAACCCAGAAGCCACCTGTCCTCAAACAGTTCTTGATGGTCTCGATATAGCTGATGACATTCGGTGCAGTGTCGATAAAGAAGCAGGTCGTCACTGCGTCGAAGACTCCTTGGTATTCGGGCTTCTTGTAGAGGACGCAGAAGTCGCCTGAAGTCATTGACATTCGCTCACTGTAGTGCACTTCTGATTTTGTCTCGGCTTGTGCCTCTTCTAGTGTGGCCGGAGGGCTGATATCCGGTACTGCCACAGATTGCAATTGGGAGGTTCGCGTGAGGTGGTTGCTGAAGCCTAGTGCCCAAGGAAAGAGTTTGTGTTTGCCAGCTTGTTGAACGCAGTTCAAGATGTAGTTGGATGCCAGAAGTTGGTGATAGGAAATCTCATTGCCTTCAACTGTGTAGCCTGCCGCACAAGTATCGAAGACGAGTCTGCCGAGACCCGCTCCTGGTACGAGGACACGATTGTGGTGACGCTGAGCTGGGCTAGCTGGCAGATGGCGTGAAAGCGCATCTAGCAATGGCGAGAACGCAGCATTCCGCTCTGGCGTACCTTCATAGGACCAGTCTCTGTACAGCTGTCGAATCGTAGACCTTGCTTTATCGAGATCATTAGGCTTCGCCGTGCCATGCCATGAGTCTTCTGCACCGTCAAGCCCAAAAGCTACAGGCCCTAGCTCAAGAATGCCTTCTGCGATGTTGGCGTTGGAGTCTATGGCTGCATCCACAGCTTGGAAGGTCTTGATAAGGTCGAATGGAGGTGACGACAGAAGATCAATTTGCGGAGCTGGCAACGAATAGAATGACTGCCGCCGGAGATGCGTGATGTTGAAGTGTGCTGCTTTGCGATATTGCCTGCTCCGGAGGCAAGATGTGAGGAATAGACTCCAGACGAGATGACACCTACTGGACACACCTGAAGGAGTCTAGAGCGGCATAGAGCACACGTCGTTCTTCGGGATCATCGAGCGGGTCGAACGATTCATCTTCCACTTCTGCTGCATGCTCGCTGTGGCCAGGTTCTTGTGACATCGTGCCACTTGTAAGAAGATGGGCAAGTGGATGATGTGTCTCGTAGTCTTCAGAGAAGCCGATTTCTTGTGGCTCGAGTCACAGCCACGGCAGATCCACAAGCACCTCGTCAACTCAAGCTCCATCAAACCTGCGACATCAACAAACGCCAAACCCACAAACGCGTTAAGAACACCGACCCAAGCTAAGAGACAAATCGAAAGAAACACACAAGAACAAAATGGCAGTCAGCACAGAAACACAAGCCACAGCAAACGGCACCCACACCGACTCCAAACCTCTCGAACTCGCCATCGACCTTCCACGGAGTCCTGGCCTCAAGCTCAACCTTCATCTCACAATCCTGGCCAATTCCATCCTCCTCTTCCTCACAAGCACAGATTCAGATGCATTACCAAACTCCGCTGTACCAATGGGAAGTTTCGTCTATGCACTTCCAGACGTGAGTTTCCCATTATCAAACGCCTCTCACATCAGCCCTCCTTGCCTTCACAAAGCGCTAATATAATTTGCATTCTATAGCGCTGGAACCCCTCCCAACCCATGAGCACAGCGCTATATACCGCGCCCTCATCACTAGATTTCACAACGCGAATGGCGAAAGTTCTGACGAGGAAATTGGCGAAACCGTGTTATGTGAGTTGTAGTGTGAATTTGTCGAGCGCGGCGGGTGGAGGGTCGGTGGAGGAGGAAATGGAAGCTTTTCGACTTGTGGTGGAGACGGTTGTGAAGGTTGCGGGGGAGAGTGGGTTGGGTAGTTGAGAGGGAATTGAGTGAGCGGGGGTGCGTGTAATTGTGGAAGGGTTTTCTGAGGTGTCGAGGAAGGACTTGTTGACTGGTATGTCGCGAAGGAGAAAGGAAAGATTGAAGAGGCTCTACTCGAGATGCGAATTTTGTTCGTGAGAGCCCGCTCTGGCAGACGAAGTTACGGAAGACCAGATCAAGCGCGTGGGAAGACCGCATCCAGACCTGGTGCAACCTGCAGAGATCTTGCTCAAATGCACTTAAGCCGAATGCGGTAACACGCACTGTGAGGAGCGATTCCAGGAGTTCGGCATGCCGAATGGCACCTTCTCGCCACAACAGTCTGGGAAATGAACAGCTAGAGGTATGTTCAATCACTTCATGAAATGTCTACATCAGTCCTACACACGCGTATTATTTTGCGCTCCTTTCCAGCTTCCTCGATCATTCGACCATGCTCATCCACTCACTCAATGTATTTCTCGACAACTGGCTGCTTCTTGTGCCTTGGAATGCAGCAGTCGATGCACCACGCGAGCGCCGTAACCAAGAGACACGCAGTTGCCGCCCACGACAATGCCAAGAATTTGTGTCCTCCAGATGCGTGCACCCCATAATCAGAGCCATATTCGTTGATGGCGGCTTTGCCGACGACGACCAGCGCCGTCATGAGTGAAGAGATCGCCGCGCTGATTAAGAATGCCAGCAGGTTGAAGAAAATGTTGCAGCAAGCGCTGACGCGTCCAGATGCGAAGAACGCCACGACAGCGGAGAAGAGACAGACGAAGATGACGACGCATTCGGCCACGAAGAGGATGAATGCGGCGCGGGTGATTGGTTTGACTAGGTCCAGTGCATCGTCGAGTGATTGCGGCCACCAACCCAGGTCTTTGACTTTGACATCTGAGAACCCGGCGTCGTCCAGAGTGGCTTGAATTTCTTCTCGTGGGTCGAAGCTGTAGCCAGCTTGTTCTTTCGAACAGTGGGTGAAATTCTTCTTTGCGTTCTCCGCTTCTGCATTTGGTTCGTATTCGCCTTCACACCAGTTCAAGACGTGAGCGTTGTAGAACTGTGGTAGACCGAGAGCTTGCACTGCCGAGTTGGCATTCTGTTCGACAAGATTCCGGACATCGGCTGGGAGTTCGTTGACTGCTCGTCCAAATTCGCTGGTACCTGCCGACGAAACAGTTTGGACGCTTCTCAATCCAAGCTGGGAAATGTTGAGGTTTAGGACTTCATAGTCTTGAAGGAAAGTTTCTCTATGTCCAGCAAAGAGGCCAAGGAATGTTAAAACAAGAGCTGCTGTAAGCAATAGAATGGGAACGATAGCGAAGAACCGCATGGCTGAGTGATCTGCCTCAGTAAGGAGCGGCGGCAAGGTGAGGCTGATGAATACGTGCTCGGTGGATTGCACAGCGCTTCTATGACTTCTTGATGTCTCCGAGAGCTAAGCGACTGTCACTCTGATGATCGTTTGTCGCACGCCTTGGCGATGGTGTGGAAGTCTTTCGTAACATTGCAGGGGTGTCCGGCGTTTGGTATATTTCCAGTATTGCTTCTTCCTTGTTTTTGCAATTCTGGGTAAACGATAACATCAACGGTTCTTGCCTTTCATTCGCCCACCAGCCACCAGCTACATCACTGTGCAAGTAACGCAATCACAGAGGCATGTTTCCAGAAATATCTTCTGGCGTTGCCAAACACACTATGTGGCGTCGCCCTGAAGGTGTTACGCGTTTGAGGCTTTCGGCGAATTCGTGAACTCCGCCATGCCACAAAAACTCGTTTCAGACCTGTGCTAAGTATTTACAGCCGCTGTTTCGTCTTCACGACTGCTGCTTGGAAAGTGCAATTCAGCGTATAGTGGGACGTGGTCACTGGGCCCTCGATCGGCCGGAGTCGCCATGATTCCAGCTGAAGTCAAATGTGGGCCGAGAGTTCGCGATAGCATGATCAAATCAACTCGGTCGCAACTGCGACCAAATTCTGTATGTCGGGGGTAATAGGTATAGCCAGCCTGTAGAGGGTGAAAGTGGCGGAAGCTGTCAATCATGCGTAAGCTATCGTGGTCGTCCCGCCCGGAGTTTTGCAGAAACCTTGTCTCAAAGTCTGCGCGATTCGTGCAATGCTGTAGTGGATGGGTTCTGAGGTTAGGATGGCCATCGAGCCTCGATCTCGCAACGTTCATGTCGCCTGCGAGGATCACAGCGACGTTGTCGGCTTCCAGCTTGCGACATTCGGCTTGGAGGAGTTCGTGGACGCGTAATTTCCTGTCATGTCGCGTCCCTGTGACTACTCCAGTCTCGGAGTCCTTGTACGGAGCATCTGTCCCGTTCACGAGATAGCCTGGAGGGGTGCATGAGCATGGCAACACAGTGGAGAGCACCTGCTGTACTGACAGTTGAAGATGGCAAGCTTTGGTACACCTGCCCGTACCTGCGTCTCGCAGACCAGGAAGCGACCTTCAAGGTCCCACTCCACTTCACGCAGTTGAACGCCGAATTCAGCAACGAAGTCTTCGCGGATTATGCTGCAGACACCATAGACCTTGCGGCCGAAGCCGCGCGCGTTGTACTTATCTTTCGGCAAGCAGAAGAACGCACGATACGATGGCTGATCAGCATCCTCACCCGCCCTGCGCGCTACAGCACTGTGGACTGCTCTCTGCGATGCCTGATCATCTGGGCTGATTTTCACCTCTTGCAATTGGAGCACGGTCGGCCAGTCATATTTCCGCAATACATCCCGCAAAGAGCACTGGACAGATCGTTCGGCTTCCGGAGAAGTCGAAGGCTTTGGTCCAAAGAAAGAGGTGATGGATGGCTGCAGGAAGGACGATATGCCGTTCACGTTCCAGGAATACACGCGTAAGTGCGTGCCGTCTGGTGCGAGAGGGGTGGATGGCGTGACCACGGATGCTGGCGCGCAGTCGGCTAGCTTTCGACGCTTTAGCGGAGGGGGAGAAATGGTTCTGGACATGGTGACCGGCCGCGAGTCCGAAGTCGAATCGAGTCAGGACCTAGGACGATATCCCAACCCGAACATCGCTTCCGTGCAGATCCGAAGTCTGATGACGACGGGCTGTTGGCGTATCCAGCTAGTGGCGACCCATCGAATTGAGACAATTGCGACAAGCATTTCCTCCATAGACCGATGGCACCTTGTTCCAGTCCGGTGCTGGTGCAACGACAGGCGATAAAGCGGCGGCGGGCCGGGTCGGACATCACCAATTGTTCGGCTTCCGTGTCGGCATCCCGAAATCCGCGCGCGATGCCATAGTATCCGCATATTAAAGATCAAAGGACGGTACCGACAATAGAGCAGAGCTCGCGGTGCATGCCATACGAGGCACCGCACGGCAAGCTCCGCCAAAGGCAAAGTCCTCCTTCTGTTCAGCTGCGAGCTGCGATTGGCTTTCGATTGATCCAGATCCAGATGTGCTATTGAGCCTATCAATAAGCGCTGCCGAGTGTTGCTGTGTTGCGCACACGGGAGGTCCGGAGGGGCACAGAATATGTCATTTAGTGAGGTCTGGAATTGGCACCAAGCCGTGACTTGGGACAGGAACGTCGCAGATCTTATCAGCACTCACTCGCGGCAGCCACCACAGCACCAATGCGGTATTGCAATACGACGGTCGGCAAGTCGGTTGGCGGCCATCTCATCCCGAATTAGTTCATCGCCGGTTTCAGCAATTGTATCTGCTTGGCACACGGCAGATGTCGTTGCGAGGTGTGCCGTGTCGAGCTCTAACGAACTCAAATATGACTTCTTGTTGACGATCATCTCAAGCCAATGCACTCATCACAGCACTCCAGGTGCGACATCAAACGCTACTGCGTGTGCCATGCGAGCAACGATGCCATTCGGTCTAGGCACCATAGGGAGCTCGTCGTTCGCTCATCCTTCCAGGCACAACTGGACGAAAGAATCAGCTCCATCCGCATGCCACCAGTTCTCTGTGCATGCTAGAACGCAGGCAGGGAGAACCGGCTTTATGCTGACTCGCTGCCAGAGGCAGTTGAATCCCCGCAGAACAATGCTTGAGATTTTGTTTTTGAAAGTGGTTATGCGTGTGACTATTGGGATGACGGTCGACACATCGGCACCGTCTCAGAGAGCCAAGCAGAGAGCTCTCTGTGCTTCTTTTCACAAGTATGCCCTACGACGACTGCGTGGGCATCATCGAGGTGTAGTAACACAGCATGAAGCATAAGCAGAGCGAAAGCGCGGTTACTTGTAATTGGCTCGCCCGAACGCTACCAGTACGAATGGCGACGTTCAAAGCATGCCGACGATCTAGTAATAAGCGAGCCGCCGACAGCTGAGCACTTTGGAGGATGGAAGGATGCTGCGGGCTTCTCCCCGTCGAATCGCAGAATACGGTGACCAGGAATGTCCTACGATCAAATCAGCAGCCTTCAACGACGTACGGAACCACGACCGATGCGGCTGAACATTGTCGGACAAGATGGTAGATCAGATGAGCCATACATCCTGTGCCATAGGCACGAGGCACGCACACCCTGTGGAAACAGGTTTCGAAACAATCCACATTCCAAATGAAAGCCCAATGACGAGGTAGGCACGGCGTACGCCATTGCAGGAACAGTGATACCGGAACGTCTCAAATCGGAAGGATCGCCTTCGTGGTCGCCTTCACGATATTGTACGACAGCACCGAAGTCCAGTAGGTGGGCATGACGATCCTGAACGCAAGGTCTTTTCGGAAGGTCCAATACATGACAATGGAGGACATGCAAAGATTGCATGATTATGCTTGTCCTAGCATTTCCGACATGAGTGTTGTCAAAGGTGAGGCTGATGTGGACTGAAGTCCGTTCAGGGCTCGCGGCTGACCGTGGCTGGATTGTGGACACGATCTGGATCTGATCATCCCAAGATCAACGCTGCTGTGCAACTTCGACTCAACCACACCGCAACTACAACCTCGCGAACCAAGAGAACATGCACCCTCTTGGAGCTACGTAAGCGGCCCATCCAGCGTGTAGGAATTACTTCACATGCGCGCCACTGTAGCAGTACGCTTCTGCCCAAGCAGCATGATGCACCAGAGGATCAGAGGTAGTGCAACTCCCCGATCACGCAAGATATTGCTGTATACCTCTCCAGAGACGGCCATACTCCCGGATCGTCCTCACTTCTTGTGACATGTAAAATGTGGCTGCGAGTTCTGGGCAAGGGTCTTGCAGCTACTAATGCCATGGCTAGGACGGCAAAACACAGGGCTCCATATTCTGCAGGTTGTTATCGATGTGCTGGAGATCGCAAACGTTCTTCAACATGATGCTGAGGAGCCACTCGGCCCGTTCGACGAATGCTATCCCTGCAGCCCGGTGCGGATGTTTAGACTTCCGTAGCGGAGAGTCTAATATCTTTAGCTTCAGACAATCCCAAGCTATTCCGTGGCCTTCGGGTCCATGAGACGTGGTGCGTCCAGCCCAGCAATGCAAGACGAGACTCCGGCTACGAATGACCTTCACACTGCTTCTCCACACAGATGACCATTAGCGATTTCAAAAACGGCCAAGTTCTGACGAACCGCCACGGTCATATAATGGCTGCGTTATACCTCGTCCTGACTACTCAGGCGTTCCTTGACTTCTTGTTCACACCTTACCCAACTTAGTATTCTGTTCAGTCATTTCCTGCGAACTGTTTCTACAACATCGTCGCAATGTCACCTTCGATACTACTCCTCAACGAGAGCGATGTCCTCGACAGAGAGGTAGCTGTCTCCAACGGCACCGACTCGCAGAAGCTCGTCAAGTCTGCGGTTCTACACCGCACTCTCCATCACGATCCCCACCGCGTCATTGCATCACAAGGCCACTTCCTCCAGCTAAGCAGTGGACAAGAGATCTTCGACGCAACTGGTGGTGCTGCTGTTGCATGCCTAGGACACGGCGACGCTCGGTATGCCTTTCAACTTGAAACAAAGCTGCCGCTAATGAGATCAGGATCCAAAATGCTCTCATTGAGCAGATGCGAGAGGTGTCATATTGCCACTCCCTCTTCTACGCTACGCAAGCCGCCGAAGATCTCGGCAAGCTCCTGGTCGACAGCACAAGCGGCGAGATGACACGGGCATTTGTCGTCAGCAGCGGGAGCGAAGCCATGGAAGCTGCCCTCAAGATGGCGAGACAGTATCACCTTGAGAAATCCGATCCAGAGCCGGAACGATCGCACTTCATCTCACGGCATCAGAGCTATCATGGCACAACACTGGGCGCATTGGCCGCAGGTGGTCACGCTGCACGCCGGGCATTGTTCGAACCTATGCTAGCTACTAATTCATCCCGGGTATCACCTTGCTACGCATACCGGGACATGGATCCTACCGCCGACACCGAAGCCGATTATGTTCAACGATTAGAAGCCGAACTCGATGCCGAATTCCAAAGAATTGGTCCGAACAAAGTCGCGGCCTTCGTCGCCGAGCCTGTTGTTGGGGCTGCGTTAGGCTGCGTGCCTCCTGCAGCAGGCTATTTCAAGGCTGTCCGACGATTGTGTGACAAGTATGGAGCACTACTCATTCTCGACGAGGTCATGTGCGGTGCTGGACGCGTTGGACCTGAACCGACTACCCGGTATCCTCGACCCCTGCACGCATGGCAGGATCCTCTCATCGATGTGATCCCGGATCTCCAAACACTTGGAAAAGGACTGGGAGGAGGGTACATGCCCGTCGCAGCTATGCTCGCGAGCAAGCGTGTCGTGCAAGTGCTCGAACACGGAACGGGTGCCTTCATGCACGGGCAGACGTACCAGGGTCACCCGCTCGCTTGCAGAGCTGCACTGGAAGTACAGAGGATCATCCAAGAAGACAACCTCGTTGCCAATGTCCGAAAACAAGGCGCTCTCCTCGGCAGGCTACTCAATGAACGATTGGGCTCTCATGCTGCCGTAGGAGACATTCGAGGCAAAGGACTCTTCTGGGGGATAGAATTTGTAAAGTGCCGCAGGACCAAGACACCCTTCGACCCGGATCTTGGTATAGCGATGGGATTGCATGAACTCGGTAAGTACTCCTGACCATTCACCTGCATATACTCCCCCTACCGGGTTTTCCGTGCCGCACCTGCACACCCGCGACCATGGTAGCGGGAATGGGCTTGCGCACGAGCATGCCACGCAGATGGGCTGCCTCGGTGCCCAGCGCAACGTTGACTCGGTCCATTGGTCGACACACTTCTCGGATGCAATGCTATACGAGGCGGGCGTTGTTGCAAACACACCATGCAGCGTTGCTGCAAGCTGACTCGATGATTCTGTTCTTAGGTATGCAAAAGCCGTTCAACATCAGTTTGTATCCAGGTACAGGGAGCGCCGACGGCCGCCGTGGCGATCATATTCTGCTCGCGCCTGCATACAACGTGACGGACGATGAGATTCGACATATTGTTGAAATCGTTACGGCGATTGTGACGAAATACTTCAAGACAGCGACCCTCAAAGGAAGTGACGAGGCCATTTCTAAGGCGACGAGAATGTTGCCAACCAGCACTGGTATCAGCGAAGTAAATGGGAGTGGTGCTGGCTTGACTACATTAATGACGGAGTAATTTACCCCTCACGAACACGAGCGGGACTATAAGGAAAGAACGGAGTACTGGATTTTGCATACATTGGCGTATTTGGAACGGCTCCCGAGCTCTATCTCCCAGCTTTAATTGGTGCTTTAATCAAGTGGAGGCTGAGGGAGGGGCCGGCATATGAGCATGAGACACGGCAATAACCACGAGGTGACGCGGAAGGGCGGCTACAATTTCACTCGGATCAAATAAGCTTCGAAGCTGAACTTCACCCTACTGCATTCTTTCTTGTTTCGAGGGATGATTTCCCTATCTTCAACATACGAGGAAGGTCGGACCTGGCCGACATCTGTGTCGATCAGGACAATTGTCCACGAGATCCGTCAGTCCGACATCTATGGGTGTTACACATGACAATGCCGAGCCAACACACGTGCAGATCTTTCTTCAACAAGAGGGCCGGCCCACCGCGCCCGAGACCTTTTCTCGACGTTGTCAAGAACGCTGAGTCACAAATTGAATCCTCCGAAGCTCATTTGATTTCAGATATGTCGCTCTGGCAGAGAACAATCTCCTTCCGATCTCGCGAAACTGGCAGCCACTGCCCGATCAACTCCTGGCCGGGATCCATTCCCAATCGCCGCCACTATCGCACTATACTTCCCCACGTGCCTGATAATATACCTTCACTAACGCAAGCAGTCACGAACAAGTAATGCACTAAATCTCTGCACATGTCCTTGGCACGAGCCATTTCCAGCCCATCAACACGCGACGCTATTGAATGCCGGCTTCATGCTAGGTTACTGCAGTCGAAGACTTTCTTTGCACGCCATAGACGCCTCTACGTTCGCTGGAACATCAGAACGGGATAAGCGTAAGGTGTACGAGCCGAGCATGGTGAATAACGAAGAAAGTATAACGATGCAATATCAGTGGAGGAAGATAGACGACGTCCAGAACGACGATCATCGAACAAATAATTCCAAAAACAAATGACAAAGCTTCCAAATCTTTTCGACACGAACATAATCTGAAACACTGCGCGCACATATCTAGCAAGACGCCCATCTCTTCTCCTTAACTCTCAACTCCATCCTCTCTCAATCTTACCGCTTATCATCGCAGTCGCACAACAGCCATGCCCATACCAAAAAGTCAACCCAGGCTCTTCTTCAACGAGTAATGCCGAGATCTCGGCACATACAGTTTTCTTTAGCCCCTCTTCTAACTCTGCCTAAACTCTTTTAGTATCATGCATATGCATATGCATATGCACATGCACATGCACCTGTCGGTATATATCTAAACATCTTCCCGTCCCCGTCCCACAAGTAGAGAACAGGGAAGCTAACGCGAACGTGAAAAAGTCTATCATGCAGAACACACCGAAATGGTTGTGAAGAGGACCAATGATGGCAAAACATCATTTGCGGGTGATGCGATTATAATGAATCATGGCTTTTTCTTGTGTAGTGTTTTTGGGATCTCTCGTGTCTCTTTTTTTCTTGTGGGAAACGCTCGAGATGATTTGAGGAGAGCTGTCTATGTGTCCTCTTTCACATTTCGTAATTCGTGAAAGGAATGTTGTCAACACCGAAAGGGAGACTATCTGGATGTCTTGTGCGTGGGATTTCAAACGCTTCCCGCAACCGGCTTTTCAATACTTTCCGCGACGATGTATCTTCGCCTTGCTGCCCAAGTATCTCTTTCTTGCCTTTGGTCTAAAATTGATGCTTGCATCTAAGCGTCAACACATCTGTATAACGAGCGATATCGAACAGAGTGGCGCTGATCAGCGTTCGACGGCGCCGCATATCCGTGCTCGGCATCAACCAACGTGACAGCCTTGGCAAGCGGTCAAGAACACGGCTTTCTTGTCCAGCCCCGTCTAGAACCTAAATGAATAGGAATGCAGAGCGCTGAAGAAAGCGCTTAGCTGTGTAGAGGTATATGACGCGCTTAGCAGAAAAATATGACGCTGGGACTGGAAACTCGTCAGCCCAATAGCACCAAAGATGCTGCAGCTAGTAGACCCGGCGCTGTATGCTTGGCCTACTTGCATCTGCACGGGTAAAAAGAACGTGCGAACACGTATCACGAGGCATCCTGGACAGGAGAGTTTTCAGCCTTTGGAAGTGTGACGAGGGGAACGAACAGTGAAAGAAGCTGTACCGTGCCGATGCGTTGTCGGCAATAATAAGATCTGCCGTTGTATGCTGCTGTAGTTCTGTCGATCTAGGTGTGGCTGTCCCGTAGCCGTAGACTAGGTAACTCTGTTATTGTCTCCGCACAGACGGCTTCTTCAGCAGCTGCAGATTTGCTGCCTGAGGATTCTCATGCTTGCGACTCTCCGACCATGCAACAAATTGCGCCATTGCATGCGGATCGCCCTACGCACCAACGAGAACATCTCGGAAGTGAAGTGATCAAATACTCATCTTCCTTGCAATCGCTCTCAAGGTCGCCTGCCCTGCACGAGTAACTCGGTCCTTTTGCGCATGGCAGTAATGAAACGCCGTCTGAAGTCGGACGAATCTCCGAATGCGAGTTGCAGCAATGCGAGCACCAGCGATCCACCTTGTTGGGTCCCGTGCCGTGTATGGAAGGGCTTGATGGCGGTACGGTGACAACTCCGAATGGCAATGGATCGGTGAAGCCATGGTGTGTCGCATCGGAGTCATTCGAATGTCCGGACTAGCGAGCCGGAGTGCTGACATGCACATCGTATATGCACCGTGGAGATGGGGATGCTGCACGTTGACGCTGACGAGCGGAACCGCATCCAGTTCGAGGTCTTGCAAGACTCATGAAGAACTGCTGAGACGCAGGCCGGACAATCAACCATGAACAATCACCTTTTCTGCATGACCTTGATCTTCTTCGGCTTTTGCGGCTGCGAGGGTCCAGCATCGCCTCCTCCCATTAATCCTTGCATACCCGCAGGTAATTGTCCACCCATCTGCTGCATCATGTCTGACATCATGTTCTCGCTCACGCCACCACCCGACAATGCGGGTGAGTGAAGCGGGAGGATCGAGTTGATCTTCATGCCGCGTGGTATCGCAGGAGGAATCGGCTTGCCGTCTTTCGGCATTGGCAGCCCAGGAACTTGCATCTTCAGTGGCGTCTTCTCGTCCGCGGGGTGTGATTTGAGGTACGCCGAAATGAGCTTGTAGAGATGGTGTTCTGCGAGAGAAGATCATTAGTCAATTGAACGTCACTGGCAGCCATATCTGTGAAGCCCCGAGCATGCCGACATTGCTAAGAGGTGTAGCAGAAAGCGAGTGGCAGGAGTACGAGGCAGATGAGTGACCCGAGAGCTTGGGTCGCCCGACATGCTGGCGTTCTGTGCCCAAGCACACGAGTCGGTACTTTTCTCCCTCCAAGGCCCGCAAGCCTCTAGATAGAAGAGGCAACCCGCAGTCTCCGCGGACCAGTCCACGAGCCTGTAATCGTCCCCAGAGTTGCCAGAGCGGAAGGATGTGCGAATGGAAGAAGATGGCCAAGTACACGAGCTCTTCGCATGTCCACTCGCGCCCCAAGGAGCTCCCAAGCAAACCACAACCACAAGAACAAAAGAAAAGGAATACACTCACTATTCTCCACCCCATCCCAAACTTTCTTCCCCTCCTTCTTAACCTCAACCTTCACCCTCCCCGGATTCGCCCAATCCTTCGGATGCGTCTTCATAGGATCCAAAGCAATCTGCAGCGCCGCACCCTTCTCATTCCCAATCGACGCCAACGCCTCCACAATCTCCCTCGCCAGCGGATTCTGCACCGCATCTTCTTTCGAAACTCTTCGCCCTTGAGCTCGTGTGCGTGAAGCGTCGAAGTAGACAGGATATATGCATTGGTAGTTTTTTATACGGTCTTGTTGGGCGCGTTGGAGGCGTTCGCGGTCGGCGGCGGATTGTGGGGCTTGTTGCTGTCCAGATTGGCCAGAGAGGAGGGCTTGGAGGGTTTGAGGGGTCATTTGGGAGGGGACTTCATCGCCGTCGCTGTCGTCTACTGGGGCTGCGCCGCCGAGGGATTTGCCTTGTGGGCGAGCGAAATCGAAGGCGTCGAGGTCCATTTCCTCGGGGTCGTCGGCGATTTCGTCATCGTCGACTTCTTCGATTCGTGGGTTGGACATTTTGGGCGGAGTATGGGGAATGCGTCGGTGGTGGGCAGGTGGTATGTCGAGTGGTGGTGTTGGTAGGACAAGTCAATGCGAGTATATGTGGGGTGAAAGTGGAGACCCAAGCGGCTCAAGTCGCTGTCCCTTGGCATCGCTCACCAATGCTCACAGATGCATGACAATGACTCGGCATGTGCTAACGTCTTCAATTGCAGCTTAGACAAAATGCTTCAATGCTGGAGTATCCTACAAGTTCTGCTCAGCAAGACTTTACTCGTCAGAAGAGAAGACAACAGCCTTTCTCTGCATATGTCTGTATCAAGATCGATCCACAATTCAAGACTAGAAAACGCCTCGCCTATGCCAGATTGTCGAAATCCGCAAGCGATGCATCGTTTCATGCCACTCTTCCACCATGGGAGGGCGATCCGGAAGTAATGGCTGCCGTCTGTCCACTAAACGGGACAAACCACGTCAAACATCCGCCCTTGAACTCCGACTGTACTCCATCATTCAATCATTGCGTCCGAGCAAGCGGCGCGTATCAGCCATATCGCACTTTCCTCCCAATATCTCAGCAAGACCAAAGGTCCTTGCTCCAGGCTGGGAATCCATCACTCCTACCGCACTCGGCCACCGCCGTTCTCGACCATTCTCTCCCGTTCAATCCTGATGCGCGTAGCTTCTGTGCCATCGTCTTCCACAAGTTCATCGAACCACGGGTGCTTCAGCGCTTCCTTCGCTGTGATGCGCTTCTTGGGGTCATACACAAAGATCTTGCGGAGCAGGTCCAGGAACAGCTTGTTGAACTGATTTGTTGCTGGAATAATCTCCTCGAGCCGTTTCATGCCCCGCACGAACTTCCTAGATTGGCGCGGTGTGTCCGGCATTGGGTATTGCAAGTGGCCGTTCTTGAAAAAGCGTGCAGCGGAGTTGCGGTCTCCTCGCTTGGACAGTCGGTTGACTTCCCGGATCAAGCTGCGGTCAATGCTATGACCAGTGACAGCCTGAAAGATGTTAGCTTCTTTCTGCATGTATGCACCCTGTGTTTCAGTGTAACTCACCTCCATCATGCCGAGATGCTCGCAACAGTCATGAGTCTGGAAAAGCGCATCACCAGTCCAGCATTCCACCAGAATGCACCCGAGTGACCACAGATCGATGGGGTGCGACCATCCAATTCCAAGTATAATCTCCGGCGCCCGGTAGTGTCGTGTGCTGACCACGGAGCTGTGGTACTCGTCATCAAAGGTTGCACTCCCGAAATCGATGAGATTGATGTGGGGGCTGAGCAACACCCTCCGGAACTTGGCTGACCTCGAGGTCAACGTACTTGAGGAGGGAATGTTGCGGTTGTAGGTAAATGTCTGGTACGTATGACTGAGTAGCAGGATGTTCTCCGGCTTCAGATCGGTGTGGATAAGGTTGAGGTCATGCAAGAATGCAATAGATCCAAGGAGTTGACGTGCGAAGGCTTGGATGTGTGAGCCTGGGAATGGAACGAAGCCGCCGCTTTTTAGAAAGTCGAAGACTGAGAGTCCGAGCAGAGGAGTGACAATGCAAATGTGCCCTCGCCAGTCGAAGCAATCGCGAAGTTGAATGCAGCGATTTCGGTTGTGTTCGTCAGCCGCTCGCAGTGTCTGCAGCACTCTGAGCTCAATGCGACTAGCATCGCGGTACTGTTGTCTGTGGTCAGTCATGCTAATGTGCATGGGGTTCAGCCCGAGCATACCTTTGGCACAGCGCGGATGATCTTGACTGCCACCTCCTTGCGGGTGCGGGTATCAACCGCTCTCACTACCTTGCCAAAAGTGCCTTGTCCCAGCAGAGAGACTAGATTGTAGCGTTCACCGAGCTTGCTGTTCTCCTGAACGATATAATGACCATCTTCGTCATCAATCTTTTCGTTCGGCTTTGAACGCTGTGCCCCATTGTCAGTGCTCGTGCGCTTGTCACCTCTGGTCGTTGTTCTCCTTACGTCTGGGATCGACGGCACCACCACCTCTTTTTGCTTCTTGAGCTGTCGCGGCGGTGTTTGGTACTCGCCATATTCGGCCAAGTAGCCCCTGCCAGCGCCAGGTCGGCTCGCCTCTTGCTTCTTTCGGTCGACCTCTGGTGCCTTGGCATTGCGTTTCCTCTTGTCGCCGGCTCGTGCACCGGTCAGCTGCTCTCGTGGCTGTTGCGCTCCTGCACTGGCTTGAGACCCAAGCGAGGTGGGCGCAGTTGTATTGTGCAGGCTCTCAGTAGACCCGCCGTTGGTGTAAGAGTAGGGCGTGTTGGTGGTGCTATATTGTGGCACGTCACCGCCGCCTCCATTCGTGCGCCGTCTCTTGTCAACGTGATGCGAGGAGGATGAAGCGTTCGACGCCTGTGGTAGGCGCTGAATTGTAGCTTCGGGCACGGGGCTGTCGTCGTCGTGGATGGTGATAATTTCCGCCGGCGGCTTGCCTCCATAAAACTCAGCCCAGTCTACGGGTGCCCGCTCTCGCTGCCGGCGCTTTCGTCCTTGTTCTGCTGAGTCTGCTCTCGTATAGCCGCCATGTGTTGCGGGCATCTCGGCACCACCTGCAGCAGAACCGCGTGATCCGGGTGTAATATACTGCTGTGGTGCTGGCGGAGGCGGAAGTGTTCGATTTTGATATCCCACAGCAGCGTCAGTCTGCCTCCTCATCAACTCGTCGAAGCCGCCCTGCTGTGATGTGCTGCTTGAATAGCCGTACTCGGCCCCTCCAGTTGCTTGTGACTGCGAGTGTGCATGCGAGTATGCACTATTGCTCATGCCGCTGCCCGGACGTGGTGGAGGTGGCAGTTGGCGATTGGAGAGGTTGCTCGACGGTCTGGTGGGAATTTGCTGATGGTAGCCGGCGCTCGCGTTGCTCGAGGGCCTTGGAGGAGGCAGATAGCGGTCTTGTGGTGAGGGGAGATAGCCGACGTGCTGTCGGTCCATGTGCTGGTGCGGTGGCAGCAGTTGCGTAAGTGTCTGTGGTGTCGACATGACTTTGCCCGTTCAGTAAGTCATTGACCGTCAAGTGGAAGTGTCGCTGCGCACGGTGTGAAGAGAACGGTGCCCGGTGGGCCCGCGTGGTTTTGCAATGATGTCGTCTCGAGTGCCTTCGCCGCCTTCTGAAGCGCCGGGCTCGCTGCACGCCGCAGAGGTGCGCAGGAAGGCTGCCGCCGGCGCGGATGGGCTCTGTTGCGGCGTCTGTCGCTGGCGGTGGTGGTTGATGTGGGTGTGCAGGTGTGAAATGGCAGGACGAGCC